GCGAAACCGGTTTATGTGCTTGGACTGCATCTCAACGCAAGTGGATTTGAACGGGCACTGGGCATGCGACTTTTGCCAAGTCAGCTTTTCACCCCTTTTCACTCCAGGACAGCATTATCTCCAATGCACATCAGCTCAAGAGCAAGCAGTAACATTTGCACGAAAATATCATCTCAATAAGCATCTTCGGGATCAACACGGAATGGAAACAACAGCTGCTAACCAACGCTGCACTGAATGGCACTATCTCATCCCAAGTGATTGGCCCAGGGTATGTGAGCCTTGTGGAGTAAATTTCGTGACCTGGGAAGAGAGAGCGAAGCATATAGCTGCAAATCATTACAAGAGGGGTGACTATGGTCCTCAAGGATCTTATCCGAAGCCCAAGTATGACGATAGTGACGATGAAGATGATTCTGATGACAATAATCGTCCTACGCCCAAGAGAGCTGCAGAATATGGGAACACTTCCGGTACAAAGTCTCAGAGCCAATCCCAGGACGAATCACCTGATATTGGAGCTTCGTATGGCTCATGGTCTCAATATACATACAGCATAAATGTAACAGCGGATCCTTCTTCGAGTTCGCACAAACGTTTCAAACAAGACGCTATCCCTAAACCGCAGGTTACTCGAAGAATCAGCGCACCGCTAGAAAGATATCTCAATGACAATGAGGATACAATCGCTGGTCTTCTGAGTGCCCGGACCTTCAACGGTGCTGACGTTCTTGACTGCGATTTTTCCTCACCAAAAGCCCAGTTATACTCGGATGGCAAGGACATCTCGTCTTGTTCGTCTGCCAAGGTCGGTTCCACAGAGACTGAACAGATCGGAGCAGGCTCAGATGCCGAGACCTCGAATAGACTTGGGTTGAAACGACCTAACACAGCTACTCAAGTTGATGGTCAGTTAATTGGATGCCATCTAGATCTGAACCCCGGCAATTCACCGTGGTGGGTATTAGAAGAGAAGTGTTTCAATGAAACCCTTCTTCTTGACAGACGTCTTGCCCATGCGACCCATGCGATGTCTCAATCTACAACAATCCTTTTATCCCAAGGCACTGAAAAGCTCATCTCCAAAATTCAGGCAAACAAATATAGTTCGTCTGACGCACCTGCGGTCGCTGCTATGGTGCATGCCGAGTTGGACCACTTTGGACGCCACTTGAAGACGGTGTTAAATAAGGTTAGTAAAGCCGTTTACTATACTGAGCTACGCTAATATTATATGAGATTCCACTTAATCTTAAAGGCCTACTCGCGGACTGGGTTAGTTCGATCTGCATCATATTGAATGACCGCTTTGGAGAATTGTGCGAAATGTTCGCTTCATGGCAAGGTCAATTCCCAGCAAAATTACACGGCAGATCGAAATACTCCAAAAGCAAGAGCAACGAAACGGCTAGGCGTTTGTTGCGAGAAATCAGAGGGTCTCACGAATCTGCGAGAAGTGCATATCAATCTCCGCAAGCTCTTGGGGCGCCCCTTGAGCACCGAAACCCACGAATCCATTACGGCAATATTGCTTCGGGAAATGCGGTGGTGAAGAATGCGACGGAGCGCGATCAACTTGCACAACGAGACTATGTGATATGCTTCGAGAGGAAAGCTTTCGGCTTGATGGATGACTTTCCATGTCTAGTCATACCTGGAATCAGCGACTATCTCTCGCCTCTACTACTCAATCAACAGAATAAGTACGCCATGCACAAGCTAAGACGAGAGAGAATCGTTGAGGCCCTTAAAGGCATGAAGCGAAACACGAGAAACACGAGATCGAGAACAAAAAACACGTGGCTCGAGGACGGAGAGGCACACAAAATACCTCGTCAAACCTCGGAGCTTGACGTTGAAGTCTACGAGCAAAGACGTGACAAATTCGGTCGAGCGATATGTGAACATTTCGACTCGGTGACACCACGATCCCAGAAAAACATTCCCATTGCTGAACTCGAGGATACTATGCGCTACCCCTACTCCCTAGCTTTTGATACTTCGAAAGAAGTTCGTATTCTAACCCTACTTCCAGCGGAAAAGGCGAACGAACCTCGTTGCTCCTTCAGCGGTCGCCCGCTGGAACTCCATGATCGGCCCGAGAGCTTCAAACGAAAAGCTACAGGAGAAAGTGGAGATCAGACAAAAGCATCTGCATGGCACATCAATAGTAATGGGATTTTTTCGTCACCTTCTGATACTGAAAGCCAGGCCCCGCTTTACCACGGAAAAAAGTCAGACGACAAAGAGTTTCCGAAAATTTCAAAGCCCGTTGAGCACCTCCGAAATTCGTATGACTGCGTTGTCATTGGATCAGGTCCTAGTAGAGGTTTAGCTTCCAGTCAAATAGCCAAAGCCAGACAAGAGATTTCTATTCTAGAAAAAGGCCAAGAATGGTGGCCCAAAGATTATACAACGAATTCCATGAGCCAGCTTACCCCACCTAAACATTCCGATGACCTATGGGCTCACCATGGGCCATATCACGTTCCACGGTCCAATTCCGGATTGACTGCTTTTGCGCCTCCTCCTAGACCAATAGCGGATCATGGCTCTCGCTCTAGGAAATCCTATTATGGGAAAGAACGGCCTGAACTTCAGCAGGGTACAAGGACTTTAGATTCAGGCACACCTATCACAGGCCGTGTTCATAGAGCGAAGAAAGAGGTTCCTGTCCATAGTTGCAAGATGTGCAAGCCAGTAAAAACGTTCACTAGGGTCGAGCATTTAAGGTAGATTCATCAACTCCAGCTGTTAAGACTGTCCGCTTCTAACAACTGATGCAAATAGGCGCCATCAATTAAGTCATGAAATGCCTGATAATCGGTGTACTTTTGCAGAGTGCACGAGACGGTTCACAAGACTGGACTTATTACTTAGACACATACATCAACAGTCAGTTATTCAAGGGACTTCTTGGGAAGTGGCTTACACAGTAGTAGTGAAATACAAGGAGAAAAGCTTTACAAACCTGGAGGCAGCCTCGCTCTGGGAGAAAGCAAACCTGAACCAGGAACAGCGCGTCTTGTAGACGATATATCTTTCTCCAAGTTCCCATCGGAAACCAACCTGGATACCAATATATCTGAAGTACTACCCGACCCTGAACATGATCTTCACCCATCCCGCACTCGCAAGCGCCGCCCATCAAGTACCCCTCGCGCCAAGCGCAGCCGTGTCGACAAAGGGGAGTCAACAATCAAAAGCCAAAGCCAGGATGTCTCACATGTCCGTCCTTTACTATACCAATCTTCAACATGCATCTTCATATTCGCAGGCTGCAAGTCTGATTTTGCCAACTTGAATGAATGGAAGCGCCAAGTCTTTGCCCAGCATCTCAATCCCAATACCTGGACTTGCGAGCGCCAATTGTATGGCAAAACTAGTCTCATAGGAGGAGGAAATGGTGGCAGCTTCAACCGGAAGGAATTGATCATGCAGCACCTGAAGCGATCGAACACTTATCAAGCGGATCAGGGGTTGTTTCCCTGCAAGTATTCCGAGTGCAGGCGCGCAAGAAATCCGTTTACCCGTAAAGACCATTACCGCGATCACCTTCGTCATTTTCACAAGGAAGATACAAGTATGTTCAGACCGCAGAAGAAGTCAGTCATGTCTAAGAAGCGATATCTCTCTGAACGCCGGATGAGTCCGCAGTGGTGGAATCTACCTCTAGGACCAGAAAGAATCCCCAACGAAACTCAACTCTCTTATCTCTCTTACCTTGATACCGATATGCCGTACCAAATGGGGCAGTTTCTCGTGATAGAAGACGATTGTTTCGATATGCTCCTAGGACACACGTCTCTTCTTTGGCAGTATGCCTACCCACCAATTTCGAACTCTCGAAACACTACCCCATACAGCAAAGATACGCAAGATAACTATAACAATTTAAATATCATAGCTGCACCACTTTATCAAAGCCAAGCCAATCATAACTCAAGACATAGACGAGGACCATGGTCAAAAACAGAAAATTTCTACCTAGCCCAACTTGTACTCCAAGGTGCTCTGAACTGGGTCAGAATCGCTCAACTCATTGGCTCTCGGTCCCCAAAGCAATGCCGCGAGCGTTACCACCAACATCTGAAGTTGTTATTCAAACATGAGTCAATCCGTTATAAAGACAGAGCTGCCACCATGATCGAGAAATTCGATCGACCGATCAACAATGAATTGACTACACTCTTACAGCGATTTCGCAGTGAGAACACTGTGAAGAATACGAATAAAAGCCGTCGTCGACGTCTGCTCCTCAAATCATCGAACACTTCCAATGAACAATATGATCCCCAAGCTCTTTCTCCTATCGCACCTTTTGACAGCCATGCACAATGCTCGTTGGAAGAATGCAATGGCTCAAGCCTGGGATTCCTCGGGATAACGACACCATCTACATCAATGCCTAAGAGTCCGCCCCTTCATCATCAGAATACTTCATACCAGCCAAAAGATGGTATCACAGCATCGTCGGATCTGGCACTCTCTGCAGTAGCTCCGCAGTGAGAACCGCATCTTCTTGTAAGATGTCCGTGGATTGCATGTTGAAGTAGTTAATCAGGTCCGAGACCTCTTCGCCGCCCACGCATTGGCTCTCTGGTGGCTAGTATGGACGGCGGTAGTGTTATACACCTCTGATTGGGTGGTTTACTTTTTTGGTTTTATGTATCTGGTTTCCTTGCAATCTCCGATTTGAGTCGTGTCAATTGGCGTTGGAGCGAGACGGTTTGGTTCGAGACGGAGGATATGAAAGATGGTGTTATGGCTGATTTACTTATGATTGATGATTTAATTCTGAAAGGTAAAGAAGTTGTTATATACTGGATTTGCATTTGGGGAAAGATAAAAGAAGGCGTATTTGTTATGTATGAATCAATTTATTGTCCAACCCTTATTCGCCTGCTATCTACACATACAATTTCGTAAATGAATGATTCCCAACTCCAAGTATGCCGCCAATATCAGTCTCAATTCATGTGCTCATTTCATCAACCCATTCAGTTTCCATCATCACTCAAACTATCCCTCCTTCCCCGTCTATACCCACCCCCACCAGCCCTCTTCTTCCTCCTCTCCTCAGTATACTCACTCCCAGCCGTACTACTCAGTCCAGGAATTGGATGGTGATACGCCTTAGTCCCCAAATCACTACTAACATTACTGCTAATTTCACTGCCTTCGATAAAAGTGCCCTGCGCCTTCCTCGCAGCGCGTCTCGCCTCCCTAGCCTCTCGTCTAGCTTGACGTTCCTCTTGTTCAGAAGCAACGGTACTGTCGTCGCCGATGTTGAAACTGAAGTCTCGACGTTGAGCAGCGCGGCCCTTTTCTTGTAGCTTGGCGGCTTCGGCCTTGATGTGGTCTTCATCTAGGTTGGGTTTCTTGGAGTTGCGGTTCCAGAAGCCAACACCGCCGCTAGTCGTGCTAACAACCTTGCGAATGCCTCCCTTGCCACCGGTATAATTGTCATTGCGTTCCTTCTTGACTCTTGTAGGCGTGTTCGTAGGCGTGTGCTCGCGGTGAGACAGTAAGTCCGAAGCAACGGTCGAATTATCATTCGTTGTCGAGTTGTCGTTTGTAGATCCGTCCCAAGCACTGCCATCAGCTTGCCTGTTCAATCCCCCCACACGCGCAGGTTTCTCATGTCGATAAGCACGCAGCTCATTCTCCACTGTCTCGTTATCATCAAGCATCGCCTCCTCAGCCCCAAGGTCCCCACCGCGGAGTCTCGATTCATGTTTCTTGGCCTTCTTCCGATCCTGTTTAACTTTCCACTTCAATTCGCTCATCTCGCTCCCCAATGAACTCCCCCCGGCACTCCCAGTCATCTCACTCCCCTCCTCATCGAAATCCTTATACCGCTTCATACCCTTCTTCTTGCGTCCCCACTTACTCCTCGTCTTCTCACCATGCACAACACTGCCACCCCCCAAATCCGTACTCTCCGTCGCACCACTCAGCGTCGTTCCATTGGGGCCTTTGCGACGCAAGACTGTGGATTTATAATCGTCCCAGTCGTTTTCATGGAAGTAGAAACCACCATTTTTCGCCCAGAAGAAGAACCAGATTACGGTACAAACGATGCCGACGCCGATGAGGCCGAAGAGCGCAAAGATGGCTTTATTGGGGATGCTTTTGAATGGGGTTACGCCAGAAGCAGGGTCAACGGTTGTGTCGCGGGGGAGGATGGCTTGTGTGCGGGCAACGACGGTGCCAAAGGAAGATGTTGGTGATGGGGAGGGTGTGCGTTTGAGGAGGGTGGTGAGGTAGGATTTGAGGTTGGTGGTGGATGGAAGGGGTGCCATTATTGCTAGATGGTGGAGGAAAATGTGGTCTTGATTGTAGGAATGACGTTAAACGTCACGCTGGTATGTGTGCCAATCCAGACAGCAACTATGTCGTATATCTGTCGAGTCGTGATGGAGATTGTTCGTATTTTCGTATTTCGTAAAGTCGTGTGGAATGAGGATTGAACCAGAATCGGAGAAGAAGAAGTAGAAGTTGTTTTGATGTTATTACGGAGGAGGTTGGGCTCCGCTGCGTTTCCTTGCAAATGTTGGAATTGGGGGAGGCTGGAAGCGATGTGCATGTTGGAATTGTTTACTTTTAGCGCAGGGGCTCGCCACCGTTGCCATCGCAACCTCTTAGAGACCTTGTCCCTGTGAACAGATTCCACGTGACTAGACCCCTTTACATCAACAACTCATGAGTCGTGCTCATTATTACTCAAAAGCCAACTCTGCTATTCCTAGCCGAATTAATCATATCCTGTGAGGCATTGCGCCCCTATACTACCCTTTTAAATGCTTTTGGTCATTGCTACTCTGCTACTATTACAAGCGCCTAAACGAGTAATGAACTCATATTTTTGGTCAAACGGCATGGTTTATTATGGGTTGAATGAGAGTATCATCTAGTCTATGGTAAGCTTCGATAATGCAATGATCCGCTCTTCGTTTATATGCACGAGATCTGATGGTACTGATTTCAACCTTGGAATTGACTGGATTGAACCTGTTGAAGCAAATGGCAATTTTATTCCCTATCTAGAGCAGATCCTATTGATCGTGCTCCTATGCATGCATTTTCATCCAGCTCCTCCTACATAGTTCTCCACGCGATCCTATTCATAAAGAGACCACAGTCCATAGCATATATCCCGCACTATTTCGATGTTCAGGTCTATCCGCCACCTGCGTCGTCCATGCAAAGATAACATAAACCGCAAAGAATAGCAGATAGAAGTACAAGTGCCATCGCTAGCAATTGTGCATGATCTTATTCCATGAACCCCTATCCCAAAAATCCAAACCCAATTTGCCCAGAAGAAATATCTCGTGTAATAATGGTATCCTTCATAAATCATACATGTCATACAATCGTAGTAGTATCGAAACAATCGCCACAAAAATAGATAAGAAGCCTCGAGTGCTTTGGGGGGGTATAATGAACTTTTTCCTCTTTTGAACTTTTGAAAAAGGGAGAAAGCCGACGGACCGCCCAGTACAAGGCACCGAGAAACAAGAATCAAAAAAGAAAAGGGTGATCCTGCACCAAGATCATGTCGCTAAATCCAGAATACGCGCATATCGCTTCAAATGAAATATAAAACCCATCAAAACCATTCGTCTCCGTAGTATTGTTGTGGCTTCGAACGGGAGTGCGAGTTTCCTGATATCAATCTCGACGGTCCAGATGGACGTTCATCCCGGCTCCGATGGTCATCGATACGCCGGTCATCGTTACGTCGGTCATCGATACGTCGGTCATCGATACGTCGGTCATCGATGCGTCGTGGACCGCCGTACTCTGAGTTCGATCGTTCACTACCATTGCGGAGGGCCTTTTGTTGCTGCTGTTGTTTGATCTCAATCTCTCCTCCATCGGGGCAATCAATCTGTGCCCCGCCGACCATCACTCGAGCCGTGCCCGTGACTTTGATAGTCACGTTCTCGCCCTCTCCACTACCGCTTCTCGTAGTCCGAGTAGTAGCCGACTTTCTCCAGTCACTTTCATCTCGGCTAGCACTGCTCTTGGTACTCCTGCTGCTGCCTGCTTGTCTTCGCTGCTGCCTCTTCAAAACTTCTGCCGTCAAGGGTATAGTCTCGCCAACATCTTGCTCAACATCTTGCTGGTATGTGGAAGCCTGGCGTATCTTAGTTTCGTAATCACTTGAGCCTGTCGATGGAGTGGCACTTTGGCCGTAATAGCTCTGCCGACGTCGGCTAGCATTTGCCGTTTCGACCTGAACCCCCCCGGGGCCATCGTGGTAGGAAACCGAGTTTCTATGCGAGCTCCGATTGCGAGATCGTGAATCATCACGTATAAGTGTCCTACCTTCGTAAGGTTCTGGAAGAGGAGCGTAATCTGTGACAGGTCGTCGAAGGCTTGGTCGAGGTGGAGGTGGCATTGCTTGATAATCCGCCGCGTGCTTGCTGAGTCTCTGTCCGACCCCAGATGGGACACGTATGCTTTCCCTTCTCTGGACCACAGCGTCGGAGACCGACGTATAACCATCATCGTGGTAGCTTGCGCTGTAAGCATCATCGATATCCGATTGATGAAAATCACGACTGCCGTAACTGGAAGTCCTACCAGAAGGCGTGTCGAATCTTGATGCCAGAGGTCGAGCAGACATTGGCCGCTCGGGAGCCGACATGGCTTGAGATCCAAAGTAGTCTGAGCTCTGAGGAGCAGGTGTAGCCGCATATCGCATGTATCCAAGAGGATCAGGAGGAGGGTATGACGGCGTGATTATTGACTGAGCTGGTGGCTGATAATTGGCCCAGGCAGATGAGGAGAGTGGAGGTCCATATGCTCCGGTCGATGTATGTGTTGCATTGTAATTAATAGGTCTTGGTGGATATGTCTGTGTTGACACCGGTCGTGGTCGCATGGGAATTGGCTGGGTCATATTAGGTTGCGACAAGATAGTAGGGACGTGTCTTGTCGCAGACGATGGGGTTGGCACGCCGAAATATGTCGGGTCTTCTTTCGTCAGATATGAAGGGATATGTAATTTAGGAACGTTGTAGTTCTTGTGTGCCGAGGAAGGCCGTTCCTTCTGCGGCGAGTGAGTGTTACTCATGGAAGACTTCCGACGCTCCTTGTTCTCTGTCGTGATCACTTCCTCTCTCCGCGAACCCGATCTAGCCAATGCGCGTTCTGGGGCAGCATCGAAGTCGATATTGGCAGAGCGCCTATTTTTTGGCTTGTCTGATCGTCCGCTCTCGCGCTGCGAAACCTTGGGTCTTTCTTTTGTGTTCGTTTTGGCGCTTCGCCTACTGCCTGCAACCCGTTTCCCATCCTCGTCAAGGTCGACCACGTAGGCCGGCCGAGGAGGAAGCTTGTCTGACCCCATAGTAAAAGAACTGCTGGTGGTGTCGACAAATGAAAAGTGCGTGCGTAACCAGTCGGCAACGGCGACGGCGAGGTTGACTTGGGTATTTAACTTTATGCCTGGTTGCTGTGGTGTTGAGGTGGGATGGGATGGGCCGAGAAAATTAAAAAAAAAGATGGGGAGCGGCGGCGGCGGGCGGGAGTGAGCTCAGACTTTTGCTAGCGAGCTGCGCCCAAGAGGATCCTTTATCGATAGCAAGCCGGGGTGTGTGGAGGGGTCTTAAGAACTTGTAAATTCGCAACAAGCTGTTGCAACTTTGACCAGACGACAGGAGGAATGAAGTGATTTGAATCTCGTCGTAAAGTCTTGGTCAGAGAAACGGGGGAAGTGGCCTCCGGATGAGAAATCCAATCCGAGGTAGAAAAAAAAAGTCCAGTAGTTCCTCTGTTGTAGCGTTGTCCTTCAGCCTAATCGTCGTACGGGAGGATTGGGTATCAATGCCCATATGAATAGAGTGGGGATAGCAGAACGCCGCGAGGTCCCATCTTTATGACTCCTCGGAGTCCTGATAGTAAGTAAAATAGACGGATGGAAGTTGGAGCTGAGGAGAAGAAGATATGTCCGGGGTGGGAAGGAAGGGTAAAGAGAACAATAGAGGCTGCATTGCCCGCCGCCCGGGGACTCGTGCTATGCTCTGCGGAGAATGACATGCAACGCACTGCACTATACTGGACGGTGCAAATATTCTATGTACGAAGTAAGTAGTCACACTGATGACTGACCACCGCACCCGTTGCGATTCCTTGCTTCTTCAATAACATTGGTAGGCGGTTTGTGAGAGCCAGCGATCCTAATTGGAATGCTGCCCTGCGGATGCAAAGCCAACACTGCCCACCAGTCTCTTTCATAGGCAGAGGAAAGCGACGGGTAGGCAAGACACCACGCCCTCGACCGAGTATGTGTCTATCTGCAGCCGCCTCCTAGATGCAATTTTGACGGTGGATGAATGACTCCCTCCGCCCCTCAAACAGGGAAGAATGAGCCAATATCAATGTCGCTAAAGAGAAACAACAGCAAAATCTAAAATGCCCAGCTCTTAGTCTCCAATCACTCCTTCTTTGACATATGCCAGTGCTGCTGTGTTACCCAGCCAACTTTCTATACCTCCATATTCTGATATAGGAGTCCTATTGAAGCTTCTTTCGTGTTTCAGAGCCAACAGAAAATGTATTTCAGAATTAACAGATCACCCTCATTCCATTGGAGACCGTCGGGACACGGATCTGGCGTGATGCAAGTCATCAAAATAAACCCCATACCACTTGTCCCAGCTGAAGCGGCATCATCCAACCTAACCGGGGAGCAGGAGAAGCAGAAGCTTGAGATCTGGGCGATTGCTCCCTATCCCGGGTCGAGGAGTTCGAATACCGGGACGTTACGATGAACTGAACCGAAGGATTCCAAGGACCTTCGGACCAGTGATGTCGTCGCCGTCACCCTGCATACTCCATGTTTATGCATTATATGCAGGCCATTGAAGATGTGCAAACCTTACCCTTTCGGGCGTACACACCACACTCCCATCCAACTGGAAGGCGGATAATTAAGTCAGTCAGATAGAAAAGCCACGGCCAAGACCTGATGGCGAATTATATGTTATTCCCACTGCCGTCTCACCGTGACTCGATTTGAGGCCATTCGCAAAAGGTGCAGTGGAAGTGGAGTCTCGTCTCTCCACAGGCTTCATCCGCTACTGACAATGTCCACATTAGTACGTTTACTACCCTACAGGCTACTCGGTATGACGGTAGTGCCTATCAAGATCTTAACCTCCGCATTAGTGTAACCTACAAGGCTGAGATCACGATACACCTGCCAGTCGTCCCGTATCTACGGAAGAGACAAAAAGTCCCAGATGCATACAAATGTTAGACCGGAAAAGGAAACAGGCAATGGCAGATAGCAGATAGAGCTTTATCTGTTCATTTGCGACTAAGGTTGATCCTTCAGATAGTCATGGTAAATGATCGTCTTTCTCCCCACACCCTCAGCCAACCGCACACCGCTTTTTGACCTCCAAGAGTCATCCTCGTAAACACGATTATGTGCTCTATCGCCCCATAGAATAGCAACGCCACACAAATCTGAGAATCGACTCGCCGTCGAGGCCATAAATTTGACGCAAAGCACCAGGCAAACGTCCAGTCATCTGCTGTATTATTGGCTGGCCCATACTCACGACTGTTGCGTCTCGGGTTTTTTCCACAAAGTGAATTTAGCGAGCATCTTTGGATTCCTTCTCGAGCTTCATTTGGATCCCGAGCCCTCCCCTGATCAATAACACCACCCGCGTTAATGCCCGGGCAAAATCGCGAACTCTTCTGTGCAACCCGCAGAGCGTCGCGATTGCGTTACCCCAGCCGGCTTCGTACATGTTCAAGTATGTGGGGCCGAAGGACTTTTGGGGGCGAAGTCAACGAACCACGATTTGAATCCGTGTGATGAAGGAAGGAAAGAAATGCTACTATTGTAAACTATTTTCGGTAGAGACTTCTCAGAGAGGTAGACTTCCTATATACCTCCGTTCATCTGAGTATCAACCATTCTTGCGTGCTCTATCTTGACCTTTGGTAGCTCACGTCACTTGACTCTGACGTGAGACTCCAGACTTTCCAAACACTTGGAACATGTCCCAAACCAGTTAGCTGTAGCTAGAGCTAGCTGAGTACTACCTCGTAGCCAGCGCCGAAGTTCCAATTGACCACGGAGACCGATAGGTGCTGTTTTGAGAGCCTTGCAGATGCTATGTTCCTTGAGGATACTTGGCACATCAAAACTCTCGAGCCCAGTTGCAAGTCATTGTGGCCCAAAGATCATGATACAGGGGCATACCAGTAGTCGATGTTTGATACTCAGATGCTCCAATTTGATTGAGATCAGAGGACCCTCCATAAGTTGAATCTTTGGGAGAGTTGAAGTAAGGACTTAGGCTCGGATCCATTATTGGGCAATGACCCATCGCGATACCAGCTATTTTTCCGGGTTGCACGACAAAGGATTCCGGCTTTATGTTAGCAACTCGGCGCTCGTAAGACGTCTTGACGCTTGCTAGTAACATCTTGAAGACGTAAAGTACGTCGGGGTTCCTAGGATGATTGACATCTTCGGAAGAAGTCTTAGTGGATGACAAATGCTGGAAGCGGTAACAGAGACAGTCGAGGTACATCACTAAAGGTATGTTCGTCCTTGTCGTATTTGAATCCCATCCTCGATTCGCAGCCATGAGAAAGGTGAGTCGAGAGAGAACAAGCGTCGCTTCGACCATCAGACCCCACTGCACAGATGTAAACCCTAGCAAGCTGGCCTCGGGTAATGACAGAAGGTACTCGAAAAATCTCTTGGAAGAATCGAGGCAATTGGTAAGATGAGACTGGACGAGCGGAGCATTGTCTTTTTGTGAACGCAAGTGATCTCTGTATGGCTTACGCAGAAATCCAAGCTCATAGCTGTAGATCGAAAGGTCGACGGATCGTTCAGCAAGAGCCATATATGCTACACTATGAGTCAGTACCGGCATGATATATGTGGTTGGATACGTACGCAAGCTGCGGATCTCGTCCGGTATAGAGTCTCTCCATTGCTGAAGCTCATTCGTGAATATCTGAACATTCAACTCAGCATTGAGAGAGTCAAGGTGCGGATCGTCGCTCAGTTGTTTGCTAGCGTGGAGTTCCGTAATTTTCTCATTAAGGCGTCGCAATCTGACCATCGAGTAAACGGGGGCCAGAAGCTCTTCGTCCATCAATGATTCGCCGTACACATCCATGACATTAGAGTATCGTAAGTTGTTTGGTTTCCCGAAGCCTTGACAATAACTAGGGAAATATGATTAGCAGGGCGGTGTTACAGAGCCTATAAGTAGAGAGGTATTAAACTCACGCAGAAGATAAGTAGTAACACCCGAGATATGCTCTCTTCGCTGCTTTTGTGAACTCGTCGTTCTCAATGAGACCTTCTGTGCGTATAGCGTTGAAGTTGCTGAGGTTCGGCGATTCTCGGTCCAGCCCAAGATCAGCGGCAAGACTAATCGCAAGATTTATATACATAGATGATTGATTATTTCGAGGATGTATATGAATTGGGTACCTCCATTAAAAAATTAGCCCCAAACCGTCAGGTAATTGGGCAGATCAACTTACCATGCGATGTACACAAGCAACCCTAGTAAGAAATCGAGGCTCTTTTGCCCTTCAACAATCACCTTGGAACTCAGGACGCGCCTAAATTCATGGTCCTAAACATCAGGTCTCGAAGTTAGCGCAGCTTTAGAGGGGTTCAGGAGTAATCTGCAAAACAAGTTACAGGGCTCAACTCCGAAAACCACCTGAGAGAGAAGCATCTGCTTCGGGATTTCAACTGACCATCTGATGGTACAAGGGCGGATCTTTAATCGATGCGCTCGTAAGAATTGCTAGTAGCAGGAACGGAGACGATTTCGACAATGAGGGAACAGTGGCATCTTGGGAAACCTGGACAAATGGAAAACACGGAGCCATCAGGCGAAAAGTGGAGAGAAGTTCTTCGCCATCGAGGAGGCTAATTCGTCGTTGTTCTATAAGTGACGAAGCAGATTGGACTTGTTCAATATCATGGATGCGCTTCGTCTCTGGAGGGCCGTCTTCTCCGAAAAACTCTTTATGGCGTCGGTGGAGTGCTAGCAAATCCTTTTGGGTATCTGGAGGCAACACGGGGGGAAGATTGATCGAAAATTCCGAGTCATCAAATATGGGGGAGTGATTCTTGTTGGGATTGGTAGAAGATTTTCTAAGGGTATATCAGCAAGGGTCTTTCCCCGAATCCTCACGGAAATAGAATGCTAGTATGACTTACGTATTGCGAGTTCGCATTGGGCGAGCTTTAGATCGGACAACACAGTCATTGCTACTCTGTTCGCATCTGTGGCACACATCCTGCCCCTTGCTGAAAATGCAACGACTTTTACTTGCTCTGCAAGCCTCACATGCACGAGCATTTCTCAACTTTGATGCCGTGCCGTTTTCAGACATTTCCTTGTACCGTCGGAGACAATTACTAAACTGAACTTCAAATTTTGATTTGTGGGAACTGGCTGTCTCCAGTCCGGATGTCCATGTTCATATACGTGGTCTCGGAATGGATTTGGCCGGATGTACACCTTGCGCGGATGTACGGATGTACGGCTGTAACGGATGTACGTAGCGCGATCCCATTGGACAATGCGACACGACAGCCAATGATAATCGACGCAATATAATCCTAACATGGGGCCACTCTTGGAGTGCACCATAGGCAGTTCAGTCAGAAAAACAACAGAGGAAGTCTCTGCTCATGGAAACTTTCACTCAACGACGTTCCCATAGCCTATTCTATCCCACTAAAAGCTTTATTCAATGTTACAGCAATTGGACGTCTGCCACGCACGCTCGATGATCTGACGAATAAACCCCATCGTCAAAGCGGTTTGCCAAGACGGCATATGTAGCATACTCGACATGGTCACTTTTCCTTGCAAATATAAAATCAATCCGAGCTGGTGTATTGTCCACATGACCGAAGGAGGTAAATGTCATCTCGTTGCCGTATCGTATTTCTTTGGGGATGCTCACGCCAATGTCTTCCATCACCGATTCGGGTGCAGTCATAATTTGATAGGCTCCATCATCAGGGGGGCTGTTGAAGTCGCCCGCAAGCAAAACAACAGAAAAATCCTCCAACGTCACCTCAGAGGAGATGAGGGAAAGTATAAGCTTAGCACTCTCCTTTCTAGATTTAGCACCCTCATTATCGAAATGAGTGCTCATAACAAGAACAAGTTTCCCGGTTTTTGCATGTACAAAGATCCCGACGGTGACAATGCGAATACTCGCAGCATCCCAGCCTCTTGAGGGCTTCTCGGGTGTTTCACTGAGCCAAACCGTTCGCCATTTCTTGACGTGAAAGATTGAAGGTCGATAGAATATAGGGGAGTATTCGCCAGCTTGCTTGCCATCGTCTCTGCCGACTCCAATGTAGTCCCACTCTCCGGATGCAGAGCCATTGAGTGAGGTTTGGACATCCACAAGCTGGGAATGAAGTACTTCTTGAAGGCAGATGAATGTCTCGGGGATACTCGTGGAGTTGAAGACGAGCTCGGAGCAGAGCCTTGGACGCCGAATTGGCCATCGCTCCTCGCCCTTGAAAGGCGCCTCAGTGGCGTATCGAATGTTGTGCGTTATAACACGGAGATTTATTGATGTTTCGTTGTTCCTGCTCTCCTTGTGGTTCTCATCAGAGACTTGCTTTCGAGTCATGATGCGTGAAGCTTGCGACGCGTCAAGAAATGGCTTCAATACCCTGAACACTTTGTCTAATGGAAGTCGACTGAGATATTGATGGCACCACAGAATACTTTAACCAGTAATTTGCACAGACAAAGAATGAGGTGAACAAGAAGAAGATCCGGCGGTTGCGAATAATAGATCCACTCCGGCGTGTATTCATTTATATTTGGGGTAAATATCGCGAGGTTGCTGAGTCAGAAAAACGTACCGAGAGAAGTCCCACCCCACCAGAGCCCCAAATTCCTTACAGCGCACAGCCTCTTCACTTTGTTCAAACTCCCAAACACAGCATATGGCACTACCGCACCATTCCAGTCTCGTCCTGTCATATCGCTCGACCACTGGAATACTGCAATGCTGCTTGCCTGTGCCACCCCAATCACTTTTGATTGGACACTCGCGATGCAAGTGCACGTACTCAGCGGCTTGCTGCTTCAGCTGCAAGCCTTGGCGGTTATCCCCAAATATATTAAAGTTGAGCTTATTCGCATTCTCAAGTTAATTGACATCTTTCGTACAAGTGCCTTCCAATTCTGTTTGCTTTTGCCAGAGCCTTTATCTGTTCCTTCCTACATAAGTACTGTAATTGAAAGGATCGCTCCTTCCCTGTGTCATCTCGCCTGGCCTTGGAATTCTTCGCCATTTCTGAATTCCTTTATAACGTAGCTTATAAATATCGCTTTCTCGGATTAATTTGATCATCTTCTCTTGATTTGGCTTTCTTCAATCGAATTTTCAGTCACAGCAAGCTTGAGATCATTCAGCCATCATGCGTTTATCAATCCTTGTCCTCCCGGCGGCAATAGTCGCGTTTGTTTCAGCACAGGTAGGGACCCTCATATTCTCTCGAATCTATCCTACATCTACTAATATATTGCAGACTGCACCAACACCTACAACAGGCATCATATACTCCAATACCACCTCAACGGCGGCCGTTACCACAGGATACACCACCTCTGTGGTTGTCGTCGGAGGCAAGACCACGAGCGTCTTGGTTAATGGAGCAGGCGAGACTTCTTCTTTCCACTCGACAGTCAGCCCTACAGCGAGCCTTCAGGGCAGTGAGGCGGAGAGGAGCTTCCGGGAAGTTGGCGGTGTCTTGTTGGTTGCTGCGATGGGATTTGCGCTTGTGTTATAGGATGATGTCTTGCTCGGTGTATGTTCAGACTGTGGGTTTTCGTGGCTGGTGGGAAAATCAAGAAATTACCCTTCCGTTTTATGGTTCAGAGTTGGACTCTAGATATTAATACTATAATGTTTCTACTCGGCGCACGAATTCATAAGACATGAAAAGTCTCAAGCTCCATGAGGTGACGGAGCAAGTTCAGTCGGAGCTATATCGTACGATCGTACGGACCTTTAGAGAACCCAATCCTGATAAGTCACCCAGCCCGGTCACTTTAGTACCTTGAGCGTCAAACAAGTCATGTATAGTTCCAGTGGTTCCAGTGATTCTATTATCGCTCAACCAGGAAAGATCTTCGCCGACAGCACTTCATAAAGCACTATAACAAATAACTATATACCAAAAGCTCTTGATATATAATATTCCACAAGACGACACGAATGAATGATGGGTAAGCCATCCGCACTGCCTTGAATTTCACGTGTGTCACGTGTGCAATCAACTACTCACAAGCCTCGTGCCAAGAATGTCTTATCGATTTCACATCAGCCATCCTCGCCTCACTTTCCCATCTTCAAAGCTCACGGTGACTTCATCTAGTCATTATCCTCCCAAATCCGGGGAAGCTGCCCTTGTCTCCCCCTCGGTGTATGCTGCGTGCCTTGCAGTCACACCCAGAATGCGGCTGGTGCAAGACATGGCTTGCGGAAGAACCCCCATTCCCGTCACCAGATAGGCTCCCACCCTGACCACCCAACTCGTAACCGCCATACGCGGAAGCAGTCACGACTCAAGGCTTACGTTTCTTTTACCTGTCTTTTATCTGTCTTGGTTTTCTTACGGCAAGTGCTGATGGAGGGCTGTCTCACTTCAGTGTGATTCATAGCACGCGCTCGCCGAGCGTGGCTGAAGCGTGGTGGTGACTGTCTACTCCGTACGCCCTACTCTTTCTAGGTAGCTACGTGACTATTTTTTCGTATGCGTATATATCTCACACCCATCGCTCCCCGTATTTATTGTATTTCTATTTCCATCTCAATTTTGCTTCAGAACAAACAAATACCTACATTCGCTAAGATACCATAATCCACCCCGCAAAGCGCATTCAAACCCACAGACCGGCCGTTGAGCCGGATTCGACGAACACAAATATACCAACACTCTTTATTATTTCCACGAACAAGAAGGCGAGATGCCGTTCAACGAACAGCAGAAGCGGAACCAGCGCCGAGACTCCTGGCCCCCTACTGTCGTCCGCATCCCAGAGGATCTTGAGTCCATCGACGAAAACCCCATCTCATTCTTCCTGACCTCTCCCGAAGACATGGACGACTTCCTCTCCAACGATGAGCTGTCAGCGGGCATCGACCCCAAACTGCCTGAAATAAGAGAAGTCTCGCCAAGCAGTCTGCAACGCGTGCCGAGGCTTGAAGAAGACGGCGAGGAGTTCGAGGTGCCTATGACTCTACAAGATTTCACGGAGAGGCATGAAAGTGGGAGGAAATCGAGGACGGGACAATATAAAGATGGCGCGGAGAGGTTAACCGGGCTAGGCATCATGCTCCCGGAACATGCAGCGATGCGTGGACGGCCGAGAGTCAAACTTGTCCCTGAAGGACGCGGGCGTGGACGTGGCAGGGCTAGGACGTTGAGTGCGCGGCGGCCACAGAGTTGGAGGGAACCGAGTCCGGAAATTTTCTCGATCAAAGAGGAGCGCGAGGATGGGGGCGAGGTTGGGGGGACGGCGATGGGGAGGAGTGTTTCGACGCCTGGGACGATCAGCGGGGGGATCTTGAAGATGAGTCCCAGCTTGAGTCTGAGTCCAGGGCCGAAGAAGAGGGTTCATTGGGCAGATACTTAATGGGGGACATAGGTGTATGAGTGGGTAGCATTTGCATGGTCGGCGTTTGGGCGCTGTGATTTTAGCATTTTCATCATACCCTCAGATTGCACACTTTCATTTTCCATCTAGGGTTTCACAGTTTTGACATTGTTTGCATTTACATATGTTTATCTCCTTCCTCTTGAGGACTTTAATTGCGTGGGCTCGGCACATCGATTGTATATTAATGGAGGAGGAGGAGCTAGCTCCTGGTACTCCTTTGGTAGATAGCTGGATGTTTGTCACTAAACAGCGCGTAATGGAGATTATTCCCACAGTACATATTTCGCCAAGTCCTGTCTTCGTCCTTGAATAACCTTTCTACACTCTACCAATTTTCACTCCACAAGTTCTCAATCTGCTCTTCCGGATCTCATCTGTACATATCTATCTGGTGCCTCTTTAGCATCTAGTGCGCCGCCAAGACACCCTTTTGGGCCCGCATCACATTGTTTTGTTGCACGTCGCCTTTTGGATTAGATTTAACAATCGGCCAAGACCCATATTTCTATTCCAGTTTTAGTAATACCTCACGTGCTTTTGTTGCACATCGTCTTTGGCACAGATTTAAAAATACGCGTCGCCAGGTAAAAAACGGGGGAGAGCTAGGGTCGGAACTAAGTAATCTTTGATTTGCTTCAATACGCAAATCGATCCTCGACTTATATCAGAACACGTACTAGCTACCGCGAGATAATTCTGATTCATAATTAGGCAATCGTTTTAATGTTTCGATTCTGTGTTTGCTTCAACGTCATTGTAATTACTACATATCTCTAGAATTGCCCCTTGAATACCCCGGCTTCTGAAGCTGAGTTTAGAAACATAATGATTAGAGGTAGATGTTAGGGGACAAATCGCACTCCAAGTCCGTCCACAGATTGAGACAAATCAACAAAACGCAGCGGATTGTAGGAGATGGTGTATATATATACATCAGTACATGACATTGTGAATATTGCGGCACCACCTTCGCAAAACAGCTTTCATGGGTGTTAGATGCATGGTAGATAATTATCAGAACATGAAATCGCCTCTTAATCTCTATCATAGTAAACGGTGAAGAAACACACATATACTATGAAGCTAGTCGACCCGTAATACTCAATTCAAAATACTAACTGCACTGCAGGATACGGTTGAATTGCTTCATTGGTTTATCTATCCATCCATCCATCCATCCGCCCACGTAATATGGACAATCATGCTAGCGTATATTGAGCAAGGAAATGTTTTGTTTCAACGCTATGCCATCCAGTAACGCCATCCTATGTCCCATCCAGTCCCAGTCCCAGTCCAGTCTAGTCCGGTCCAGTGCAGTTCATTCCATACCATTCCAGGTTTCCCATCCCGTGCTCCCTAGGCAACGCTTAAATGCAACAAATTAAGGTATCTATCTATCAATAAACTAATCAATCAAGCATCGGAAGCAATGAAGATCAGCGTTCACGCAAACAATCACAGCAGCTCTTCTCCCCCCACATTCTTCGACATCCAAGGCTTCTTTCTCAACGGCTCGCTCCTCGTTCAATACCCCTCATCCTCAACCGCCTCCCCATCTTCAGACTTGAAGCTGTACATCCGAACCTCACAGTCTTCACTCCCAGTAACCATCCTCGAATCACTAAGCCCAATGCACGTCACCGGGCCCTGATGTCCACTGAAAGTCTTCTCGCACTTTCCCGTCCGTGCATCCCACACTTTCACCATTCGATCTTCCGCCCCAGATACAACGCGCAACGTATCAGCAGCTAGAGCCCAAACGCCCTCAACGTGGCCAAAGAAGGTCTTTAAACACTTGCCAGACTCGACGTCCCAGAGTCGAACAGTGGAGTCCAAGCCACCTGTTACCATGTACCGCGCAGGCCGGGGACGGGATGAAGGCCAGAGCTCGAAGGGGGAGATCGAGGGGGGTGAGGAGAGGTTCATGGTGAGATCCGATGTACTTGATGTGCTGCTCGCGCCATCGTCTACTTCCTCTGCATCGACATCTTCAGGTTCATAGTCCGCAGGCAACAACGTGACTTGCTGAACCTGTCCAACATGGCCTATATATGTTTGGATTGTCTGCTTGGTATCCAGATCCCATAGACGAATCGTGCAGTCATCGGAAGCAGAGAATACGGTGCGGGAGGCGGAGTCGACGCGCACTGCGTTGACCCAGTCCCTGTGACCCTTTAAAGAAAATTTAGATTTGTCTTTGAAGTTCCAGATTCGTACGGTTTTGTCGACGGAGCCGGAAGCAAGGAGGTTGCCGTCGAGGTTTACTGATATCACGCCTTCGGTGTGTTCTGGATACGTTGCTATGGTCTCTCCAGTTCGCCAATTCCAGACTCGAATTGTGTGGTCGAGACTTCCGCTGATTAGTTTGGTGTCATCGAATTGCAGAGCCCGCACGCCGAGGGTGTGACCTCGGAGGGTTCGGAGGCATTCGCCAGTGTTGATATCCCAGATTTTGATGGTACTGTCGTATGACCCAGTTGCCAGAATGTTGTCATCAAACTGCAAGCACATGACACCATTTTGATGGCCTCTGAATATCTTGGTCGTACAGCGACCGTACTTCCAATTTGTGCCAACCTTGAATCGATCCTTGTAGACGTCTTTCCACGGCCGAGTTTTGGGGAAATATGAATCTTCGGGGTTCATTCTTTGTCGCTTGCTTGCTTCAGGAGAAACAGATAATGGGCCATCAGAAGTCAACGAGTCTGCATCTCTCTTTCCTATGCCATTACAGGATGGTTTCCTGACCATATCTGTACTGCCCGCATCATCAGGTGCCGGGGTCAATTTGGGTGACCACTCATTTAAACCTCGGCCTGTTGCTCGTAATTGCTGCTGGCGCTTCCAATCCCTCAAGCGTTTCCGCTCTAGTAATGGTAGTCCCCACCCACACTTGAGACATTTTCGGTCAATGTGCTGTTCGCACATCTTATGCCATACCACATCATCGTCTGCTAGTATACGCCATCTCTGACTGACTTGAGCAGCTTTACAAAGGGAGGTTGTGTCAAGGTGACATAAAATTTTGTAGGATATTTCCGATGGGAGGGCGGTGAGGAAATCAATGCGAATAAGGTCGCGTACAGAGGTTGAAAGATATGAGAGTTGGGGGAAACAGCACTGAGTCAAGATGCCCTGGAGCATAAGATTCCTGTGTTTGGCTGGGGCGGCGGAGAATAATGACCAGACGTGGGATATGCCCTGTTGATCGTCTTGGGTTAACGTTTCCAGCTCCTATCATTCTGTTAGCCATGATCTGCAAAACACCAAAGTCACATATACCCTCTGAAGATTCTCCATTGTTGGCTCGTCAGCTGTCCTTCTACACTTTGAATCCGGCTGATGCCGGTAGCAGAATTTGGTATTTGGATCTTTCTTTGAAGTTGTGTTTGGTTGAGCAACTCCCATGGGGGCGTATGATTCGGGGATATGCTTTGCAAGGAAAGGTGCAACAGTCTGACCAGCGATTCGACTTGAAGATGATATAGCAATTGTTGCGTCTGGTCCACCATGTTCTCCATCACAGTTATCCTTCGACGGACGCTCTCCGGCCTCCTTTGGTTGTCTTGCGTGCTCGACGGCCATACTCTCTGCGGATGAGATGTCGTGCGAGGTAGTGAAATTAGAATGGGTGAAAGTGCCATTGTCCGGTACTTCTACAGACTGGCGCAATGTCATGGAGTTGGGGGAGCCTGACGCCATATCGGCTACCCAGGGGTCGGTCAAAGGAAATGCCCGTTCGGGCTTCGTAAACAAAGACAGGCGCAAGGCAAGGGTCTGACTCAGATCAGGCTGCGCATGAGGAATCGAAGGGGAGCGGTGTCCAACGTGCAGGTGTATAAATTTGAGGTGACTTTGCCCTCGATGGCGTGCTACCGCAGTCGGTACTTGGTGGTATGTAAGGTAGGGTAAGGCAAGGTGGAGGGGAAGAGATGCGGCGCAAAGAGTTGGATGTTGCACACAGATGGAAGTGAAGGGATGCTGTGATCTGTATGATATGTCGGGTACGGTGAGGAGATGTGAAGATGGATTCAAAGGTGGTGACGGACTCTGCATGTACCGTGGAGAATACAGCTGGCAGTGGTGGAGGTTGTGGTTGTGGTTGAAGCAGCCCTGTCTGTACCCTCAAGCCCTGCAAAGGTGGAGGCGGTGGGAACAAAGCAAAAGGCGGCGGATAATCGGTATCGGATCGGATTGCGTCTTTTGGTGCCTTAAGGCACAATCGCGTGATCAATCATCAAATTCCGTGCTTTGCTTTGGATGCATTTGCATTTCACACTTTCTAATTCTTTGCAAATATCATGATTCATGATTAAGTTTGGATGAATTGTGTGATATTTCTGATTTTTATCTAACTATCATCCCTAAATACTGTAATTCCAATACTTCCGTCCCCCCTCCTCTCTTTCGTCAGTTGACAACCTAGGCCGCTTTAGTCCATCGCCCGCGGGAGCCAATTTTGCTCCCCGTCGAACTTTAATCTTTTTCGTTTTAGTTCTTTTCCCCACACTTTCCGGCGGATTGCATTTGAATCCTTAGCTTGGTGATGGTGTGATATCAAATTCAAAGAGCTTACAAACTCAATGATTGAGAGTCTAGATCAGTCCTTGAGAAGAGAAGAAAATATTAATGCGTCATAATGAGGATAAGAATAAAAGTAAATCGGACACGCCATCGATGGCTACAGAGGTAGAGTGCGGGAGATAATAATTTAATACACAGCCATGATGGCGCAATTGCTTCGTCTCCAAAGTTTCAGGGAAGTCTTGAACCTAAAGACTTTATAGGTAGTACGGAGTAGGATTGATATGAGGATCCGTACCTAAGCCATGTCATATTAATTGAAGAATTGAAGAAATGCCGAAAGAGGGATGTCTCAATGCAAGTAAGCTTCGGGGTGACATGGTAATCCATGGCATTGATCGAATAGGACGTCTCAATATGCCATGAGGATCCGCATTTACAAACATGCATGGTTTGGGTAAATAGGCTGAACTGAACACGGCGCGATACCGACATGGAGGTCCGTGGGAATATGCCCCTGCCCTGGTACTTTGTACTCGGAAGAACCCGCAGCATGTGAGTTTGAAAGATACCTGGGTACCTAGGTAGGAGACACTCCTGATCTGGGGTCCATTCCATTGTTGCAAGACAATCTCATACTACCACTGAACCAGGAGTAAACGCATTCATCCAATCTACTGCCTGAAGCCGACCTAATTGAGAGAAGATAAAAAGAGGTAGAAAGATGTCTGAACTGTCATGGGGATTATCTAGAGACTATCCAAACCAGTGCGACCCCATGAGAGTGAGTAAGTTTCTCATATCGAATTCAAGGTTTGCTTCGTGATCGGAAGATGAAAACTGAAATACTCTATTTTCTTTGCCCGGAAGTTCCGTGAAAGCCTAGGACATGAAGGTTCTTCAACTAGATAATTCAATCGCTCTTGCAAGACGTCCAGAAGATGTTTGCTTTCAAGAATTAGTATACGTATATGATATCACGACTCTGATGTTGTTAACATTGAAAACAGTCAAGTTTCGACAGCTCGGATGTCTGCATATGAAATGCGCTTTAGGTTCATCTCGCCTCCTGGATACCAGTCAGCCCTACACCACAGCCTTGTCTCCAATAACCTCATATCAACTACCTAGGTATTTATTGCACAACTCGAAACAACCTAAGATGGGTCATCCTAGCAGATAGTAGAAGATTCCTACAAAGAGAAAGGCGAACATTACATCCCCAAAATGTCTTTATCTCCAACCATACCCGCAAGCCACAGCCAATCATCGCTTTCGCCGTCCAATTCCATGAGCCATCAAGATGTTTCCATCCAGACCCTCGTATCGCATCTACTTGTATCGAAACGCTCATTATCTTCCATAAATACAGTATGGCGTGCAAATGAAATCGTCACTTCGGCAAGGGCGGCTTTGGAAGAGAGTGTGGTGCTGAGTGCTCGGACAGGGTTTCTAAGAAATGGCATCTCGGGTCAAGTTAAGATACTTAAGAAGGTTAGGAATGGGGTGGAGAATATATACAAAGATGGACAGCGGGATTTCAAAGTACGTTTCTGCCAATTGTGAGAAGGCTGTGATGCTGATAGTTTTAGAATGTCATCCGAACTCTCGATGCTGCAAACGCAAGGCTGGAATCTACTATGGACGTCTTACGGTCTACAATGGTGGAAGCAGCATTTAGACCCGCTGGAGAAGAACCCCGAAGTCTGCTAGATTTTGTAGATGAACAGGGTGTTGAAACCATGCGAGATGCGTTGAAGGAGTCAATACGAGAAACCAAGGTTGGCTACACCCTCAAAGCTTCTCATCCCATCTAATCCCCATCTCAGGAAGCTCAAACTGATTTCGATACCTCAATCCTCTCCTTCGACGATGACCTCCGCGCCCTCAAAACGGCCATGACATCTGCCCCCCAATCAGCCTCCCAATCGCAATCCCAATCTACTTTCTCTTCCCCCATCCACACACATCTCCATACCCTCGAATCTCACGCCCAAGAAATGGCCTCTCTCCTCGACTCCCTCGTCCGCCATTTCGACCTCTGCGTAAACGCAATTCGGCACACGGAAGGTGGCTACGCAGCCGTCCGCAAAGCCGCATCATCCCAACCCCCCGGCTCAGACCCCGTCTCCGTCTCCGGTGTCATCAATACCGAATCCGCACCCGACGAACCCATATCCTCCGACGAGCGACGACAGATGCTCGATGTGCTCGAGCACGATGCTTCTCAAGTCGAAGATGTTGTTGAGGAGCTCCGCGAGTTCTTGGCGGAGATGGAAGGGAAACATGATGCGATTCTCGAACAAGTGGCGTCTCTTACAACTGCTTATAACGATATCACGAACGCATATCATATTTTAGAGGGAGTTGGGGCGAGATTAACCGGGTATATAATCGCGAGTCAAGAATTCAGACTTCGGTGGGATGAAACGAAAGCGCAGATCCAAGACCAGCTATCCGAGCTCGAATCCATGCGTCTCTTCTACGAAAACTACTTTTCGTCCTACGACTCCCTGATTTTGGAAGTATATAGACGCAAAGAGTGCGAGGAAAAAGTAAAGGGGATTGTGGATAGGGCGATGGAGCAAATGGGGAGGTTGTATGAGGCGGATATGAAAGAACGAGAGGGCTTCCGACTTGATGTGGGGGATTTCTTGCCCGTTGATTTATATCCGAGTGTCAACAAGCCGGCCCCCGTGTGGGAGTTTGTGTTGAGAAATGGAGATGGGGTGGGTGAAAGCAGCGTGCCGGAGTTGGAGAGGGGTGCGATTGAGGCAGCGGGGAAGAGGGAGAAGGATAGGCAGAGGAATGAGAGGTGAAGTGAGGAGGGGGGGGTCCACTTATTTATATATGGGGTGTTTAGGTTGGATATATGATACCATCGTATAGGATGGGTATTTGAAACAAAAGCTGCGAACTTTTGCCTATATTCCTCTGTCTCCTCATTTTCACAACCTCGCGGTCTCGTCCCCATTCTTCCGACCCCATTTTCTATAGCATTTATCGGCAGTCAAATCCCCCCTTTTATTTGCTGCTTTTGAACTTTTGGCTCATAACTAATAAGTTATTTCCCGCTTAAGTTTTCCTTCTCTGTATAGTAACTCACATCCTCTACAGTGCCCTTTATATATATACATACCCCTCTGCTACTTTCAACATATCATGCACACTTTCACATCCCATATCATATCATAGCCTCATACCCTATACCCCCCCCCCCCCCCCCTCTCCCTTAGAAAAACACTCCAATCAATAACAGTCTATGTCTAGGTTCAAAGACAAAACTACTGTTTCTCCACAAGGTGAGATCTTCGGGTGATGGAGAGTTGCAGTTTTATTTACGTGTATGCGTGTATGCGTGTATGAGGGGGTTATATTTATTCATTTATTTATCTATCTATCTATACCTGACTTTTCCCCCACGTGGTGCAATATCCCCGTCTATTCTTACAAGAGGTGTACATAGATACCAAGTTAACTCCAACACGGGATGCTATTCCTATGCTTCCCTTCATATCGACTGAAAGCGTGCGTTCATGCCGTGGAGTTATACATCATCCATCGATAGAAGCGCTATAGTATGTTAATGTCAATGTTCATGTTACTGCGTTATTAGCGAAAACAAAGAGGATAAAGAGACGTGGTGGCGGCCGGAGGAGGCTGCGGTTGATTGATAGAGAAGTAAGCAAGTGTCCAAGGAACATGGTAGGTTGGATGGAAAGGGAGGGGGTCTGATTTGATTAGCTTCATCTTGTTTTTTCGTGTTACTATAGTATATGTGTATTCGTCATTATGTAGGTCGTTAGATCGATCATCGCGTGTGTTGAAGTGTGATGAACAGCTGTTTCTAAACTGACAACGAATAGGTTCTTGACAGCAAGTCTATTCACTTAGCGATTGAGTTACTCTTTTTTACCCCGCTCGCTATATATAGCTCTTTCAGAATACGATGAATGTATAATGAAGATCATTCCTTCTTGTCTCGGGCTATCCAGACTACCCCCAGCACGATCGGCAGATAGCTCAATGGTGCTACTGTCTGTTTGTCATTAAATGGATGGTAATGCTTGGGCAATATTCCAATTTTATACTCGATCAACTCTCCGATTGGGCGGATGATGCGAGGGGAAGAGAGGGTGAATCCGAGTCGAGCCAAGATTAGAGGGGTATAAAAGGAGAGGAAAAGCTGTCTAGATCTTGGATGCAAGAATATCAGAAAGAGGATATGAATAGGGGTAGGGGAGATTGTGTTGATTCTTGATGGATGGAGCACATATGGTGGATTTTAAAACGGTATCACGTTTTCTTATTTTTATTTTGTCTTGAAAATATGCACTGCATTCGATGTGTTAAGGCAGAGGAGATGAAGTAATAACAGGGCTTAGACAAATAACAGCAGATACTTTTCTAGCAGCAATTCGTTCATTCACTACGCTTTCGTCGCGTCTACTGGCACTAGCAGCACATCCGACACTCTCGTTGGACGCGGGAAACTTATATAGCAACAGAACTCCAAGAGCTATTCTTGCGGTGTTGAAGTTGTTTGGCAAATGCTCGCAAAGAGAAAAAATCGCCATATCTCTTAAATGATTCGTTTTCGCGATGCGTCATTGAGATTTGGTTCTTGGGTTGTATTTGTAGTCCATCAATTCGATCAACCGGAGGATAGGAGGAAAATGTTTAGGCTTGATTAGATCTGGAGAGGATGTTGGGAGTGTAGGAGAATGGTAGGTCTGGGTCAAGGTTGACTGAGTCCAAGTTGGAGTTGAATCGGACTTGGACTTGGACCGAACCGACTAAGTTTAAGTCTAATACGGGAGTCAAGACTCTTTAGATATGGGATCAATCTTCATACGGAACAAGAGCTGGGGGCTTATATCTCTCATTCCACTATTCTCGTGATATGCTATATATACACTTACTTCGAAGTAAAAAGAAGGGTCGAGGCTCTGACATGTCGTGGTGGGAGCACCGTAGATCCGATGAACAAGTAAGAGAACAAAAGAGGCATCAAGAACACCAATCAACCTTTATTGTTTCTCATACGGGCACAACACGAGGCTCACATGTGCACAATTGAACCAATCCCTCGGGCCTCTCGGTTGTTTTACCGCATATGCCCTAACTACACATTCCCTATACGTGGATATGCAATGCATCCATGACCCTCGTATATGCAGCAGTCTAGGCTACAGTACTGTCAAGGATGTTCTGCAGAAGGCTCTTGTGATGCGGACTAAGCTGACGGGGGGTTCGGCCTCGAATGATTATAACTCTTGGCATGGCTATAACGGGGGTTTTGACTAACAGGCGAGCGCTCTAATAGAAGTAAGATATGTTAATCATTTAAGAATGCACCTCTGTAAATTCACAGCTGAGAGATCAGGTCTGCTAGAAGATCCACTTGCCCGAAATAAAACAGCTCCGAAGCTTTAGGTAGCCACATGTGGCCCATAGCTTGGAAACCGTGGCTTTTAAGTACACAGTAAACTAGTACGTACTTCTCTGCTGAATATTGAACTCATCAACCTCGACCAGAAAAGAAAATGGTGGAAGATGCAATTAAAGGTGCGAAAAAGCTCAAATACCAAGGTCTTTGCCGTAGTGGTAGAAATCCGGGGTCCTTAACCTAGAGGAAAATCATCAACGGGCCGAGTCAGGGTTAACCCTGTTCGTACCTCGAGTAAAGAATTTACTGCTGCATAACTTAGTACCCTGGGCTCTCTGGTCCCAAGTCACATTTAATACGCACAAAATATGTCTTATCCGTACAGATCATCCAAACCGCTGATGTGAAAGCAGTTCTTGGAGGCTCATGGACCCGTGAACTTGGGTTACTGTAGTGGAACTTGATATGCCGGTGTGAGTAGTGCATGCAGCAGATCCGAAGTACAGGTCCCACCGAGGTCGATTTGAAGAAAAAGAAAAGTTTATTTACTAGCATTGAACTTACCTATTTGGGCAATCCTCTCTTGCAATCTCGGTCCCTGAGGTTATGCTTAGTATTCAAGTCAGTTCTGGGAGTAACAGCGTACAACCTACAAAGTACAAACAAGTCCTCTCTGATGCACATACGATTCGGTGGCTGCCTCAAGTCACAGACTGTTCAGTCATGGTAAGAGGCCGGCCTAGGCTGCTATACTTGGTACTTCGTATTTTCGTATTTAAGCATGTACGTTCTCGTATTTATACCAACTAAAGTATCGATTTTGAAAGCCGTGAGATGGCTGCCAGCTAGCGGTGTGGATATGGCGGGCGAAGATTTCCACAGCCAGAAAGATGATAAGGTTATATTCTAGTCGTCGTGACCATCGCTACGCGGACGAATTAGAACGGAGCCTGTCATATTATAGGGTAATGCAGGTGCAGGGACAGCCTCGAGCAAATCTTGACACTACTGTACCAAGCATCGTCATGTTGAGCTGTCTGTCAACCATCATGAGCCCAATGCCCAATGATCATGAGTATCCACTCTATACTCTCACCGTGTACTCGTACAGTATTGCAAACCTCAGTAGAACAACAGGACAAGGTCCTGCATCATTCCCCACTATCAATACGGCCGCACGGGCTCGTAGGTGGCTGGCTACCTTGGCGCCTAGCTATGAGGAGAAAGCTCCCATGTTTTGATTTCAACCTCCTCAGTCTGTTGGTCTATTGAGCTAGCGTAAGCCTGAGATGTACGAGATTTGTGTCTGTGGGATGGGAACTAGTATTCTCAACACACTCTCTGCTGTCAGATCTTCACGCCTGGGGCACACAAAGGAAGGGACAATATATTTGTTGAGGCTTGCAAGTGCCATGTGGATTGCTATGCAGGATAGAGCTGAAAGTACGAGATATCCACATGTCAACCTGCCAGCACTCATCTTGGCGCATCTGCGCTAGGAAATAGGGATCTCCAAAGATAGCCAGCCATGCAGTACTGCGTATGGGTCAACCTTGAAAATGCATGCTTTTCGTTGGTTGCATTTGCTGAATTCGAATCGGAGCTGGTCTGACTTCGTAGTAGAGGAGTTTTATGTTTTTATCGAAGACGAACGACCAAGGATCCGTCACTAAAGTTGATTCTCCAGACTCTGCCCACCACCCAGCGAACCCCCTCTCTGCTACTCTATACTCAATCTTGTCCACGCTCTTGTGTCGTCATGCAATAATCTCGCTTTTAATCATATACTTTGTAAGATACCAAGAGGCTTTAAGAGCCGAGTAACGGTCCCGCAGGGTAAAGTATGATTAGGTAAAGCTGTCTGTCAATTGACCAGCAAGTATAATGCTTATAGTAGACTTGGGCCTGGATGATCCTGGTCGAGTCCGTGACCATGACCAGGCGGTCATCGACACGGCATGACTGTGTCGGGTCTCTACAAAGCTTTATACTCTCTTTATATGTGGACTTCTCGCATCTGGCTGACTGGCCCGACAAAATCTTGCCGGGTCCAAGAGTATCTCGTTCCAGCTGCCTATCGATTGACCGCACGCAGTCCTGAGTCTGCTTTGAGGTTGTTAGTTCTCCACTTTCGTGTTCAGTCTATTGATCTGACCTGCCACGAAGTCAGCACCCCATGTTGATCTAGATCGGACCTGCAAGTCATGCAATCCATTTAGCATCGACCTAAGCTAGTTTCTCCTTGCCACCCGTGCCTCAAAACCTCAGCCTTATATGCATTTGATATGCAGACATGCATAGTACTGCTTCTTCTGTCTATCGAGTAGATGGCGCCGTCTCCTGCCCGACGCCGCATGAATGCTTTACTGGACGAGTTTTCTGCAATACCACTAAGTTTTGACCATAGATCTTCTTCAGATTATCGGGATTACTCCTCTAAAATTTGAGCCACAATTTAAAGAATCTTGGCTATTGCAACAGTCTTTCGGATCCTAGTGCTTCAAACAATAACCTGATCTCATGCACCCGTACTCTTTAGACCGCTGACGAGAGAACTGCACTGCTACTACGGGCCATCATACTTCCCGCCTTTGTCAGAACCGGTGCCTATGCCGTCTGAGAGCCGTATTCGCAGTCGGTTTTTTTCCGACGATCCGCTTTCCAAAATAGAAGCTGCTAAGAATGCTAATTGTAGTCTAAGCGTGAGGCGGCGACTGCCCCCTTCTAATATAAATATGTAGTAGATAATCCCCTCAAACCTTCTCACTTCTATCTTCAAGCAGCTCAATCCTTTGTTCATTGGATACGCTAGACTTACTGTCAACAAAATGAGGTTCAGCGCTGTTGCTACCCTTTTCTGGGCCTCACTCGTTGCCGCCCAAGGTATGTACCTATTCTTCCCCCTCATCATATTGACTGTCGACTGATTACTTACTATTAGCCGACTATCCTGAACTCAATTCCGAGTTTCTTCTAACTTCAAATCCTGTCACGGTTAGTACTCCCACACTTTTATCCTACCAAGCTTTTCATTTGTTTGAATGATTCTCGCCAAAGGATTATTTGCGTTCTATATGCTATAATTACCCTGCTGTCTAAATGACCATCCTTATTCCTTCGTTTCTGATTCCGAGTCTACTTTGCAGCCGCTTCCCCAAGGTTTTCCATGGGCTGGCAAAACCGTTAATAATACCAATGCTTGTAAGTGTTCACCACATGGAGAGTGAAACGTCAAGCAGATCCTAACGTTCTGTAGACAGTGAGTTGTGACATTGATAATGAATGACTAACGTACATTCTGATACAAATTCTACCGCAGTTGGTAAGCTCGACCCTTCTGCAACAGTGACTCGTGGACTATATTTACTCTCTTCTTAGATCCTCCGTATACCGGGTATGGCACAAATAGACCATTCCATGTCGGCTCAGTGACTAACTACATGTAGTGTGATACGAAGTTATGACTTCACGATCAAACGAGAGATGAGGGCACCAGATGGGTATTACAAACCTGTTCTGCTAATCAACGGGCAATTTCCAGCGCCCTTGATTGAAGCGAACTGGTGAGAAGACAAAATTACCGTTTAAAAGATCATCCTAACTGTTGCCAGGGGAGATACTATTCAGGTCACAGTACACAATCAAATCACTGGACCCCAGGAAGGAACTGCTCTCCATTGGCACGGCATCCTGCAAAAGAATAACCAGTGAGCTAAACAATCATTACTTCCGGGCACATTTGAGGCTGATTTGTATATAGGTGGGAGGACGGCGTTCCAGGTGTTTCCCAGTGTCCAATTCCGCCCGGAGGAAGCTTTACCTACAGCTTTACTGCTGATCTTTATGGTACATCTTGGTATCACTCCCATTATTCAGCACAATATGCAGGAGGGCTCATTGGTCCGATGATCATCCACGGTCCAGATACTCTGAAATACGATATTGGTAAGAACTCTTATGGCGTCAAGATTAAGCTTGAACTAATCTAGCAAATAGACAAAGGTCCAATATTGCTCACTGATTGGTATCACAGAGATTACAATGATATTGTGAAGGATGTTGTGGGCACAGATGTGACCAAGATTGTAAGTTGACATGAGATGCCCGCCATAAATACGTGCCCAGTGCTAACTATGGCTAAGGCTCCTCCCTCTGACAGTAATCTAATAAACGGAAGAAACAACTTCAATTGTTCTGCGGTTGCCACCGGTGATACTGCTTCTTGCAAAAGCAATGCTGGAATCACCAACTTTAGACTTAGCCCGGGAAAACTTCACCGGCTCAGGTTAATCAACGCTGGTGCAGAAGGACAGCAGAAGTTCTCGATAGACGGACATATTATGACTGTAATCGCCAACGATTTTGTGCCCATCATTCCGTACGATACGAAAGGTAAAGATTGCACATTATGATATAGAGATTGCCAGCTCACTCAAGCCTAGTGGTCTCTTTGGCTATCGGTCAGCGAACCGATGTACTTGTCAGGGGTCTCGATGGAGCTACAGGTGCATATATAATGCGGTCCTCAATTGCTTCCGCGCCATGTTCCCTAAGCAACAATCCCGATGCTACAGCAATTGTGTATTACAAGCATGACGCTCTCACTGCTGGAACTTTTAACACTACTGCCTGGCCAGAATTCAAGGCTTCAGTTGAGGGTGTGTGCGTCAATGTAAGAACCTTGACTTCGCACTAGGAATCCACTCTACTAACACGGCATAGGATGACTTGAGTAAGACTGTGCCATGGTATCCTATTACGCCCGATCCAAACCCACCAACCACAAAAGTGATCGACATCGATTTCCAAAAAAATGAGACGGGCAACTTCCTTTGGCTTATGAACAACGTCTCGTTCCGCGCCAATTACAACCAGCCCATTCTTCTTTTGTCAAACATGGGTAACAACTCCTATCCTGACAGCCCGGAATGGAATGTTGAGAATTTCGGATCAAACTCGTCCGTTAGAATAGGTATGTATTTCTTTGAGAGGGCTCCAAATTCTCTCTTGCCAAGTAAAATCACAATGCTAACTCTATAAGTCATAAACAATAACGGCGCCGCTGGGTTTTCCTCACACCCCATCCACTTGCACGGCCACAACATGTTCGTCTTGGATGTTGGGACCGGAAGCTGGGACGGAAGTACAGTGATAAATCCATTAAATCCACAACGCAGAGATGTACAGATACTACCAGCGAACGGGTATATGGTGCTACAATTCACAGCAGACAATCCAGGAGCGTGGCCGTTGCATTGCCACATCGTAGGTTCCCCACATCCTGTATTTTCGAAACTCCGCTGACGCTCGTATATCAGGCGTGGCATGTGTCTGCAGGTCTATATGTGACAGTCTTGGAACGACCAGACGACATTGCGAAGCTCCAGATTCCGAGTGTCGTAGCTCAAACCTGTCGGGATTGGTCGGCGTTCACGAACATGGCGGTGGTTGATCAAATCGATTCTGGCTTGTGAATAAGAGTTAATCGTTCTTTCCTATTGGGTATAATGAGGAGTTTTGGCTTTAGGTAATGGCGTGGGATTAGCTCAAGGGTTGCATTGAGCTGGGCCAGGCGACTGGCAAGTATATCTCTTATTTTGTCAATGGGCAAGGGAAAAAAAACTCCATAGAGGAAGTGTTATAATAATGACTACGAACACGCACAGGTTATGGGCTTTACCTATTTTTAGAACTAATATTTATCAGAGAGAAAAGTATAGAAAAGACTCACACACCCGATCAAAAACATTGCAAAATACCGAATCTATGTCCGTTAAACGTGGAAACTTCCCTCCATTCCTCAAATGATTTATGTCTTAGCCTTGACAACAATAAACGAAGTAGAAGCACGGACGTACTTGTAAAACCCCCTCCAAGGACGTTGTCAACGACTTATGCAACTTGATGTACCCTATGGGCACAAATTTGTCGTCGAACTATAAGGGCGGAGCGTTCACAGATACAAGAAGCATGGGGTGAAACTATGTCCTTACTCAAGGAACCATGGAAGCACCAGGGAGAGGAGAATAAGATGGAAACTTAAGATTGTTTTTTTCTCCTATTCATGACCCCTTCTGATCTAAAGTGGGTATCGATGTCTACGTAAAATCATAAACCATCAAAGCCTGAGTACCCTGTTCAGACTCCTTGAGCACAATCACCATCTCATCATCAAAGCCGACCCAGCTTTTCTGGGCGCCTACTTCCTCTGAGTATTCATCTAGTAATCCTCTTCTACCTTCAACCGTGGTTACCTCACTGTCTTTGCCTTCGGGGCGGACCTTTACGCTTCTTTCATCTCTTCTATTCAGCCTTCGGTTTTTGGAAGGCGTCGAGGTGGAGAATCCGCCTTCGAGTTCCCAGACTCGTAGTTCATTACCGCGTGTACTTACACTTACTGCTTTCCCTCTTGCGGTAATTTCTGCAGATGAGACGGAGGATGTGTGGCCCCAGAGCTTGGTGCCTGGGGAGATGTGCAGTGTGCTGGCAGTGGAGGTACAGAGATAAAGAGTGAGGGTATTATCTGGGTGAGTGGCGAGGATGTATGGATGTGAGTATGAGAGTGTAGTTGGTCGTGTGCTGCTCCCAATATCATTCCTGATATTTCTAAGGGTTGGTGACAATGTCCCAGATGATGGGGATAAAGCCACTGGTGAAGGTAGTATGGAGGAGAAACCTTGCGGCAATGCGGATGAGAGGCGTGAGAAGGTAATTGTGCCTGTTGTGGTGGATAAGTGTAACTCTTGTAACCCAATCGTGTAGCCTGAGTAATAGGTAGGTAGAGAGTAAGCTATTGAAGCTATTATTGTTGACGTTGTTGTCCGTATGGACAAGGACAGTGGTGGCCAGGAGGTGTGGGATTTGAGTGAGGCAAGTAGATGAGGTTCGGGTCCTGAATGAGGAGCAATTTCCGAATCTGTACTCGACGTAAATTTGGCCTTTAAGATGCCAAACATAGTTTGAGACTTACTTTTGGGGGTTTCCTGTTCATAACCATCTGTGTCGTCTGTCGACGGGGTGGGAATGGTAGGCGTAAAGGTATAGAGAGACAGGAGTTGCGAATCCGTGATCGTAAGAATATACGGATTCGCATACGCAACCGCACTCAACATCCCATTACTGGATTCCGGATGCCTGTAAACCTCCACAAATTCCTTCTCCTTAACATTCAACCTCCAAGTCCCCCACCCGCCATCCATAAATCCTACCGCGATTCCAAGTCTCCCACTCCCAATCCCCTCGTCTACCGCTAAGCATGTAGGCACAACGCCCTCCTCCAGCGCACAGCTAGCAATCAGCTCCCTCTCCTTCAAATCCCACGCCCTTAATCCGTCCCCTCTATCGACCGTAAGGACTATCCCCTCCGCCAGCTTCACCAGCATACTCGGCACACTTGGCCGATCCGCAACATGAATTTCTTGCACCTCGCAAGCGCCAATGCTCCAATTATGCCTGAGCTTATACTGGCCCTTCCACTTAGTCTTCTTGCCTAGGAGCGTATTTTCATCCAGCCATTTACTACTCCTACTCGAGAAGTGTAATGCTGCATCTGTTTTTGGGCCAGGGATACGGAGGGCGCGAGGAAGCACAAACCGGTTGTAGTAGAGATTCTTCCATATTTGAGAGTCTCCGGCGAGGGTATAGAAGCGATGGGAGAGGCGCTGGCATTGGATAAGGGTTTGAATGGGGAGGTTGTGGAGAATCCGGATAAGGAGTTCGTCGGAGAGGGAAGAGACGTGGTCGAGAGGGTGTTTTGTACGGGTTCTTTTGGGGCTTGGGAGAAGCGCATGGTCTCCCACACTAGAGCGCCGGTGTTTGGGAGGCATTACTGCTAAATAGTTGGAGGGGAGGAATGTGAGATGTTGATTGAAGCTATTCTGAGATTCATATCTAATCGCCGCCCGCACGTGCCCGCTCCGCTGTACATGGATACTTGTACCGAGGCTGGATATCCCAGACGATGAGCGCAAGACACGACCCACGACCGTCATCAACATCTCACAACGCGACAACCAACCTCTCCTCTCCACCAAATGTAATGGCCTCCTCGACCAAACCTCCGCCCATAGAGGCAATCAAACCCATGACTTCCATCTCCGCCTCATCCCCTCGTCTCATCCCCACGGCGCTCGCACTCCCCCCAAAATGGCTCAACATGTACTCCTCCTTCATAACCGCAAATCAATCCTCCGTCACCCAGATTGAATCCGCATTACGCTCCCTGACCTACATAATCCCCGGTCGATTCAGGGATGCGGAACTAGCCTCTGAGTCTCTACATTCATCCATTCAACTCCTCTCCATGTACCACGACACATTACTCACCCGCGCAATCTCGAAACTGCCGGGTATGCCTAACGCCAGTTTGCATAACCGCTATACGAAGTTTTGGATTGGCAAGAGCAGGTTTTATAGGCGGATTGCGACGATGTTAACTATGATTCAGTATACGGAGTTGTTATGGGAGATGATGGCGAAGCGGAAGGGGGAGCGGGTGAGGTGGCGTATCATAGTCGTTTTGGAGCTCGTGAAGGCGGTATGCCGGCTCTGTTTATTATGGATTACAAATTTGAGGCCGCTGGTTACGCCAGCTTTGCCGGAGAGGGAGGTTATTCCTGAGGAAGAGGCGCCGACGGAAGAAGAAGAGATCGAGATGGAAGAAGAGGTTAGGCCGAGGGTTAAGGAGTATAAGATGAAGAGGACGGGACTGAGCCTGCCAACACTGCCAAATCCGAGTGATATCTCGAGCTATTTACTCTCGAAAGTACTTACGGCGGATGATATCAAAGCGCCAAATACTCTGCTCAATAAGGTTAATGGGTCGGCGCAGTTTGCGGAGATACTACATATTATACAGCCGGTTATCTATGCGATAGCGATGTCGAGGAGTAAGGATAAGAAGAACTGGCAGCCGTGGCTATTGGGACTCAGTATTGAGTATGCGGCGAGACAGCTAAGGAAAGATGGACTAAGGACAACGGCATTAGAAAGGGATCAGTGGGGTAAACGGGGCTGGTCGATGGGATGGTGGGCTATGCGTGGAGCATTTTACGAGAATATTACAAAGGGGTTCCTGCAGAGTACATCGGAGAGGCTGCCTTCGTTGGTTTCTGGTGTTTTGGACGATTACAAATACCTGTGGGATGAATATTATTTCAGTACCAGCTCAAATTGAGCATGGTAAGATTATACAAGAGCTTTGGTTTATCTTAATTTAATTGTGCATTATCTACGTTGTGTGCTTCACCAAATTGCGGCCTTTGGCATGAAACGCCGTTCCAAAATAAATTAGATATCCCCGAGATAAAAGTGTCATCAATACCCTTACACCATTGTATGCATATCCGCCAGAATTCCGCCCCACAGTCAAACTCCAACGCCGCTAATAATAGTTGTACCCCCTAAGAAAGCATAACGTTCTCTTTACCCGGAAGCTGGCTGGACAACCTCCTTGCTCTCCTTCTCCGGCTCGACCACCTGATTCGTCGGCTTCGTAGGTAATGCAGCCGCCACATTACCAAGATTTAAAGCATCAGCAGTTTGACCCTCCAATTCTTCTTCGTGGCAAGTATTGCCCTCGCAAATCAAGACCCTCTGCTTGCCATCAAGCCCGAAGTCTTTTAGCAGCGAGTTTCGTTGCCTCAGCCATGAATTAGAACTGTCAAGCTTTGCGAATGTACCAAAACTTCCCCTGGGCTGCTTCTCAAAATTATTGATCTTATCATTGCCAACCCCGTCACCAGATACAACTGTTCCCTTCAAGCCAAGATGTCCAGCGACGATGCTGGGCATGAAAGAGGCGAAAAGCCAGGGGTATTGAAGCATCTCTGATTCAAAACCTGCAACTGTCTCCTTTGCCTTCTTGGAATATGTGTCGTCGTTGAGGAGGCTGGAGAGCCGGTAGAGATTAGATGCTGAAATGCCGTTCGTTGATGGCTCACTGGCGTCCATGCCTTCTTTGAGGCGGAGAATTACATGAGCGGCGGAGAAATCGGTAGAGAAAAAAGCACCTGTTCCGCTGGAATCATAGAAGAGGCTGATTTGAGATTCTACATGCCCTTGTTAGTGAAGATTCAAAGAGGAAGAATAGCGTAACTTGCGTTGCAGATCGTCCGCCCAATGAAGCCATTCTTCATTGAAAGTAGCCTCATATAAGTCAATCAAGCCATCGACAAGGAATGCATAGTCGTCAGCAAAACCCTTGGTCTCGCCACGACCTTCCCTCCATATCCGATAGAGTGTCTTTGTCGATTCATCATACAGATTCTCCTTGATGAATGTTGCAGCTTTGAGAGCAGACTTCAAGTACTCCTCCGACTTGACGGGATCAAATCCTTTGATGACTGCCGCCGTTCGAGCGAGGGCCCCGATCGCAATGCCATTCCAGCTGACAATAATCTTATCATCCAGGCCAGGTTTCACGCGCTCCTTTTCTCTGTGTGCCCTCAACGCTGCCTTTCCATCTTTGATAATTCGCACAATTTCCTCCTCCTTCATACCAAATGTACTCGCCAGTGTATTCGGAGAATTTGCAACAGCGAGGACATTCTGATCAATGAACTCATCATGAGGATCATTTTCAGGTTTGACATTGCCATGTCCACTGACATTGAAGAACGCAGATAGTATTGGTTCTGTGTGGGAGCCAAGAACATTCTCAAACTCCCTCTTCGTCCAGACGTAATATGCACCTTCTCGCTTCTCCGAATCTCCTCTTTTGTAAAAGCTATCAGCATCTTCACTGGAATAGAACCCTCCAGCTGGATGTTCCAGTGTAGAAGTGAGATATGAAGCAATATCGTAGACAACACCCAGCATTTCTGGATCTCGTGACAACAAGAATGCGTCTAAATAGATATGAAGCAGTTGAGCATTATCATACAACATCTTCTCAAAGTGAGGCAATGACCAGTCAGCCGTGACAGAGTATCTGGAAAAGCCGTTTCCGATATGGTCATGAATACCGCCCCGCGCCATTTTCCGCAGCGTAGTCATAGCCATATTCTCGGCTTTTTGACAGTCTTCTTCTCCCACAACATCATGAACAATGCTTGGAAATTGGCGTAGGCGGAGGAGAAACGAGAGTTTTGAAGGGGTCGGGAATTTTGGAGCTGAGCCAAAACCTCCATTTTGACTATCGTACGTCGAGAGAAAATGCTGGTTAGCTTCTTCGAGTAATTCGATGTCAAGTCCATCCCCACCCTCTCCCCTCCTGTCTCCGAATGTGCCTTCCGACGCAAAGTCTTTCAATTTCTTGAGAATCTCAGACGAATCTTGGCGACATCGCTCTTCTTGTTCTTTCCAAACCGTGGACAGTTTATTCAAAATAGCCAAGAAATCAACCTGGTCTTCGAAAGGAGTTGTACTGCTGGTCGGTCCAGGCCAATATGTTCCACCAAATACGGGTTCGAGGTCAGGCGTTACAAAAACGCTCAAAGGCCAGCCCCCAGAGCCGGTCGTAGCTTGAACATAGTTCATATAGATTCGGTCGATATCCGGTCGTTCTTCGCGGTCGATTTTGATGGGGATAAAGGCATCGTTTAGTATCGCGGCTACTTCTTCATTCTCAAAAGACTCTCGCTCCATAACATGGCACCCTAGATAACTGTCAGTATCGAGTACTTCTGTACAATGCACGGTACTTACAGTGACAAGCACTGTAGCCGATGCTCACAAACAGTAGCCTGTTTTCTTTCCGAGCTAGATCAATAGCCTCATCTCCCCAGATCTGCCATGCGACTGGATTCGAAGCGTGTGCGCGAACGTAAGGACTACGGCTCTCTCCAGCTCTGTTCACAAGTGCGGTCTTCTCTTTTGGCTCCTCATTGGGCTGCTCGTTGCTTTCCAGGCCATCTTTCCAGGCCTGGCCTAATCCTTGGCCCTCGCCGTTCACCCCACGAATTTGTGCAGTCATCATGACTTGTCGGTTATACTGTAGTTCTAGGAGGCCGTAGAGAAGCTTAAGTTGACTCTGGATCTAGTAGTATGCCGTGGGCGGGTAGGACGTTTCAGAGGCACCATGGGAGTCGTCTTGTGCTTAGTTTACTCTCACATTCCAGAAGTTTGTCGTGGGTATGGTATCTCTCAGAGTGGGGTACTTTTGCGCCTAGCGCTAGCTATTGCTTCTACTCCGTCATATGGATTTGACGATTGACGATAAGAACTCAAGCTTTCCCCAACTTCGACTTGCTCCGTGCACACACACTTACATAAGCATGCACCCCTCTTAACCTTCTGATCTATTTTTCTCCTCCTGTGTTTTAAAAATAAGTACCTCCATCATCAGCTGAGTTACTCGCTAGTAGTAACTATTACTTTAGAAAGCTACACTAAGAAGCTACTGAAACAAATCGTCACCCCTTTACTACCTGTATCTTACATAAGCAAGTATATTGGCCTGGTGGGCATATTCGGATATTCCCAAAGTAGAACGTTATTCCAAAACAATAATATCTACACATGCCGCAAGATATGATATGAGCCCGTGACTTAAGTTAGGCTGCTATGGGGGCCAAAACTATATCCACTCCAGCAGAACATTTCTATTGGCCCAGCTTCCAAAAGGGTAGGCTGTTACATCGTGGGGTTAAGTTCAGCTGAAAACACAGCCTTCAAGATGAATGTCTACTGACGCAAAAATTGGATATGGGTGGAACTTCGCCCTCCATCTCAAGAATATGAACAGTCGAGCATCTTCTGGTCTCCCTGCCCTCTTCCACAACCTCTAGATCACGTCCGACATGGCGAGCAATGCCACGGATGAGAGTCCGTGGGAAATCGCGCGAAATTGCTTCCTCCTATCCCTAGACCCTGACGAACAAGTGTTGTTCAAGGAGGCTACCATTGATAATATCTTTAATGGAACGTCAGAGTTGGAGAAGGAAGACAAGGTTAACTCTAAGACGCGGAAAGCGATCAAAGCTATCCAACCTCTTGTTGGCAAGATTGAGGAATATGGCCGGGCGATGGATACTTATGCCAACGCCTCGCCGCTAGTCCTTGGACCCATCTGGGGGAGTCTAAGAGTCGTTCTGATTGTTGCGAGGAGCCTTGGGAGATTCTATGAAAAAATGACAGATACATTGGGCAGAATAGGAGATATTCTACCCCGCTTTTTCGTGAGTCTCAAATTGGATCCCTGGATCATGTCCCGAATTGTCTGACTTTATCAAGGAATACCAAAGGATATTTTCGAGCACGAGGCATCCTCTGCTTACGAACGCACTTGCTGCTTCGTATGGCGATATCATCGAGATATGTATGGACTTCCGTGGGTTGATTAAAGAGCAGCAGAAGAATCCGTTGAAGAGGGTCATGCACCCTCTAAATTCTAAAGTTGAACAAAGGTTCAAAGATGCGGAAGAGAGGTTTAGGAACCATAGAAAGGATGTTGATAAAGCAGCTGTAACATGTGGCATGATCGAAGCAGCTGAGGCAAGAGCGCTGGTTTTGCGAGACCGAGAATTGCAAGAATTAGCTGATAAAGGTCGGTAAAATCTGTTCCTGTAGCGATCACTTTGGTCGTTAACATCTAATGTCTAACTAGCTGCTGCTGAAAAAAAACTTCGCCAGCTTCTGTCGATGATCGATAGCAAGGGAAAGCACGATAAACTTAAAAGCTTGAGGCATCGTGACACTGGCGCGTGGCTGTTTGGCACCCCGGAATATGGGTCCTGGTTCAAACTGAACGTCTCATCGGTTCTTTGCTGTTATGGAATACGTAAGTTCTTAGAGCAAGCCAAATTGACTCCATCCCAAAAATTGGCTGACGGTTTTACCAGCCGGGTGTGGGAAAACAATTCTCTCATCACATGTTATCGACACTCTCTCATCCAGCTCGAAAGCTCTTTCCGTGGCCTATCATTACTGTGACTATGCAGATAAGCGTACTCTAGAACCTCAAATAATATTGGGGACCTTGGTGCGCAGTCTTTTCAATAACGTGGACATACCTCCGGAGGTTTCTAAGCTGATCTCCAATTATTACCATGATGGTGAACGATCTCCGGAAATCAAGGACGTCCGTGATATCCTTTTCAAAAGCGTCCAGCTCTTCAAAGAGGTTGTACTTGCTGTCGATGGTCTCGATGAGGTGAAAGAAGAGGATCGTCAGGCCGTTTATGATGCCTTGAGGCATTTGATCATCAACAGCCAAGTGCCTGTCAAAGTCTTTATCTCTTGTAGAGATGATGCTGTTTTATCTATCTGCTCTAGCCCCCAAGTCAGCTTCCGGATACAGGTCTCTGAAAGGTCTATTTCAACGGATATTGAAGGCTACATCCGTCATGCTGTTGCTTCCCTAATTCAAAACGGGGACTTGGTCATCCGCCGGCCGGAATTGGAAGAAGATATTGCACGTGTTTTGATTGAAGGAGCCAAGGGAATGTTTCTTTGGGTGAAATTCCAATTGGACGAGTTATGCACAGTAGAATCGGACGATGCGATTAAACGCACACTACGGGACCTACCCAAGGACCTTGGCGAAACTTACGACAGACTTCTTGGACGAATTGTAGGGGCAGAAAGGCAGGAGCTTGTGAAACGAATATTCAAGTGGGTTATATGTTCTCGGCGGCCACTTACAACCGACGAAGTCTGCGAGGGAATCGCATTCACGATCGAAGACAAGTGCTGGAACGAGGACAAGATTCCCACGGATATCAAAAGGCTTGTTCGAGCATGCGGGAATCTCGTCAAAATTGATGAAGAAACACGAATCATTCAGCTGGCTCACTACACCGTCCAGCAATACATTCTAGGCGAACACCTATCCAATAAGTTCTACCACTTCGACCTTCAAGAGGCGAAGGATCTCCTTGGCGAAGTTTGTGTGGCTTATTTAAACTTCTCTGACTTTGACACACAGCTCACATCGTATGAGAATAGTCAGGTTGCTGAAGGGTTGTTAGCAATGGAGACGGTGTTTCTAAACACGCAAAATGCTAGTTCGAACAGAGGTGCACGTAGCGCTATATCGGTTTTCAATCGCATGGTCCACCACAAAGTCAAGACAACAAACATCAATTATGGACGGCACATTCCAAAGAAACCGGCCAAGATTGAACACTTGTTGCAAGACTTTCGGCTTTTGGGATACGTCAGAGAAAACTGGCTATGGCATACAGCTACACCTCAGCCCCATGGATCAAAGAGCAATCGTCGGGATCATCTCTTCCACGGTCTTGTGCTTGAAAAACAATTGCCATTCTCTTTCAGACCTTGGCCTACATACACGAGTGGCAAAATGAAGTATCCATATTTAGAGCCTGTCGGGTGGGCATTGTCGACCAACCATTGTCCACTTGTCCAAACATTAATGAAGACCGATCCAATTTTCGACCCAGGCGCATATATTGAAGAGGCCAGCAAGTGGTTCTTCGAAGATAGAATCAACACTCATATCGACGGTAATATGCTTTTGCGAATTGATTATAGTGCAGAACATCCTTGGGATCCCAAAACCATACCTGCAGAAGGTTGGCTATATATCAGGTTGCTAGATGCATGCAGACGGGGTAATATCGAGGTTCTTTCTCTGTGCTTCTCAGCTTTGATTTCTGAAAGATACAAATCAAAGTATTTGAAGGGCGCCAGAGACTTTTGGAACGGAGACTTCGTTTCAGTGTATCCCTGGGCACAGATCCGGGGTCATCTAATGCTTGAGGCTGCAGCCACCAGTCAAATAGCAGTTGTTGACTATTTGCTGGGCACCTCGGAGGCTCACACAGTTGGAAACTATACATCTGAGGAGCATGGAATTTCAGATGCCACAAAGCAAGTACCACTATCAAGTCACGTCCACGATGCCGTATTGGAGCCAGCCTTCAAAATATTTACAATTTCACATCGCAATGAAGTACTAAATGCCCTGGAGCGAGCAGCACTAGCAGGTCATACCAAAATTGTGAAAAAGCTCCAGCACGAAGGCTGGCAGGCCCCGGCTCTTTTGAGACACGCAGCTTTGAAGGGGAAAGAGCATTTGAACAGAGCTTCGAATGTAGGTGATTTCGAAGTGGCAGAAGCCTTGATGGAAGCCTTGAAAATGTCAGACGATATGATGGGCGCTAAGCTAGGGGCATTCGTTAGGGGAGCGTCGGTAGGTCGCTTGCCCTTCGTACAGATGTGTCAACATCATGGCTTGGATCCACTAAAATTGGATCTTCAAGGCCACTGCGCTTACATGCGCGCTATTAGGAATAGGCAGCATGAAATTGTCAGCCATTTTCTTTCGGTCCATTCCAGCCAGACTTCTAGTTGGGGAACCATCACCAACGGCGAAGGCCTGCCACTCAGCTTGGCCGCATCTGTAGGAGATATCCGTATTGCACAAATGCTTGTTGGGGAAGGGGCAGACACCTTCCGTGCACATCCTCCGAGCAATGCTGAGCAGCTGGTCTTTGTGGATGGAAAATCAGTTCATATGAGTCCTACTCCACTCTATGCTGCTTCAGCCAACGGGCACAAATATATGGTAAAATATTTATTGGAACAGGGTGCAGGGCCAGACATTGACAGTCCAAGCGGCTTGCTTTCACGATCAACTGGAGATCAAAATGATTCAGAGAATGATATTCATCGTCGACGATTGTTCTTTTCCGAAAAGCGTGCTTATGATATTCGGGCGATTAAATCAAAAATCGATGTCGCACATTTTCAAAGTCCTTTGGCCGGGGCTGCTGTGAATGGTCAAATTGAGGTTGTCAAAACTTTACTTCCAACACAACTAAATATCAATAAACAGGATTCGAAAGGAGTCTGTGCACTCTTCTTGGCTGCCACCATGGGCCACTCCGAAATAGTGAGAGAACTTCTCAATGCTGGAGCTGTTCTTAACAGTGACACAGCTCAGGTGGCTGGTCAAATACTGGGCTGCGCAAGCGACAATTCTAGAGCGGGAGCTTTGAAGCTTTTATTAGATCTAGGATGCTCTCCCAATTTCATCAGCGAAAGAGATGGATCGGCTCTCTCTTTCGCTGCTAGAGTTGGCGCAGTGGAAAACATCCGCATTCTGGTGGAGGCTGGCTCCGGAATTGAAAATAGAGATGCTAAGCAGCGGACCCCGCTCATATCATCTTGTGCACAAGGTCACGTAGCAGCTGCTGAGGCTTTGATCAATGCAGGTGCTGAAATGAACGCTGAAGATGCGGCTGGCTTCTCAGGACTGATGCATGCTTCGAGAGCAGGACATCTTGACGTTATGAAACTCCTGCTCAGCAAAGGGGTGAAAGCTGACTATCCTAACGCAACTTGCCATACGGCCTTATTTGGGGCCAGTGCTCGTTCGCGACTAGATGTTGTGAGACTTCTGTTATCTTATGGAGCTGACCCCAACTTCAAGTTGCATTCGACTTTTTTGGAAAACGAGGGAAAGACTCTTCCCTTTGGGACATCGCCATTAATGATAGCAGCATATAATGGAAACCAGTCTGTTGTCTCCGAACTTCTTCGAGGCGGAGCAGAATTAGAAGCAAGGGACGAGCTTGGACGAACCGCTGTTCTATGTGCGGCGGTTGCTGGCCGGGAGGCACCAGTGGCCACGCTTGTGGAGGCAGGAGCTTCCCTCAGGGCAGAAACATTTGAGGGACGGCGAATTTTGGAGCTCGCAACCGAGGCGAAATCATTTGCGACTCTCGAACTGTTACTACAAAGGCACGAAATAGCCTTATTGGAGAAACCGCCGTCGTTCCTCTTTACGAGCAGAACAAGTGGCAAGGCATTGCAGTTTGCGATGTATGATCTTGAGGAAGATGTATCTTCACGGGTAGTGGACATTTTATTCCGTCACTTTAAGAAGGCGAAAGAGTATCAAAGAAAACATCAGCAGGGTCGTAGAGGAGAGCTTAGGCAAATATGGGATCAGGGTCTGGAGACCGCACCCGAAGATGAAGAACCATACAAATTGATGGGTGAGGGCGAGAATACTAGACGGAAGTTGGAAAGACTCGAGAGTGCTTATCCTATCAAACAGGCATTAAAGGAGGCAGGCTTTTAAGGGGGCACTTTTTGGGAAAAAACAGAGCATGGCCGTGCCCCAGGTGGCCTAAAATGTGTCTAACGTGTAAGGTAAGATTATCATTTCCCCAGGCTCAAGGAGCAATTCCTAGTGAGATGAACAACCTAGTTACTGACAGCGACGCCTTGAAGCTCTTATTCGGTCACATCGCAGCCATGATTGACATTATCATCATGTTAACCACATTTGTACTTTGCAGGATCGTGCGTAGATATCGCAGGCCCCTACCCAAATGCTGGCTGACCAAGGGCAACAGGAGCTAGAGAAGACATTGAGATGTAACCCCAGACACACAACACAAATAAACACGAAGTACTACGGAAGGCGACGGACTAGAATTTTCCGGAGGGGATTTCAACAAAAGATAATGGCAGAACGGGCATGTACACTTGTACTTAGACGGAATTTAAAAGGAAGAAGTGGAAACATGAGCACCTTTCGCTTTACAGAATATGAATCCTATGTAAATACTCATCTTAATAGCAACGCGAAAAGGTATCTTACAAATAGAGCTATGCAGTCAAACCGCTAAACATATCTAACCTCCCCAAACAACCCCGCCCTGACCTGCACCAGCGCCGCCAACTCTAGCAAAAATTCCTGCAATACCAGGACATTTGTCAACACATGGCTCACAGTAACCAGCTTCTGCTCTTGTTCTTTCTCGCCCCCTTTGACACTAGAGTCATCCGTGTCTTGAACACTACCTTCTTTGCTACTTTCAGCATCCGAAACTCTTAGATCCGGGAATGGTATTGGGGAGAGTACTCCTTTGGGGGCTGGCAAGCTTACTTTCCTCGCCAGGATGCTTTGGTCTACTGCTGCGAAAGCGGCAGCTTGACTTGCAGGTACGCTAGGTTGTTGCGAGGCATCGCGTAAAGGACTAGGTGAGAAAGCGCGTGAACTGCTTCTTGGAGGGTTTTCAAGTCCCATAGGAAACTGCGCAGGAGGTACAGGATTTCTTGAGCTCGTTGGGGTAGCAAATCCATAGCCACCGTTGATTCCACTAGGACTGCGTTCTTGGCCACTGCGACGACCGCGGGGAGATTTGGAGCGAGAAGGCGTGCCGAATTCTGGGAAGATCCGTTGCGCGAGGGAGTCGAAGCCTGACTTTCTTGGGGGTGATGAGGAGCGAGATGATGATTCCAAACTGGAGCGGGGCGGAGGCTGGTGGATTGGAATTGGTGTTGCCGTAGCGGACGAGGTGGCTTGAAAAGCATCCCGCCGTTGTTGTAATAGCTCGTCGAAACGGGGTATATCGGAGCGGTAAGTCGATACTTGGTCGACTAGGGTGTTCAATTGGGTAAGGAAACTTGGTATCTGCGACTCGGCCCATTTTGGCGTTTTGCGCATCTTTTTCATCTCTCGCATCTGAGCCTTCTCTTCAACTTCGATGGGATCGCCAAGATTCATGAAGTAAGGATCCTCCGCTTCCTCATCTTCTTCGTAAATATACTTGGACTGGTCAGGAAGTAACCAGCCGTCTATGCGCATAAAACCACATGTAGCCAAGTCAACGACAACCCCAGTAAGAGATAGATTTGTTTCTACTGAATTCGTGAAGAAAGTTGCAAATATACTGATAAGTGTTTTTAGCATAGGGTCCTCAGGCCTCAGCGTATGGGAGCGAATGTCCCGAGGCGCGCCTGGGATTGTTGCTTGTGACCCAGGGAATTTCGAGCTTCCACCAATAGACTTTGGTGCAATTAGAGAAATCGAGCACAAGTGACTTTCCAATGCACTCATGCTATCCTTCACGTGGTTTTCGTAAGCTTCTTCAAAATTGTCCTCACCTCCAACACTTCCAGCGAGTGACAACAAAAAGTCCATTTCCTTATCGTGAGCCCCAATGGTCCGCTGTGGGTCCTCAGACAACACCTGAGTCGTCCACAAAAGCGTCGTTACAGCATACCGATGATGCCGCCTCAAGATGACCGAGATGAGTTGTAAGGTTACAGAGATGGTCTGCTGGCTTTCGGACTTTAGACTCGCTTGTATAAGATCAACAAGATTGAATAGGGCTGGAGTTGATGCGAGCTCGATCTGTGGGGCCATCATAGTTGCGAGATCCAGAGACTTCCGTTTCCTGGCCGCACTAACAGATGCTCGAGTTCCAGAGGGTGTAGTGGTTGTATCTGGAAGAGCGAGTAGGTAATGAAGGATCAGATGAATCATATCTGGATGATCTAAGGACTCAAGTATTCGGCGAAGGTACGTGAGAACAGCAACTGATGATCCTCCATCTACATCGGAGGACTCAAGAAGTGATGGGTACCTAGTGTTTGTTAATTTGGCATCACAGGCAAAAGGCTCGTTACTGCGGGAACTTACAATAATTGCTGGAGGAAGATCACTTGAAAGTGTTCTAGGAGGGTCTGCTTTACCTCAACGGATTTGCAGTGGTTCAAAACATCCTGCCAGAACACCATATGTGACAAGAATGTTTCCACGTGGCCTTGAAAATCGGGCGATGCAGAACTTACAATCTCGGTAGTCGTGATAGGATGTTGATAGTCGGAAAGTGCCAGAATCGGAGGCAATTGCCCAGGAGGAAAATCGATTACCAATTTCCGACTCAATTGACTGTATAATGCTCCCAGTCCTGTCGCCATGAGGGTCGCAAGATCGCTCTCAACTATCCACTGCTCCAGAGCCACAGAATTAGAAGCTGCTTCAATGATATACAGCAGTCCCGTCCTCGCAAAGTCTCCGATCCTTCCTTCGTGATGTATGTAATCTATCAAGAGATAGAACAGTGGGAAATCCTCCTTGTGCGTCTTCCCAGTAAACTTCTCATGTGCGTCGTCGCCACTATCCGAAGCATCATCACGTTGCCTGGCCGTGAACCAAGCAGGTAATATCTCGGGGTCCAGCCTTATTTTCGTAGTAATGTTGAACGACAACTCAACCACTTCAACCTCCGTATCAGAACCCAAACGAATGCTATTTGCCCCCGTAATCCGTACCAACAGGTTCATCAAACTACTCGAAAAGATATGGTTCTCCACGAAGTCTTCCTCCTCGCTGTCAATCAGAGTCGCGAAGAAGCCCACGCCTTCTCGAATTATCGCTTCGCTGGCGGAGGTTGTAGCAATCTTTCCTACGGAGATGTAGATTTGCTTCGAGGATGCAAAAGTAATGCATGGGTGCGGTAATGGTCGTCTTGATTCATCGGAGAGGATTGTGGTAAGCTCTTGGAGACTACTCCGAATGTTCTCAGCAGCTTCATAGTCTTTGGCCAGATTAGACGCCCCACGCCACGTTTGCTACATCAAAGTTACTACGGCACATCCGGAATATGGTGGGAAAAGAATGCAACGTACCAGCAGCTGGCTGTATTCCTTTTTGAAGCGTGCCAGACGCTTCTCTGGGTTATTGGCGGCCGCTTTGTTGCCCCCCGAGGCAAGGGAAGTGCCAGCTATCAGGCGCGACCACTGTAGCAATGGTCAGCAAGAAAGGCGCGAGATCTGAGGCTAGGATTCTCACAAAGTCCATGGCTGGATGGAAATCATCATCCTGTGATATTGCATTAATATAACCTCGAGGTTAAACGCGCTCGCGCTTATTTCCGCCATCAGCAGCACGGACCATGTATATCACGTGTTTGTTTATAATTAACCGCATTGAGACTTGCCCTCTCTATAAATCCACTATCATCTTTCTTGCTGTAATGCAGATCTATGCTAGGGTAAAGAGCCAGTTATATCCTTTCCACGCTAGAAGAATCCAGTTTCAGGCTTAAAAAAAAGCGAGTAGAATGTTGGGGTTATGCGACTGCTGTGCCTCCTAAGCCTCAATCCTTCACTAGCTTCAATGCTTCAATGCTTCATCTGCAAAACTTGGTATTACTTCCAGAGCCAATTCCCCTTGTTAATTCTTATACAATGCTGCAATTCATCAACGTTACCTACGTCTAATCTATTTCAAATTTGCTATGGCAGTAATAGATCCTCCACTCCCTTGGCAAGGCGCTCAAGCCACAGGGGACGCTCATGGTAAAAACAACAACCTTAATATCTCTTCGGAACACTAAAGTACTCCCCAGCTCCTAATGCACTCAGCAATAATTACAACCTCGTTAATCAAGGAGACATTGACGATGAGGTTGAACGGGAACTTCAGGAGAAGAAGCTTTTCCAACAGTCTGCCTCTGGGAAGTGGGTTTCGGATCCTCTGTGGAGCCTAGCAAGTGCTGGCTTTGCTTTTTCTGTAATCCTATGCATCGGTCTTGTCGTCGTGCTTTCCAGAATTACCCCGCCAGGCATGAGTTCGCCGGGTGAAAACAGCTATTATGATCAAAATAGTCTCTCAACCCATGATTGCTCTCGCATTCAAACTATTGGTGTAAGTTTTTTTTTCGGCGAGCCTGTGTCCCTTGGAGTTTTACGATACTTTTTTGTTGTGACGATACACTATGAGTTACGTTACTCTCAAATTTTTTGCTGTTGGTCGAATATTTAGCGGATTTCATCCTCAAACCCCTAGAACTGACGCCGCCTCTTTAGGCTAGTGAATACTTCACAAGCATGATACTTCAGTATTCTACGAACGATCAGACAAACCGAAACACGTCCCAATTTGAACAGACGTTTTCGATCGACATCAAATCACGTGCTTCCTTGACGTAAGTCTACCTGTGGCTTCCTCGAGAGCATACTGATTGTCGCTAGATTCACTCAGGTTAAAGTCATTGATGTGATGTGGAATTTATTCGCTGGTCAAGGTGTCAGATTCATCATGGCATATGTATGCACCTTGATTTTGTTCTATTCTTAAGTTCGTAACGGAGATATATGCGGGCTAACTTTATGATCTTCCAGGTAACTTATAGAGTGTAAGTCATAAGCTCTGACACACCGGCTATTTTGACAACAGCTAGATGCTCAAAAGCGCTCCTCTTATTGATGAAAAGATGGCGCGTATCTTACGGTTTCTATGTTTCAGTGGGCTTTCAAGGAACTTCACTTATGTCCATATTCCAAGCCGCGAAGGAGCTCCTGTTCCAGCCATCACGCCGAAGCCTTCGCGACTGGCTTATAGTCATTTGGGTGATTCTTGGAATGATATACACACTCTCGGTGCCATCATTACTCAGTGCAGCAACCGGCTACGGGGTTCCAACACAATCATGGTGGCGAATGCCAGACGATGTCAGCCTATAGTTCTTTTCTCCTACCCCCTCTTACGATTGTTCATTAAGGTGATACTAAATGTCTTTTTAGGTATTGGTGCCTGACTTGACGAACGCTACTCAAGCTTGCTGGTTTGTCGGCGATAGTTCCCGGGTAGGATTGTCAAACAACACTCTCATCTCTGGACCCCCATTTCAGCAGTATCTTGACACGCTTCACTCCTATACGGAGGGAGAAGTTCCGAATGAGTCTTGTGGAACCTTGAAAACCGAGTACCCAATATTTGATTCTTTTACCCATTGTAAGGATTCCGAAGTTCACTTTGTGACGCCCGCTAATATTAGAAGATTACTGCGACCAAATTAATTTAATCAATACCTTGGTAAAATCAGCACCATCATCAGATACCGAACACGGCGCCGGGGCATACAGAAATTCATCGACCACGATAACACTTAATAACACAAAGATCATCATTCCAGCGCCACCCCTTGACTTACTAGGCCATCAACCCACAGATTTCTACAACTCTTCTGACAGTCCAAGCCTCAAACAGTGTTACAGAAACCAAACGATAAATCTTTGGGACAACATCCCACCCATGCTCTGCGTCTCGGGGGCTGAAAACTACAGCTGGGGATTCTCTAAGAACCTTTCATACGGGATTCTCGTAGCGCAGGCAGTCTGGTGTTTTTCCACGTGGCTTGTATGGTTATACGTGACAAAGACCTGCCGTAAAATGCTGCGAGAGACGCCTGGGCCCTTCCAAGCTACACTTGCTTTGAGTGATGCGATGAGAGCTGATCTAGGGGAGAATGCGCGTACGTATTCGGAGAAGAAGCTTGCCGAGGAGTTGGGAAAACGACAGGGGATATCGCATTTACATGTACGAGATAGCTTTGGGGGTGGGCTGAGGAAGAGGTAGACTCTTAATAAGTATGTTGACAGATCATATGTCACACTCCTCAGGTCATGATAACTTTTGAATTTCATTTCACATTTCGCCAGTTACATCTTCGAAGCCAGCCCCATACGGAACGAAGGAGTAGAGCTACTATCCTAGACAACTCTAGTCCGATGATCGCGACTTACTCTTTATATTTATAATTACTTAAGAAGTCCAGCGAGGTTTTAAAAGCAGAAAGCGGTAGACAGGATAAGTCATGGAGAATAATCGCTTAAGGTAGCACTAGGCTCAGGGGAAAAGGGGGAAAGGGAAGGGGCAAGTTGAAATTAAGCGAAAGTCTACTAGTTCATTCACAAGAATATCTAATAATTTCAGCTATGCGGCTTATTATATTAGGCGCATGGAACGGGCAAAATGAAATTGGATACAGTCTCGTAGTCAAGCTCTCTACTCTAGTGGTTTAGACTAATAAAGGGACAACTTACAATTTGATGCGCGCAACGATTTTTAGAGCTACCAAGACATAACTACAGGTCAGAAGGCTCACTCTACACTACCCGAAGGGCTAGTACCATCTTTTTCATCCCCGTGATATCAGTCGAGCTTGCCCTAAACACGTTCTTAATCGACAGTTAGTTAGATCAAGGATAAACCGGTCTTTGAGAACGCGTTGTGCTTTTCTAAGCATGTATGCCGCTGCTAGCTCGTTATGTTACTAAGGAGGTGACAACGCATAATTCGCTACCAATGCTTTCCAAGACTTGCGTACAGACTGGCTATTAAGACCAGGGGTGAAAATAGGCAATAGGACTATCAACTGAAATCGGTTTCTGGTCCTTTCCAAGCAAGGTCACAATATCACTCGCTCTGTTGGAAGAACATGCTAGGTTCGTCGATAGGAGGCCGTTATTCAAGCAATGCGGGGCTGTAATCCCTGATGAGGCGGAGCTTGACTGTGACGAGAATGAGAGAACAATAGCGATGATGACACTTTTTGATGACGCTGGAAACATGAGAGGCGAATAAACAGCAAAACACAAAGAGACTTGAGGTCTGAAGAAGCTCGTGAAGAGCGGTTATACAGAACAGTAGCGCTGACTATATAAGCCGGGGGATGCACAACGCCACACTGTGGCTTACTCTATGCATGCCAAAACATCTTTGATCTCTTATAAATGTTTCGAAATCGAGGTTTTATGCCCTTACAATATTTCAGCAGTGAGGAGCTTGGCTAGGTTGAGTAGGGAAGCAAGTGGCATCAGAAAGATTGTCTCTAGCAGCCTCCTAGTCCCAATCTTACCAATGAGGTATCTCTAAAGTTCCAGGAATCCGGTCTCCGGCACTTCCACGTCTTTGTTGTTTCTATTTTTAAGATCTTGTGAACTTCTGGGAAATAAAGGAGGAATAAATGATGCACTTGCATATGTCATACTCCGTACAAAGATATATGACGTTTTCTGGCGCTTCTGCATCTAGGAGCTGACGCTTTCATTTCGCCACGCCTCAAATAAGAAAACGATATAGGCCAAAAAATCGTGTTTAACCAGAAAGAGGCAGCAGCATAAGAAGTCAAGAACCCTCTGTTCTAGTTAGCCTGTACGAACCCTGAACGGCACACCCGATGTTTAAAATCACGGCCGCCGCCTTATTATCCGTCCCGTATCCGCCTCATGCTAGATATACTCCGTAAAAGGCGGCACCCACTTTCAGTATCGTTCTCAGCCGGGGACGTGATGAATCGGTGCCGCTTTGCTCTTTCTTCTGACCACCGCGAGCCTGCCCTGAAAGCAAGGGATTGGATGATCTGACCCCCAAGTAGAAACCGGAACCCCGCAATTTCAGGAACTAAGTCCCTAAACAGCAGGTCCCGGCGGGCGATAAGCATATTTTAACTTTACGAGCATCCCCCATGTCCATGTCCTTACCACTGACCACTTCTCGGGTCGTGATGTCGTGATGCACCTTCTGCTTCTGGGAGCGGAGCTTTTGATTTATTTCATATAGGAAGGAACTTCGCAAGGGAAAGGCTACTCTGCTTGTATATATAAACTTTGTCCCCGAGGAATTGGGTAGTTGATCCAGGGAAGTGTACGTACCAAGTAGTGCAGTGTGGTTGTGAGTGTATTGTTTGTAAGTGAAGTGAAGTGAAGCTACCCCGCATCGAAAATGAGCTGCATTGTGTTGAAATTAAAGCAAATGGGGAGTCCTTTTGCTGACGAGATCTAGAATCAATCATTCTTACCAATTAATCCAGTATAAAGGCGGAATTGGGCTCAATTGAAGTATCAAGATGGTTGGCAAGATCAGTGCCTTGACCGCGCTTTTCGCGCTGGCAACCACATCGTTTGCGGGTAATTTTTTTCAAAATGCCGATGGGAGCTTTAAAAGTGCCATTGAGCGCAAATTAGAGGTATGTACTTGAGGCCTTCTCATATCTATAAATCTGGCTTCTTCCCATTGGTCATAGAGTGCTAATGGGTATCTAGAAAACAACTATAGCGCCCAATTCGCTTCAGGAACCATCCCCAGCGGACACCGACCCTTCTCTCCTCTACCCAGAATACACACTCGCTGTACCCATCGACCATTTCCACAACGATTCTCTTTATGAACCTCACAGCAACGGCACTTTTCCCTTACGCTACTGGTTCGATGCTACGTATTACAAGTCTGGTGGACCGGTCATTGTGCTGCAATCTGGTGAAACGGATGCTAGTGGCCGTCTACCTTTCCTACAAAAGGGACTCCTTCATAAATTGGCTGTATCGACACACGGAATTGGTGTTGTGCTTGAGCATAGATATTATGGCTCCAGTATCCCAACGCCTGATTTCTCTACCGAGAACCTGCGGTTCTTGACCACGGATCAGGCGCTTGCTGACCAGGCGTATTTTGCCCAGAACGTGGTGTACAAGGGCTTGGAGCACTTGAATCTGACGGCACCGAATGTGGCATATCTTGCATATGGAGGTTCTTATTCTGGAGCTTTTGTTGCGTTCCTGAGGAAGTTGTATCCGGATGTTTTCTGGGGTATGTTTCCAAAGCTCTCTCCTAAAAGAGAAACAAAACTGGAAAGAAAAACAGAAGACTAACAAGGGTCAAAAGGAGCCATTTCCTCCAGCGGAGTAACAGAAGCTATCTGGGACTACTGGACCTACTTCGAGCCTATCCGCACATACGCACAACCAGAGTGCGTATCCATTACGCAGAAGGTAACAAACGTAATAGACAACATCTTCCTCAGCAACAACAGCGCCGATATCTCTGAGCTCAAGAGCGCATTCGGAATGCCCAACGTAACGTACAACGACGACTTTGCATCTATAGTCGCGGCCGGCATAGACAGCTGGCAGGGCAAGAACTGGGACCCGGCGCTCAACGACCCCACATTCGACGAATACTGCGCCAACATCACCAGCAGCACGCTCCTCTTTCCCTCCACCGCATCCCTAAACGGCACCGCCAAAGACCTCATCACAAAGGGCGGCTGGGGTAATCAATCATCCACCCTCACCACCCCGCTCTTAAACTGGATTGGCTGGCTAAACACCAACTACGTGTCTGGGTGCACGTCCACAGACCAAGATTCCTGCTTCGGCACCCACGACCCCGCAAACTACGCAGATGATTCCATCGCTGCTACCTGGCGCGCCTGGCCCTACCAATACTGCACACAGTGGGGCTTCCTGCAAACCGGGTCCGGCGTACCCACCACCCAGCTGCCCCTCGTGTCGCGCACCAACAACATAGCCTACGAATCTATAATCTGCAACGAGGCCTTCGACATCTACACGCCGCCCGACGTGGATGCCATTAACAAGTACGGCGGATTCGGGATCTCGTATCCAAGACTGGCGATTGTGGATGGGGAGTGGGATCCGTGGAGGTCGAGCACGCCGCATGCGAGTCCGTTTAATAGCAGTGCGGTGAACCGTACTAGTACGGTGGAGGAGCCGTTTATCTTGATTGAGGCCGCGGTGCATCATTGGGATGAGAATGGTTTGTTTGAGAATCAGACGACGGCGGAGCTACCGCCAAAGCCGGTGAGAGATGTGCAAAAGGAGGAGATTGATTTCGTGGGGGCTTGGATGGATGAGTGGACGCATCAGCATCATTGGAGGAGGGGGTTGAAGTTAAGAAATAGTGCGTGAGAGAGATAGATTATGGGTGAAGAATGAAAAGCCAATGGCAGAAAATATGAATACCTGCTTGGCTATGATGTATGTTTTAACGATTTGTGGAAAACAAAACAAGATATAGTACTTCTGAAGAGCAGATGATGTTGAAGCTCTTAAATCTTTATTTGGTTTGCAATTGGAAAGGCTTCGGGTCTATGCACTTGCATTGTAAATCTCATCTGAACTCCTCTCGCTGTCTTATATATAGGTCCGTGTCTGCTAATATACCTACCATGCACTGTTACATACAATGCTGTTCATCCTAACTTTCATGCCATCGTAATCCCGGGCTCTAGAATGCGAAGACTTGGTCCTCCAACTTGCTGACTGGCTTGGCTTTCTTGAATCCTAGACCTTCAGAAGCCTTCTTCATAGCGCTGATCATAGGTGGTGGACCGCAAAGAAGGAGCTTGACATCATCTGCGGCCTTGGGAAGCCATTTCTATATCAAGTCAGCAAATAAACGACATGGGATAAGGCTTTGAGACATACCGTCATCATTTCAGGTGTAACAAATCCAACACCACCAGTCCATCCCTCCGGTGGGTTGTTCAAAACATAGTGAACCCTGAATCCCTTGTCCTCTTTCGCAAGCTGGTCTAAATCCTCCTGAAGTAGGATATCCTCTTTGTTAACATTTGCGAAAATAAGATCAATCTCTGTGGTATCACCGGCCTTGCGGCCCCTAATCACAGCCCGAATGATTTGCAGCATAGGCGTGATTCCAGTCCCACCCGCAATCATGCCGAAGTGACGGACCATATTCGGCTCATACACCATAGCGCCCTTTGGACCCCGCACTTTTATAGCTTGCCCAACGATGAGCGAGGCCATGTGCTTGGAGATGTTGCCGGTGGGGTAGGATTTTATGAGTAGGTCAAAGTACCCGGGCTGATGGTCGCCCGAGATCGGGGTGTAGGAGCGGACAATCTCTTTGGAGGTGCCGTCGGGTTGCGGGAGCGTGGCTGCAATTGAAATATGTTGACCTATTGGGAGGCCGAGGATCGCGGTTTGGGAGGGGAGTGCGAATCGGTAGCTTTGGCGGAGGTTAGCAAACTGTTCTCGGGAGAGTGAGAAGGGCGAGGCACTCACATTGCTACATTGTGGGAGATGATGGTCTTTTCCGTGAGCTCAAAGTCTTGGAATTCTGTAGGCTTGAGAACTTTTCGAACTCCTGAATAGTCTATTAGCTTTGATTTTGAGGTATATTATAGCTTGCCCATAAGGCAGATTAGATACTTACTGTTACTGAAGAGCTTGTAGCCTCCAAGCAGCAAAGCAAGAGCCACCGCATAAGGAACCCATTCCCGCTTGACAATCAAGCATCCAACAACAAGCAGACCCGAAGGAATGTAGACCCCGTCAACATATTTCTTGGATAATAGGTTGTTCGACATTGTGCGAGACAAACGGGGGCGACGGGCGAAATTGTTGAGCTCCGGGTGGAACGATGAGGGACAATGAAGTTTGGTGATGATATCCCAGCAACGACGAGACGAATCCAGGTTCAAATACCACTCTCTACCTGAGTGAGACTTTGACAATCAATTGACCATGAGGTGAAGAATCCAAATTGCGGGGCGGAATTTGTTGATGGTTTCCCTCGCCAGAAAGTTGGAGTTGCCAAAAATTGTCCTGAAGCGGCAATTGCTTCCCGACAAGCCGACTTTGTCCGGGGAATTACAGTACGTACTGTACCCGTGATTGATTAGATTAGATCTTTCTACCTCTACCTCATCCTCACTTCACCAATAACGAATAATCGAGTCTAATAAGCCTAATGAGAAGTGTCATGATAACTGCATAGTTGTACTGCACTGCATTTTTTGCATCGAGTTAATCCTAGCATTGGCCTGTACGATCGAGCCAAGTAGGTCACAGCCTCAGGTCACGGGAGTTATTCTTAAGATCAATGGCATATTGAAAAGCCTACGTTAATATTGTTTGGAGGAGTTTGTAAGCCTCTAAACAAAATGGCCACTCAAGAAGAACTTGAGCAACATGATAAGGAGAAGCTGGATAAGCAACCTCCTCCATTCCCTCTGACTGAAAGGGACAAATGGCTCCTTTCTATCTCCGATGATGAGTTCACACCTCATTCCTGGGACAATCTGAAGCAAATCATAGGTGAGCAAGAGATGGCTGGCGTCTCTTCTATTTCTCCTTTTCTTTGCTTTGCTTGCATGCCAGATCTCAAGTTGAGGCTGAGCATGTGACTAGTGTTTCCTCCTAATATGATTTGGATAACTACTTTTCAATTGAACAATTTATAACAATGTCCAAGAAACGAACACGCTCGAAGAACTCCTCCGCAAGCCTTCGTCCCTTCGCCGCTACCTCTCCTGGTCGCAAACCATAAAAACACAATACGGCAGCACGACCGCCTACCTAATCCAGCACCGTCTCCCCTGGGGTCCTCCTCCCTTCACCTACACGTCCCCCATCCCCTTCCGTTGCCACTCAGACTATAAGATCCTGCTGAACGATTGGCCGTACGGTGTTGAGGACGATATTACGCATATTGTGGTCTGGAGCAAGACGCCGATTGCAACCAATGAGGCCGGTGATGTGACGGAGGAGAGTAGGGGTGTTATTGAGGGGTTTGTGGGGAGTGTTTTTGCGGAGAGGGTGGGGAGGGAGAAGGGGAGCGTGGTTTGGTTTAAGAATTGGGCGCAGTTGCAGAGTGTGAGGGCGTTGGAGCATATTCATGTTTTAGTGAGGAATGCTACGAAAGAGGATTTAGAGTTTTGGACTGGGGAGAAGGTATAGAGAGAGAGAGACTTAGACTTGAAGGGTTGAAATGCCTTCCCATAAGCTGCAGCGCTGTTTCTGGAGCCAGACATAACTGCCAAACCAACATATCCTCAGAAACTTCTATATCCGTCTATTTTGTTTCAGCTTCAACAAGTCCAGTAACACCTCACGCAGCCCTTCTCTGCCTCCTATTCCCCTGCCCAGAAGCCATCTGCTCCTCTGACGCCTGCCCTTGTCCCCCCTGTCCACCACCCATCATTCCCCTCGCCATCCCCAGTAACCCCCACCCCTTCCACACCCCAAAGACCGGCACCACCCCCCACACCAGCCATCCCCAATTCCCAAAAACTACCACTGCCACCAAACTCGCCCACGTAACCCAAATTACATCAAACATATACTCCGTCAGTCCCTCCGCAGCCAAATCTTCTCCAGCACTCTTCAGCGCTTTGGTAGTGGCGTCGTACTTTGGACGTCCACTTGTCTCGAGGATGAATTCCGCGATTAAGGAGGGGAGGGAGAGAATTATGTAAGTGAGGAAGGAACGCCGGCGGATGAGGAGGGAGAAGAGGATGAAAGCGGCGTTGAGGGTTAGGGCGGTGATGTGAAGCGTGTTGAGAGCTGAGATGTTGGCTTTCGCGCGGTCTTTTTTGGCTTTTTGTGCCATTATATTGGTGGTATGGGAAAAGAGGTCTTTGAAGAGTGATTTGGTATGGTACGATATGTCCAAACTGAGCGAGGTGAAGAGGTCGTGTGTCCTTAATGAATCCGGAGTTGCAGTATAGTAGTTGACTAAGGCGCGCGCACTGAAATGAATGATAGCGCTCAATATCAGGTGATATAATTGATTATCTTATTGTTCTCCGGTTGAATTGTGAGTTGGAGGTGGAGAGTATTTATCCCAAGTTGTCAATATCTGTGAATATCAATGTAGAATTGACGAGGCTGAAAAGATCTATCAAGCGCCTAGAGCTGATTGTTGCCACGCCAAAGGCAACACCCGTCCGCCAATGGATGATCCGACACTACTGTACCCGCCGCTTGCAGACCATAACATCGCGAACCCTAATCCAATATGGACAAGGAACATTGTTGATCGAGAGCCGCAACACCAACCTCCTCACTTCTCACTATTAGACTATCTTTGCTTCTGACTGCATTGGCGTGTACTCGGGTGGTATTGTATCGGTTGCGGTGGAGAACATATTCACTTCTTTCTTGCTCTCGTTATACCTCCATCTTCAAGGCGGCAAGACGTGCAGTTGTTATTTCTCCCAGCTCTAGATATCACGTCTCACCCGCGAATGCCTCTTCACCACAGATCCCGCCACTTGAATGTAATGTCGCCAAAAGGGCAATAGCGACTTTGCACGAGACCAGCCAGGCCGAAAACATATTTGAGAGAAAGTATCGCACCAGCGAAAGCTTGTCCAAGCAGCCTAGACAAAGGAATCCGTCCTCGAGACCCCAACGACACGTCAACCGCCGACCCAAAAGTCGTCGGCTACATGGCTAGGCCAACCTAACGACACTTAATACGAGAATCGATCATCGCATTTCTTCGCACGTTGCTATCATGGCGCCCGCTCCAGATAGCGTCAAAGCCCAGTTACGGCAGCTCATTTACTACCACATCGATAACAACCTCCTCACCAACGCCCTCTTTTTCGCCGAGCGACTTCTAGCCTACAGTCATCGAGAACCGGAGTCTGCGTATCTTGTGGCCCTCTGTCACCTTCGATTGGGAGACGAGGCTTCGGCTTATGAGTACAGCAAGTCTCATGGACACCGAGGAACGCATTTGGGATGTGCTTATGTCTTCGCACAGGCATGCTTGGCCCTTGACAGACATAAAGATGGAATAGTGGCGTTGGAGAAAAGCAGAGGGCAGTGGGGAGGAAAGAATAGTTTTGGTAAACATACACAAACCACACGGCAACCGTACCCCGATGCCGCGGCGATAACCTGTTTACTGGGGAAGCTTTACTTTGCATACGAGAATAAACAGAAGGCTATCAGCTGCTTCGAGGAAGCTCTCAAGCTCAATCCTTTTATGTGGGACGCCTTCACGATCCTTTGCGATATGGGCACGCATGTGCGGGTACCGAATATCTTCAAAATGAGTCCGGAAATGGAGGCCGTGCTTAGGGTTAATACACATGAGCAAGCGGAATCACAAAGTCAGACGAAGGATAGCACACTTTCGAATGGGCAAGATCATGACCGGAACCGGACTGGAGCACGCCCTGTGCCTGTGGCAGTGGCGAGCGATAGTGGTGACCCGTTCAATAATGTACCTTCGAAAGGTTTTGGGGGAGGGCTCTTTGGTACCCTTGGGATGTCGCAGAAGTTGAATGAGAGTAACCCAAGTTTAACGAACTTGCCTGCAGCAGGGGGAGGAGGTATCGGCCCTGAAGCCATGGAAACACCAACAGGACCTAGTGCATCGATAGACATAACGGTAGTGCCTAATAGAAGAGATCCCGGTGTGGTCTCTGCTTATTCGACAGAGCCACCACAAGCACCTGCGAGGAAAACGCGAACAATACCAGGTCTTGGCATGGACTTCAGCATGGACGCCCCGCCAAAAATGAGTAGTCGAGGAATTACTTTGAAGCGTACGCAGAAACCTACAGATCCAGCAGAAGAGTCTGCGGCCACGCAGTTCCTGAGGCATACAAACTTATCAGCTGCCGGTGTGGAGAGGAAACGGACCGTCTCGGGTCAAGTTGTGCCTCGCCAAATGTCAGAGGACCCCGGGGCACCTCAGCGGAGAAGCGTCAGATTATTCAATCAGATACGTCCCACAAGCAGCAAATCCGCAAGCAATTCAAGTAACGTTCCAACTGTCGGAGCTGCGCCAGGCAGAGAGTTGAAAAAAGCACGGCCGCCGATATCAAGGATTATGCGACCAAATTCAAGTACCTCCACCGTTGGAAGACAGGTTAGCGGGAACAGAAAACCTGTGGAAGAGCCGATGGATATAGATCAGAAGGAGACAGCTCCACGATCTTGGGCACATCCTGTCACCAGCATACCGACGTCAAAATCGTCAGATTCTAATCCAATGAAGAATGAAGAGTCAGTCAAGGTCCTGCTTGACTTGTTCAAAGCTATCGGCAGCGGTTATTCCGCCTTGTCTCAGTATAAATGCCAAGATGCATTACACATCTATAAAACTCTGCCCAAGACACAGCAAGATACTCCTTGGGTTATGGCACAGATAGGCAGAGCCTATTATGAACAAGCAGCTTACACAGATGCTGAAGAATGTTACAAGAAGATTCGAATTATGGCCCCTACGCGATTTGCAGATATGGAAATATACTCAACCATTCTGTGGCATCTGAAGCGCGAAACAGACCTCGCATTCCTTGCTCATGAGCTTGTTGATTCATCTTGGCAATCTCCTCAAGCCTGGTGTGCCCTTGGCAACTCCTGGTCACTTGCACGTGACCACGAGCAAGCGCTTCGCTGTTTCAAGCGTGCCACCCAGCTCGATCCGAAATTTGCCTATGCGTTCACCCTCCAGGGGCACGAGCATGTTGCAAACGAGGAATACGACAAAGCTTTAGTATCCTATCGCCACGGTATGGCGGCCGACAAACGTCATTACAATGCATGGTATGGGGTTGGTCGCGTGTATGAGAAGCTTGGGAATTATGACAAGGCTTCCTTGCACTTCTCGTCTGCTTCGGTAATTAACCCTACAAACGCGGTCTTGATTTGCTGTATTGGAACTGTACTCGAGAAGCAGAAACAACCACATAAAGCATTGGAATACTTCACCCGGGCGACAGAAGTGGCGCCACAGTCGAAGTTGACGAGATTCAAGAAAGCTCGTGCCCTGATGTCGCTAGGACGATTACATGAAGCCCTGAAGGAGTTGATGTATCTGAAGGATATTGCGCCAGATGAGGCTATGGTGCATTTCCTTCTCGGAAGGCTCTACAAGAGTTTAAGAGAGAAGGGAGCAGCCGTACGCCACTTCACCATTGCGCTGAACTTGGACCCAAAGGTAGGCAAATATTCAATCGCGATCTTCATGAAATCACTAACACATCCCAGGCTAGTCAGAACATCAAGGAGGCAATCGAGAGCTTAGAAGATGAGGACGATGATGATGAAACAAGTATGATGGCATGAGGTCCTCTCCTCACATTGCCATCGTTTAAGGGTTCAGCGAGAGGAGCAGTCTGTATGATACAGCCAGCATATTTAATACCCCCTCACGCTCTTCACATACTTATGATTCCCGGCGCGGCATGGCATGATAATACGATACGAAATATTTTGCATTGGGACGGAGTTTTTCGGAGCCAGGTTCACAATGCTTCCGGTCATAGCGTTGGAGCGGCTGTGTACATATGGATGGGTTTTCCGTGGGTTACGGAAGCTACAGCGTGCATGGGAAGGGTTTTGATCATAGAGAGATGATGATGAGGACACGCGCATTTGGTAATACGAATGACAAAAATTTGAATATTTAATTCATTTTTGTTCCCTCTTGCTGCTCGTGAGGAACATTTCTAATGATTTTGTTTGTCTTATTATTTTGCTAGCAAGCGCTTGAAACCTTAAGCCTGTGATTTAAACCTCTCTCACAACGGAGTCAATTCCCAGAGAGTACTCTTGTTCCGTCTCCTCAATTTCATACTTCTACTTCAGTCATTGTTGTCTTTCTTTGAAGCATTGTGTGCGCATGCTTGCTTGTAATGGTTTAAAATAGCGAGGTACCTTGCAATTAACAGCTTCTTTTGTTACTTGGACACTTCTTTCCAAAAGCAGACTCCCAATCCGGAGCCTCGACTTCTATCAAAGACAGGGAGGGTGTGCTATTGATCAACACCCTTTGTTAGTTCGAAACCCCAATATTTACCTGTCAATTCAACATCACATCCCCTCATCAATTTTTTAAAAAAAGATCCCCTTCCCACCCACCGTTACAATATACGGATATAGTTGCCCGCCCTCATTCTCATTGCAAAGATCACCGAAGAGAAAGCCAGCACCACATCAACGTGCCCCCCCAGCTCATCCCCAATCCGACCTGCGCAGCAACCTAGCCCGCCTCACCCGAGGCGTCCCAGATCCCCTCTTCCACGCCTTACTCGCCTCGGAAGGAGATCTGAGTTCAGCGGCAGCCGGACCCAGCACACCCACCAATTATCAACAACCAACGCCAGCAGCAGGAACAGCAGCCTCCCCACCATCTCTTACAGCGTAGACGCGAGCGCCTATGCAGAAACGAAGCAACTCTTCTTCTTCATCCTCCTTGTCTTCCTTGTCATCATCCGACTTCTCACCCGCAGCAAAGAGAAGGAAAATAAGTTATGCAGGGAAAGGCAAGGGGAAAGCGCCAGAACTACAGGACCCACGTATCATTGATGATCCAGAACTACCGCCTGTACCGCGACCCGCGACACCGGATCTCGAGGCCCCGATCTGGGAGGATGGCTCGGATGATGATGGTATTGATATCTCGGAAGAGCAGCAGGAGAAGTGGTTAGATTGGTCGTATTTGGAAGCTGATCCTAAGGATCCGTCAAAGAAGATCGAGAAGGCGTGGAAGGGGAAGAGGGTTTTGGGGATGGGGTAATTACCCCCCTTATTTTCAGGTTCATTGATTTGTTTGTTTGGTGGTCTGGGAAGTGTTAAAAGACTAATGGTGGTAACAAACAAACAGATCACAAGGCATCGTCGGGCTTTTCGAAAAAGAGATAAACGGCGTGATGACACACGTGGTTGTAAAGCAGAGTAAGGACGTCGGGGCTGACAACAAGGCTCTGAAGGATGAAGCGGCGCTGCTGGATGAGATTGCTGAGCGGGGCGGAGAGCATGTGGTGGGGATTCTGGAAAGCTATCATGGTAGGCTGAGCAGAGGCACGCATTATTACGACCCCTTGGGCCAGAAGAAACGGCCGAAGTCGTTGGGCGTGGTCTACTTGGAGTTTTGTGATATGGGCGATATGGTGAAGTATATGAGGAAGATGTATTAGTAAGTACTTTCTTCCTTGGGCTTTTTGGAGGGGGTTCAGATGCTGATGTTTGGCGATGGTATCTAGCGTGTATGATAATGATCAAAACCCGCTGCCCGAGGCGAATATTTGGAGGGTGTTTGAATGTTTGGCCAAGGGACTGTGTATGCTGGAGAGTGGGCGCGAGGATTTAACATCGGATAAATGGAATAAGTACCCCATAGGACATTTTGATATCAAGCCGGAGAATAGTAATTTGTTCTTTTCCTTCTCCACTTGAAAGTTGCTGATAGCTGTAGTTTTGGTCTCGTCCCAAAACCCTGACCATCCATATTATCATATTTTCAAGGTATGCGTCCCTGTATCACATAAATCTTGTTGAAACTGACATATATCCTACCAAGATCGGTGATTTCGGTATGGCGGCACGTCTTTCTACCAAGTCCAAAATCCCACGGGTAAATGGAACCATGCAATATTTCCCACCCGTACGTATACCTCCAACAGAGACCCATACCAGTGCATCCTAACATGCCACAGGAAATGGCCTACCAAGCCGTACACTTCAACGAAAGCGCCGCTCCCCTACCAGAATATGGTACTCAAATTAACGTCTGGCAAGTCGGTGTTTGCATGTACGAGTAAGCAAGCCCTTTCTGTGAACCCCATTCGATCTTGCAGTATCAGGACTCCGGAAGAATATTTCATCCTCTCGGTTCTTGCACTTCACAGCAAACACAATGCTAAAATTAATTGTTTTTGCAGACTAATCCAGCGCGGCCGGTCCGTCGACCAGAAATCCGGACACTGCAACGTGCACATGAACATCAATGGCGATGTCGTCGCCTTTGATGCCTTCGGCACAGAGATCAACCGGAATACTGTATACAGTGCTGCGCTGAGAAAACTGGTTATTAGGTGCTTAGCGCGCAAGGCCACCTACAGGCCCAGGCCGGATGAGATTCTGGCTATTTGTGAGGGGGCCACGGCTGTGGTGAGTAGCTTGGAGAACGGGGAGCCGACGATTGGGGGAAGGACTGCGATGCAGTTCTGGGACCCCAAGTGGGAGAAGAAATATGGACTGTAGTCGGGTATGATTTTTGGGGTTCGTTCTGGGGTATACTCTCCGAGCTGTGTATAATGTGAAGATTGCCGATTGTATTCCTATTAGTAGTAGATCTTTGGACTTTGCTATGTCACGACGAGTAGTTAGTATTTAGCGAGATCGAAGAAATCCTAAGTCGAACGATGAGCTCTCCAGAAGACCTTGCCCGCCACACATTGGCGGAATTCACTATAGATTGTGTTTTGACTGGCTGCGGTTTTGCAGAATGCCCTGATTTCTGCGAGATAAAGCTGAGGTCTTGCAGCTCAACGTGACTAGCACATAGCGTACATTCTCTAGCCAAATATCCAACACATTAATCTTTGGCAACATGCAAAATAGCACTGACTTGAGCGAGAGTATCCGAGCGTTAGCTAGTTACTTTCTTTGGCAGAGGCTATGCGGAACTCTGGAAACAAAACCAGACCAAACTAACTACCACTAATGCTGTCAGAATGAGAGAATCATGCATCACTGCCTCAAGACTCTGTAATGTCTCGGTAAGTAAGAATACGTGAGATCCTTCGATGTGGATAAGGAACATGTTGATAATGTAATGACCGGTGAATGTATAGTGAGACTAATGAATTGGCTGCCGGCAGCTATCGAGTACACTTTGTAAAAGATCAATAATGAATTATTAAAAAGCCAACGCCCAGAAAGGAGGAGCCAGATAATATCAAAATGCTAACCGTACTAAAAGACAGACCGAGGCCTGACATATTGATGGCAATTAGTGAACAATATGGAGGCGTTCTTCAACATTCAACAAAGTATAGGTCATTGATAAATGTTCTGGTGAGCGTAGGCAAATTCCAATGTCTTATAGAGGCCCAAATGACTCGCTCGGTGCCAAAACTCCCCCGTCAACATCGAAATATGTGAATGATTTTCTTGTAGCACGTGACATACCCCTTGGCCGCGCGACAGAGAACGCGTGCAAGGGCGCTGTTAAAGATGTCAAGCCATATAAAGCTGTGGTACCACACTTGTACTACGTGCACTCACATAGTCCGGAGTACACAACATGGTAGGCACGATAATCCTCTCTCCGGATCGTCGCAGCCGTCAAGATTAAACGTGACACAACGCGAGACGCAGGTCTCCCAGAGAGGAAATAGGCTGGAACTTCCATGGAATTCCAATGACAAATTTTATGGCAGGTGGCAAGAATGCAGATTCATGGCTGTGACTGGACTGAACGGCAAGTCCGGACTTTTGCGCATATGGGAAACTTTCAACGACTGAAGAGAAAGCCAACGTATTGATTAGAAAGCTTGTTCGCAGCAGCTAGAGCATACAGAGGAAGATAAGGTGGTTTTGAAAAGGAGTGCTATGGACTTTGTTTAGGTTCGTTATACGGAGTATGGTACGGACGGAGATCACTGGATCATTCCCGTACCATCCCGAAGCCATGTTATTTTCCTAGCAGCAACACCAAATTCGCTTTACTTCCGCTCGGTTTAGGACCTGTCACTGCACTGGCATATTGCAACACGTCTGAATAACTCCAAAAGAGAGAATGTGGAAGTTGAAAAGAGGACACGTGCCGGATTTCTGCGAGAGACCGAGGTTGCGACGGTGCGGGTGGTGCAGGAGGCCTTCTCAGGTTCTCCAAGACTCGCTTCCAGAGGTTGGATTTTGTTGTACCACCTTCCTCATCGTGCCACCGACATCTTCCAGCAATTGCTGTTCACCACTCGTTTGATCATGGTGCTTTGCCGAACCATTGGTCTCAGATCGGCTCCACGGTCTCGACGGTCTACACCGTTCGGAATTGGCCACCTCTGAGACCTGTCAATCGATCGACTGAAGTTCATAAGGTACATGGTGCTGTTGGTCCTCATGTCCACCTTCCTCTTTGGAACAGAATCCCGCAGCCTCGAGTTTAATCGCCAAGGCTGCGAGGCTCAAAGCCAAGGCTGACAAGGATTTCTTATCATCTACGCCGTAAATGCTGAATCTGGGGAGGTCAAGGGTGTCGCGACCCAGTAGTTGAGATCAAGTTCTGCATCTAAAAACCCGGGAGGCGAGTTGCCATACTGTATTGCCTTATCTTATCATGGTATTTGCATATTGGAATGTGTGAATTGGAAAGAGTAGCTGGAACTGGACTGCTGCAGCCAGCAGATTGCTCAGTAGCATGACATTATGTATACTGTATGCAAGTGAATAGCTTGCCACACCAAGATCTTGGCATATTGGCAGTACGGAGTAGTAACGAGGGTATAGATATGCACCATGGATGTATCACTCGGTACCAGTAGCTCAAATGCAATGCATGTCCTGGGGTACGAGGAGAAGGTCAGGTTAAATACTTCCCTTGCTGCTCCGATTGTCACACCTGGACTCTGAACCTTCGTCCATTCAATCCTTGGTAGTCAAAGTTGAAGAGCCAGTTATTATTTCTCACGTTTCTTTCGTTGTTGAACCTTTAACATCATCGGTTTCCACCATGTCGACAGCGGAGCATATCGCTCCCATGTACACCAGCGAGAAAGCCAGTCCTGAAGAATCCGACAACGACAAGAAAAATGCTGGCTCCAGCGAGAAAGACCTTGGTCTTGATTCCGAAACTTCGGTCGTAGAATCAGAACCTGAGGGAGAAGTCTCACGCGGACGTTCGCTCCTCAATAAGTATAAGATATTTCTGCATTTGGCCATTTGGCTGGTCATGACTGGGTATGTTTCTCTCATTGTTGCTAGAATTTCTCCCAAGAAGTTGAATATTTCGTTGTTTTCCCAAGGATTGAAACGATTGCCCACTTTTAGTTTTCATTCCGCGGTGATTATTATCTGCGACGTCTAGGCATCAAGAATTTCCCGGGAGAGAAACCTTTTGGATACTGCAAAGATTGTGAAGGAAGACGACATCTGCTAATCTTCTTCTCTGGGACAGTTGGTGGATTGCTGGACTCGTACTTCATCGACATGGCAAACTCGGCTGGCTCAAGCCAACACTTCTTTGGATGGCCATTTCTGTTCGTCTCATCACCTTGCATGTTTCGACAAAATACGTGACCAAGCCAATTGCATTTGTTTGGGTCACCGCCATCTATAATCCCGTTATGATGATTCCCGAAAAGCTGAGGCTACCTTTGGGCGGTGCGGGAACAGTTGCAGTCATACTCGTTGGAACGTTCGTATCTGAGGAGTCAGCAGACAATACCCGTTCCAACAGAGCAATTAGCTTGTTTGGTCTTGTGGTATTCATTGCTGGGTTTTACGCTACTTCAAGAGACCGGAAAGCCATCAAATGGCAGACAATCATCGTGGGCATGCTTGCGCAATTTATCTTGGCCTTGTTTGTTCTGCGTACCACAGCCGGTGTAAGCATACCTCTTGATTGAACTTTGGCCTACTTCAGCTAATGCACATTTAGTATGATATCTTCAACTTTATCGCCTATCTCGCAACGTCGCTTCTTGGCTTTGCTGGCCAAGGAACAACCTTTTTGACAGAGCCTGTTGCGACAAGGCCCCAGTGGTTCCTCCTGAACGTTATCCCTGCCATCATTTTCTTCGTGGCTTTCGTACAGCTTCTGTACTACTGGGGATGGCTACAATGGGCAATCAAAAAATTTGCAACCATTTTCTTCTATGGAATGAAGGTCTCAGGAGCGGAAGCTGTCGTCGCTGCCGCGTCTCCTTTCGTTGGCCAAGGAGAGTCTGCGATGATTATCAAGCCATATATTCCCCATCTCACAGACGCCGAGCTCCATCAAATCATGACCTCTGGTTTCGCCACAATTTCCGGTAGTGTTCTGGCTGCTTATATTGGTATGGGCATGAGTGCTTTGGCACTCGTCTCATCTTGCGTGATGAGTATCCCCGCCTCGCTCGCCATCTCCAAATTACGCTACCCTGAAACCGAGGAACCTCTAACAGCCGGCAAGATTGTCATCCCGGAAGACCAAGAGGAGAAACCAACCAACTCTCTCCACGCATTCGCAAATGGATCCTGGCTTGGGATTAAGATTGGCGGCATGATTGTCGCTGCTTTATTGTGTATTCTTGCACTTCTGGGCTTGGTCAACGGTCTCCTCGGGTGGTGGGGCAGATATTTGAACATCGACAACCCTCTCCTGAGTGTTGAAATGATCCTCGGATACATTTTCTACCCAGTCGCCTTTCTCCTCGGTGTCGAGCGAACTGGTGGTGACCTGTTGAAAGTCTCCCAGTTGATAGGTATAAAGATCGTAGCAAACGAATTTGTTGCTGTAAGTTCTAGCCACATGTCCCAGCTCGCTGAGAGTTTACTGACCTTTCCAGTTTGCTGCTCTCTCCGGTGAAGGATACGCCTCCCTGTCCGAGCGCTCCCGGCTCATCGCTACCTACGCCGTCTGCGGCTTTGGCAACATCAGCTCGGTCGGTATTCAGATCGGCGTACTTTCCCAACTCGCTCCGGGTCGCAGCGGCAGGGTCGCCAAGGTTGCGCTGTCTGCTTTGATCTCGGGTGTAATTTCTACCTTGACCAGTGCATCAATTGCGGGTATGTTGATCACCAATGCTGCGAGTTATACGAAAACCGGTATACACACTTGATCAAATATTGCTGTGCAGGTCAATAGTTTAGAGCCTGGATACTTAATGTGCTATGCCTTTGATGTCGGTCTGGGGCGTAGGGTCTGATCTTTTGTGTGTTTGGTTTGGATAGAGAAAATATAATATATGGTTTATCCTATGTCGATCTTCTTTAAAATGACGTTGAAGATATATGTTTTTGTATTGTGAATCGATAAGTTGTCGAGAATCTAGAAATGAGGCCTATTTCAAGTGAAATTTGCGGGCGTTCGAAAAAAGCCGGCTATGAATTTGCTATCTTCATCAATGCTTCTTGCTACAAGTTCTTCCCTTCCGAGTACTTCTTAAAATTAGCAAGTGCTGAATCAAATACCATGCACAGCCAGACGATCGCGTCGAGTGAAGCTCTCTATGAGGGAGTGAAACCCCCCACCTGCAACCAATGCAACTCACGAGTAGACCTCCCCGAGGAAATTTATGCAAGCCGGACCCTTCCCAATTTTACACTAGCAACCTTCAGACCAAGCAAATTAAACGCCACACATGTACAAGAGTAACTGAGTCGTGCCAGCTTCGGTGTTGACATCACCAATCCAGCCGAGGAAACCTTCTCCTTTCTTCGCAAGAACAGCGGGACAGCGTCCGCATCTCAGAATCCCAGTGTTTGATTTGCCACAAACTGCACATGTAGTAGCCATGTTTGTTTCTTCTCTGTTTGAATATCGGAACGTAGTTGGTTGTATCAAGTTATAGTCCAACCACGTCACGCTATTGTTATCTATTTCTCGTTAAAATCACGTGTGGTTTAGTATGATCTTAGTCAACGTTTCTCTCATAGGGCGGTAGATTCAAACTTTCTTTATCGCGTCGCAATTGAGACTCGTAAAGTGTATAGGCCATTTCATATATATACTTCCGGCGTATTACTCAGTGTTATGCTCTCTAGCAATTGCCAACCCTCAAATGTCAATACGATCCAACAGCTTCCGCCCCTCACCCGGCTCCGTTCCCCTCCCACCCGTCTTCTTCTCATAAGTTCCCTTCCCACTCGTATTCACAGTATCATCTTGGCACTCCGTAAATCCATTCTTCGTACTGCCATCGTGCGTCAACACGGCACAGAAGACTGCAGACGAATAATCACTAGAGATGCTGCCGATCACGACTCGGTCGGCACCCGGGGACTCGTCATCAGTGTAGGAACCCGATTCTAAAATGGGGAATTCGAGATAGGGTTTTTGAGCATGGCTAAAAGAGAACTTTTCGTAGTCTAGAAGAAGGGTGAGAATGGCGGGGACAATTGAAGAAGGGCAGGCAGAATACCATTGTAGGCGTGCGGATATTTGTCTCGTCCGAGAGTCTTTTTCTGGGATGCCAGGCTCAGAGCTTGGGTGCAAGCAGAGTTGATCTGAGATTGATCATAGGTGGTTTTGTTATCGCAGTTGCAGCCAGTGGGCTCATAGTCTTTTGACATATGTCAGTCCATGTAGAGCTGGAAGTGGGGGGGCATTTGGCTTACAGATAGTTGCCATTGCGTGGTTTGTTCCTAGTAGTTGTTCTTCTGACGAAATATGAGAGTGAGATGCAATGAACTTTATGAGATATGCTTCACTTCGTTCAAACCACTTGGTTTTGAGGTAGGGTTCTTCACTCGAAGGTCATGAGCTGACGTATTCAGATCTACGATGCATTATGTTTTCCCCGCAATGGCATCCCTTACTCGATTGCCGATATCGTCACATTCTTCGTGGTTGGTTGTTCTTGTACTTTTCGGGTCTAACGCGCGGAGATGGAAACAAGCTTTCGCAAGTTCCCAACACGGAAACCGGTTATTTTCCAAGATAGTGAAACGGGTTCCTGCGGGACAAATGGAGCGGCTCCGACCGTTCCCTAGAACCAATGATCTTGCCTAAGATGCTAGACTCGATTGTCATCGGAAAAAGGGGCCAAATCCGGTATTCACGTGACTTGTATCTTCCGAATAGAAACAAGATCACGCTCCTTCCCGCAGTAGCATTCATGATTCTAGCGGCTTTATTAAAACTTCTATCTCAATATCTGGAAATATCAAGTCGTTATAAGAAAAGCATATTCTGTAGACAAAATAAAACTAGCTTAGATTAGCGAAAGTCAAGAACTTGAGAAATCAAAGAGGGAAGAGTAATAAGATACTCGATATGCTTTACTAGCAGTACAAGGAATGGATTGAAGGAAAAGATAGTTGAAGAAAAGGACAATAACATCTAGCATCATCATGAAGAAATTGCTGTCGAAGGACCATCTGACGATCAGCACCTTGAAGCTTTGGCATGCTAGAGTTATAAATTGCATCTGACCGTGTCTTCAACTGGTGCGCGATAATTTTTGCAACTCAAATGATCTTGGTTCCGTTCCCCTTTTACTTTTTGGAAGTTCAGCAAGAAGATATAGCGGGGAATAGCTAAGGAACTATTGGGTGATTGCTGCGTCTGAACCAGGCCCGTTATAAACATCACGTGGCTTCCTTTTGGTCCTAGGGATCTATGGCCGTAGATCGAAATGAGTTTATAGAACGTCAGTCTCGCTTTTTGTCAAGTCAAGGGGAAGCTCTTTTTTCTTCTTCCATGTAGTACCACCGGGTACGAGCCGCGCAGATGACTAATCGTCAGCTCCTAATTTATAAGTAATGATGGGCGACCTCCGCTCTGTCTTTTGACTACCGCCATCTTTCTTCAAAAGTAGCGATTGGATGAAAACAGCGAGGTTTCATGTCAAGTAGGCAGAGGATGTGCTGTTGCTCTTTGAGATCATTCGATGGTCCGAGTTTACGGCACCACCGTCTTTTACGAGTTTCTTCGCCCTCGGTTTCGGTGTCTTTTTCTTCCCTGAAGTTTCCTTCCTGTTCTTAGTAATGCGGCTTGGTGCGGCGCATGGATTTTGTTTCAAGTTTCAAGCCATGACTTCGCCGCACGATCTCCCGCATACTTCGTACATCCATTTATGGAACACGAAGTACGAAACGTTACATTCCAATTCAATAAACGAAGTCTGACTGAAGTGCCAAGGCAACGTTCGTCGTATGTCATCCGTACTATCTGGCAACTCCCGACTGGTCAACTTAAATAGTGGTGGAGAAGACCATTTATAAGCGAGGAGATTGCGCATGTCTTCAGGCCCTGTTTGGTGAGCGAATAGCATTTTGAATCTACCATACAAACGACGAATCCAATCGAATTTTGCTCTATTGGATTCGACAAATCATGATTCTGGTTGGATCAACCTTCTATTCAAGTTGAATCCAATAGAATGGGTATATTCGCGAATCTACCATACAAACCTCCAATACGGGAAAAAGCCGTATTGCATGAATTAAATATCACGAATCTAGCGTTCCACGTGCACGTGATGCTATAACACGATTTTAAAAATAATATATCTATAATATAGCCTATAATTACCCCCTATCCCCTCTCTATCAGCGTCCTATTCTCTATAATGGCGCCCTATATACAAACAAAACGCCTATCACTCCATCTACATGCAGTAGCGTAGCATAAGGTTTAGCTGTGCTATATTTAGCACAGTACTAGTCGAATCCTTTGACCCTCCAATCTGAACAATGAAACGCCCGAAGAGAAGAGTTTCCAGGAATGTGGCGCACTATTGTGGAAAACAGTGGTAGCCATGGGTTGCAGTTGGTGCTTGTTCTGCATTGCTAACCCTTGATCTTCCTTGCTTGCTTTTGTTGTGGGGATCATATCGTAGATTCGCACTATTACGTTTTCCATTGGATGTGCTACTCGTTGTGAGATGTCATTACGCCCCCCTAAGCCTGGAGTTTAGAGAAGTCTTATACGCGCGCTTCCGGAAACGATCAGCACTTCACGTAAAGGCTAAGCCTTCTTATGTCCCAGATAGGTATTTCTCTTGATAGCGTCAACGCTTAAATTCTTCTTTGAACCGCAGAACTCTGACACTCTCCACTGCTTAGCATGGATCAATATGATCCTGCCTATATGACTGGCTATTGACCCTGGTGTAAATCTAGAAGCGTGGGTGAATAAAGCAAACCAATTTCAAAGTGGGACCTTAATTATACCCTGCTGCTTACTCTCGTAACTTACGATATATACTAGGGGAAGCCTCATTGAGTACTATGTCTGGCTTGTTCGATCTTGTCAGACTGGGTATTCATTCTGAGCTAGAAGCCTTGGAAGAATGCCAACGCTGTTAATCTCGTAATACAGTTCGTTCAATCCTCACGATGAATGAACAGCCAAGACAACACCCTTTAATCAATGAATGTCTATCTGTAAGTAAGAGTAGCCCTTCATTTCTTTGCCTGGTATTCTGAGCTAATCTTAAAATAGTTAACTATAACAACGTCAATCATCTATAGATAGTTTACCCCGCAATATCCAATATCTATAAGTTGTTTTCTGGATTCTTCGACTGTCTTCAACTTTTCCCGACGACGCGTAGGCACAGACAGACAGAACACCAAACCAAAATGGCACCCTCCACCAGTTTCATCGCTCTCTGCGGCCTCTTTGTACATTGCACTTTGACATCGGCATACACATTGACGTCCTCGTACGATCATACTAATTGGTATACCAGCTTTACCTGGCACAATGTAAGTTCTCCCCGAATTTCCTAACAACCCTTAACTGACAACAATATAGGAGCCAGACCCAACCAAAGGAACTGTGGAATACATCTCCTTAGCTGAAGCCCAGTCTAGTGGCCTCACGAAGATCGTCAACAACCAGATCTACATGAGCGTAGACAATACCACTGTAATTGACGCCTCCTCTACCTCCGGACGCAAGAGCAACTGGATCACCAGCAACAAGCCCTTCACCCATGGTCTTCTCATTGGAGATTTTGCGCATATCCCAGGCAGCACTTGCGGTGCGTGGCCTTCCTTGTAAGTCTAGTCACTACTCTCTTCCGACACCCTCTATCCTCATCGCATCCGCTAATCGGGCCATTTATGTCATAGCTGGACAATAAACAACAACCTAGGTGGTGAGATCGACATCCTTGAGAGCTTCTCGGACAACACTCAGAACTTTGGTAAGAAAATCCGACTCCTCATTCTCTACTCGCCTCAAAGAAAATTACTACAACTATTCCTTTGATATATTCACAAACGCAGTTCCCGTCCAATTAATACCGAGTCATAAATATGCTAACTCCAGCCCTAGCAACCCTCCACACTCAACCCGAGCACAATTGCACCTTCCAAGCCCCCGCCGACACCCAAATTGGCACCCCCAACAATGATGACTACGATTGCACGCTCCCCGCTTCCGGTTGCAGTGTCACAGGGCCCGTTGGCAGCTACGGTGATCCCTTCAACGCCAACAAAGGAGGAGTGTATGCTATGGACTGGACCAGCACATACATCAGGATTTACTTCTTCGCCAGAGCTAACATCCCGGCTGATATTACAAATGGAAAGCCAGATCCTACCAAGTGGGGACTACCGATGGCCAACTTTGACTCGAAGTATGGCTCTTGTGATGTGGGTGCAAGCTTCCCGGAGCAGACTATTGTAAGTAATCCATCTGGCCCCTCCCCCACCCCAACTCCAGCCTTTGCAAGATAACAACTAACCCTTACTTCTAGTACTTTGACACAACCTTCTGCGGCGCCGAAGCCGGAACCAGCTCTGGCTCCTGGGCAACATGGACCGACTGCGCGAAAACAACTGGCGTTTCGACATGTGAGGCCTATGTACGACAGCAGCCAGAGAAATTCGACACTGCGTATTGGTTAATCAACTCCGTTAAGGTGTACCAGTAAGGCACGATATGAGAATGAGAATGATGTTGTGAAATGTGGCTTTGGATTCTATTCATTTGTACCAGCAAAGTTTTCTTGCATAGGTAAATTGTAAGGATTTGGTTGAAGAAATTTTGGGCGCATATCCTTGAAAATACAATTTGGGTAAGGGCGTTAAGAAGGCCTAAGTTTAGGTAGAAATAATAAAACAAATGGTTTTATGCATTAGCTGTCCTTAGCAAGTTGGGAAATTGAATGTGCAAGTCTTCCGAGTTTACCCCTGAATCCGGCAGACATTCCACCAAAAAGAATGAGTTCCACATTGAAAATAATTGGGTGGGTTCAAGTTATTCAATTTTAAATTCTGTAGCGCTAGTAAATGTTTTATTTCTGGTGTGGAATTCACTTTGTGCTATGTCTGAATCTAATTCAAAGAGATAGAAAGCGGCGCTTCTAGTAAAACGGCAGATTCCATCCAGCGACCTTTTCTTTCGATTTCTGCTTATTACATTGTAAACAAAGTGTAGGTCATGATCAAACCAGGTGCCGGACTGCTCAAGCCTCGACGTACTACTGAAATCGTCGTTAACATGCGATGGAAAGTCAAGTGCTAATATTATGTGTCTAGGAGGCCTAGTTCATGAAATGCTAACATTAGATAGGTTCATAATGTGAGACTAGTAATAGTTCTTTAGCCTCACATGTATTGTGCAACGCCCAGACAACGCTCATCTTTACTTATCCTTGCAAAGCCTTTACTAGTTACTCAATTCAAAATCCCCAAACCGCGGCATAAAATCGCTATCATGTTGACCAAGGGGATCTTTCTCGCTGCATTTGTGGTTCTCAACACGAACTTTGCTATGGCCGTCGCTGTTACTCCCGGTGCGATTGCAGTTCGAAGTGCTAATAATGCTGATTCCGACTACAGTTATGACAAGCGCGCCGTCGCTGATTCAGACTATGGTTACGATAAGCGCTCGCCTTCAAATGCTGACTCTGATTATGGCTACGACAAGCACTAAGCTTTCTGTCTCAAGCAAGCAATGAAAAACGCCAGGCAAAGCTTGATGAGTTATATCAACATTGGACCATGATCCATCAAAAAAAAAAAGATGATTATATCTAATGCAGCGTCAGTCCAGGTAAACAAAAAGCCAAACCGGGCGGCTTGGACACGTCACTCAGGAACCCGTTGCATCTTCGCTGGATCGAGATCTCGACCTGCTGCTAGATAGACAATTGAATTAAACAAACCGATTTAGTACCACCAAAAATAGTCTCCAATTTCTTCCTAGAGTGGTGTGAGATGCAGCAGACCAATGGGCCTACTTAGGTAAATTGCCTGGTAATTGGTGAGTTTGGAGCTACTTAGTTGTGCGTTGCTCTTCAAATTAACTAACTTGAAAGTGACATCTCCCTTCTTTGAAAACCACACGAAGCTAGCTATATCCCTTCGGCTACATGCTTCTATAACTTTTAATCGAGCAAGCGCTTCTTGTAGTTCAAGCCGACACTTGCCAACAAGGACTTGTATTGGAATGAATCAGAAAACAATGCGACTGCGCATGCAGTCCAAGTTCGCATCACATATTGAGGCAATATTGCTACCTCGAATATGTTGTTATAATTCGAAGAGATCCCGAGCAGATATGCAATAGATTCTGAACCCTGCGGTGTCACGCGCTGAATCTGACAGCGAGGCTCTGCAAGCTTGATTTCGTCAGAATTTTTATCCAGGGGATCGTTCGACCCAGGATTTGGTGCCCTTTTAAGATATTGGCACAGTTGGTAAAAGCATAGATTCAGAAGAAATGGAAGTTCACAAACTATCCAATCCAGAATCCTGATCTGAGATGTCGTTGGCACTAGAGGCTAGCGAACGCTCTCACAGTCGCTCTAGCCCGCTCCTTTTCTCGGCGCGCCGCTCTCCTTTAATTTGACAACCCCGCCGCCTCCTTCACTCCTCCAACAAAACTGACTTTCACTAAAAAGGCTTCTGGGGCTGAGCTCTTCGCAAAGCCGTTCTGAAAAGTTTGCGCTGGTACACGGATAGTTGGTGTAAGTTTCAAGTTTCCAGTTTCCATCCTGTCCCTTTTGCTGAAGCATTGACGCAGAGCCCCTAGTGGCACGTCTTTTGTACTTATTTTTCATTTATAGGGCTTTTTACTAGCCTGATAAGGAGAAAGAATGTTTCATGTAATAACAACCGAGTTATACCAAAGTCAAACTCTTCTTTTTGGTTTACTCGCTACGAATGCTAATCGGAGAATGTAACTGTTTACGTTCCTATAGTGGTTCCACTTGAGGCTGCACGTGTTCCTGAAACGTCCTTTTCACAGGGCTCCACTTCCATCTGTTTTCATCCTTCGCCGCATGCACGGGTCGTTTACTGGTATTTCTCCATTGGCGTATCTATTTCTAGTGTTCAAGGAATATTGTCCCACATAAATCTGGAGGCTTTCCAGAAAAGTTGTACCGGTACGCCGTAGTCGTATAGTAGCTCGGCGGAAGTTACAAGGGTGTTGGCCACCAGGGAAGTTGATTATATAAAGTTTATCGTATTCCTCAATTGCATTGTCTCGTTTTCCAGGCCTGAATCTGTAAAGGAACTACAACCTCCAGAGTTTGGAAGGATTTAATTAATGCAAGATAGGAACGCAGTTCGGAACTATTTAGGAGCACTTGGCTCATATATACCGAGATGGGGTTTCCTAATGCCGCCCAAACCCCCGAAGTGCAACATTAAATTTAAACCCCAAATCTAAAGACCAGGAAAGAGAAAGGAAGGGAAAACGTATTAGAGAAAATCATAAGTAATTTATTATAAATAAGTAGCAAATATTCTTGACTGAGCCCTCCGGACTTCCCTGGCCAACTGCACTGCGTTCCTGTTTAGCTGGATCTTCGCAAGGATCACTAGCAGCGATTGAGTGACGGCTGGTAGATGCGGAGAAACACATGATTGGCTGCTCCCATAGTCAACAACCTCACCGTCCATTTATATAGGTCGCCGAGTTCCTCGAGGCTCTGAATCCTGATCCTTTGCCTAACATCCTGAACGACGGATCCACCGCCCAGGCCGTAGATGGCTTTCACAGCACTGCCATGAAGTATGTCATGGAAAGATGACTATGCTGGTACCGTGCAATTCAAATGAAACTACCTTGCGCATAGGGATGGAGCCTGCAAGTGGTGCCATCACTGGTACGGTACAGGAAAGCTTCTCAGATAAAGTCGTATATCACTCTCAGAAACCCCACATGTGCTGCCACCTCTCTCACTTTTTGTTCGTCTTTCTATCTGTCGATTTTATTATCTAAGTCCTTCGCTTTACATACTGGGGCTGCGTTTGTGTCTCTACATTCATTCATTACTTACCCCAAAAGTGTTTCATCATGAAAATCGCGTGCTTGATTCCACTGGCTCTGAGCTTCGCCGATCTTATCCAGGCTGAGGTGTTTACAACTTATTCAAATGAGGTCTTGACCTCTGTCGAATACATAACAACAAGAGTGCCTCATGTTTATACTATTACGGATGCAGCTGGCAGTGTAATTACGGGTAAGTTCTTGTGCTCTAAACTATAAGTATATAGATACTAAGTTGTTAGCGACGGATGAGGACCCCGATCCCACCGCGATAGCCACCGTCTCGTCGTCGATAGTCTCGTCGAATGTGACGGTAACTCTTGCATTTTCGAGTATAGCTGCTGGTGTAACAGCAGGAACAGCTTCAGCTTCAGCATCGAATTCGATAATCCCCACCGGATCCGTCGCGTGGCCTAATATAACGACGACTCCACCATCTTCTGTACAGCTTACCGTCTCTACTGCTTTAAGCACAGTGACCTATACTGTCACGCATTGTGATAATAATCCTGGTTGCCACATTGGTTCCGTTACTACAGAAGTTGTTGAATACACGACTACTTGCCCAGTTGGGACCAACACGCAGAACAGCACGGTCTTCATGACTGTCCCGCATACTGTATCGGTATGTACCCCTCACATGAAGTGCTTCCGGTCCGGACCGCTAACAGTACCATCAGCCTACCGAGACTGGGTCCGCTGTAAAGACTTTCACCCCCTCGACTCTCCTCACCTATTCCAAAGCTACGAATATCTCAGAATCTGAATCCAAACCATCCTTTTCAGCTACTGGTTATATCAGTGGAGCCATTACTACCAAAAGCGGGGAGTTGTCTTCCTCGGCGCGCTTCTCCAACACCACTTCACAAGCCTCAAAGTCCATCCCAACTCCACCTACGGGATCGGGATACAAAATCCCACCCACCGGCACCATACCTCTAGTAACACTTATCCCTGTTGCTGCAAGTTCAGACAACAGCGGCGCCGTTCCATCATATTTCCCCTTACGGAATTCGACGTCCGAGACGGCCGCCGGCGGGACTGCATCAGCTTCAATCTCAACCAGAGCTTCAGGAAAGCCTCACTCGTATAGCGCGTCACTTGCGTCCTACGGAACATCCGTGTCCTCACGCCATATTCTAGCTCCATCCAGTGCGAGCAGTGCCGAAAGTGCCGGTGCCTACTCTACAAACCTCTCAGTAGCAGCTCCATCTTCTAGCTCAAGCAACACCGAGAGCGCAGCCGGCGCCTACTCTACAAACCTCTCAGCAGTAGCTCCAGGTCCATCCGTAACCATCCCTACATCGCTACCCTCCAAAACAGCAACAGAAACAGCGGGCTCGACACGGCAGTCTTCAGCTGCCGCTTGCGTGACGCCAGCGTACAGCGAAGGCGGCATTGTCGCTCCGTCCGGCCTCGCTTTCAGCGCGGGTGCTAGCATCACTATGGATGGCACCGTGTATAGCTTTGCGGCCAATGCTACGGGCGTGCTTGGTATTCTGTCGGGCGCGGCGCCGAGTGCGAATGTTACATTTGTAGCGCCGAGTGCGCCGAGTGCGCCGACGAATTGGATTCGAAGGTTTAGGGCTTAGAATAGATGGCGTGCTGCTGAGCTGAGCACCTTTCTTTTAGGCGTTTTGATTTTGTTTGCGGGTTTCGGTGGAAGATGGTCGTTGTCTGAGTCTGAGGGAAGAGACGGCAATGGAGGCGGTTCGCGGGATTATGTGCAGGGTGGATTTGAGGAGCTGGAATGTATCGCATATAAGCCAAGACTACCTCCCTATGGCTGGAATCAAGTAGGGAGAACTGCTCTGCGTTTTCGGAGTCAGTGTCTTCATTTCCACCTGTATATATTTATAGAATATGTGGTTGCTTAGGCACTACTTGGTGATTTGGCGTCCTGAAGATAGATTATACGATCTATACGTTCTATACGTTCTGGCCTACTAACACTTGATTTTCATCCTCTGTGAACTCAGTAGGAATCAAGCCCCTTCTGTGGAGAGCTATATGATAGATGTTGGCTTTCTTCTTTTCAATTGTATGAAGCCCAAACTCTTGGGTAAATTGGTTGCGAGGAATGCATTTAAACAATGCTACGGCCATGATAATTAGCAAGATTGGTAGAAAAAGAGTATGAAAACAGAACTATGGTATTGCATTAATAAACTGTGAAACAAATAAAATATAAAGAGCCGACTGGCAGTGAAATCTCCTCGGGGAGTCCTGGCGTCGTGATACCGGAACGCCTTGCTATCCTTCCCTACTCATTTACATATCTCATCCATGTCACCCACCCATACCATCCATCATAACCTCTTCCCACCAGCATAATTTCAGAAGTCATCTAGATCTCCAAATCAAGTATCCAGCCTCCTCACCGCCACTCCAGCCACCCCCGGACTTGCACCCACAACCTTCCGGTCCCCAAAATTATGTAACCGCTCCCCAATCAGATAAACTTCATCCCGAATCATCATCCGCCACTTCCTCAACATTCCTAGCACACGCCACGCGCTCACACCCACGCACGCCAACCCTAAACAAACCGGATACATATATCGATACACCAAAAAATGCTTCTCCTCCTGGGTTTTCAACGCAGTCGCCGCAACCGTCTTAGCAAGTAGCCAAGGCCCCACCAGTGCTGTGGAGAGCGCCAGCACGGATGGAAGGATGAAAGAACGTGTTGCTAGTTTTGCGTCTGGATTGAGGTAGCCATTCCGTGTAATAGCGCGTAGACTTTGTGCGGGGCGGGAGTCTCTGTGCCAGAGAATAAGGCGTGTAGTGAGCTTCACGTATAGCAGGCCAAGCGTCCAAGATTGGACGAAATGAACGATATGTGGCTCATCAGCCGAGAAATACGTATGCAAAGGGACGATGAAATAGAACTCCACCAAAAATGCAAAGAGTGTGGGCAGAATAAAGAGGAAGGCGGAGTATGTCCACGCTATGCTCGCTACACGCGCCGTGATCTTCGTAGCGCGGCGCAGTACGTTGTGTGGTGTTTCGGCATTGATGGCGAGGGCGGTGCGGAGGTAGATTGTGAAGGTGCGGAGATTGAGGACGCAGTACAGGAGGGAGCCAAGCATGTAGATACCGATTGAGAAGGCATAGACGTCATTTTTGCGAACATAGGGTGGTATTAGCTTGCCGAATATGTGGCGGCCGAAAACAAGAGGCACAATAGTGATTCCTACTCCAGTTGTTGCTGCGAACAGCCAGATGGATAGGATAAATAGAAAGATTCGGAGTCGGAAATGAGGTGGGATGTAGACTTGTTTGTAGAGGTCTGAGTTCTTGCCGTGGACTCCGTTGGATCGGTCTACTTTGCCGTCGACTCTTTGGTTTGAAGAATCTACCTCCATGAATATTCTGACCCCTTTTGGAATTCGGACTTGGTCGGATGCTGGCGCCCGTACGTATTTCCCGTCGAATCGGAAATAAGCCTCGAGCTTTGGGTCATTGTTGAACGGCTCATACAAATCTTTAGTCGTGACAGGATGGGAAGGGTCTCCTTTAACGCCTCTAAGTAGACCTGTCCAAGACCTCCGTACATGATATCCCTCTTCGTCAATCTTATGCTCATCAAACATGAACCATGTAAGTCGGAGCATTCGTGCGCATTGACGGAACCACCAACGATACATCGAGTGTAGCCCATCGGAAGGTTTGAAGAATCTGACGGCCATTGGCATTAGGAAATTGTAGAAAAGTAAATCGATTGGGAACTCCAGGACTGGCTCGTTCGATGACCAGTGTATGGGGAGAACGCCTTTGAATGCAAATGCCAATCCCCAAACAACGCCCCCCAAACAGACCACTACCAGTGCGCCGTAAACCAACGCGCTAAACATGATTTTTCGAAGTTGCGTTGCTACATTTCGCTCTAAGACATCTCGTACCGGGTGGAATGTTGGATCATCAGGATCACGGATGAAGTCTGTAGATGTCAGTATACTTTCATTAATAGAGTTGCGGATGACTTACACAAAACTCCCTTCCGCATTATTTTCCGACACATTGAAACAAAGAGAGCAAAGTGGAACATGTAGCATGTACCCACAAACCAGTGCACAAATAGAGAAGTCAACGGAGACTTGAGCGTAAAGAGGATTCGTGACATGACTGTAGCGTTGTCGAAGAGGGGAAGTAGCGCGCCATCGAGCAGAAGTCCACAGTAGAGAGGGAAGACCAGCATTTCGATGCTGATAATAAGGATGACTTTGATCACACCGCCCGCTTGGTTAAGTAGGTCAATGACAGTTGCTTCCCACTCGCGACCCTGCTGATTGGTCGAGAACGGCGAGCCCTTTTTCACATAAATAGCTCCCAAAATGAAGAGGGCGCTATAGCCGCTAAATATAGCCCAGAATCTGTCCCATCCAGTCCAGACACTAAGTTCAAGGTCAAGAGGTACAGCTCGCTTCGGGACTTCCAGGCTGATCACCCAGGAATCAGGCCTGGCAAGCAGGCTAGGTACGGAAGCAAGCAAACGCCACACATAGGCCAGCGAGTCGACTGCTGCAGATTGGACGCCTGAAAAGGTTATATGATAGTCCCCCGTAAATAAGTAGATCACGGAAGCACCAAGACCTGCGATAGAGTCGATAATAGATGTCTTGAGCGTAATCAACGACTCATGCGAAGCAGCCGAGAAGGCGAAAATCTCAGAATCAGCAATATGAACTAAGCTGTGGACAGTGCCATTCATGATTCGCCCAGCGGAGTTCTGCGAGAGTTGCATCGCGGCCGAGCCTAGCCCACGAGCTGTGTCCCCATTTGCAGCCGAATAGAAGAGCCCTATGATCCACGAGCAGATGGTAACTATGATATATGATATCATGCCCAATACTGAGAGTGACAGATCTTGTAGGAAAGCGGCGAAACCGTAAATAACTCGTAGAGGAAATTTAAGAGTGGAGCCAGGGTTGGCTAATCCTAGGAGGGAGATTCGACCGATGTTATAAGGAATCCAAACTCCAAAGGCAACTGTCAATGCTAAGAGGAAGGCGCTGAATAGAGCGTTCTGGACTAGGCTGAATATTGGGCCACGCATTCCTACGAGCTCCATGATACCTTCGAAATCCTCAGCGTCATCAATGGCATCTTGGTCATTCGGATCAAGGCCTGCAGCAATCACAGCCTCAACGACCTCACGATCTTGCTCTGGAAATTGACCCTCTGGTTCATCAAACAAATGTTGATGGGCAACGGGTACAAATGGAGCTTCTTCAGCTATGTCTTGAACAATCCGTTCGTCATTCTCCCCTTGCTCGTCTAGATGGTCATCACCAACGCCTCCCCATAAAAAGTCGGCAACTTGCCCTAAGAAACCTTGAGGTGCAACAGGTGGTGCGATAGGCGGTCCTTGAGGCTCTGCTGGTGGAACTTCTGCGTTGGGTGGAAGGAGAGGTTCCCGGGTTTCCGGTAGAGGAGGGATGGGGCGAAATAGGTCTGATTGCGGTCCCTCGCTCTGCTCTTCGGTCTCATTCTCAGGATCATTGTCAACAGGATTCTCAGGGAAAAGGTCTTGAATGTTCTCAACTGTTCGAGTAACTCCATCTTCGCCTTGCACGGTGATAGGACCGCTTTCTACCATCTTAGTAATCTCTGCGCCGGTTAATGCGCGTGGAGGGGGTCGATAGTTTGACAGCTCAGGCTCGTTGTCATCAGAGATGTCCCCCTGGACGTATTTAAAAGTAGCCTGCTCTGTTTGGTCATCTAATCCAAATAGAGAATTGAGCGGAACCAGATCTGAGTCCGATTCATCATCGGTGTCTTCCCGAGACTTTAGGTTGGTGTTGACTCGAATAGCTGCTTGGTCCGTCTGATTATCCTCGTCCAGGAGATTTGAAAAACTCCAGTTGTTGTTGGCAAGCGGGGATATGCTATCTTTTCTCTGAGGGCCGTCCGAGACAGCTCTGGGTCTAGATGAACTTGATGTGAACGTAAGGTCGTTCCAAGAGGTTTCTGCGAGCGAATGATTGGGTGGCAGATTCGTAAGAGACTGTAAGGCTTTCGCGGGATCGGAGTGTTCAGGAATCTCGTCTGTTGCCTTGCCCTTCCCCTTTCCGAATACAGGATCCTCGATATTCCCAATATCACTAATATCAGAGCGGCCGGAAATGTTTCCAGCCGGTAATGGCTGCGTTTCTCCCGGTTGCCGAATATCGACCCAGCTTTCGGAACTTGCGCTGCTACTTCCATTTTCTGTCTGCGCTGCCCCATCCTTAGTAGCAGGATGGCCAGTCTTATACAATTCTGACTCTGATACTGGTTCGTCTTGGCTGGAGCCTGGTAATCGCAACCCATCATCTTGACGGAGTGGGTTCTGAAGGACATTCATTGCATTAACCCAATAACGCATATCATCGCTTTTATTCTCATCTTCAATAATGCGCAAAACCTTCTCGGGGTCGCTATCCGCACGCCGCCAGATTGCCAGAAACTCTTCAGTATGTCTAGGCTCCTCTTCAAGCCGTCGATGAATTTGAGCAGCAGGCCCTAACGCATCTCTGGGCGCAGAGGGCCTACCAGGTGTTAAGGTTCCTGCATCATCTCTTTGAGAAGGGCTCGCCGGACCGTCGTCTGGGTCATTATGGCGTTCTTGCTGGTGTCTTTCCTCGACTTGTCCGATTTGTCCAAGTGGGTTATTTCTTCGCCGGGGCCTTGCCATCGGTCGCTCACGAGGAGGTTCTTCATCATCCTCAGTTTCTTCATCCTCCCTTGCCCGATCAGCGCGCGCATTTCGGCGAGGACGTATATCGGCCACGGGCTGTGGATCTCTTACTAGACCACCCGCAGCAAATTCAGCATTGAATCCAGCCCCCATATTGATTCCAGGTTGTTGCTGTACAACCCATTCTCTTATTAAGAAAATGAGGACAAAACATACAACCACCAGAATAGTGATTACGTAACCTTCAGCAATGTAAATCAAAGCATCGTTGACCGCAGCATGGCGAGTAAAATTCCGCAAGAAAGAAACTTCACCCAAGAGCGATGGACTAGATGGTGGATTGAGTTTCATGAGTGACAATGTGATATTGACGTTGTCCGATTGGTTTTCTGGGATGACCACGCTCTGAATTCCCAATCCGTAGTATAGAGATTTGAATAAGCCGGCAGCGAGAGGGTCCGAGCCGCTTATGTTCAAAGTCTGAGATACTGGCATCAAAAACCCAATGAGTTTCTCCACAAGTTCACTAATACTCGCAGAACTGGTTGGAGCAACCTGAAAAGGGGTGACTGGAGAAGTTCCATTTGCAGGCAGAGTGGCAAGCTCCAACTCCCGGGCCACTTCTAGCGCTTGTATCGAGCTGGAGTTTCGAAAAGAATCCAACTTCGAGTGATTGGACGGCCATCCTCCATCACTAAACCAAAATAACAGCCTCCAGACCTGTCTTATTACATACGGAAGACATGCAAGCCAGACTACGACCACCAGGCAGGCCCTCAAATACGTCGCCAGGTTCTTTCCGATGTGGATGATGACATGTCGAACGAGGACGTGGAGGGGTAGAGACTGTGGCATATTCGGCGAATATAGCTTGGTGAAGCGAAAGGGCGTCTTGCAAAGCTCGCAGTGTTTCTTCTGTGAATGCGATAGCCATTCCATCAAGCAGTCCTGGTGGACGTGCTTGATACTTCCGCTGCATTTGCATGGATGAAATAGAGGTTCGGAGACACCCCCTTCTCCTCTACATATCCTACAAGTGTCTACATCGCCCATTCCATCTTCTCCGCCTGCATTATTCGTGTCGAACTGTGGATCGTTCATGATGTCGGGAGGAGAGTCTTGAGACACGAGGGGATCTGCTAAGTCTGCCATCGATGCGAGAATGTATTATTAATCGGCGTAAAGAGAGAATCGAAGTTGTTAAAGTCGCAGCAAAGGCAAAGCCTCTTTCATCAATTTATAGAAGCATCTGGGGGCGCCTGTGCTTGTAGCCGCCAAAACGCTCGTCGTGGTGAAGGGTCCTTTTGTTTGTCGGAGTCTAGAAGAGATGCCCAAAAAACGACTGGGAGGAATTTCTGGACTCCGGGGCGGTATCGTATTTGAGAAGATCTATGTTCTGGTTACTGCGTTTGCGAATGGTCGTAAGTTGGAGTTGCATGGATGGCGGAGGGCTAAAGTTACCTTATCCGTTCCATATGACGGAGGAAAGGTCGGACCGAGTGGTGGAGGTGCCGGTGCTTTATGGATAGCAATAGTTTTATCACGTGATGTATGTAGCTCAGAGTGACAACGTCATTTAAAGTTTTGATTTCAGTTGTTCAAAGTTAAGCCTTCCATAGAAGCCTTGTCTTCAACGGCTGTTGCAATGCGGTTGCTGCCTGAAATTGCAATCATTAAGGTATACTAGGATTTTGATGCAGGAGTCTGTGATCCGATGGGCATGAAACAATGTCGTCGCTTCAGATGAAAAGGAAAATTGCTGGCAACATACTAACTAGGTAGACATCAGCTCGGTCTTTGTTAATATCTTCATGATCATTGCTAGTACTGTAAGCAATACACCTCTATATAGTAATAGTAGTCACCTTTTCCCTTCAGCCTCGCAGTTCTACAACCAGGAAGTTAGGAACTATGACGTGTGTCTTCTAGCGCTCGCAGCCTGTCAAATCCAACTTCAAGCCAAGCCAAGCTTTGCCTGTGATAACACGGCGGGACGAGACCATAATAAAACAAGATCCCTCTCTCTCCCCCCCTTTAATAGTTCATTCTCCCCTACTCAACATCCTCATTTTCATGGTCGCGTGCACTTCTATTGTACCTGCGCCCATTCTACCATACAATTGGGTTGTATCATTAACGCCTACTACGTAAGATCCGACGTTCCAGGTCAAGTCCGTGTTGAGCGTTTTGAGATAAAGCTTATTCGCCAAAGCTCTCTGAGAGCTTCTCCCTCCACCTTTTCGCCTTCTGCCAAAACACGCCCAACAAATCCTCAACGGCTGGTTCCACGTCTTTCAGAGCTGCATGCTGTAGAAAATGGCGGTGGAAAGTAATGGAAGGCTACTTGACCCGGGCCAGAAAAGTATGAATGGTCAGGCCATAGCTACCAGGTCCAAGACGGTCAGAAAGCGAAAGGGCTTCAGTCTCTTTAGCATGATAACCAGGTATTTCTGCCCGAGCAGCACAAGACAGTGTGGCACAGCACAGCTCCAGCTAACATTCTACTAGACTCCTAACCTGGTACTCAATAATCACAATACTATTCCGATGTCCTGCGACAGTCGACCTCCTGACAGATACCTCCCCAAAGATTTGCAAACCATATTTCCAATTGCGTTCTGCAGTTGCCCCCCATCTTAAACCATACTACGATGCATATGCCGCGCGATATATTGACGCAGCGAGACCTTACTACGAAACCCTCGATAAAAGAATAATTACACCAGCTACAGTCTTGGGAAAGAAGTATGGAGCTCCTCGTGTTGCCCAAGCCCAGGCATTCGGTCAAGCACGTTGGGAGAAGACTGTGCAGCCACAAGTTGAGAAATATCAAAGCATTGTGAAGGGAAAATACGACGAGATGGTGGCGCCACATGTTGACAAGGTCGTAACAACTACGGCTCCATATTACGAGATCGCAAAAACGAATGCCTTCCAGACATATTACGGGCACATCCTTCCAACGTACAATGCAGTCCAGCCATACGCTCTTCAAGGTTACGGCATAGCGAGCGACTTCACGGTGAACACTGCATTTCCTTACTCGAAATGGGCTTGGGCCACCGGAGCAATATTTGTTGAAAGAACTTTGTGGCCAAAGTTACGGATCTTGTATGGAGAAAATGTAGAGCCTCAGTTGGTTAGAATTGGTGAGCGACTTGGCAGATATCGGGATGGCAAGAAACTGAAGGCAGTTGTAGAAGATGTTGACATGTAAGAATTACCCCAATTTCCCTAGAACATGTCAACTAATCCATCACCAGCTCCGCGTCCGCTTCTTCTGCTTCAGAGACATTTTCCTCAATCTCATCTTCTATTGCATCAGCTCGCTCGGCGAGCACGCCATCCACAACTTCTGGTGTTGCTTCGACTGCGTCTGTTGCAGCTCCAGAGGATACCCCCAAGTCCGAAAAGGAAATCCGCGAAAAAGCACAGGTAATTGTGGCCAATGATCTCAAAACATGGCAGGAGAAATTCGCCAAGGCCGCCGACGAGGGGTCCGACGAGCTTGAAGACCGCATGACCGAGATCACTCATAGGCTGGTTCAGAACCAGGCACATGGCGTTGGAAAGGCTCTTCTAATTCAGCTGGAAGAGACTGTCAAATCTAGCCTCAAGAGCTTGAAAAGCAACATCATTTCCATCATAGATGGTTCCAAGGACGCAGAAGAGTCCGAGGAAGCTATTGGCAACGCTGTTCGCAAAGCGGGCGTTGCAATCAAGGAAAAGGCACAAGCCGTACGAACTTGGAGGCAGAACTTTGACCGAGAAACAAACTCGCTAGTAGAAAAAGCTGCATCTGATACTTTTGAGATACTTGATCACATCCGAGATCTTGGATTGCAAGAGATAGGAATGAGATGGGCGTGGACCGATGGAATCACGCACAAGGACTGGACTAAATACCACAAGTTGAAGGGAAAATTTGATGAATGGCGTGTAGATGTCGAGAACGTCGTGGCTGAACACCCAGGGCTTGGAAAGGCTCGCGCAGCATCTGAGGAGGTTGAAAACAAAGCCATGGGCATTGCGGAGGAGGCAGCAAAAGAACTGGCTCGCCTCAAAGAGACGGGACGATGGAAGCTTTCAACCAAAGATACTAGTGATGACTGGAGCACCAAATATATGCCAGCCGCAGCCGCAAATGCTGCTCAGAAAGTCATTGATAAAGTCAAGGAAGCCAGTGAGGCTATCGCGCCTTCATCTCAGGGCACAATAGAGTCTGTGGCTTCTGTTGCCAGCTCATCGGTTGCTGAAGCTGTCTCTTCCGCTTCTTCAATCGCTGCTTCTCAGGCTGACAACGCCCAAAGCGCTGCTTCGTCAATTTCCTCAAAGGTTGTAGGTACACCACAAGGAAATGTTGAGAGTGTCATTTCAGTCGCGAGTGCAAGTGCAAGCAGTGTTGCCGACCAAGCTTCGAGCTCGATCATTGGCACGTCACAAGGTAGTGTCGAGAGTGTTACTTCGGTCGCAAAAGAATTTGCTAGTAGCCTGGCCGACCAAGCTTCAAGTTCTGTTATTGGTACTTCGCAAGGAACTGTAGAGAGTGTTATCTCGGTTGCTTCTGACAGCGCAAGCAGTCTTTCCGCCAAGGCGTCTGCCTCTATCGCTGGAGAAGAGCCAGGGGTTATTGAAAAGGCATCGAGCAGTGTTAAATCGGCAGCTTCTGTCGTCTCCGATACGGGTTCTAGTATCTTAGACGCCGCAGGCTCGTCGATTAGCACAGGCAGTAGCGAAGTCTCAAAAGCTGCTTCGAAGGCGTCCAGTTCATTGAGTTCTGCAACTTCGTCCATTGGGAGCTCTTTGTCGAAGAGTGTCACTGATGGTTCTAGCGCTGCTAGTTCAGCTGCGTCATCTGCCTCGAGCACAGCGTCTAAGAAAGTGTGGGGTGGTGCAATGGCACAGCACGTCGAGGCTAGACAGATTGTTTATGAAGACATGGTTGAGGATTCAGATGAGGAGACTTACAGTGAAAAGATCCAGAGTATGGCAAGTGAAGCTGGCGATAAATATGCCGACCTCACCAAGGCAGTCAGCGAAGCCTTGTTAAAGCCTTCCAGCACTCAGGGGTATCAAGTCACGAGCCTCGCCGCCCAGCAGTATTCAAGTGCTTTCGCAGCTGCTAGCTCTGCTCTTTACGGATCTGAGCAAGGGACTGGTGAAAGCATTGCCAGTGCTGCGTCGAGTCGTTATGCTGATGCTGTTTCAGCGTAAGTTTACAAGTCCGATTTATCGTCCTCACCCAGCTAATATCCATCTAGCGCTAGCTCTATCATCTACGGAACACCAGCGCCTATTACAGACTCCATCGCCTCCAAGGCAAGCGCTGCTTATAGCAGTGCTCTTTCTGTGGCCTCGGATAACTATGACAGTGCTCGCTCTGCAGTTTCCGCTCAAATATCTGGCGAGCCGAAACCCGCCCACGAAGCATTGTTCAGCTCTGCCCAAGCTGCCTATTCGGATTCCGTTGAAGCAGCGAGTTCTGGGCTACAAGCTGCTGCTTCCGCTGCCTCGACCGCGATCTATGGGGCTCCACCAGGAGCACTAGAGTCGATGTCTTCAGTAGCTCAGTCAAGACTCCAAGAAGGTCTTGGTGCTGCGGCTTCTCGATATAGCGATGCGAAGAGCTATATAGCAGCCATTAACACCGGCGCTCCCCAAAAGCAAAAGATGCTCCAGCAAATGCAGGAACAGTATTATGCAGGCATTGGAATGGCTCACGCCCACTATTCTGAATTCCTCGAAGCAGCCTCTTCGGCCGTCATGCCGAAACCAACTTCGTTCCACGAGAGCCTTTACGGTAAAGCAAGCGCAGCAGTTGTAGGAACGCCTACTCCTGCTTATGAAAATGCGTTGAGCACAGCTCAAAGTGCTTACTCAGGCGCTGTAGCCGGTGCTTCTTCGCAGCTTGACCAGCTCTTGTCATCCATCAAAAGCGTTGGTGGGGCACAAAAAGATCTCGTCGCAACAGGCGTCGCATCCTCGCGCTACAGTTCCGCACTGGCTGAAGCATCAAGCTCTTACGCAAGCATCTCATCCGCAATCGCTGAGAAATTCAAGGACAAGGCATCAGGTGCATCAAATGTCATCTACGGTAGCGAAACTCCTTTTACCGAGTCCGTCGCCTCGGCTGCGAGCGAGAACTGGGAAGCTCTGATCACGAAAGCAAGTAATCAGATCTACGCTCAACCAACACCATATTTCGTCACCCGACGCCTTGTATCTGAGGCAATAGAATACGGTGCTGCTGCTACAGATGCTGCTGCAAACCAATACCATGTTGTGCAGTCAATCATTAGCGAGCTTGTTGTTGGCAAGTAAGTTGCCTTTTCCCTCACCTCTTCACCCTCAATTACAATGCTGACTATTCACAGAGAACCCGATTTCACCGAGAGCGTATATAACAAATTATCATCGGCATACTACACTGGTGCGGGCGAAGCAGCCAGTTCAGCATCCTCCTATGCAAGCGACGCCTACGCATCCGTAACATCCGTCATCTCCTCCGTCTTCACGCCTCCTCCCGCTCTTGAAGATATCCTAAGTAGTGCCTCCGCACGTGTCAACGAAGCCATCGACGCCGCGTCCGTGCAAGTATATGGCTCCAGCACAGGCTATGGAGAAGCTGCGTCAAGCAGTATCGCAGACGCCGCTTCTTCTGCCCAAAAAGCTATCTCTGAAGCCATTTACGGAACCTCTACCGGTACTTATGAAAGCGTTACCAACGTGGCAGGGGAAACGTACGCATCTGCTACAGACGCAGCAGCAGAGGCACTCTCAGCTGCTCAAGCAAAGGTCAGTAGTGCGATATATGGAGAGGAACAGAGTGCCGTAGAGAGTGCACAAGCGAGGCTCAATGCTGCAATTGAGAGTGCGAGGGCTAAATTGGGCGAGTATGCGGTGAGTGCTGGAGGGCAGGCGAGTGAGGTCTACAGCAAGGCTAGTGAGGGCGTAGAGGATTTCGCGTCCAGCGTAAGCTCGGTCGTTGAAAAGGCTACTGGAAGTGCTAAAGACGAGCTATGAATTGGGTGATTAGATGCGATTAATGGAATGGAACGAGTGTATGAAAGAAAGATCCTCTCCTTTATCACCATGGTTGGCAGGTCGGTTGCCTGGGCGGGGAATACTCTTTTGACACGTTTTTCCTTTGACACCTTGCAATGCAAGCGGAATTGAGCGATATCCAACTCTTGTGTATTTATGTAGCGTAACGTAACGTATTGTATGTGTGTATGCGGAAATGAAATAGTATTGATATCATCCGGTTTCGGTTTCTCCAGGGTATTTATTGTAAATGGATACATACGTGTGTGTCTGGGTACCCTATGCCCCTGTATAGCTAGAGTCTCGCAGATACAGATATGTCGATCGAAGTCTAATTCTAGTCGCTCTAAGTATATAATTATCAAAGATTATAAATACTCCAATACTCCAACGCCAACATAAGACTCCCCAACGATCCAGCCTCAACTCTTGGCGCGAATAAGTTATTCAATCTATTTTTCTTCCCCTCTTTCCTCCGCGTGTTCTCGTTAACGGAGACGGTGTGCGTGATATGGCGGGCGTGGATTTAGATTTCGACAGGTCGATTCGTCTTGTGTTGTATTATAAATGGACTCTGTACTACCTCAAATTCTAGACGCTCTCTTGGTGTTCGATCCGAATCCGTGACCGTGACCGATGTGCAATTTCTTCTCTCCATCTAAGGGGCACGAAAGTATTAGTAAATCCCGAAATAGCATAACCAGTCCTACTTTCACTATTCATTTACAACGCCGCTTCCATTTCTACTTCCAGCTTATTTTTATGTTTCTTTGCGTACGCGGTATGGTGATATGAAAGGGAGGTATCATGTTACTTCACGGAGCACTTACACAGGTCGTCCGGCATGATCATATGTTAATCCAGGGATGCCACTTGGTGTCTCTCTTCTCACTAATTTCGCACCATTTCCGCTTTGGTTTCCGTTTTCGTTTCTTGGGGATGATTGTGATTGTGATTGCGCGTGAGATTGCTTTTGGACTTCTTTCCGTGTGAGGTATGGCTCTGGTCGTTGTGGGTATAGGATTTTGGTGTTTCCGCGTGGAGGGGGGGCGACTAGTTCGGCGCGGAGGCGGGATGTACACGATCCCATTTTGCTTGGAGGTGGATGCGGGTGTAGATGTGGATGTGGGGGGTATGAATGGAATGAATTATATAACGGACTGAGGAAAATATTAGAGGAGAAGGAGACGTATGAGGGTATGAAAGGGAAGGGGAAGAAGTAAATTGGGGAAAGGAAGGGGAGGGGGAAGGGGAAAGGGAAGAAGCTATAGTTTGCTGGGGCGGTAGAGTGGATGTGTAGTGTGGGGAAATCCGGGGCACCGGGTGCATTTAATTTGAGGTATTTTTACAAGTAAATTAGAGTTCTTTGTTTTTAAATGGCTAATTAGATACCAAGCATAAAGATGTGTGAGATTAGAGAGCTGGTTAGTAGAGGTTATTTGTCTGGAGAAAGAAAGTGCCTATATTTATTTATTGACACGTGACTGGGGATGACTCGCTGTTTCGGTCCATGGTCACGGTCTAAAAGGTACCTTTTGAATATATTAGAAAGGTTTTGGATGTTGTATCTTGCTCAAGTTGTGTTTTGAGTTCAAATGAAGTGGAAGCTATTTGATGTTATGAGCAGGAACAGGGGCAGACTCCGTTTACACGTGAGCTCCATCTACCAAACTAAGCAGGACAGAAAGTGGAGGCATGATGGATGATAGGACAGACGAACGAAGGTCAACAGATGCAGTTTTAGGTACTTGCTCGTTCATTTCTTCGGTAATTTCTAGAGTCAAAAGCCATCCCGGCTCCAAAGAACACATACACATACATCTGTTTGTCGCTGGTTAGCACTCGCCTCAATCGACGCCTGAACCTGGGGGCAGATGATCTCAAGTAGGATGAATATGGATGTTGGTGTTGACGACGACTTACGGCTGAAACACAACAGACAACTGAGGCTGGAACCAACGAGATGACATACATCTTCAATGCCAGAGGCCGGCAATCAAATGAAAAGCCAGGAAAAGGATCAAGATGGATATTATCGACAAGACCAATACCTTGTTCCAACATGAATTGCATAATAGACAAGATTACTCTGAAACATCTGGTTCCAAGCATCCTTAAGCCAATAAATAGAGTCCTACGGACACGTCCGAAACGGAGTGGGCAAGGAAACAGATCTTATAACTGCTGCTCCCCACACTTCTCACAACCTAAATGTTCCATCAGGACGCAGACCTTGAGAGATAAGATATGACTACAGTAGATGTTGGTCTGATTCTAAGCCCCAAGATGTCAAGACTGATCAAGGATCGATTAACATACTTGTAGGAACCGCAAAGAAGCCGTCGGACCTACTTTATCAATGTACACTCCCCAGTCTGCCCAATCGTCAAAAATCATGAAACAGCGAGGATTCCCGGATAGATATCGTAAGTAAAGAGATACGTACTGTAGCCATATTGCAGGAAAAGTCGGTGAAACTATCAAATGGTCACTGGACTCAGCATCCTTTACGCCAACTGCCAGATAACGCCATTTCTGGGGCATAATGGAACAATAAGGACCCCGAAAAAGGATTTTCTCAGGGTACAATACTGTACCAAGGCTTTGAAAAGGATCAGCGAAGTCCTGCAACCTCTAATCTGGGTCCTGGAGCCACCGGCGTATATCGTACATTACGCACTGTTGAACAACCAACAATTCCACATCGTGACCAAAGAACCAACAATACCAAAAGCCTGATTTCTCATTATTATCGAATGGGGGATTGCAACAAACGCAACTCTGCTAGATGCCACGTTTCAAATACATTATTGGATGGTCGAGCAGAAAGAAAGAAGTTTCTCTAATGCGCAGGCTCAACATACTCGCTAAAATGCAAGGCTGTGCTGTGCACACTACACTTCCACACACTACCCTACATTAGAAGGATCTCCGCCTTGCCGCAGCATCCAGCATCCAGCATCCATCCATCGTTGAACTTAATTTGACTTGTGTGTTCTATTTTTGGCATTTTACGAGGTTGACCTTTACAGATACATAAAGCCAAACATGATTCCATCATGGCCTCTCAATGACCTCTCCTCTTCCGTCGGCCAGCATCCTTAGATACCACTACCCACGATTTCAATTGATTATCTCCTCTCAATAACAATTCAACTAAACTACGCGATGTCTTATACAACCTTCGACGAAAAAGCAAACTACGAGCAACGCTGCCACCGCCGAAACAGGCCTTCCATATCTTCAGGTTCCAGCCACTCTTCACTATCAGAGAAAGACGAGAACCCTCCTCCATACTATGAGCGCACTTTCTACAATTCCACCGCAGACAAAGCTCTTCCTCCTCTGCCAGTACAACCGCGACGTGTAAGGTTTGCTGTGAAACCGCTGCCTCCACTACCAGAAGGGCAAAGGTATAGATCGGATAGCGATAGTTCGGTGGAGTCGGTGGAGGCGGAAGCGGAAGGGGAGGGTGAGAGTGCGTATTGGGCGAGTGAGAAGAGGGGGGGTAGGAGTGGAGGGTATGGGGAGAAGAGCAGGCCGTAAAAGAGGCGATATTGTTGTATTATCATGTTGTCACCAGGCAGTGCGCCTCGAATGGTGACACGTTGGTGCTTACCTTATAAGGGACGGGAGAACCGGTCACTCTTTGGAAAGTTTCTTTCGGTTCCGATAATAGGATAAATCCCAGAGAAAAGAGCTCGCGCTCTAAGGCGTTTGGATGGCGGTACACATTCTTTTGATATTATGGATTATGTATACCCTATGGCGTTGAGGTCTTTTTTGGAGGAAAACTAGGTGTTATTTAAAAATCATGCCTTATGCTATGTAGCGGTAGAAATCAATTGAGAATCTTCAATCTAAATATGGACCCCTATAGATGTACCGTACCACCACTAATTATTAGGCGAAGACCTTATTTTTGGGGAGGCGTCGGCGTTGTTCATGCTTCATACCAACAAGTCAGGCCTTCGCCTGCCAATTAAAGCTATTGAACTATAACTTCATCGCTTGGAGAAATCGTAAGAATCCTGTACTTGGCTGCTTGGGTGGCGTGGCGCATCTGAGAGACGTTGCTTAGCTGAGGCTGCCGTAGGCTTCTCCGACTTGCCAACGCATTTGACAAAATGCCCATCTACATCACCTATCAAGTCTCCAGGTCGATGAGATTGTCTTTATTCTAGACAGTTCTATAGACATCGATGGATTTCAAACGTGGTTCAGAACTTCAGATCAGAGAGGTGGCTGTGCAAAGCATATGCTTCAAAGTGGCCTGACAATTACAATCTGGTACCTGAAAGCAGATCTGCATATGTCGGATTAGTTAGCACGAAAGCCAGTGAACCACTCACATCAGGGCTCCTAGGTACTATCTTCACATGTGATTGGTAGCCCTGAATACGAAATCGTGGGGTGACTTCCACCTCTATACAACATCAGACGATGTCAAACATACGAGCATCACCGCCTCTAGAGTCGCTGACCAGCGACGAGAAGTGTCAAGCTGACGCCGGGCGAGCTTGTCCACTGCAAATGGTATAAAAGAACTTGATGTCCGGTAAGTCGCAATGTTCATTCTCCAAGTAGTACATTTACAGTACATCAAAGACAAAGACATTCAAACATCAAAGTTACAGCAACCCAGCGTGTCAGAAAAATCCATAAATCATTCTGACTTACGACACAAAAACACTACACTACATCATCCATCCATACATTGCAACATTTTAAGTCTCATATCAGACTTTTGAAATTCTATTATGAGAGGATACTCCAGCATCATGAGTTCTACGGACAGTAGCACCACTGCCCTAAGCGGCAATGGTCAAAAAGTCTGCCTTGAGAACAATCACCATCTATGGGAGCCAAAGATCTCAACCGCTACAGAACCATTGTGGCATATGCGAGTCCTTGTTCTAAAGGACCAAGAAGGACAGGGAGATTGTCCAGGTCGCTATTTCGTACGTGAACTTGCACAAACAAGCAATTAGTGTTAATAATACTCACTAACTGGTTAAAACAGACATTCAAGTCCAAGCACCATCTCACACACGCAGCCAACCAACTTGAAGAAGCATTCAGAGAGAAGTTCGGTATCAGAAAATGCGGGTGTGATAGTCCAGATGCTATGGGTGGGCGAGTTAATGATGGACGGTGTCAAAATTTTACCATTGAGTATGAGACTGAGACGGCTAGTGAGGAATGGAGACAGTTTACTGAGAGACTCAGAAGGTTGGAAGATGAATGGGAGCATGAGGAAGTGAGCATGCTTTGAGGGAAGTCATGTGTTTGGGGACGATTGAAGTCCATGTCACTTTTTGGTGGGCGTTTGTTCTGCCCGGGGGAGTTGGAATTACCTCTATACTGGCTGGTGAGATCAAGGCGATTGGAGTTTTAGAGTTTGCAGTATTCTTTGGTATTGGGTTGGATACCAGGATGCGGGGACTGGTGGTGGAGTTGGCAACAGATTGGATTGGGATTCAACAACATTCAACAGAAAATGTAGATCAGACTGGCGGGCTACAACTAGAGTTTAAGAACGATTAATCATATAAATAGATGGGTTTGAATAGGATATCGTCCACTTACATCAAGATACTCCATAGGAACCTCCAGACTCTACAGAACCTCGCCCCTTGCTAGTCTGGCGAACAAACAGACAGAGCTTGAATTTAATCCCGTTAACAATTAAGTTTTCCCTCAGTGACATTAAGTTTAGCATGTGAACCGTGAGTTGGGTTCTCATAAGAAACGAAGTTCATTATGCACAGCTAACACACGTTGCTATCAAACTAAATAGTAAGGTGGGTGGGTGGCCATCTCCGCTATATTAGCCTGCTCTATCGCTAACCTCCGTCGCGTCGCGACGACTTCGACCTCTCAACTTTTTCTAAAAATTATCTTCACCATCCGGATATCAACATCTGTAGCATTCTGACGGCCGCTCGGATGAAGAGGCTTTTCAGTCTGCTGTCAAGGGCTTTCTCCCAGGTCCATCCCACCCGTTATTACTCGTTGGCAGGTGCCATATGTGCGAATGTACAGTACTGCATGAATTCCGGACTTGTCGGATAGACATGTCGGATCCCCAGTTTCATCACACGGGTTGCATATTTAAGCTTCTCGGAATGTGGCCCATCTTGGGAGCGAATAACCTTGTAATGTTGTCGTGCTGGGTTGGAAATGCTCATCCAGTTTTGATGATTTGTTTGATCGCTGAATGTGCATCTGTAAGGTGCATCAGATGGTTTGTCGTGATTATGCCATTTCAAACTTCACGAATCTGCAAGCCCCAAGCAGGGTCACATGCATGGAGAGAGCTAGATTCGCAGTAGTTCTCGTGGTCGGCTCTCGATCTCATTATCTGATCTGATAGGCGCCGGCCTATTGATGCTTTGATTCCCTCTTCTCAAATGTCTTTGCCTCATAGTTTGTTTTTGCTCTTTTGCTCTCCGCGTTATGACACATTTCTGTTCTGACATCTATGATCGTTCTTTTAACAATCAATGTTTCTCGCAAGATCTACATGCAAAAGTAAAGTAGCTGCGGACCGCTTCGTCGACAGAGGGTCCCATGGACCTGAAGCCATCGCTGGGAGGTGGCTCTCTTTTAAATCATTTGTTCAAAAACGACATGCATCAACCTCACACGCAAGCCTCACTTAGTACCTCTTCTGGGCTTTCGCCAACTGTCACTGTGATACGTGAAGTTACAGTTGTAGAACAAACAGCTGCTATTACACCGGCGGCAGAGCTTCGCCGAAGGCAAAATGATGCCTGCCAACAAGCTTCACAAAGCGCGGACCAAGCCGCTCGACAGGCCTCTCAATCTGCATCTCAATCAATTCAGCAAGCCCAGCAATCGGCTTCTGAAGCCGTGCGACAAGCGTCACAATCAGCGTCGCAAGCCATCCAACAAGCCCAAAATAGCGTCTCGCAATCAATTGCGGCGGCTTCTCGAAGCGCTGCATCAGCCCAATCGTCAGCAAGTCAAGCCGTAGCGAGTATACAATCGTCTGCATCAATAGCTATTTCAAATGCAAACGAGTCAATGAATAATGCCCAAGCTAGTGCGTCAACAGCTCAGGTATGTCCAAGTCCCATGTTAAGATGAGCACCTACTATGCAAACATTGAAATGGAGGCTGACATATGTTTGCAGATCAAGGCTTCCAGTGCAGTACTTCAAGCAGGAGCAGCAGTCGCAGCTGCCACTGGTAAAGCTGCCGCAGCGGGCTCTTCCTTCCTCCAAGCAGCTGCACAGGCTACTTCAAGTGCCCAAGCTTCTGTCGCGGCCGTTGGTGTACGTTTGCATTCAACTTTAAAGATCAGCTCTAACTCGTACCTAGGCTGCGGCCTCTTCTCAAGTTCAACAGGCTTCGCAACAAGTAACAGCGTCGCAAAATGCCGCAGTTACTGCAACTCAAGCTGCTCTCGCTATCGTCGGAAGTATAATTGCATCCGCACTAATAACTATCCTGATCTACTTCCTTATAATACGGCATAAAAAGAAATCCCAGAAACGATCACGGCGGGAGCCTGCACCCTCTCCGGGTTATTCCGCAGATGCCAAATTCCCCGTGTCAGATCAGGTTGGAACTACGGTTTCTGGATCCCAGCCAGCTTATAACGCTGCGAAGATTGATCCTGGTAGTGATTCCCGAGGGTCGTTTTCACTCTTTCCGAAATCTACACCAGGAGACAACCCACGAGATGCTGATATCAGGACTACTTCGGTGGCTTGGAATCCATCTAAACCTCCAAAGGCGCCAACTCTGGGATCGTGGTTGAAGGTGCAGGATGGCGTATCGCCATTCGGGCCCATCAATCTCCCTACTGATTCCAAATCACCTTCTCCTCTTGGTGGTCAACTCAAATCACCTTTACGGAGCAACCAGCCTCGGACACCAAACACAAGATCATATCTACCAACAGGGGAACCAACACTCCCGATTCTTAACCAGAACAAAGCAGTTGTTGCCTCAGTACCGAGAAGTCCGCCAAGATATCTACCAACAAGAAAGCCTGTTGGCCCAGAAGAACAAAGACCCCCACCAAACGAGGCATCTGCTGATGAAAAGTATCGCGAAAGTAAAATCAGTATTTGGACCGATGAAATCCCGGATACAGGAACATCGCCACCACTTCAATCTGCGCCAAAGGGGAAAGAACCAGTGTCGGTAACACGGGCCTATGAGATGAAAATTCCCTCGCCTCAAAATCCAGTCCGAACGACAGCAGAGTGGCTAGAGTCCATTCAAAACACAGCCTCACCTGTAGCCTCGCAGCGGAGTTCCAAAATCTCGCGGCCATCTTTCGGCCTACCGAGGAATCCAAGAATGGAGGGGGGCTTGCCATCGAGACCTGGGATTAACAGGGAGGCGAAGAGTGTGCAGGGCGACCTGGAATATGTGCAGGGGCTGAATAGATTCTTGCCTGATACTAGAGCTAGTTCATTGTCGAGAAGTGGAAGTGATCAAAGCAACGATAGGGTGGTGGGAAAGGCAATTTGAGGCGAGGTGAGCTTAATTGATTTTAAAGCTAATATATTGCATATACTTCTGTGGGCCAGGCTTTACAAAAAGTTTATCTTGATAGCTACTGGTGTTGTGACCGCAAGTTCGGTTATAGATCGACAGTAAGCACGTGGAGAGGGCGCACGCAGGGTCTTCGTGTCGCATTGTGTCCTGTCAATTGCGTTCTGTCAATTGCGTCCTGTCAATTGTGTCCTGTCAATTGTGTCCTGTCAATTCGTTTCTAAAGTGCCACGACTCACGAGTATCACAGGAGACAGCTGCTTCGCGTGCTTGAGTGAGATCTTCGCCGCGGCCCGGATCCGTGGAGCCAAACCCCTGTTCCAGACCCAGAATTGCTCGATGCGTCGGATATATCCTGAAAGGGGCCCCGACATGAATCCCCTCCAATACAAATCTAGTAACGCTGCTGGGAGCACCCGTTTGGGTCCGTGCGACCCCTGCATCTCAACTTGACAATACTACCCCCCACGGGGCCTACATGTTTCCCTATTATCACATTATCGACATATATATTTCTTACTACTATCTCCCACTACGGTTCTCTTGATGAGACTTTTGCTTCTACTGGAGCTCATTCCTTCTTCTCAAATCATCTACGAACCATCAATATCTCAACTATGGTGCTTTACTTACTGATTCCAATCGTGCTTTGGGGGGCTGTCCTTTATATTGGCTACCAGCGCCTCTACCACAGTCCTATTTCACACATTCCGGGTCCAAAACTCGCTGCTGTAACAAGGCTGTCAGTCCACCTTCAATTTTCCTCTTCTCTTTCCAGCACCTCTGTTCACTAGAACATTTACTAATCTCGGGTAGTTACGAAGCATACTACGATCTCTGGCTCGGCGGCCAATACACCTTCAAGATCATCGCCCTGCACAAGGAATATGGTCCCATAATCCGTATATCTCCCTGGGAAATCCACGTCGCAGACCCCGATTTCTACGAGGTTGTTTATGCCTCGTCCGCGAGTGGACATCGGCGAAATAAATATGACTGGTTCACAAAGAGCTTTGGCCTCGACAATGCCGTGTTTGCTACTCCGGGACACGACTTGCATCGTTTAAGGAGGTCTGCGCTGGCACCGTACTTTAGTATGACGAGTGTGAGGAGACTGCAGCCATTCCTACAGGAGAGGGTTAATAAGCTATTGGAGAGGTTTGAGGGGTTTAGGGATACGGGAGAAGTATTAAATACAAGCTTAGCATATGCTGCATTTACGAATGGTAAGTTTTTGTCGCCTTTGCTGAGTCCACGTGTTTACCATTAGAGCAGACGTTGTAATGACTTATTGCTTTGCGCGACATGATAATCGACTAGGTAAGGACTTCTAAATAAGTTAGTATAGCCAGCGACTGACCGATGCTGTCATTGGTACAGAAGCACCAGACTTCGACCCCTCATACCGAGATGCATCATATTTCGGCTCCACAGCAGGAAACTACCTCAAGCACGCCCCTTGGGTGAACAACTTTATGCAATCGCTCCCCAACTCCATAGCAGAACTCCTTCATCCGGCTATGGCCTCATTCGTAGCCCAAAAACGAGTATCCACCCCTTACTTATCCCCTTCACCACCTACCAACTAACAACAAACGTCAGGAAGTACTTGCACACATCCAAAGCATAACTTCCGGCCACAACGCCTCGCACCAAGATCTCTCCCATCCCACCATTTTCCACACCATCCTCGACTGCAAACTACCCGACCATGAAAAGCGCGATTCTCGGCTCTCGGACGACGCGCAGGTTCTCACCATGGCTGGTACCTTAACCACAGCCTGGGTGCTTGAAGTAACGACCTTCCACCTCCTCTCCAACCCCTCCATCCTCAGGACGCTAAAGGCAGAACTTAGCACCACTATCCCCTCACCCAACGATATCGGTGCCATCCCTCTCCCAACCCTAGAGAGCTTGCCGTATCTGACTGCCGTTATAAAGGAAGGATTGAGACTTACGTATGGAGTTAGCTGTCGCCTCGCTAGGATCGATCCAGATAATAGTATCCCGTTCACGGATAAAGAGACGGGAAAAACATACAGCATACCACCTGGTACACCAATCGGTATGACGAGCGTGCAGATCCACCACGACGAATCCCTCTTCCCGGACTCCTGGACATTCCGCCCTGAACGCTGGCTCGGCCCCAGTTCCAAAGCGCTGGAAAAATATATGGTTTCTTTCACGGCCGGTAGTCGACAGTGTCTTGGTATCAACTTGGCGTACTGTGAGTTGTATCTGGGGATGAGTGCTATTTGGAGGGTTTGGGGGAGTAGGGAGGTCAGGGGAGGGGATGATGTGGGCTTCTTTGAGCTTTGGGAGACGGGGAAGTCGGATGTGGAGATTGAGAGTGATGCGTTTTTGCCGATTGTGAGGAAGGGAAGTCAGGGGATTAGGGTTAAGGCGTTTGGCTTGGATAAGTGAGATCTTGGTTGCTGATTCGGGGGAGGCGGCGAGGCGTTGGCTTTCGCAATTAAGTGTTGCCAAGATCTGTGCTTCTAGAATCCAGTCTTGCGTTCCCATTTATTTGCACAAACTCAGGATCCTTGGCTCCTCATACGGGTTTAGAGGCTGGAATGGGTGAGAGAATCACAAATAAGACCAATATCTAAACATAACTCGTTCCACAATCTCGGTTGTACTTCATACTAGTGAAGTTGATTCGGAAATTCACGTGACCAGAATATTTGGAAATTTATCGGATATATATAGGAATGCAACGCAAGAAATAGACAATACTCAAGAATCACACATCATAAGAAGATATTGTAGCCACTAAGATTCTTATCACTCAGACCAAATCTTTCCGCGTGTCACACTTCTCGCGACTGTCTCACGTGAACGCGTGACTAATTGAATGTCATGTTTATTTCATGTCTACCGAGCGAGGCAATGCAATCTAACAAGTACTTAAACCAAACGGCCTTCTAGTGTTAAGACTCTCTTCACCTCTTCCCATACCCCCCGAACTCCATTCCCTCTTCCTCTCCTCGTACGGATCAAACTTCTCCTCCCTGCACCTCGACATAAGCACCTGACTATTCCACGCCTGCCAATCATACAGGCCCGCCTCGGGCTTAAAAATATCATCATATGGCAGTTCGGACATGGCGCCCATGAATGTCTGGAAGGGCTGAGGGCTCCACGACGGGTTGGGGTACTCTGATTGTCTTGGGGCTGAGAGTGAAGGCGAGACTACTTCGGGAAGGCCTCCACCGTGAGAGTGGTGAGAGAGCGGAGCCCATGTTTCCTCGTATAGCGCATCGAATTCGCTGAGCTCGCCATCTGGACTGGGGAGGCTAGGTACGTCCGAGTCGGAGATTGGGGGGGAGGGCAGGGCCGACATCTCCAGCCAGGTATCCTGGGGTTCGATTTTGTGGTGGTGGGTATCTTCGTCACCAGTATCCACTACGATTGTTGACGAGGCAGTAGAGGGGAGACGTGACATGGGGATTTGGGGTGATGTCGAGAAGGAGGTCATGATTGAGAGTCTTCTGTCGCTATCTGATGATGATGAGCTGGATTTCGAGGTCTTTCTTTCGGGGCGGCTTAGTTGGCGTCTTTTGGGGCCTTCTTGTGTGTACGAAGGGCGTCTGGAGTTGACTATTTTCCCGTCCGTGTCCCTCCAAAGCCTCTTTCTTGTTGCCAGTATACCCAATCCTGGTCCCCCAGCCTCATCGTCCTTTTCCTTGTGGCGGGACATATGTCTGTCTGGAATTACATGTTAGATTGGGAAGTGATATAGAAGCCATTGGGAGGCTCGCACCTAACAGGTCTCGTCGACGAAAATGGGCACTACATCTCATACAGGTGTTATTGCCATCTTTGTGATTCAAAGCATGGCGATGAAGATGCTCAGATCTGGAGAATGATTTCCCACAGCTTGGGAAACTGCATCCGAACTTCTTCTTGACCCCCTCGGAATTCTTAGAGCATGAACTCAAGGAGGAAGAGATGGAAGATGATCTGGTGCTTGTTGGAGCCATTTTTAGTATTGTATGTTCAAGAGTATGAATCTGTGATGTGAAGCTTGGTCTTTGAAGCTATGAACAAGAAGAAGAATGGGGGGAAGAGGGGTCCAAAACAAAAGGATGGAGGGGCATATGTATATCAAGGCGGAACAACTTCCTCTAGCTCTTGGAGCTCCCAATGGCGTACATTTCGCACCGATAACCGGGCGCTGTCACCCGCAACGGCGAGCTAAATGGGCCATGGGCCTATACAAGAGGCGTATTAGAGCGACATGTCAAGGGCGCTGTCCTCCGTCACAGACAGGCGTCTGAAGCCAGAGAGAGTCAGTCAATCGCGGCTTCGAGGGTCTTGCAGGCATGAATGGCAGTTGGACCAGCTATCCCTACATTTTGGTCTATCCTATGACTTAGAAATTGGCTTCAACGGCTTGCCTGCTTGCTTGCTTGCACTGCGAGTTGCGCGACTCATCTCATCACAACTTCCTAACTTGGAAAGTTTACGAGCCAAATGATGTCGGGAGCGAGTCAATTGAACCCTATCATTGGTAAGCTATGGCTCGTGTCAATGACTAGGGGTGCCGGTTGGCGTCTTGCTAATGCCCCTCCTCGTGGGCTGGCCCATAATTCACGTTAGGAGTCGGCCACACAGCATGGACAACCCGAGACATATTACCCCTCCAACCCCTCTGTTCTCCACTATAAACGCCAAACGAGACCTTCTCTTCCATGCTACTGTATAGTAGGTGGGTGCACTGCACTGCACTGCTACTGTACTGTGTTGTCCCTTGCCCGAGGAAACGGCGAACGAGCGTCGTCGGCGGGCATCCAGCCACCCTACATACCCACCTCTTCTCATCTCATCTCATCGTGAACTTTACCCTAAAAACCTTCATCCTATCGCGCTGCACGGCACTGCGCTTACAACTGCTTATCGCGGTTTACCGTAGGACGGGCCCGAAACCTGCTGGCCCGCGAACAATGGCAAAGTGAGCCCAGCCAATGGGCACACGGCTGTCTAGATTTGTCACACAGTACATATTTTGCTCAGGTTAGCAAGTGTGCCTGTGGGTTGTGTTATCCGGCGGAGGCCTTGTACTTCCCCACCAATCAAATGCCAAGATACATACTCCGTACGGAGTCCAAGAAGAGGGGTAGACGATAATCGTAGAACGATAGAACGATAGAAGGCGATAGGGAAACGCTGGAAAGAACACCGACATGCCGTCACATCCAGCAGTGTGCAGTGCCTATCTATCTTGTATCTACCTATCTATCCGCCATCTATCCGCCATCCAAATCCCCCAACCGGCACTGTGTAGTATAAGATAAAAAATAAGGTTGATTTGTTCCCATGGGCACACAATATTAGAGGCACATTATTCGATGGCCCATCTTCACCTTTCGGTAGGTAAGCCGAGATTGTCCGGGGGGGGGGGGTTGTTCAAAATTGAGGGGAAATTTGGAAACTCGCGAAATCAATTCGATGATGATGAGTCAAATGAAGCATTAATAATACGATGCTATCTAGGCGATAAATCTTTGTCCGCGGTCTACAGTATTGTAGAAGGGGTCCAATCGATTGCATTTGATTATCAGATTGTTGAATCAAAGGGCGTCGTCTCGGCCGCTCATGTCCGAAAGCAGACTTCCGATAGCTAATCTGATGCGTCGGGATGCCCCTTTTACTCTACTCGAGTACTCTGCTTTCGGAATGTGACCGCGATAGCCCGCCCACCAGCCAGGCGCCAGCAGCGGAGAATGCGACGTCGGCAAGTATGCGACCTTGCCGATAGTAAGGACTGGGGGGCCTGAGGATCGTCGAAATGTTGGGGAACTGAGGAGCGATCTCGGAGTGAGTACGGAGTAGAGTAAAGTGCGGAGTGAGTGTGTGTCGGAGTGAGTATCACGTGCGTGTACGGGAATGCCTTCCGAACACTCGTGGCGCTTCGTCGCTGAATCTTTGTTCTTTTTTTTTTTTGGAATTCGATACATGAATACTCCAGGAATTCAAAAGTATACAAAGGAAAGAGAGAAGGGGGCCTTGCGTTTAATTTTATACATAAGCTCTAGCAACAAAAATGGGGGTCCTTGGGAAATGGGGGCCCCTCCATTCGCATGTCCGTGTCCATTCGCATGTCCGTAAGTCGTGTCGTAGCACCTCATATTTTCATTATGTCCTGATGAAAAATATTGCCTCACTAGGAAAAAAATAAGCAATAGTAATCATTTCTCCTTCCTGGATCAATACCATCGCAACACTGAGTCTGGATAATAAAGGGTAAGCAAAGAGTAGTACAAGTCCTGACTCCTGAGCATAATCCTTGACAGCATTTGTCACATCCTCCTACAACGTCTACTCATCGTACCCGTCAAGGAACATGTGGTCCCACCAATGCCACCATTCTTTGGCTTTTTCATTGGCTTCTTCGCCAAGTGACATGGCATCTCCCCCCTCGTCCTCATCAGATCCTACTTCCATAGCCTCGACTATGCCATGGACCTTGGAAGTCTCTTCCTGCTCCTCATTGGATTCAAATTCCATGACCTCGTCTGTGACAAGTGGCATGGGAGTATCTTCCTCAATTTCGTCGTCATCGGATCCTACTTCACTGATGTCGATAGATATGTAAGATGGCAGGCTTCCGTCATCTTTAGGCGCTGTCGCTTCTGCATAAGAAGGTGGGGGTTCAACTGGTGGCTCTCTGCTATTGATATTTTCCTCCAACTTGCGCGCAATCACCTGCACGTCTCGCGCGACGTCTCCAACACCAGGATCTCGAATAGGTGTCAAAATGGGCGGATTCCGGAAACGAAAGGTCTTTCCATCAAGTCCTTCTGGCGTTATGAAGGGACGTGATAGTTCGTCGCCGTCGTGGAGAAAGCCTCTGCGTTCAAGGTAATCCTGGAAAGCCTATACGTAAAAAGTCAGCATTACCTGGTGTGGTAGAAATGAAGAGTCCGAATAATGTTTTGCGGGAATTGAGACAATGTTCTAGGAGTAATTGACTCTATACGCATATGAAGTGAACTACTCCTGAGATGTCCGAGGTAAGACATATTCGACCTAGAAAAAGACTTACTCGCTCGTCTGATACTGTATAGTAACGATGGTCTCGAGCGTCGCTGTCGAACAATGTAATCCCATTCTGTAAGAAATCGACATTGGTCCACTCGTTGAAATAAATTCCTGGTCCGTACCTGACTGTTCCTATCGGGGGGAAATCCCAAAGTCTACGGCCCTCTGGTTCGAGGAATCTCGCAAACAAGGCTTCATCAATAATCTTATACCTTCGTTTTTGGCTAAAAGGATTGACTATTATTTGAATCCCTATCGCTCCGGTAAATTTATCACTCATTTCTGGTCCAGGGTCATCGGCTGCATATGGGACAATCTCCTGTGTATTTCCTAAGCGTAGGTCGGGTCGTTCGTCAGGTCGGAAAGTATGAGTTATGAGCCACTGCTCAAATATTACTGGACCGGAAACGTGATAATCCATATATCCACGCCCTGGGTCACGAATCTGAACGCCATGTTTCCTCTGATAAGTGAGATCGTAGGGCAGAACTTCGTCCGCATCCTCCGTCTCCTCGTCGAAAATCCAGAGTTTCTCGGGTATATCTTCACGTATAACCAGCGGTGGATTGGCTAACGGCCTTTCAAGGTGTCGAGATATTGTTCGGGCGATGGGCCTCGGAGGCGCGTTTGGCTAGACAATTTCGTCAGCGGCAAATGTCTTACACATCGCAGATCACTTACATCGGGCTTCGTTTTCAGGGCACCAACCTCACTGGAGGTCTTCTGCCTATGCTTCTCAACCCTCTCGAGTGTGTCCTCAAGTATCCTAGGATCGGGCAGCGTCGATAATGGGTCGTGCCATACGACCTTCAAAGTACCATTTTCGTTCTGAGGAGAATACGTGACTGAGTGTGACGATTCAGCATAGGGAGACTCGGGTAGCTGCTCTTCAAGGGCTAGTGATTCGGTTGATGATGTTGATGTTTCGCTCGTGATATGTGCCCTAGAGATTGTAGATCCGGGTTGGATGGTCGGAGGAAGATTCTGGGCCCTATCTACATACAATTCAGTTACGACAAAGTCTCATACGAAGTGGAACGTTCTGGCCTACCTGATCTTCGACGCCCTGCGACCCGGCTGCCAATGCTATCTGGAGAAAGATCAGGTGGGATGTTTTCCTGCAGCTGTCTTGAAAACGCATTTCTTGTGGACAACGTCTTTGGCGGCTTCCTCTTTTGCTCCGAGGATGCGGACACGGCACCCGGATTGTCTCTCTTCTTTTGCGAGCGGGGCATAATGTAGATGAATGTTTCAAAGTATATGGAACGTCATGATTGAGAATTGGTCGGATTGGGATGGAGACATCGTGGCCCAAGCTATAGTGGCCGTTCCTTCCCAATACGTTGCCATCATCAGCAAGGCCGACAGGCGCCCTTGCCATCACATTTACGGGACAAACATCTAGAGACCGACATTTCCAGGATTATGATAAATCTTCACTGAGACTTTCCTCCATACTCGTGGTCCCACTGCAATCTGAGCCGACCTGATGGCCTCGAGGACAGGCCAATGTGCCCAGGTTCGGTTTCTGTGCCCCTCCTCGAGTAATATTTGACAGGAGGTTTGTTTTTTAGAGCGTTAGCCAGCTCAGCTTCAGAGTAAGCGCATATATTTGGCCTACAAGTTCTTAAAGTCAGTGTTGTTTTATTGACAGATTTTGAGTGCAAGGACCCTAGCAGTGGCTCCCAAAACATTGAAAGCGATGTCAGAATGCGAGACTCAAGGAAATACTCCTAGATATTGCTTACCCAAGTTCTTCTCGCAGAGCTTCAGAGATATCTGCAATAGCACGCCAGAGTCCTAGACGTCGCCCCTTTCTGCAAAACTCGCTGTTTGTATCGCAGTCGACCCAGAGAATCCAAAGTCCGATCATCCAAACAGAGTTGACGATCGAAACCACAAATAGCCATTCGTAGGAAAAACCCCACTTGCATAAGTCAGCCAAGTATCTCGGAAGGTGCCGAGATTTAGCATACCTGATACTCGTTACTTTTGGTGTTGCAGATAAAGTTGGTCTTGTTTGACGGGTAGAAGCCCCAGTCGGACCAATAATAGTATTCGCCTTGCATTGGATACTTATAGAAATGATCCCACCAACTGGCATTCATGATTGGATTTGCCCAAGTGTAAATTGAAGTCTGTACTTGTTCGACTTGGTTATAGCCTGAAACATTCGCTCGACTCTGGCTGAAATTATAACACTGATTTCTGATTTGTTGATAAGCGGGGGCATAGTACGAAGATGAATATGAAGATGAATATGAAGATGAATATGAAGATGAGTATGTCGAGTAGTTGGTCGGTGGGTAAATAAAGAAGGTAACGTTGGTAGCCTCCCTCATAGTAACTTGGTCGATGGATGCTTCGGATTCCTTTTCGTACCAGGCAGCGCATGCTATTTGAGAACTTACAATGCTGGTATTTGCTGTTCCCATCGGAACTAGTCCACCGTCTGTCAGCATGGGCTGCGCCTAGGTGGAAAACTTCGCAAATATCACGTTTTCAGACGGCACTTTTATCTAGCTCAATTTCCTCCCCATAACTGCACTTTTCAGGAGCCAAAAATTCCAAGCTCGAAAATATTCTCTGGGAGAGAAAAGGGGCAGACTCGTCAAGGGAAACCACTATCCAACGAGCTCCAAATAAACCAGTCAAGTTGAAAGCCCTTATTATGTAAAAGTTTAATGAGACTTTAAAGACTTACAAAGAAAACGCAGGTCTTCTGTGTTCTGGATTGATGCATTTGGCCACTTGAAAAAGGAAGATTGCGCTGCTTCATATCCACTACAAGCATCTAAAAGGCTACAATTCGAATGGTTAATAAAAAAATCTCAGATTACCAGGGTGGGGTGTGTGACAAACCTTGGAAAAGATACCAAATATATTGTCGATATGAAGAGCCATATTAAAATCAGCTTCACCCGCCAATTTCCATACTTAGGCAGTCCCTTGAGTAGTTGCCAGAGCAACTCCGGTTTGGTCGAGTATAAACCCAATGAAGCATAGAGCTCAAATGATATAGGCGTTAATTCAGCAGTACGCAACAAAGCATCGCTGAAAACTCGGTAGGCCAGAAAGGTCAAAATTCCCTGTACGCCTCGTCCCACAATCCAGTTCCAGGCCAAGTCAAGAGCTTTGGCCGAGCCGTAGTCAAAGTGTCCAAACCTGAAAGTGATACCAACGAAGGTCCAGCTACCGTCTCCGTAACAATTGGTTTGGAAGGGTAGATCCTCTTGCCCAGTTTCTAGATGGGTCTGGATAACGTACCAGAGCGGGAGAAACACCACGAGAAAAAGGACCGAAAATATGGAAAAATGACGAGCCGGCATTCGCCAATATCCCAAGTTGAGGCCTAAGTACTGGTTCGTTTTGCGAAAAGCTTTTGGTGGCGGCATGTCCTCCTGGGGGGCAAATCCATCGTCGGAAGTTTTGGAAAATGTATCTTCAGAACCTAATCCCAATTGCTTCATTTCAACTGGCTCATACAATTTCTTGCTCCACGGTTTCTTAAGTAGACCTGACCCCACACGTTTCCGCTTGATGAAAAATTCATTGTTCTGAGGGGAGGCAACCGATTCCAATGGGGCTACATCCTCACCGCTGAGGCGCAAGGGCCTGGGAGGCAATGCAGGCCTACCATTGCGACCTTCCAAATCATCCAACTGCATCGCAAAATCCAAGTTCTGTGTTGGTGTTGTGTCAAACGAACGTCTCGAGAAAGTGATTAAGATAGCATGCGAAACAGGTAAATCAAGTAACGTTCATCGCTAAAAAAAAAGTATCAAAACAAAGTACTCCACTGGTACGAGCCCAAAGAAACCACTCGCTGCCGGACTAAAGGTTTGTATGACAGGATCGAAAGAGAGAAAACGTTGATTTAAGGAAGACTGACATCTCCTTCCATACGTCACGGTGCCTAGACCAACAAATGGACTGTGAGGATGCGGCGCTGCAATAAATACCCTTGTAGCGTCAGCCTTGATCGAGAAGGAAATTTAAGGAATACACTTCGTACTACAAAACGAAACTAAGATGCAGAAGAAGGACGTATGTTTGAATGATAGAGAACTTTCGAATGCAAGATACAATAGCTGATTTGACGCCGAGAGGAACTTGTCAACATCCCCCGTAAAATATACTGGTGTAATTCTACCAAACAGCGCCTAAAATATCGAAAAAGCGCGGCAGATCTGTGAAGTTACTGGAGTAAGTCCTGTAATGTTCCATCTCCTATATTTAGATACAGTACCACCAATAGGAAAAGCTTCTACGGCTCCGTAGAGGGGCGGTTGTTGGTGGCTGGCTCGGACCCTGCCATTAGGGCTAGTACGTTATAGCCTCTCCTCTGCCACAAAAGTGCTTGATTATCCACTTACCCTGTTTAGGCTTTAAAGACTCACGTGTCACTTTTTTGAACTTAGATTCTGTAATCACCAGATCTAACCTTTTATGGTCAAGTTGAAACGATTATAAGGTCTGTCTGATTCAAGGCTTACAAACCGCAGCTTAACTCATATTATTATCACGTGGGTGGCTCTATTTCTTAGAGCCATTAACCCCTGCCGAAGCTTGAAATTCATTGAATAAACGCAACATGTCAACCCCCCTGCAAACCAGAGTCATTCCCAACTGCGGCTTCTATTGTTTACTCCAGCTCTGATTTTAGTAACGCATTGAGTTGTTAACGAGTTTAAAGTATTACTAAGCAAACCTACGCGGTGTTCCGTCCCATTTTCTTCAGCACACTCGGCACGTCTATACCATCTTTTAGCATCTCAGCAACATCATTGTTCTCAGGCATCGATGCTGTAAATTTACAACAGGGCCGTTCCTGCCATCAGAGATGCGCGCGACCCTTCGTAGGTCCTGCAATGCTTGTGCAAAGGCAAAGCATCGTTGCGATCTCCGAACCCCCCATTGCTCGCGATGCATCAAGAAGAAGTTTAACTGTATCTATGCGAACGAACCTCTAACCTCATCATCGCCAGATAGAAATGACTCGCCACCCTCAGATACGGTAGGAAACAATTGGCCTGCTGTCATGAATGGCGTCGAGGTGTCCAAAATGACTTCGAGGGATGGGACGACCACGCCGAAGTTTTCAGAGACCTCAGTAGGCCTGTTGAATCCAGGAAATGCGTATTTCGATCCATTTGATTCATATCCGCCCACACGACTTCCTCGGGCAACTGCTCAGCGTCTCATCCTCCACTGTAAGCCCTGTTCCCTAAATTATAAACGTGACTAACCTGTCTAGTTCTTTCCACCATTGCATTCCAGTACTACCCACTTGGTGAGCTTATTCTCATACAAACCAGCTGTTTTCCTCTATGGGAGCTAAGGAGCTACGGACATCTTTCAGGAGCCCTTATGCAACCTCCCCAGCTCCTAGGCTCCTTGGCTCTGTCCTAAGATCCGGTACTATGCTAATACGTCGTTTAAAGACATTAATGTAGAAACAAACCCGTTTCTTGTCTCATGGTGGCCCCTTGCCCTTGACGACTCGGCATTGTTTCACGTCTCTTTACAGACAGCATCCCTGGACGGGGAGTTGCGAGCTCAGAGGGGTTTTCCAATTTCAGAACTACTTATGAGAGATTCATTATCCCTAGTGAGACGAAAGATTGAGGACTCATCATTAGCATTTCAGGATGAGACTATGAACTCCGTTGTTACCTTGGCGGCAATTGAAGTAAGAAAGCCCTTCCCAGCTGCGAAATTAGCTTTAGATTGCTAACCTAATCCGGACAGCATGGCAAGGGGAATGTTGAATCTAGCAGAATGCATATTGATGGAATCAAACGAATGGTTAGTGTTAGGGGCGGAATCAACGAGGTAAAGGGCACAAGCCCGCTTACCGCAAGAATGGTTTCCTGGTAAGACTTGCACATATGAAGGTGACGCGCAGCTAAATGACTCCATCAGGGTATCTATGCTGGTCACAGGAGCTCCTCAATTTCAGATTCAAGATGATTTTGGATTTGGAAGTGGAATTGGATCAATACCCCAGTGGCAGCTGGCGGGCCTAGATTCAGAGCATATGGCTCTCGATGATTTGGACGTCGACCCTGCCATGAGCAACATCATATCTCGTCTCCGCACCATATTTCACGAGCCACGACTTCCACGCCTAACAAGCACTGAGCTACATGATCTGACATGCTATGTCACACATAAGTTGCTGCTTCTGCCTCCTCTCTCGCCGGCGAATCCAATGCGATCGGTTATTTCGGAATGCCTTCGATACGCGTTGGCTCTCTACATGTTGATATTACATGGGACAACATACTATTCGCACGAAGACTTAGCCAACACCATCATGATCCACCTCAAGACTCATCTTGAGGCTTTGGCTAGGATAAAATACGTACATGGTCCGCTGGGGATTTGGGCCATTTCTATGGGAATGGTCGCTGGCGTTGGAACGAAAGATCACCAGTGGTTCCTGAACCAAGCTCGCATGGCTAAGATAGCTCTTGGCTTACAAACATGGGAAGATGTCCTCGTCAGTCTGGAAAGCATACTCTGGATGAGGGTGGAGCAGCTAGAATTCTTTCGGGAAAAGTGGAGCGAAATCTTGAAGGTCACGACGTGAAAAGGTCAGCTAAGCCGCATGTTCCGTCCCACACTTCTAACTGAAATTGGGGATTCGAAGTAGCATTGAGCCAAAGGAGATTGATTCACGCAAGTCTTCTACGAAATGTGGTTGTTCTAGTCGTAAGATTCGGAATCGGAGTCTAGAACTGAATAGGACTAGACTCCGCATATGTCGAATAATCATCCGAGTATCCCAGGACGACCCTGCGTACCATAGGAGTCTAGTCCACAATCGGCTACTATGTCTCCGTTATATGTATAAACTCGCGAACAATTACGGAGTACAGCGGAAGACTCACGCGACTTTACGATGGTTCTTAGAGACGAACCATCTGTTTCGGTACGTCGGCCAGGTACGACATCCTTATTATATCGGATAAAGGATCCCTACGATCAACGCTTCATCTTACCATAGATTTGGCTGCTTCTCATAGGCCAACTTTAGCTGCCAGTGTGAGCCCACAGCATGCCCTTGCATCTTTTCAATTCCTATAAGAGGTCGTGTTTGTCCAAGTCTAAACATGACCCGTGAGAAGATTGTGTCGCCTGGCAGGACGCTCTGATACATCATGGCCACGGTTGTTCAAGGCAGTATACCTCCTTCCGTCGAGAATGGAACCCTCGTTGCACCGCATGGCATATCTGGCCAGGTAAATGGCATTCTTTCTGGCTGGAGTAGCTTGCAAATAATTGCAACGGTACTGCTTATTCTAATTGCCTACGATCAATGTACGTCGGTGGGACATTTGACATTAAATATATAGCTGACAAGATCCCAGTTGCATATATCTATCGTAAGGGCTCAATAGCTGGGCCTATGTTCAAAATTCCTTTCATGGGGCCCTTCATCCAGGCCATCCACCCAAATTTCAATAATTATCTCCTTCAATGGGCGAGTGGACCCCTCAGCTGCGTATCTGTATTCCACAAGTAAGTGATCCCAAAATTGTTTCGGGGATTTTCAAAGAATCGTCAATGCTGATCTATTCGTGTCATAGATTTGTCGTCCTAGCTGCGGACCGTGACATTGCACATAAGGTCTTCAAGTCGCCAGCATACGCCAAACCTTGTCTAGTACCTATCGCGGAAGAAATTATGCGTCCAACGGCGTGGGTTTTCCTACGAGGAAAAGCTCATGCCGAGTTTCGCAGAGGATTGACCGGTCTCTTCACAAACAAAGCTCTCGCAACGTACCTACCGGTCCAAGAAAAGGTCTATGGTGATTATTTCAACAAGTTCGTGGCCGCTAGTGAAGCCAATGGAGGAAAGCCGATGGCATTCATGGGGCTTTTCAGGGAGATCAACTGCGCGATGTCGTGTCGCACATTCTTTGGGGATTATATTTCTCAAGATGCTGTCAAGAGAATCGCCGACGATTTCTATCTCGTTACGGCCGCCCTCGAGCTTGTTAACATTCCATTCTCTATCCATGTTCCGTTTACAAAGACATGGCGAGGAAAGCGCATAGCAGATGCCGTTGCAGCTGAGTTTACGAAGTGCGCCGCTGCATGCAAGGCTAACATGGCTTCTGGTGCAGAGCCAAAATGCATTGTTGACCAATGGGTTTTACACATGATGGAGTCCAAAAAGTACAATGACAGAATCGCAGCCGGCGAGGTGGATATAGAGAGGCCGGTGAATCTCATTCGTGAATTCACGGATGAGGAGATTGGGCAGACAATATTCACGTTCCTCTTCGCAGCCCAAGATGCATCCAGCAGTTCTACTACCTGGCTATTTCAGATCCTTGCCCAGAGACCCGACGTCCTAGATCGCGTTCGAGAAGAGAACCTTGCCGTACGCGGTGGTGATAAACACCGACCGTTCGAGTTAGCGATGTACGAGACAATCCCTTATACCAATGCTGTGGTGAAAGAGCTTCTTCGTTATCGGCCACCTGTCATCTTTGTGCCCTATCTTGCCACGAAGGCATTTCCAGTATCTCCAAGTTATACCGTACCCAAGGGCGCCATGATTATACCATCTTGCTACCCAGCTCTCCATGACCCAGAGGCGTACCCAAGACCCGAAGTTTTCGACCCAGACCGCTGGATCACTGGCGATGCCGAGTCGAAGACTAAAAACTGGCTTGTATTTGGTGCCGGCCCACATGACTGTCTTGCACGAAAGTACGTGCCACTTACCATGGCAGCCATGATTGGTAAAGCCGCATTGGAAGTCGATTGGGTTCACCATGCGACGAGTCGTTCAGAGGAGATTAGAGTTTTTGCTACCCTGTTCCCTATGGTATGTCGAACTTGTTGATGTAGTCCTTTCTGAAGAGGATATTGCGAACCACTACATGTGCTAACACTAAGCCCAGGACGAATGTCAGCTTGTCTTTACGAAGCGGAAGTGATTCGACCAGCCGTAGGGCTTTATTCGGCCGATTAGATCGAGTGCGGGGTGCTGGCTTAATATCGCCTGGCCTTGTTTGCTCTCTAATTGAGGGCAAGAGAGCCTTTTCCGTAACTTAATTGGAAACAGGACACTCTTGAGAATGTTTTTTTGGCCAGCATAGATGTTCTTGTCAATGACTAAAACTATAAAAATAATGTTCAATCTAGTAATTCCCCATGTTGCGATACAAGTAAGAGTAATTCTGTCCATCATGCTATGTGCCATTCAGAACACTTTTACTAAAGGAGGAGTAATTTCCTCCAGTCTCAGCAATAATCTCTACTTGCTACCGTATTAACGCACCACCAAGCTATTTGTTCACACAGTCTCGCTTATGCACCTGCTGAGGGGGAGCATCTGATTAGTTTAGACAGCTAAAGTAGAGTGAGTTTTTAAAGGGGGACTTCTCATATACTCCACAAATGCTAACCGCCTGATGCGAACAGCCTTAAGCGAGACCGTGTGAAATAATAGCTAGGCGGTGAGTGAATAGGGTACTTGATATATGTCGAGAGACTCGGAGTATAGCACATTGATAGAAGAAGCGGACATTACAGACCCATCCCATCCCATCCTCCCAGTATTGTGGGTCGTGGCGCATCTGGGGTCATTAGGGGCTACTATGCCATGCTTGTTTTGATGCGGGGGTGGGTCGGGGTCGGGGCGGGTTGGCTTGGCTTGGCTTGGCTTGGCGGCTTATTATTATACGATTTGAGTCTACTGTACCTAAACAGACATACATGTACCAACACTTATCAGATGTCAGATGTCAAATGCCAAAGGCCGTGTCGTGGAACCAACATAAACATTGTGCTAAATCAGTCACTTCTCAGATGGAACCTCAGCTCAGACGACGGGGCCAGGCTACTCGTATCCGAAATGCTGACATTTATGTCAGTCACATTTTGGCCGGTTAATAAGGTATGCTAGGCTAGGTATGATGTTGGATTTCGACCGCTCCTGCATGCAATGAATGCGTTGCAACACTCTTGACATTCCTTTCCTGCCGATCAGCCGATGTCGAGTCGAGTCCCAAATGCCTACTCTCGCTTCCTACCTCTCATCTAATTTCTGGAAACTCTATCTACAAATACTTTGATTTCGACTTCGAACTCGTACTCAAACCTCGAATCCGTCCTTCGTTCCCCTGTTTGTCGTTGACTGACGTGTATGAATTAAACAGCTCCTCACCTAGAGCATTTGTTAGCCCTACTGTTATGGGTTGCATAAGCGTTTGTCCAAGTACGTACCTAGTTAAGGTGCCCTCCACACAAAACGTGGGGTTTCCCCGACATCACTTCAACATAATGGATGTTCTTCAGAATCAGTCGCCAGCTGCGGTACTTGCTGCAGGTTTTGGCTCTCTCTACATCTTATACCTTCTAGTTCAAGCAACAATCACTTCCCACCAACGCTACCTCATTTCTCGCAAACATGGCTGCAGACCAGTCCCAACTTATCCGCACAAGGATCCCATCTTCGGACTGGACGTATTCCTCAAGAACTATAAGCTGTCCAATAACGGAGGCTTTCTTGATGATGTCAAGAGGAAATATGAGAAAGTGATCGGCGGTTATACTTTTACACAGCTTGTCTTGGGTGAGAGGATGATCCTCACTGCGGAGCCAGAAAATATCAAAGCCATTCTGGCCACTCAGTTCAAGGATTTCGAGCTACCTCCTCGCAGAAAGGTGGCATTCCAACCTGTTTTCGGCCATGGAATCTTCTCTACCGATGGGGGGGAATGGGAAACGTCTAGGGCATTGCTGCGACCCAATTTCTCTAGAAGCCAAGTCGGAGACCTTGATACGTTCGAGGTTCACATCTCCAATATGATCTCCAAGATCCCACGCGATGGATCTACAGTGGATCTTCAGGCGTTATTCTTTCAGCTCACCATGGACTCTGCTACCGATTTTCTGTTCGGATACAGCACAAATGTGCTGGGTAGTTCTGGCAATTCTGAAGCTGGCCAAAGATTTACTGATGCCTTCTCTTATGTGACCTTCAAAATAGGAATAGAGTAAGAATTCCCAACTCTGACAAGACAAATATTCACTAACCAGCCTTCTAGGGCTCGAATCGGCAGACTTGTAACCATCATACCAGACAAGAAGTACCAGGAGGGGGTAAAATTCATACATCAATACGTCGCAAATTACGTGCAGAAAGCTATGGGCCTACACCAGCAGAACTTGAAAGATGGCAAGCTTGGTAAGGATGATGAGAAGGCGGGGAAGTATGTGTTCTTGGAACATCTCGCAAAGACCAATTATTCGGAGAGAAAAATACAAGATGAACTTCTCAATATTCTACTAGCAGGCCGAGACACCACAGCAAGTCTTCTAGGTTACTTCTTCTATATTTTGGCTCGCCGTCCCGACGTTATGGCGAAACTCAGAGAGGAGATCTCGAAATTGGGAAACACACGACCCTCGTTTGAAGAAATCAAGAGCCTGAAGTACCTGCAGCGTTGTCTGAATGAGAGTAAGCTTCCCAAATATTGCGTGTGTCACCCAAACTAACCTCCTAAAGCTCTGCGATTGCATCCTATCGTCCCGATGAACAGTCGCGTTGCGGTCCGCGATACAACGATCCCCCTTGGTGGCGGTCCAGATGGAAAGTCACCAGTGCTGGTTAAAAAGGGTCAGTCGGTCAACTACTCGGCGTACGTGATGCACCGAAGGACGGATTTTTATGGCGAAGATGCCCTTGAGTTCAAGCCCGAGAGATGGGAAAAGTTGAGACCCAGGTGAGACTTTAATCTCCTCACAGTTGGAGAAGCAACTAATGTGTTCTGAAATAGCTGGCAATATCTTCCGTTCAACGGAGGCCCTCGCATCTGCATCGGACAACAGTTTGCCTTGACTGAAGCCTCGTACACAGTGATCAGGCTGCTCCAGAGCTTCTCATCAATCGAGAAAAGGGATGACTCGGAGCTCTTGGAGTATCTTACTTTGACATCTGCTGTTAGAGGTGGTGTAAATGTTGGGTTGACACCCGCCTGAATACATGTATAGAATACGGACTGTACCTATACGGCGTCGATTGATTTTCGTGTGGCGCTTTCCTTTCGTGATCTCACATGAGATCAGCTGTAATAATCAATATTGCAAATTCAGCCTTCCTGTACGTACCGGAACCACTGAAGAGCCCGTGAAGAAACCCCTTACTAGTTATAATTATAATTCCGATGAAATCCTGCTGTCATGCGTGAGGCTTTTCCTAGCCCAGAGAATAATGAGTCCCATCCGCATATGTGCCGCTTTGATAGCACCAGATAGGAATTGCGATTGCGATACCAATACGGATACAAATATCCCGAGATGCAATAAGCAGCATACTAAACATAAACTTCCTTGCCCCTATTCCTATTCCGCGATAGGTAGGTAAAGTAAAGCACTGTAATAAGGTGCACTCTAATGGACACCTTCCCTATATAAGGATCGCTCGCGGGCTAAAAGGATCGACAGCGCCTTTTCTTCGTCACCGGGCGTTTGGGCGTCTTGTTCACCACCTCAAATGATTCTATCCGAGCGCATCATGATAAATTGAACACGTTGGCCTTTCTATCACTGTCCCTACTGTATACCACTTGATAAGAGCCGGATTCTTACGACGGTGCTTTTTAGAAGAAGAGCATATTGCGCTTCTTTACGCCTTCCATACGATTTTCTCCTACGAGCTTCACGTTTAGAAGTAACGTCGTACACGGAAAGCCTGCCCGTACAGTACCTACATACCCTGGGGGCTGGACTATTGATCTACCTACCTAGGTAAACAGCAAGGACGAGGCCCAAGCTATAAACAAGATGGCAGCTCCTGTTGACGCTGCGACGAGAAAGAAGGTGTTGAGAGTTGTCTTCATATCTCTATTACTCGATCTGGTATGTTTACTTTCACGCACCTTTGGAATTACATCTACATGTACTCCGGGATATCCGGTGTCGAACTCTTTTTCTTCTACTTCTATGCTAACATACTGCGGACAGATATCATTTACATTCATCCTTCCTCTCTTCCCATCTCTACTCGAATTCTACAGATCAAAAGAGGCGCCTGTCGAATTCTCCTCCTCAAATACATCCCCCTCGGTCCTCTCGCATATCCTCACATACCTCAATGCCTACAAGGCCTCCTTTTCGCGCCCCATCGATTCCAGATATGATATTGTACTATTGGGAGGAGCTTTGGGGAGTCTGTTCTCGTGAGTAGACATCTGATTGCGTTGCAAGCGTGTCTAGGTACTAAAGTATACAATAGCCTTCTCCAAGCCTTTGCCTCGCCCATAATTGGAAGTCTCTCAGACAAATACGGGCGCAGGACCGCACTGCTGTTCAGCATGGCCGGCAATATCCTCAGTGTCCTCCTCTGGGTCTGCGCAACCGATTTCCGAACTTTCCTCCTCTCCCGAGTCGTGGGCGGTCTTTCGGAAGGTAATGTCCAGCTGGCAATTGCGATCGCTACGGATATCTCGGATGAGAAGCAGAGGGGGGCTACAATGGCTTTGGTGGGCATCTGCTTCAGCATAAGCTTTACATTTGGTCCGGCGTTGGGAGCTTGGTTGAGCACTATCAGCTCAGTAAAGACTAATCCGTTTGCGACGGCCGCTGCATTCTCGCTTTTCCTGATTGTGACGGAGACTATTTACTTGTACTATTGTCTTCCAGAGACGCTGCCAAGCAAGGTAGCTTCAGCGAAGCTCAATGGGGCTCCTGCAGCGACGAACGGCATCACCAAACCAACTAAAAAATCCGCAAAGAAGTCCACGCAGGCTCAATTGGTGTCCTCGGAGAAAACGACTGTGGGAAGCAAGCCTTTTACAAGAACTAATTCGCACTTCCTCCTTAACCTTACGCATTTGACCTTTATCCTCTTCTTCTCTGGGATGGAGTTTTCCCTCCCATTCATGACCTTCGATCTGTTTGGCTACACAGCCGCGCTAAACGGCCGACTTCTTGGATACATGGGACTCGTGGCATCTATTCTCCAAGGCGGTGTCATCCGACGTCTTCCTCCTCTACTCTCCGTGAAAATTGGCGTTGTGTCCTGCCTTCTAGCGCTTTTCCTCCTTGCGCGCATCAACACCGTTGCTGGGCTTTACGCAGCGACTACATTGTTAGCTATCACTACCGCCACCGTCGTTACGGGCTTGAACGCCTTGAGTAGTTTCGAAGCCGGCGAAGACGAACGGGGCGGCAAGCTCGGAAACCTACGGAGTTGGGGCCAGCTCGGACGCGGTGTCGGCCCGCTCCTCTTTACCAGCGTATACTGGTGGGCTGGACGCGAAATTGCGTATACCATTGGCGGTATGGGTGTGTTGGCCGTGAGCATGATTGTATTCTTTGGGCTGAAGACACCCAAGGGAACGGAGGGGAAGAAGATCAAGGACGTGAAGATTGACGATGCGGTGGAGCTGTAAGATAAAGGTACATATATATATAGTACGTTGGTTGTATGAGATATCATATTAGGATCGAGTGATCGGTGGGTATTATTATTGTATTCTGCTGGCGTATTCAATTTGCGGGAAGCGAAAATGCATTTCACGTACCTTAGGTTAGACAAAATCATTTCATTCATCTATACTTAGTATTGATTAATTAATTAATTAATTGCATCCAAGCTTATATGACAGTACCCTTTTTAGCCCTGCACGAGTCTCTAAAGCACACATCCCATCCCATTCCCCACGGTACGCTAAATAATAAGCCGCTAGCGCAGAGCTGGCCGGCATAGCGAAAACGACCTTAATGGGTGGGAGAAGTAGGAAGGAAGTGTATAATAGGAAAGGATAGAATGAATAGACACGTGACTTTTACCCCCTAAAACCAGCTTGGCTCGCTAGGGTAGAGATGCCATGCATGGCATGCATGCTCTTGTCTTGCATCACTAGCGTGAATGACTCATTTTCACTCATTCTGTATCAGGGGCTATTATGCCTGTTTTCGTCTTAGGGTATGCTGTGCTGTGCTTTGATAGGAATACGGATGGAGTAAGCCATTTGTGTAGGTGTAGGTGCAGTGCAGTTCAATCGTTATGATTGATTGATCATTGATCATACTACCCGAACGAGGTCTTTTGGGTTGAGTACCTAGGTATGCGTCGTGAGATTACAAATTCAGGATCACTTGGCGAAGCGTGATTTTGATTTTGATTTGCAGGGAGGGGGTGTTTCGACTCATGATGATTTTGGAAGAGTATCTCTGGCTCATATACCATGGGGATATGTAAAGGGGATGATGGATCTAGGAATATAGATTTGGAGTATATATAGAATAGGCAATAGGGAATAAATCTAGAACTTGAGAACCAGAATCCAATTGAATGAAGCAAAGACAACCAAGAAATTGTAAGGATCTCTTCCATACTCCCCAATGACATACTCTAGAGACAAGTTATGAAGAAAAACTATTTTGCCGAAGTGATATCCTATGATCAAACAACCGACATCGTCCGAACATTTCATCTCCAATTCATCTTCCAAAACCACTAATCACATTCCCCAAACCATCTGCTAACACTCAAAACAAATTCCTCAGGTTACGCTCTCGACTTCACAAGCCCCCTCAAAGCTTCAAGCTCGCCCTCCAGCCGCGCAACTCGGACTTTAAGGGCATCTTTCTCATCCTCGGACTGCTTCAGAGCTGACTCGAGACTGCTCACTTGATCGACACGTTTCTGGCGGTAGCGACGGGCTGCAATGGTGTTGCGGGTGCGCTTTTCAATGCGGGAGCTTGGGTTGCCTGTCTTGGAGGAATTGGAATTGGAATGCGAGTCAGGAGAGACGCTTGCTCTGGGAGATGAGCCTGACGGTATGTTGTCCTGAGAATCTGGGGAGATGAAGTTTTGGGGTGAGTTGTCTGGGAAAATATTAGGATTGGCTTTTCAATAGGGAAGATATAATGGCTGAGCATACCATGGGATGTAGTGTGTAATGAGCGATGACTGGGAGAATGAAGAGTGATTGAAGGGCTCTCTGACTGATTGGGATAGTCGGTTCCAGAAACATTTACTGGCAGCTGGGGTAGCTGTCCCATAATGCCATCTGATTGCGAAAAGTCGAGATTATCAAAGGAGGAATCGTAACAAAAGGAATTGTCCAGGGAATTGTATCCGGCTATAGAAGTGCCAAAAGCGTTGTTGTTGTTGACGCCGACTCCAGAATCGTCCATCCACTGTCCAGATTGTGTGACAGGCGCGCCAGAGAAGAAGTCATCCGCAAGCGCGGATGAATCGCCCAACTGATACGCGTCGCCAGGCGCAATGTGATTGAGATCGAGTCCGAAACTAGGCCAGCTTTCATGATTTTGTATTTGGAAATGGTGATTACCAGGGTGGCTTAGACTTGACAGGCAATTGTTGTGGTGCGTAGAATCCGATGGTCTGGCGGCTGGCAGCTGCAGAGGATGATCCTGCGGCACACATGACTGAATAGTAGTTTACGGGCCCAATTGACCCGTGTGAAAACCTTTCAAGGTATTAGGAAGTGAATTGAGGTCGCGGGAAAGTGCGAAGAAGGCACGTTTGAAGGAAGGGGGAAAGAAGCTGAATTCGAAGCAAGAAAGGTCAGTTATATAGACATCGGTAGTGAGACGAGCGAGGCTTGGCATCTCGGGCTCGGGAGCAGATTGTGACTCACTCCGTCTTACTAGACTAGACTCATGCAATGTTGCAGATAGACCAACACCAGTCCTATTTTGGTCAATGATTTTAGAGACAAATCTTTAGTTTCCTTCCAGAGGCATTTTGCAATGGTTGAAGCTTTTCGCCCTCGGAAAGTGAGAAGATGAAGATTGTGAGGTTGGTATTTCATGCCCTAGAGGGTTCAAACGTTAGGAATTAGGATAATAATTAAGAACCTCTGGGCACTACTACTTATCAATAGATACTGTAGTGTTCTGTTCAGTTCAGCACACATCGAATGCATCGATTGACCACCTACCTTAACTAGTCCCCCCCTTTCTCTCTCGCCTAAAATGCCTGCCTAGCCTTTGTTTCCTGTCCACCACATCGATAGGCGGCTAAACATTTCACTCCTCCAAAGTATGAAGGTGAGACAATAAATGTCGAATGGTAGAGAACATGATATTTCATTTAAATAATAAATGAATTGTCGATGAGATTGACTAATTGATGCAGCTTACCCTGAGAAATGGCGCCTCCGTCCCTCTCACCTTCTTATGCCTCTCCCACCGTCAAAAGTTACTACAGTGCCTTTAGACTCCCGACATTGTTTTCTTCTCCCATCACACAATTTCCATCCTTTAAATGGCTCCAACCCTCCTCACCCTCCCGCAAGAGATCCGAGACCAGGTATATATCTATATCCTCTGTCGCCATGAAACTTTCAGAGACTGGACCTTGGGACACCCGGGAGATGGATTTTACTTTATTCACCGCTACGACAGAAATTTCATTGACATCTTATTATCCCTCCCACCAACAGGCCACCAGATACACCGGGAGGCCAAGGCTGTCTTCTGGCATCATGTTACATTTCCCCCTCATTGTGAAATCCGATCATTCGACGATGACGGTCGGGAGCCCCTCGAGCCACCGAAAGCCGTGATCGACGTCCTCGTAATCAGAGTTCGAAAGCTGTCGCTCACCTTCCCACCACTTTCGAAATGGAGCGCGCCTCCAAATCTAGCAAATAGCTATCTAAGCAGGGTGTATGATTAGAGAATGAGCGAAAGTCTGCAAAGCATGGTCTTGGAGTTGGGGGTCACATGATACGATTCCGGACACGCTTGGGCCGATGGAGGTATTGAAGAGGGTTTTGAAGCACAAGATAAAAGGCGGGATTGAAAAAGACGAGGCGCGGGAGCTTCTGGCTGCTTTAGGGCCTAAGTTTCGGCACGTGAATCGAAAGGTAAAGTTTTTGTTGGAGGAAGACTTCAAGGGGTTCATGGATAGCAGATATTTCATTACTATGTAAATGGACTCCGGAAACGAGAAAGCTTTGGTGATTTTGGAGACGTCCGGTGAAGCATCCTGAGGAGGTGATGAGAGATTTGAGCGTCGACTTGGGCTTCGACGTGTGGGTAGATGAGGCTTTGCATTACAAGGACGGGATTCAGATCAAGAGGGTTTTTACGGAGCCTGACTGGGATACAGAGAGGGCTTACTAAAAGTTGCATCATTGGGAGAAGTTTGTGCTTGAAAAAGCTGTGCTATATTAGAAGAGAATTACGGTATTTGGTCTTTGGTGTACAAGTCAAAAACGCAAAGGTGAAGTGATCATGGCACTTGTGATTGAAGTCGCAATGTTTCTATTTCTTGATTTCTAACTCTAACTCATCTTCCGAAAGCAGATAGCTTGACCCCTACTCAGACCCAACCCAAAAAATCCTTCTTTCCGACTGGCACACCCTCCTTTCGCAAGAGCCCATACGCAGTGACACTGTGGAAGTAGAAGTTGGGAATCGCATAACTGAGCACATAGTCGGTGGCCGAGAACCTCCTCTCCCCACTACCAGTCTGCATCACGACCTCCTGGTCTTCCATTCCGTCCATTGACTTCGGATCAACCTTCTCCAGGAAGGCAATTGTCTTCTTGAGACGCACTTCCAACTCAGGGAAGGTCTCTTCGTTATCTGGCCAGGACTCTGGCTCTACTTTGCCGACGCGGACGGCGACACCCTTTGCTGAGTCACTTGCGCGCTGAACTATAAAGAATGGGGTTTAGCTTTACGTGTTCATGTGGCTTTCAAGGTGAGAAGATGTGCCGCATTGAAATAAACAAGAATCCGAATAGCTTACTTTGGAATACGAGGGGTCTCATGTCCTCAATCAGGCGTGACTCGAGGATCTTAGCTTCATTGCCAGCGGAGTGTGCTTTTCCTTTCTCGAGGATGGCCAAGAGCATGCGAAGTTGCTTGAGGAAGGGAGGGATGGTAATGCTGTAAAGTGAAAGAGGTGCCATCTTGAAAGTCGTATTATTCTGCAGAATATATGATTTTGGTTTGATCTGAGAGGCGAGAAGGATGAAGCTGAAGAGGGTACTTTTGAAGCGGGGAACGATGCAGCTTATGTAGGAAATTTGAATACATAGGCACTTTAAGTCGTGCCTAACTAGGTAAATATCCAACTGAGCACATACCAATATTTAGGCCGGCATTAGGACGCCTCAGATTGGATGAGCTGATAAATCATCTCCGATTTATAATGTGGATCAGGCTGCGACGTGTCCCGCATTACTATTCCATTACACGAGAGCAAAATGACAGAAATCAAGCCGGGGCGAAGACAGGTGAAAGCTTTGAAAGGGAGCTCGCAAAACGAAGTTATTGATGTCTGAAAAGGAGGTATGAAAAGTAAACAAAACAGTGGAGTCTAATTGTTGACGGCAACAAGCCAAGAATTGCGACATCTTTCAGGGGCTCGGAAGTGCTGACTCACCGAAGACATACCTTAACCTTAACCCTCATCCACCTACTGTACAGGCATCACCATGGGTAGGACTCCAGTGCGCTGGGCACGTAAATTTACATCAAACCCACACCACCAGCTTGTAAGATCCGAGATCATAAAGAGAAGCAGAATGCTGGTCGTACCATCACCTCAATCACATGACCTCTCCTCACCTGCTTTCACAATTCGAGTGGCAGGGCAGGGCAGGGCGGCCGCGCTGTGCCTCGCTGTGTCGTCGCAGGCAACAGCCTCAATCCAGAAAGACTCATAGTTGAAGCTAAAAGTACAGCTGTCTGTTTCTCATCTCATGAGACTACATAAGTACACATCATTTGTTTTACGCCTCTCCATTATTGTAAACCGTCGCATCTTTGAAATCTTCTGCTTTGTCCAATTCACACATCAAAACTGGCCATTACAAAGTACATCTTCCTAAAGACCCCTGCAAACCGTCACAATGGCAACCATGCTTCAGAAATCTCGAAATAAGGCCAAGAAGGACAGCTCCATCAGGAATCCTCAAGTTGTGAGAACCAACTACACGTCCAAAACCGTCTCAATCCCCAGGTCCTTCTTGTCGCCCCTCAGAGACCCCTCCATCATCGAAGTCAACCAAATCGACTTCGCCAACACCCCGCTCCCGCAATATAAAGGCCTCTACGCCGTCGTACTCGACAATGTCCTCTCACAGTCAGAATGCGATGAATTAATCCACATGGCGGAACAATCTGCAGGGGGGCATGACCCCTCGGAGCCGATGGAGAATAATGGGTGGAAACCAGCCATGGTGAACGCCGGCCGGAATCACGAGTTCCTGGCACTGGATTATAGGAACTCGGATCGCATCATCTGGGACAATGAAGAGATTATGAATCGACTTTGGAAGCGCATTACGCAGGTTAAGGAAATGAAGGATTATTTTAGTGTCATGGAAGGGGAGAAGTACGGTTCGATTGTGGGGGACTGCTTGGTGATGCAGGATGGAAGGTGGGTTATTGCGCCCAAGGGACCGAATGAGAGGATGCGATTCCTGAAATATGGCGCTGGGCAATTTTTTAGACGTGAGTGGCCCTTTTCCCTATTGGCGGTGAGATACTAATGAATAATAGCTCATTGTGATGGCACATATGAAACTCCCGATGGGCAACAGCGCTCTTTCTTCACGTTGCATTTATATCTGAATGATTCGGCTCAAGCGCTTGGAATCAAGGAGCCTATGTTTGGATTCCGCAAGGGAAAGAAGGCCGATGGAGAAGAAGAGATGCTTCGGGGCGGCGCAACTACGTTTCATTCCATGGATAAGAAGAAACGGCTGGATGTTGATCCTAAGGCGGGCCGAGTTTTGATCTTCCAGCAAAGTAGACTATACCATTCTGGAGATGACGTTACAGCTGGGATCAAGTATACCGTGAGGTCGGACTTGATGTACCAATTTGAGGCTGAGAAGGAAGATGGGGAATGAAGACCCTGTGGTTTTTCAGGAGGAGCTGGGCCGGTGTCTGGCAGTTGGCCCAGCGAGTGCATAAACTGAGTTCACCCCCAAAAAATATTGGCATGTAGGATATAAAATTGCTAGCTTTTGGAATAGCTTTAGGTATATAGTTGGATTCGGTAAATGCATGGAACAAGGCGTCAAGTCAATCCCTGAGCTTTACGATCGTTTTTAAGGGCAAAAGTTTGATTAGCGAAACAAATCGAGTTCTTCTAACTTGTGCTCGGAACTTGCTTATAGAAGCCTTTAACAAATTTTCTTAATATTCCTCCAAGCAAGCCAAATAGGTTTTCTATAATCCCTGCCTTGAGTACGCTTCGAGGTGATAGAAGATTTGACAACCTATGCACAGAGCTCGATTAAGCAACGCATCCGATAGAAAAAGTAACGACAATTGATTCGAAAGAGTAAAATTGTACAATCTTCTACAGTTGAACAATCATGGTCACGCCGGGAAGTGCGGGCTAAGCTATGGATGAGAAGCGTGATTTAAGCACGTGTTTACAAATGATCTCCCTCCCTCCCCCAATTTAGAACTGAAAGAACCCCTGAGAGTAAAAACTATTTTAGTTTCAAGTTCCGTTATATTGTCTTGTCCAAGTGAGGTAGCGTCTAACTTAGTAAACACGTGCTTATATTACTTTCTTAGAGGTTGCTTCGTCAACGCTTCCCATAGAAGATTACTGTATGCGGGGTTACTGTTTCAAATCACACAACAACCTGCTCTTCCTACAAACTTCCAAAATGTCTATACCCGTCCTCGACTTCCCAAAAGAAATTCGTGACCAAATATATTCCGATATCTTAGCCCCAACCACCCAATTTACCCTCTGCCGTTCCGCACAAGATAAAGACATACAGTACCAGTACCTTACCCATCTACACGTTTACCCCGCAACGACAAGATATCAACCAACATCCTACAAACATGCCACCAAATCTACCGCGAAACCAAAGATTTATTCTGGGTACAAAACACCTTGGTTATCTTTCCGAAACCCGGCGAGGATGTAGAGCGCGAGACCTTCCTGAGCATGTTGAGCAAGGTCCAGAAAGTCGCTTTGCATTTCGACCTTGATAGTGATAATTTCAACTATGTCCGTAAAGACAGCATAATTCTCACTGTTTACTCTAGAGCGCTGAAGAGCTTGAGATTTGTTATTGAAGCTGGTGATGGTGAAGAAGGGTCGCCACTCTTGACGAGATTCAGAGAGTTAGCTTATCATGGTCTGCGCGCATCGAATTCGCTGTGGATGGCTCGGATCTTGGAAGAGATGCGGCGGAATATTGTGGGAGAAGGGGTGGATGTTAAATTGATATTTGAGTTCGGGCTGGGGACATTGGATGCTGGGACGATATCAAAGATGCGGGCTGATGGTTGTGAGGATCTTTTGATGGAAATGCATGATATTTTGGGCGCGGAAGTTTGGGTAGACGATGCTATGTGCTATAAGGATGGAAAGGCGGTTCAGAAGATCTTTGGAGATCGTGAAAGTGCAGCTGATGGTTGTAATTGTCCTCCCTCATGTTCCCATGGTTGTTCCCATGGCTCAGAAACACTACCAGGGAACAATGATGAGTAAAGGATCTTAAAATCGAGTGTTGCATGAGCTTAGGTGGACAGCTATTGTACAACCAAGGCAAGGACAAAGCGACAGCCCTGCCTTTTTGAGACCAACCCTATTTGCTTTGTCTTTCACATCAAACCAAACGACTTCTCAAAATGTCTACCTCTTTCTTCGATCTTCCAAGAGATTTTAGAGACAAGTTTTACAATGAAGTGCTAACCTAAAGCATAGGCGCTTCCAACGATCCAATTGCCCTCGCCGCTCTTATTCGCAGTAAAAGTTCTGTACAAAAGAATCCCAGCCTTCGTATACATAGCGCAGCGCGGTATATGCCTTGAGGGACCCTAATCGCATTGGTCAACTCACTTGCATAAACATGAGAGGTTACAGAAAGCCGAAATGTCCCATGCTCCAAAAATTGCTCTTCGTCGTCCAGACCCACGTGTGGACCTTGCCTTTAGCTTGACTCGAACGACAAAGGCCGCAAGAGGCCCTCAGCTAAACATTGTGCCAGTATAGACTCGCGGAAGCGAAACTCGCAAGGTGCTCGATGCTGAATATTGATGGTAAAACTGTACAGTGGAATAGAGCCTCATGTCCACCTAACGCCTCCCAATGCAGTGTGAAGCGCTCCAAATGCAATCCAAACAGTCATATAGTACATCTCACAATCTTTCTCCGTCGAGAAATTTCCCCTAGCACCACCTCGTTCAAACTAAACAGCTCCGTCCCAACACCCGGTCTACTTCTCCCCCTTCCTAAACTTCTCATTCTCCACCTCCCTCCAATCCCTCTCCACCGGCTCATTGCCCGCCGTCTCCTTCGCCGTCTCCGCAAATGCCGGCTTGCCCGCATACAACATGTGTGCCTTTTCTTGCGAACCGCCCTCCAGCTCCTTGCTCACAGCAATGGGCTGATTCCCCCTAAACCGTTTGCGCATATCCACCATACCACGCTTGCATTCTCCGAGGCCCTTTTTCAGCTGCTGGCATTGCGTAGGCATGGTTTCTAAGAGGGGCGCGCGCAGGCAGTCCGAGGGTTTGTTGCGATAAACCATCACGCAGTCGGATTCTTGGAGGCATGCTGCTAGTGCTGCTCCTGTTGGTTTTGTTTTGTTAGCTTTCTAGCTTGGTGGGTGAGGGGGTAAGAGGGTAGGGGAACCTACTGATATCTTTACATGAGGAAGGCATATTTGCATCTATGACTCTGGTAGTTGTAGAACGCGGGTATGTTGACTGCTTGTCAGGCGATTATTTGGGTTATTCAATACGCCGCGGAAAGTTATTGTTCCGCTCCGAGATATATAATCTAGAGCTGGATCCGCCATCTTCCTCGCGCTTTCTTACGGATACTTATTTGTGGTGGTCCTGGCAATCATCTTGCAACTTGGGAAGAAGAGTCGTCAAGTCTAGCATTGTTGCATTATTCTGTTTTATACCTACCTGCCTCGTGTGACGCTTAACGGTTTTGAGGAACTTGCGACCGACCTGATTGGCATGTGACATCATTGGCGTGTGTGTCTATATGTGAGTGCTTCTTTGTTGTATTCCATTCCAACGTTGACAACGCTGATGAAGACAGTAGTACCCATTGACTTGTGTTTAGAAAGTATTTAGACTCGTGCAATTGAATTCTGCACAGCTTATACGCCGACGCATCACTAGCATTTGTACTGGTACAGACGCGCCTACTCGCCGAAGCAGCGCCACTTTTTCTTATCACTTGTATTATTGCGCAGCATCATGCCAGCAGTTTGACCTTTTTCTAGAGACTCTCAACTACCAGAGCTTTATATATCAAAGAAGCCTGGGAGGCCCAATTGGTTTATTTGAGATGGCTCCCATCCCTTTCATAGGGCGGCTAAACCCGTAAGTCTTACCAGAAACGAAGGAAACCCAGCCAAGACAATCACTACTAATTGACTGACCATTAGAGCCGAGTACTTGGCCCTTGTTTTGTCCTTTTTCCTTGTTGGCGCCGAGGCCATAATTAGAATCCTCACTCTTGCTTTGCGTATGTAGTATTGATTGGTGCCCAAAAGCTTTTTACTGACTTCATAGCAGCAAGCTCGATAATATCCCTCTGTTACAGAGCTTCCCGGCGACTGTTTAACAGACTCACATCACCTGCGGCCAAGAAGTCTGCGATCAAACAGAAAGGTACATGATCTCCCACGTAGGTCAAATCATCTAGTTAACATCCTTAGATGTCTCAAGCTCCATCCGTGATGCTTCGGATTTCGTCGACATTTGTGCCTTGTTTGGCTACTATGCCGAAGAGCACGTTGTCCAAACTGGTGATGGGTATCTCCTAGGCCTTCATCGTCTCGCATGGCGCCGAGGAGAAGAAGAGCTGAAAGTGAACCATGGCCGAAACAGCCTGAAGAAAAATGTCATCTACATGCATCATGGTCTACTCATGAATAGCGAGGTATGGGTATGTCTCACAGATGAGCAGAGATGTTTACCTTTCAAGCTCGTAGAAGCTGGATACGATGTTTGGGTAAGTTATTGAAAGCCTTTTTCTTGATCAGAGCTAAGTAAGTGCAGCTTGGCAACAATCGTGGAAATAAATATTCCAAGAAATCGGTTCATCATTCGCCCACCGATATACCGTTCTGGAATTTCTCAATGGATGATTTTGCATTCCATGATATCCCAAACAGCATTGGGTACATATTGGACACTACCTCAGCGCCATCGCTATCATACATTGGTTTCTCTCAGGGAACAGCCCAAGCTTTCGCAGCCTTGGCCGTTCATCCCAAACTCAACGACCAGGTCAATGTTTTCATCGCGCTTGCACCAGCTATGTCACCCGCGGGTCTCTCTAATGGTATAGTTGACGCCCTAATCAAAGCCTCACCACAAGTTCTCTTCCTCCTCTTCGGGCGTCGCTCAATTCTTAGCTCAGCGACGATGTGGCAATCCATCCTCTACCCACCCATCTTTGTCCGCACCATCGACATGGGTCTTTCCTTTCTATTTGGCTGGAATGCTCGCAACATATCCACCAGCCAAAAGCTAGCCGCCTACCCGCATCTTTACTCCTTCACTAGCACCAAGTCCGTCGTGCACTGGTTCCAAATCATCCGCAACAAGTCCTTTCAAATGTACGACGACGACGTCCAGCAAGCCCTTTCCCTCGGAAGTGTAAGCAAGTACACAAAAGTCGCCAAATTCCCGACCCGCAACATAAAAACGCCAATTGTACTCGTGTACGGCGGCAGCGACTCTCTCGTGGATATCGACGTCATGATGAAGGAACTCCCCGCACACACCATCGCCACAGAAATTCCGCACTATGAACACTTAGATTTCCTCTGGGCTCGAGACGTAGAGTCTCTCGTCTTTCCTCATGTATTCGACGCCCTGAATTCGTTCGTCGACGCTGAACATTCCAAGGAAGAATACGACCGGTACCGTAGTGCGCGCCATGCTTCTCTCGGTGCGAGAGCGAATAGACCGGCGTTGCTATCTAATCCTTATACAAGTGAAGATGAGAGCGGTCAGACGTATGCCGATGCAGCAAGTATAGAGCCGGGAGAAGATGCCGATGCATTGGGTACAACGAGGGATGTGCTGCACTCCGATCCATATTTTCCAAGTCAAGGGGCAAGGAAGAGGGTGAAGATGCAGCAAGATTATGAAGATTCTTCTGCAGAATCATCGCCAGTTGATCCGAGGCATGTCAAAACTGCTATAGATGAAGGAAATGTGTACAAAAATGGAAATCTTTCGAGCAAGTTAAAGCATGCAAGGAGGGGTAGTGATGGAAGCACTCTTAGTTTCGGCGGCGATGGCACAAGGGGCATCAGTCTCGGAGCTGCAAGAGCGGTTAGTAGTGTGTCAAAAGGCGAGACGGTTGGGAAAATCACTAGTTCGGATGAAGGTTCTATCGGGAAGAAGAAAGGGAAGGGCAGGAGGTAGATGACAAGATTTTTGTATAGATAAATTTTCGGAAACAAGCGGACACGATATATTTTCTTAGAGTTCTGAATATAAATACGAATAAAAAGGTAAACCGGTACCGCTGCATCTTGGAAGAACCCGTCTAAGCTCTTTTCCGCTGTCCTTCACTGTTCCATGAATATACACATTTTCGACTCATTGCACACCAATATCATGTAAGCATAAAACATGCATTCCCTAGTCTCCAAATAACAAATAGCATCCGCGTTCTCGTAAAGGAAATCCGTTTCCTCCATCTATAAAAATACCACCACGTCCATTCACAGCAACGTAACGTAACAAAAACCACTTGCTTATCCCCACTCCAAAGCTCTTATCTAAACACCTCTGGAAGAAAATCACTAGCACATCGATTTTCATCCTAGACCCGTACACACAGTTATCAGCACATACCCAACAACCCCCTACACACGCAGAAGTAAAAAGCAAAGAGAGAGAGAGAGAAGGAGAGAGAGCTTACTGCTTCTCACACCCCCTATCCTGTCCCGCCCCACACTTCCCCACTATCTCACTATACACAGTAACCCACTCCCCACACGTCGGGAGCATTGTCATCGCCATCCTCTGCTCGGGAGGCGGGAGCTGGGCTTTGGGACAGGTGATGATGACGCTTTGTTTGCAGATGCAGTGTTTGTCGGAGAAGAAGTAGATTGTTTTTGTGCACATGGTGTGTTTGTGATTATGACTATGATTGTAAGGGGAAGGGGAAGGACTTTGTGTGGTGTTAAAGATGGTGGTGGGGTTGGGGTAGGATAGGGTTGGGGGAGATGGAATATAGGGACGAAAAGGGGAAGAGAAAGGGTAGACAGGAGGGAATCACTAGGTGAATCAAGGTGCTAGACAGGTGGATAGAATTGTTATTGGCAAATTCAATTCAAAACCGACCAACTTGCTAGATTGAATTGTCTACTCAGTACACAACAGGGACGCTCGAAAGAAGGGACGCTCCACAATAATAATGAGTGCTGCAACCTCGGGTATATTCAAGTCAAAAACTTCACTATCCCATTCTTATCCTCCATCCGTATCCACGGTCCTCTTCCACCAATTACACATACAAGGGTAAGAAGATAAGTCATGCTTTTATCGCATGCTCATTATCTTATCTTCCGCCCGAGTCATTAAACAAAAGCGAAAAAAGGAGAGATGTGATCGCGGTTGATCTGTAAGTCCATGGCCGTAAAATCAGGAACAGCCGTTCATGAAACGCTTCTGCGTAGATAGCGGATTCAGTTGTGTGGGATTAAAAAGGAAAACATAAACTTCGTAAAAGAGAGATCCCTCGCTTTGGGTGGTGACTGTAGTACAACGTGTTTAATCGGTGCGCCGCATTATGCTGTTTCGGCCTTGGGCTTGGGAGGGCCCGGGTCGTAGTGCTGACCCTGAAGCAGGTCCCACAGCGTGAGAATGACGTCCTCTGCCAGAATTGGTGGTGTGCAAGTGGCCAACATCATGTTTGCCTATAGTCACGTTAGAATGTTGAAGCTGGGTGAGGTGATTATAGGGACTTACCATCGCAGCAAGCTCGTACATTCTCGAGCCTATCAGAATCTCGGTCTTGCCTCTCGATTATTGCCCTCAGGTCTTCAGCACTGTCGTGCACCTCGCTAGCCTCATAAATACTACCACTGTTTCCTGCGCTTTGTCGGCTTCTGGTGCTTCCCTGCTTCCAGTAGTTACTTAGTCGCGACAAAGTTCCGCTAGGGTTTCGAGATGATGTCGATGCTTGGACAGGTTGGGGCTTGTTCATTGACGTTCGAACAGACTTGCGCGTGGGTGAAGTATTACGGGTTGTGCGACTATTGTATGATGAGAGTGATGCTGGGCCTCGGCGTGTGTTGTTGTTGCCAAATCCAGGATTGAACTCAGCTACATCTTCATGCGTAAGAGATCCATTGGCAAGATCCGCTGCATCTTCACCCTTCTGCTCGCCAGTCCTGAGAAGCAGGTAAGACAATGCGTTAAACCAAGTTTCATGAAGTTGCCCCGTGGTTGCGGTGAACTTGACAGCACGACCGGGGGTCATGATAACTAAACTCTTACGATGCAGGCCAGGAGGCATTGGGTTGTCGTCCGTTACTACCCTGACAGCTTCAATTGGAACACTCTTTGCTTTCAACTCGGCTCGGCCTGCTGATGATGGATCTCGGTCGCTCCAGTAAAGTGTTCTGGTGTATGGATGAACCCAGAAGTAACGACGATGTCGGTTCTCTGACATTGCTCCACGACCAGCCTTTCGGGTATACTTCCAGAGATATTCTCCAATCATTGTCTGCGTGATGGCATTGATCATTCTAGGATCAGTACTAGGTTCTAGACCGTGTGGCATCGGCATTCCTGTTCTCAAATTGAAACGAGTGTCAACCTCGGACGCAAATGATGTCACAGATGACCGTCTGGATCTAGCAGTTCCAGGAGGTGATTGTAAGGCGCCGCCTGAAGAGTGATATGCTCGTGGAGTTGGGCCGTCATTCAATGAAGTTGGACTCATAGGGGGTTGTTGGCTAGGTGTACGAGGCCTGAATGACGGATTGTTGGCTCTGTAAGCACTCGCGGGATGCAAGGGAGGTCCCATGGGACCTGGAGTGTGAGCACCATTAGATGAGCCGCTACGCTGGGCGGCGGCAGCAATGACTTTCTTAGAGTCTGCAGGTAGTGGTGGATGAATGCTCGAAATGGACCCGTTTCTTTGGCTCCCGGCACTAGTTGGTCTCTTCAGTGGGAGAGCAGCAGTGTCATGCGGATAGTCAGGCTCAGTCATCTTTGATCTCGCGCGGCCAACACTTCCGATACTCTCCTGGGACTTGCGAGCTCGAACGATTAGAGGCAGAGTGGTGGAATGATGAGCAGAAACAGGCGACTTTCGACCATCTTCAGCAATGATTGCCGTTTGTCTCTTGTTTCGTAGCATTTCATCGATTTGTTCTGCTGTCAAGGCAGTCTGCGAGCTTTCATCGGTTGTCTCTACATGAGGCTTCCTGGCGGTTCTCTCGTTGCTATTGGTATTGCTAGATAGCTCTTTGAATGGCCGCTGGGAGTCTGGAGTATCATTCATAGGCGAATCGCTAGGCGACTGGCGAGTCTCGTCCTCGGCAATAATTGGTGTCGTAGGGGTCTTATCCTTATTCCAGCCAAAGACAGACCCAAGGAACTTAGGTTTGGGCGTCTCCGGGTCTTCTTGTCGGACGGAATGATCTTCGTCAGACTCATAATGAGGAATCATCACAGCATCTCTTCTTGGGCTTCGGGGTGAGAGTGGCGTGATTGGTTCTGTATTGACAGACTGGATGGACGAGAAAACCAGCGGAGCAGGTACTGGAGCTTGTTTTGGCGTGCTTGATAGCGGTTCTGTTGAACGATCTGAAAGGATTGGAGACTGCGCCTCGGTAGGCTCAACTTGTTCGGAATGGATTGTAGACATGGTTAAAGAAGCAGCAACATTCTGAAGTCCTGACAGGCTTGCCATTGGGGTTTGCGCACGAGACATTGGGGGAGATGGGAATTTGGCGAGCTTTTCATCCATAAGTTCTGGATCATACTGTGAGCTCCTGTCGCTGTACGTTGAAGCTGATATAGGTCGAGCGTCTGTATGAGAACCAACCCGGAGAAGACCATTAAGCTGATTATTGAGTTGGTCCTCATGCCATTGCCTTGCAGTATCAGATATATTGACCTGGGTGCCAGTTGAAGAACGCTTATCACTCGCTAAATGTGCAGCCTCCGTGAGAGCGGCGCCTGCAAGGCCGGCTCCCGCGAGGTAAGGCACCGCAGTCTGGGGTGTAACTGGTTCTGGTTCTTGTTCTGTTTCTGGCTCTGGCTCCCAAGGTTCAGTCATCATTGCAGAATCAACCATAGGGAGTTTTGGTACAGGTGGTGCCATAGCAATAGGTGCGGGAATGCCCTTTGCAGTGGAAGGTCTGGATCCTGGTGTTGCGGTCAGCGAAGGGAAGGTACTACGGCCTGGCGTTCCCTGAAATGAGTCCTCCTCATCACTTGCTCCCATATCGGCAAGCTCAGCAAACAAGGTCTGACCACCCTGTGCAGGTGTGCCCTCTCTACTGCTATTTGCAAGGCTGACCGGGCTACTTTGAAATGGCTCTTCGCTAGCGACTCTAGAGCGTCGGTTACCCCCCCGACTAACTCTCAATCTGAGACGTCCAGCAGGTTGAGCAGTTGGTGTCTTGACCTCATCGTAATCCCACTCTTCACCAGAAGTTGAGGCTGTACTCTGGAATGACTGGCGATTTCCAGGTCTGGTCAGGGCAAGAGGTGGAGGCTTCTTGCGGGATGGACTACCCGATCTGCCCTCTGTTTCAGTCAACTCTTCACTGCCACTCATGCCTTCATTAACAGTCTGGAAATCCTCAGTCTCTGTAGCACGTTCATTGGCCGTCTCAAATGCAGCATCGCTTGTCTCATTCGCAGTCTCAAAGTGATCGCTGTGTTCGGGCGGGGGGCGATCAGCGACTCCACCACCACCAGCTCCCACGGCAACACGGGCAGCAGTGACTGCTGCTGAGTGACTTGGACTTGTTTGGCCATTGTCTTCCTCCCAATTCATATCGTCCACGAAAACCTCGCTTCTACTACCCCTCAATCCTCCTAGTTGGCCAGGCTTAGCGGGCTTCTTGAACTCCTTTGAGTCTACTTTGCGATTTCTCTTGCCGTTTACAGATCCCATTCCCACCGTTCGGCTGGACTCCAGTTCGTCTCGGGCATCCTGAAGCATTCGCTTTAGTTCTAACTTTTCTGTCTTTTCCCGATGGATGTTCCCCTTCAGATTCTGGATCATTCGATGTGCATGATGTAAAGAACTCTTCAGCGTCTCCGATTCCAACATGCTATGTCTTGGAGTCCCTTTGATTGGAGAGGGTGGCGGAGAGTGTTCAGGTGTGACGTCGTCATGTGCAGTCTCTAAGTCCTCATCACTGAATCCTCGTGTTTGGTCCCTACCCTCCAGTCTTCCACGTTGATGTGCAACAGCTTTGGCAAGCTCCTGATTTTGGCCAGTCAAATCCTCGATTTTTCGTTGCAACGCCCCACGTTCATTCTCAGCTACAGTCATATTTCGCCTGACAGCAGCCAGCTCCGCATCATGATGCTTGACAGTATTCGTATGGTCCTCGGATAGCTTTGCGTGGCTCAATTTAATTTCATCGAGCTCCTTCTGTGCAGCGCTCTTCTCAATTTGCGAAACATTCAGACTTTGGGACAACTTCTTTTCCCTGTCGGCCGCCTCTTTCGAGGTAGCCAAATACTCGTGGATCTGGGTCTCCAAATTCCAATTTTCGTCTTTATACCTCTGCTCGCTCTCATCAAGGCTCCGTAATCGCTGGCTGAATCCCTCTGCCTCCTCCTCTAACCTTGATTTTTCCAAAGTCACAGTCTTCAATGCTTCTTCCTTTTCGGCCAACAGAGCCTGGAGATGTCTGACTTGGGATAAAAGAGATGTACTGATTTCGGTAGCGAACTCTATGTCGTGTACACGATTCGAGGGCTGGTTTCGTTGGCGTCTGCTGTTAGGAACGTTGAGTTTCGAGGGTGAGTTGGTGGCTTGACTTTCGAACTTCGAGGGGCTTGCAGCACGCTATTGCATATCAGTGATGTCCAAATCATGTGTAATTAAGTAGTATGCATGCCTTTGTTTCACCTGTATATGGTGAATTCCCAACCTCACCACTTGTAACTCTGGACTTTGGCAGAAACGCCCTCGCACTCTCGCGGCCAACGTCATTGTATTCCTTCTCAATATCAATGAGCTTTTGCCGCAATTCGGGCGTGATGTCCCCTTCGCTTTGCTGCTTCTCGACCTCCTTCAACCGATCTTCTAGCTCTTTTCGCTGTTGTACAAGGGTAGTTCCGATCTTTGAAGCGTCTTGAATTCGTTGTTCGGTCTGGGCAAGATGAGCCTCCAATGCCCGCTTTGCTTGTTCCGGAGAAGCGGTGGGTCCGAGAGCAAAGAGCTGGCTGTCAAAATGTGAGAATCGGTGGTGCGCCGAGCTTGTTGAACTGGACAAGAAGGGATCATTCTGCTCTTGTGCTTCAGCGGACACCAGATCCTGGGAAGCCAGCGAGGTAGCCATGGCGACTGCACGAATTCAGATTAAACAATTCCAATCAAAGGACAGCCTTTGACAAGAAATCGTCTTCGGAAATCACCAGTCTCCAAACACTCCCCGCGGTCCTGTAGGAGGTACAGAGCCAATTCAGGGCGAGATTCGCAGGCGTGATGGTTCGCGTGATACTTGTACTTTTGCGCAAAGATATTAAGATTGTATTGTACAACTCGGTGGAAGGTGGCACAAAGTGCAAAGTGGGACTGGTTGCACTGGAATGTCGGCAGTGTCGTTGATGTAGAATACGGGCCAGAATTTAGTCGTGTTGACGGACTAAAGGCGCGCGTTCCTGATACTGCCCTGGTCCGCGCCGAGACACTTCCTTTATTATCCCGTGTAAAAATACAACCCTGCCTCCTGCGTGATTGAGGGCAGGTTCGCGACAAGAGGTACTTGTGGCGGTCTAGCAAGAACTATTGGGGGAGGGGGGAGAGAAGGTATGTAGGGTGAGGTTGAGGTAGGTGAGGAGATCGTGGAGACGAGATGATGCTGGTGGGCCCACGGATCTCGATAAAAAAAGAGCAGGTAGAAGCGCGGCGCGGGATGAGACGTTAGTGGATTGAATTGCTATCTTACTGGTCCAAGGCGGATAGTTTTGTTTACTGTATTCCCTTCTCATCTTGTCTATATATACGCAATTTGGTTGGTCTACGCGCTCTCAAAACAACAACGCATCATGACTTTTCTATTATTCCTATTATTTACTTCCCTGAATTATTATGGCGTGCATGACTGTGCAATTTGCTGAAATTAAAAAGCTTCCAAAAATTGCCCAGGATTGATTATCCCGGTGTTTACGCTGGAGCTATTACGGAGGTATTTATTTATTCCTCTGCGATTAGTCAGCCTTACTTAATTAGTGGCACTACCTTATTAGCCTAGCCTTACCTAGCCTAGCTAGCCTAGGTAAGGTAAGGTAAGCTTGACAATACCATATATTTTCTCAGCCTCGAGAACAAACCTCTAACGCAGCAACCTTCAACACTATCGATACTCTCAGATCGCCCAGTAAGTGTGAAACTATCGGACATCATGGAATCTACAGAAACTCCTCCAGCAGCTCCGCCAGTAGCAATCTTCAAGAAACGCTCTGCAAAAGGCAAATCCAATTTTCGAAAACGAGCCGCCACCCCACCTCCAGCCTCGGACAGCGACGATTCAGCGTACTCTTCATCCGAAGATGAATCCGGCCGAAAGATTAAACGAAGGAAGAAGAATACAGGCGTTGTAACAGCATCCTCTAGGAACAACACTTCCTCAAACACCGACCTCACAGCTTCAATATATTCTGCAGACCGGAGCACCACCATGAAAAGCTCTAATGACGCCACCAAGCAAAGCAACTGGTATGATGAGAATGCCACCGATGCCCTATCAACCAAAAACCTGCTCGGCAGCACAAGAGCTGCCCCGGCCGAAGCAGCAGATGGAACATACAAAGGTCTCGCGAACGCAACCACCTTCATCCAAAAGAATCCAGATGCCCCAAAACGAGTCATGGGCCCCGTAAAAGCACCCACAAACATCAGAACCATCACTGTTACGGATTTTGCACCAGATGTATGCAAAGATTACAAGCAGACGGGTTTCTGTGGTTTTGGAGATAATTGTAAATACTTGCATGCAAGAGAGGATTACAAGCAAGGCTGGCAATTGGATAAAGAGTGGGAGAACGTCACCAAGGGCAAGAAAGTGGGGGGGACGAAGGTAGCGAGTGCGAATCGAGATGCGGTGGAGGAAGACTCAGATGACGATGATGCGATGTTGGAGGGCATCCCGTTTGCGTGTATTCTGTGCAGGGAAAGTTACAAGGATCCTATTTTGACAAAGTGCGGGCACTATTTCTGCTTGAACTGCGCGTTAACTAGGTATAAGAAAGATCCTAGTTGTGCGGCTTGTGGTGCGGGGACTGGAGGGATGTTTAATGGGGCAAAGGGGTTGAAAAAGTTGCTAGACAAGAAGAGGGAGAAGGCTGCTAAGAGGCGGCAAAAGGCTATTGAAGCCGGAGAGGAAGTAAGTGATGAGGAAGAGGAAGAATAGTATATTAGACATCAGGCAAATAAATACCCATCAACCATGTCCCCTTGGTTTTACAACTGATCCCCCAGTCTGCTTTTTTTTCACATCGTTTTTGTCTTTTGCATTGGACAGGCTCTGATAGCTCTAACTTGACCTTCACTTTTATTATGAATTCTTGACCACTACAGTTGATATTCTAATAGGATTCGAAAATGCGTATTGGCCGCGGTCTATTTTGTTTTTGTTGCGTATCGCAAAGACCTCGATTTCAGCTATGAATTCAATCCTTGACTGTATATACTATATACATCTCAAGATCACATGCTGCCTCCCCTTTGAGAAGTGAATATTCAAGAAACGGCTTGTTCTGCTAGCTTCACGATTATTTGAGTTCGAACCTCGAAAAGTACCTACCTAGGTAATTCACCCTGGCGAAGTACAACCTGCCCATTTAAAACATCTCCCAACTCAAGATACGGGCTGTTCGTCGTCTGTGGATGAGTAACCAAATTCCCACCACTTCAAAGGCTCCCCACCTGACGAAACTCCATTGAGCAAACCACGCTGCCTCGAATCAAGTCATGTCCGACCGTCTCAAAGTAAGTTAACAGATATTTCCACAATTGCTCTCGTTATCATTTGTTTCACTTTCCCACGTACAAAATAGCGCTGACCATCACTCGCAGATGCCTCACTCAAACCCGCGGGTGCAAGCCCCATCGACTTCCATTACCCCTTCCATCTCGAAGGTGCGCGCCTCGCAGAAGCTCTCCCTCAAGCGAAAAATCAAGTACTGGAACATGAGTATGCCCCAGTCCCAAACTAGCGGCAGCGGTACACAGCACTACAAGCACCGGGAGCCAGCTGTAGTCATTGACTTGACGGAAGAAGAGCAGCCTTCCAGCACATCCAGTCCAAGCCCCACCAGTCAGTCTTTCGACATCGATCAGAAAGCGAAGGACAAGTATAACCGCCTCTACGACAAGTTTTCGAGTCCAATGGTGCCACCGTCAAAGACGGCTGGCAAGCAGAACTGGTACTGGGGTAACCTAGACAACAACTCGAAAGCAACGGCAGAACAGACTCAACCTTCTATGACTGATGCAGTTCCATACAAGGAAGAAAGCTCCACCGGCATTGTCAAGTCTATCTTTGGTCCCCGAAAACCGGCTGGAGAAGTTGGAGTGAACGGAAAATCCCCGACTACTCCTCGAGCCATCGTCACCAACAATTCCGACGAAGCCGATTTTCGGGATTTCACCAAGTTGCCCAAGGAAATTAGAGACATGATCTGGAAACTTTCCTTCCCACCACCACAAGTCGTCACCATATCTAGGGACTACGGAGAGATCGCCAGGATTTTTGAAGCGAAAACAATGGAAAATCCATTCAATATCTACCGAGCCAAAGCTACATATCAAATCCCGACCCTGTTACACGCATGCCAGGAGTCCAGAGAAGTTGGTCTTAAGCGATACAGTCGGGCTTTTAAAGAACAACTTGGCGGCAGACCTGCCTACTTCGATTACAAGAATGACATTCTACTTTTCATCTCTTTTGAGGCAATGAAAAACTTCTACGGTGGGACCCTTATAGGCATCGCACCAGCAAAGATTGGTTTCCGTTTGGATATGAACGAAGTGCACCACAACGTTGAACGGGTTGCTATAGTCACTAGCCTTGGTAATAATAGTCAGGCCTCTATTCAAAGCCTCGGGTGGTAGGTTCATCCCCCCCCCCCCCCCCCCAAAAAGCTGTTTTCCTCTATGTGAGCTTCTTGGCTCTCTCCAAGTACTTGACTGTTTACTATACTAATTCGTTCGGGGCAGGACTTTCAACCTGTTCATTAAATTGAAGATGGCGTTAATAAGAGATGATAAACCTTTCTTCATCCATCGCAATCATTTGGTGTCCTGTATTCAAGGCCGCTCCTTACCCGTCAATTTGTGGTCTGAACTCGTTACTTTAAGGGCCGGCAATCTGCCAGAGGTCTGGACTTACGTCTAGCAATACTAGCACGGTTCGGGCTGCATTGAAACGACGTGGGATGACGTGGTAAAGCATGGAGCTCTCATATACAAGTAAAGCAAGTTGAGCGGTTTGCAAGGGACATTGAGGTTAGCTAGTAACCAGACTTGCGCTCGATCTCGTTGCCACATGGAAGGTTTTGGGTGGGATAGAAGGAAGATACAATCACAATGGCAGACAAAGGGGTCTACGATCATTAACTTCAAACCATCACTCTCGAATGAGGTCACCGGTACCTTAAAGCCCTACGAGAATACAAAGGCTATTAAGGAAGGTAGAAGGAATATAATAAGTTTGCGAGCTCTACGTGTACGTGTATATGATTAACGTGAAATTAGAGGCAGCGTATGTTAATCATATCTACGACTATCAGACCTGCCAGCGCTCCCTCCGATATCTAACATGCAGGAGTCCAATACGTCTAAATGTGCACTGCAGCTTTTCAGCACTGTAAATTAACACCGGCAAATGCGAAATAAGGCTCTTAGTCTTGTTAACATCTGCCCTCTTCAATATCCCCAAATATGAAAATATCCTACCGTGAGTCATTTTATCAAGTACTAACTGAGAAACATTGATGTCAACACTTAGTTAGACTTTCTTCTCGCCTATTGCCTTACTCTATTGCCTTGATTACAACATACTATACTATACAATTCCAAGCGCCCCTCGACCACCACCCATTCATTCATTTCTAGCCTTCCTCCACTTTTATTAGCAAACTCCTATCTTCCATCAATCAATCAATATTCCTCTCAAGCAAAAAATCTTCCATTGGGTAGATGAAGAACTAGGTGTTGAACTAAGTACCTAGGTAGGTAGCTGTTCTCCGAAACTCGTTTAAGCCAGCGGTACAGTACAATAGGGATATATAGAACCTTAGGCCGGTCAAAGATGCCAGGTCGGCAAGGAACACAGACGTCAATGAGATTTTGATTTTAATGGTTTTACTAATATTTACTACCTGTCGTTATAACACATCCTACCGCCTCCGAATAGTAATGAGAGATGTGGCTCGATACTTATATACCTTATGCTTATAAGTTAGAATATGGGGGGGGGGGGGGAGTTTGAATTTTAGCTCAACATCCAAACTTCCGAATAATGCCCTACCTAATCTTGAAACTAATGTCATCTTCATTCTTGGTACTCCATGGTGCTTTGATACCAGGTCATGGATCATGAATCTATAATATCACATGGGATTGCAAGCTACAAATCTCGGCGAATCATTTCACTCCAACACAATAACAAAATCACTTATCACTCTCAACGTGCTGTAATGGGCATGTATTCATCTACTCATACGACCATCGAACAAAGTCATCTATCTACGTAGCAGCTTTGCGTGCTGATCGCTCATAATTCATTCTCAAATTCGGCCAACCACCCAGTGAAGCTGCTTCTCCAAAATTGCTCCTCCCCAAAGGTATCGATTTCTGCCTCAACGAGTCCCATCCCAAAGGTATCCATCCATCCGCTCTGCTGCTAAAAAAGACAGCAGCAACAAAAACGCCCAACCATGCACGCACGCTTGAGCGTTTGATGTAAATCCGCTCCAAATATCTTTCTTTGATGAAGTATCATGCGGCACCATTTAAGACAACACCGGGAACTTGGCCTGAAGCGGCTGCGGCGGCAGCGGCCGCCTCGGCGTTGGCGACCAGTGCGTCGGCTTGTTGCACAGCTTGTTGGATGGTGTTTTGCTCTTCGGGACTCAGGTTGCCTGTGAGGGACGAGTACAGTTGGGGCTGTTCATGTTGCATTTCTAGATATTGTTAGTATCGTGTACACGATCCTATGGAAGGGGACTTACTAAGAAGGGCTTCCTTGAAGAGGAAATAGGGTTCAATCTTGTCAAGTGGGGTCTCGAGAAGGCTTTCTTCCCCCAATTCATCATCTGAATCGTGGTCTTCCAGATTTTGGAATTTTTGGGCCTGTCAAGAGGTCAGTATATTAATGACGAAGGGGTAGGTAGTTTATTTACCTCTTCGTTCAAGAAGTCAAGGTAAGCGGTGCTTTCATCCTTGGCATCTGTCTCCTCTTCAGGTTCGGTTTCTTCATTCCACGCTGTGTCATCCCCAGCCCAGTCTTCTTCGTCATCGTCATCATAGGCTGACCCATCAAGTGGGAAGTCATCCTTCAAGATTTCGTCACGTTCTGTACATATGTTAGGCCAACTCTGCACAAAGAGGAGAGGACTTACTCTTCTGGGCGGCTGGTAGTGTTTGAAAGAGCCGGACGATACCCTATTTGTTGTTAGCTAAAGCAAATAAAGAATATGGGCAAGCACTCACTTGTAACAACCTCGGCCAACCAGTTTGGACACTCGCAGGAACTTGGTCAACGTTGAGGGTGAGCAGCGCAACAATAGCAGCGATTGATAGCTTCTTGTCATGCACTCTAGTGAAGCTGTCGATACTTGAAAACCACAAGCTAAAGAATTTGTTGGTCCAGCCTTTGGCCTCCAGAACATGCAAAGCCAATACCTAAAGGAGCGTTAGTGACAATATACCATGGCATTTGTGAACTCGACATCCTTACCGGATTGTAGTAAATGGCATTAATAACCATCTCCATCAAGTGGATTTTGTATGACTTGACCTTGACCTCGTTGCTTGTCAAAGTACGCATAGCCATTTCAACCTGTTGAGCATTAGTGAAATGCGAGATAAAAACAAGATTCGAGTCTTACAAATGCAACAACGTAGTTATCAGCATGACCACGAAGACTGAGCATTATACCCTCGGCCAATTTGCAAGCACAGATCCTGTCTACTCCCCCAACCTTTTCATCGGCAAACATGTCGGATACCATGCCGAACATGGCCTCGAGGTACTGTGGAGTTTCTATAAGATGTTGTTGACCGTATTGAACAAAGTTATCAAGCGCCGGGAGCATGTCCTCGAGGTAAAGTTCGGCCCCCGCCTTAAAGGTCGCATGGATAAGCTCAAAAGCTTGCCACATCACTGGGGAAATAGATTTGGCGGCGAACGTGCAGCTGTCGATGATCTCGAATACCTCATTGTATAAATCTAATCTAGTTAGTAAGTTCTTCTATACTGAAGGAGTTTCCGCTTACCGTATAATTTATTCTCCAAAGTAACCTTAATCACCGGCATAAGGATTGCCTCCATGTGGAGAAGGACATCAGGGGTACTTTCCAGAGTAAGAATGAGAGTGCCAATTGTTTGTAGAACGCCAAGAGCAGTGATGCTCTTGTCGTCCAGATAATCTCCATAGCTCTCATCATCATCACGCTTATCGTTCTTCTCTAGAAGCTCTCGAACGATCCGTAAATATGTGTCTCGCAACTGCTCACTCAAAGCAACGGCAAATGGAGTCAGCTCAGCGGCAAATACTTCGACGAAGTCCTCCATGACATTAGACAATGCATCAACATCGACCTCATTTGCAAGCCTCAGTAGCTGTTGCATGATTTGAGGGATATTCTGTTGCATATTTGTTCGGATTATATCATGTCTGATGAGGGGTTGAAGTGCAAGAGCAGCCTCGACTCGAACAGGGAGATCAGTGTCGCCCATACATTCTAGAATGTTACGATAGATGATAAGCAGGTTGTTCGGATCCTTAAAATCCAACTGCTCGAACTTCTCAACGGTATCACAAGCTCGGGCCCTCAGAAATCCCTGTGTACTGCGGAAATCTGGGAAAACGTAGCGCACAAGGAAGTATTCTACTTGTTCCGCGATCGGACTCTTCTTCCCGAGAATGACACTGGATAATGTTCCGATCATCCGTAAAGCACCCTCCTTTGCAATATGGTTCTTGTTCGCATCCTCTGTCGTCTCGTATTCGTTCACAATAGTGTTGACGAATGTAAGTATGGTGAAAGTATGCTTTCTCCGAACCTTTGTGAGTGTGACCAAGAAGTTGGTTGCTGCAACATCGGGAGCCGAGATCTCTTCGTAATAATTAAGTTTGTGGTGGAGATACTCTTCAGGGTCTGTATCAAACTTCTCCACGTCGTCTGCCGTAAGGCACATGACTGGAAAGAGAAAATGCGTAACGAGTGTATCAAGATGTGGCTTGAGATGAGCCCACATCTCTTTGGGGCGAACACATTCATCTAAAAAGACAAGAGTATACGACAAGCACGGCCTGCTGAGCCAGGTTGTCTTCGCCACCCATTTTTCGATTTGCTGAAGGTACCCTTTGAGAATTTCAGGGGCAAAATTGGCAGTGAACATTTTTGCAAACTCCGTGTAGTCATCTCCATTGCCCTTCTGCAGTGATTGGGGGTTGCCGTAGCTAAAAAGAGTCAGCAATTGAAGTCAAATCATCTCAAAATCCACCTACCGTACGAAAAGGCGATTCAAATTGAAGTACGCCCATTTCTTGGATTTCCACCAGTGATTTGCCTCACGATCGGCAGTATCTTCTGGTAAAGCACTCGCAGGAACCTCTTTCCCTACGGTATGGAGGAACAATGTGCACCACCCAATAACGACCGTCTGTTCTCTGAGGGCGGTAGCCAGTTCAAACTAAACCTGTCAGCACTTCATTGCTGCTTCAAAATTCCTCCCTAAAACTCACGAAAGTTGCGTGCTTGTATGCCTTCAACACAATATGCAGCATTTCCCCTGCCTCATCGCTCTGCTCATTTACCAGCCCTTGCCCAATACTCAACAGTCGGGGGAAAGTTGCTTCGACAATCTTATCAAAGTCGGCTCGGTTTTCTCCTGATTTGAAGCGAAAGACGCGGCAAATAGCAAGCAGGCACTGTAAACCTGCAAATATGGAGGCGGCATCGTTTGTATTCAGGAGCTGTATTGTAACATCGACGATCGAGGGCCACTTTTCGGGGAAATCATACTGAAGTATCTTTTGGAGGATGGGAACAAGCTGCTGTCGTATTTGGGGTGGGGAGGATGCTAGGGTTGGCAGCAAGCGTTCACGAAACCTATGCTTCTCATCATCCGATATAGCCTTATTCTGTGGGAAATCCTCGCTCGGTGCCCATCCCCTTGTGACTCGGTTCTTCAGGTAAACAACGGCTGTGGCTGTGCGTTAGTATATTCGAGGGGTAGTGGGACGTGTGCGCGTGCGTACTTGATAGACGGATTGGGCCTTCTTGCTCGGCTTGGAGGATATCGAGAAGGGCATCGGTGAAGCCTGGGTGTTCTTCTGCCTGCAAAAGATAGTGTCAATACAGGGCACTTGTAAAATGCTCGGGAATGCATGCGTACGGTCTTCAGGTCCAGTTCAGCACGGCGACGAGCGTCAGCATCTGCGTCAAGGGTCGCGACGATGCGATCTCGTAATACGGCAACATCCATGGCTATGGTATGAACGTGCCGTTCTTTCAGGGTTGGTAGAACAAGAAAATACAGCCAAATGGAGGGGAAGAGGCTTGCGCTCAAGGAAGTTGAAGTTGTCGTGGGTGGTAAATCTTCGGCTAGCGTAGGCAGGGACCGTCTACAGCAAAAAAATTATCAAATTTGTTCTACTGTCAATAGGTCGAGCTCGGAAGGTACGTGGGGAACGTTTCTTCTTTTTCGATATCAATACAGCCTCGCATGAACAGGCACAAGCACAGGGAGTAGAGGCACAGAAGATGATGACATAAGGGACAGAGAGGTGCAATGGGTTTCGAGTCTCGGGGACAGAGAATAAATGCCTGTCTCCTTCCTTCCCCTTGCATTGTGAAGGATCTCGGTTGATCTATAAACGGCACGATGCAATTATAGTTACGGTATAATGCCACTTTGTTATTACTTCTTTTGTACACTTGTCCTGAATATTGCGTTGATTAGGATAACTTTATTCAAGGACTACACATTTACAACCAGTAAGTAGATGGACGAACATTCAAAGTGCTGATTTTGCCCCACGTACTGGATTATCAATCAAAATACAAGTACTCGAATTGTTTCAGGAGCAGGCTTTCCAAGGCAACGCATAGAGGATACACTTCCTCCTCCTTCTCCTCGTGGGTCCCGGTGTCCGAACCAGCGTAACAGACACGTGGAAGCCGTGGGAGTTGTCGAAGCCAGCATGCAAACAACAGACTCGTGCATTTGACAGCCTGTGCTACAGTAAAGATGAGAACCCCGCCTTATGTCACACGTGATGGAGGAGGAAGGGGGACGGGATGGGGTACACCATGTCATAGTGAAAAAATATATATATCATCGTCTCCAGAACTCGGATGGCATTTACTATGTAAAAATCGCCGTATTCTAATAACCATACCGTAGTAATTCGAGGATTGGCAGCTGAGGTTCTGATTAGGACTGAGTGTCCAGGACAAGATTGGGAAACAATCGACTTGATTAGAAGTGTGTTATCCCTTCGATGAACTTCTGGGCCTGCTTCAGAACTAATTGCCTATATCCAAATATCCTAATTACTTAAGTTTATACTCGGGATCCAGCAGCAGGAGAGGAGGAGGAGTAACAGTTTTGGCGCTTCCGGCTGTGACTTCCCAATTGGTATGCAAGCCGGATGTGCACAGTTTTGAAGAACTCCACTCCGAGAACAGTGACAGCGACCCCCTAGCTGGAGGTTGGAGGTTGTGAAAGCTAGGGGGAGACCGCCGATCAAGCTTTGCGAGTAGTAAATGATTGTGAGATTATGCTCCACGAGGGCTGTAATGTAAATAGGGAATAGTAAGTGGATATTATAACTTCTCCACACAAGGACTTTTACAGGTCCCGTTATCTTATAATTCCTAGATTAAGAAAGCTTAAGTCTTAGATATACTAACTATAATAGCATAGTGTTCTTCCAGTTTTTACTTTTATATGTAAATAGTATTTATATACTAAGTAGCGCCTAAGGTCCAGTAGCTCCATGATAGCTCTACTATAGACTCCGCGACTAAAGCGAACTGTTAAACACTATAAGCACGCTACGGAAACCTAATAGCACTGGTACTGGTTTATCCACCCGAAATAAGGCCTAAGCAGCTATAATAGAATACTATAGTCGTTCTTCCTCGTAGAGGCTAATAATATGCAGCTGCTAACTCTTTAGTACCTAGATATGCTTATTGCTCCTGCTGTATAGGGAATAATGTGGGAACCTTTCTAGTCATGTGACCCGGGCTAGCTGAGTCAGCATGGGGATAACCTCTTCGTGTTGCAACACCCCCTTTTTAGCGAGCTATCCAACAACCAATGAAACCACCAGTACCATAAACTACGGACCTACACGTGTAGTGAAGTGATCACCTTGTGATACCAACACCTGCTAATAGGTTAACCTTAAATAAGAGGCTTTAATAAGGCCTAGGAAGGCAGCTTGGCATCTGTCAAACTGTTAAGCGTATTTAGCTGCGCCTATTAGTATCGAATTCGAATGCTAGGATCTGGGAGTCAAGTATATTTCGGCGCTAGGCTTACTCCACTTGCATGACTCGATATGGAAATAGCAGTTTTCTGTTTGGGGATTTGCATTAGTAGTGGGATACAATACTTGGAAACCTTTTCTTCCATATGCTAAGATAAGAATAAGTATAAGTGCCAGTTCCCCTTTAACCTGCCTTCTGTTTCCTTTCGCTTCGAACTATTTGAAGTCTCCTTTAGTAAGCCTTCTCCCTGCACAAGTCACTTGAATTCGAAATCGTACCTTCAACACTTGACTTTACTATTGCCATGGCTACACAAAACTTAACTACACATCCTATGCGATCAGACGGGCCAGGGGGCCCTTCGGGCATGATACCCCATCCCCTCGACCAACTCACCGTTACCGAAGTCAATCTGGCTCGCGAGGCTATTTTGAAAGCCCGAGGTAACACTGTAGCGGTCCATTTTCGATCAATATTTCTCGAGGAACCACCTAAGAAACAACTATCACAGTTCCTTGAACTTGAACATTCCGGGAAAGTGTCATTGCAGACCCCTCGACCAGCTCGCCGCGCAACAGCTCAATACGATGTGGTTTATGGTGATAAGAACCATGAATATACGGAATCTTGCGTAGAGATCGCTTCTGGGCTGGAAGTCGAGAAAAGAGTAGTTGAAAAGGTGCACCATGCCAGTTTGGCTACGTATGACCTGTTCAATTCTTACATCTTCACCACACTTGCTGATTTGCGCGCATAGTCATGAATTCGCAGCATTCACAAAAGCTTGCTTTACCTCTCCTCTCTATAAGAAGGCCATCGCTGAGTTTGAGCTTCCTGAAGGCTTCGTCATCACTATTGATTCGGTGAGCATTTGCGCTACCACATCTGAAATCAAGGCACAAAGGTGCTGTCTTCTGTCTGTCCAAGATAGCTCCTAAGAGCCCGTTCTATTTCTAATTTTCAAAACTTATCTCTCAGTCTTCGAGATTGAAGTATCATTACTATCACTGACTTGTACGTAGTGGCCTTATGGAGGCGATGGAGAGATTGTTCCACGTTATACGCAGGGCCTGTGTTTCGCACGAGACACTCGATCTGGAAATGAGGATTCTAACCATTACTCTTATCCACTTCCATTGATTCCAGTGATGGATACGTATAGTCATGAGGTTGTGCGAATTGACAAATTAGCTACGGGTGGGAAAGATGATGGGCTAACTTACGGGACGCACAAAAAGAATGTACTGGACCACTGCTCACCCGGCGAGTATATTCCTGAACTGCTTTCTCAGCCGCTCCGCTCGGATGTTAAGCCCCTGATCGTTGTTCAACCAGAAGGCCCATCTTTCCAAGTCAACGGTAACCTGATAGAGTGGCAAAAATGGAGGTTTCGAGTTGGTTTCAATCCTCGTGAAGGCGCCACTCTCCACGATGTTCACTATGATGGTCGGAGTGTATTATATAGGCTCAGTCTGAGCGAAATGACCGTCCCGTACGGAGATCCAAGACCACCTTTCCACCGAAAACAAGCATTTGATTTCGGAGATGTTGGTGCTGGGCGTGCGGCAAACAACCTCTCCCTGGGATGTGACTGTCTAGGGGTCATAAAATACTTCGATACTGTGTTGACAGAGGCCGATGGAACGGCCAGCTTAGCCAAGAATGTCGTATGCTTGCACGAGCAAGACAATGGGATCGGCTGGAAGCATACGCACTTTAGGACGCAAAGGGCGGTCGTAACGCGACTTCGTGAACTTGTTGTCCAGTTCATTATCACTCTGTCGAATTACGAATATATCTTCGCATTCAAGCTTGACCAGGCTGGAGGCATTACTTTCGAAACTAGAGCTACCGGTATCGTCAGCGTTGTTAACATTGATCCAGGGAAGACAAGCCCGTGGGGCAACGTTGTATCATCTGGTGCCTTGGCGCAGAATCACCAGCACATATTTTGCCTCCGCATTGATCCGGCTATTGATGGCCAGAAGAATACTGTTTTTACAGAAGAGTCGCTACCTATGCCAATGTTTAAAGAGCTCAACCCATATGGAAATGGATATGAAGTAAGCGAAAGTCCTTGATTGTTTGAAGTCTGATATATACTTTCGAGTGGGATTGACTAACTCTCTCGACAGGTCAGACAAACACCGATCAAGAACTCACAATTTTTTGATGCTTCACCAATGACGAATCTGACGGTCAAAATGATCAATCTGTCGAAGTTGAACCCCGTTTCTGGAAGGCCCGTTAGCTACAAGTTTATTCCTACGGCCTCGCAGCTGATGCTGGCACATCCGGATAGCATCATGGCAAAGAGAGGTGAGTTTTGTTCGCCTTCAGAGAATGTATTGAATAGCCTGAACTTTTCTTTTTAAACGCCATGAATTCTGGGGCCATTTTCTTCAAAAGCCAATACTAACTACATACTCTTCTGCAGCCCAATTCGCGCAACATCATGTCTGGGTAACGAAGTACAAAGATGGCGAGCTTTGGGCCGGCGGAGAATTTACAAACCAATCCCAAAAGGAGATTGATGGAGTAGCGGATGCTGTAGCAAGAAACGAGAATGTGGAAAATGAGGATGTAGTCGTATGGAACACCTTTGGACTCACTCATAACCCTAGAGTTGAGGACTGGCCTGTGATGTAAGAATTACTTCTACAATCCTTCTAAGGGTCTGGAGTCTCTTGCTAACTGAGCTAGGCCCGTGGAAATTCATCAGATCCACCTTCGACCAGCAGATTTCTTCACTGCAAACCCAGCTATAGATGTACCAGGCCCAAAAGATACGGCCTCGGTGCTTGCTCCCGGTTCAGAAGTATGCTGCGAGAGCGGCGAGGTTCAAAAGGCAGCGAGCTCTCATCTTCAGAGCGCTGGGCCAGACCTTGATCCTAAGAGCAACTTGTGATTATTACCAAGTCTGAAAACAACGTGACTTAAGTTATCGAGGGCATAGAGTCTTCATTCAAGGGGAGACATCTGAAACGGAAGATGATGGTAGACTCGTCAGACAGAAATCCTGACGACTTTAGGGTGGGCCAACTTTATGATAGCACTTGTTCTCTTATCATGACCAGGTGACCAGTGCCACGAAATTCTTCTTTTAGTTGTTGTCTAGAAGTTGAGATGATGGCGTTCTGCTGAGCACTGGTAGCGTTGAGGTTAAATGAGAACACTCATTCGATCTAGCTGCTATTCGAAGTCTTTCTGGTTCGCGTTACTTTAAGTTGCTCCAGAACGAGTGCTGTATTTCTACGCGGTCCAGGAATCGACGTTGGCATATTACGCTGTTCGGAGCATGGGCGGTTTCAATGTCTCAGCCCAGTAGGCAGTTCAGGAAGGGACCTGTAAAGAACGGTGCCCCTGAATCATTCATTTTCGCTTTAGTAGTCGACGAAAGAACTTCTACGATGGTGGGCGGAGCTAAAATGGGACAAATTAATGTTTACACTTAAGATCTATCTTATTAACATAGAGAACTTCCCCATATTATCAATCGGGGAAATACTGAATGGATATTTGCATAAAGTCACGGTCAATGAATAAGAAACGGCTATGCAGGAACGCATGCATCCCCAAGACACGAATAAATCCGAATCGCCAAATCCTTGTCACACCCGAATTCTTTTGGTTCTTCAAAGTGGTGCAAGTAAGGGTTCCTTTGGCTTTATGCTTAATTAACCATTCCTCTTGACGTTCTTCGGGCTTTCTTTTTATAGCTTTACCACGCAACTCTGGAAACCCCATAGCTGAATGGGTGGACCGGTATTGACTGGTCTACACATGAGGTTGTTCCTACCCACATCCTTCTTCACTTAGCTTTCCAAGCAGATCTTGCTCTCCAAGCTAGACGTACCCTGCAGCTGCCCCAAGACCCTCTCTACAGAAATCGACTGCATTCCTTGCACAACCACTCTTCGGTTTATTTTCAACGCTGTGCCGGTAGACTTAGCGGAGCATTTTGTTATTTTTAACTAGATGATACGGAATAATGTTATTATTGAAGAGGAAATTCACGTTGGGACTTTGAACCAAGAGCTTTGTGTGATGGGGTCGTGCATTCGTGCCTATAAACGAGTAGCTATGGGGCGAATGTACAGTACAATCAATGCAATCCCCAAGAGCCAATGACCTATCTATCTACTGTCTCGTTGACCTGATAAGACCGCGGTCATCATGCCTCTATCGGCCAGACCTATGCAACTCTTTGTGAGGGGAGTGGTAATTGAATGAAACAAGATTATTGTGAAGGGATTGTGGGCGGGATTTGAAGTGGGGGAATAGGGCATATAGTTGATGCGCTAATGCTCGTGAATTGCTCTATGCAATGCTGAACAATATTCTGAAAGGACATAAATGAAAAACCACAGCCGAAAGTGAGGTGCCACACTGTTGGACCAGAGGAACCTGTATATATCAAAGTGAAAATATTCAGAAACCATTGAAGAGCAATGATATCGTTCACACTAGTCCAACTTTGGGCCCTAGCTTCTCGCAAGTGAGTGGTGCTTCCGATCAACGGGTAAGCTCAAGCTACAGGGATTGCATTTCCACCTCCCCCACCATGCTTCAACGGAGCTGGTCGTACACTCTCGTGTTGATGCTGATGATTGGTGGGTGGAGCCGTTGGGGATGGAGGTGGTGGATCGTCTTGAGCGTACTCATCATCATATTCGTCTTCGTAATACTCCTCGCTTTGTGTTCCTTGGCTTTGGCTTTGATTCATCGGGGTGGGTTGTTGGGCCTGCTGATGCGTAGCTTGTCGATCATGTACAGCCGCAGTTGTCTTAGCCGCAGACTTGTTTCCCTTCTTTCCTTTACGTCCCTTCATCTTCGCCTTCTCTAGCAATCTTCGTCTCTCTGCTTCCTGCTTTCTCACACGTCTATCCTTGATCTCGTACTGCTTGATCAGAGCCTCAGGCGGGGTACCGAAAATGCGTTCGTATTCACAAAACTCACAGACCCAAATGTCTTCCGCGGCAGGTGGGTAGTGATCATTGTATTTCTGTTGTTGCAGACGACGCTTACGGGCCGCAATGAGATACTCTTTGCCAGTTCGACGGCGAGTTTTCTTTGGAGGGGCGGCTTGAGGCGGCGGCTGCTTCGAATTGCCTGGGTTGTGTTGTGATGCAGCAAGGCCTTGCTTGGCATGTGCAACTGTGTTGGGGGCATTGAGACTGGCAGGCATGTTCGGACTCGTCTGAGTTGCATGAGTGCTCATCCTAGCAGCAGCTGGACTTTGATGCATGGGTGCGGTGGTAGGTCCTGGCCAGGCGACTGTTCCTGGGACCTGTGAATCGCAGGTGAATGTGAATTGTGTTGACGCAGTAGTGGATTTCTTAGAAGCCTGTTGTTGCAAGAGACTGACGTTTTCTTGACCTCTTGCTGGAGTGATGGGATGCTTCTGGGCATTGGCATCAGCAATGGATTTCGATATGATTCCTGGGGTTTCGGCTGTAAACAGTGTCAGCTGGAAGATTAAATATGGAAACCAAGTGAATCTCACTAGTAAGAGGCCATTGGGCCTGTCTTTGTTTGACTGTACGACCATTCCCCCAGTTGGAATCAGATAATGTCCTCAAAGGGCTTCTGCCATTGCGGATGCGCCCATATCTGCCTCTACCCGGACCAGAAAGACCCTGAGACACAGCACTTCCGGGGCTATGATAAGAGCCTATGCCACCTCCTATATCATCCGCTAAATCATCCGGACCAGAGATACCCATTCCTGCCATTTCACTTGAGAGGTGAGTTCCATTTAGACTATCCCCTGGGGTAGGAATCTTCCGCTTCTTCTTGTTGTTGGTATTTTCAAAAGAGTCATAACCATCCGCCGAAGACGCAATAGACGCTGGGGGCTGTGGATTCGAATTCTTGGGGTCGGGCTTCTGTACGTAGCGATAAGATCTGCCTGTGGTGGTCTCCGAATGTCTGGAGTAGATTCTACTCCGATATGCAGCCTCGTCCTCATCACTATCCAGCTCATCACCACATTTCCTCGTAATGTAGCCACGCTCTAGCTCATCAGCTCGCTCTCGCTCGCTCGGGTGTTGCGACTCTACCAAACCATTCGCCCCAGCATCCTCTCGTAGATTATATGGGTGGTAGAATAAAGGAGTGGTAGTTTTAGGGGCCGGTGGGTATTTGATGGAATCAGCAACATCTGGGGAGAGTCTCTCGCGGAGGCGTCTCTTGGGTAAAGGCCGGATCGGTCTTTCTGGATAGGGGGAAATGGCATCCGGAGACATGTCTCGTGGTGATTCGGGAGAGTAGCCTAGAGTACGACCAAGAGACGGAGTCAGCAAGTGCAGGAGACGAACAGACGCAAAGGATACGAGTGCAAGTATATCTTTAGCCATGAACGCCATCGGATTTGGGGTGGCGGAAGTCGGGATAAAGGACGGTAAACGGCGAAGGTCTACATACCCATCACTGGCATAGACAAGGCAGGAGCGCCCCCAGAAAAACCCTCTTTACAACTACGGCGGGATCCTGATATCAACAGGCTCGGGAAAGAAGGAGTGTTGCTTTTGTAGTGTTCCCCTATCTTCTGCTAGATGTCAATGAATCAGCCAAAATCACCTTCAAATCCATGGCACCCTATCCCGCATATCCCCATTCCTTCTGAACATAGCAGACGTGCTGTTGATCAAGCAGATAGCCCAGCGAAAGGCCCCTGAATATGTGGGAAATCTTACAGTATTTCGATTGCTCAGCACTCCGACTTCAAATCCGCTCCGGGGCAGAGACAGCTAGTTCCAGACAGTAAAAGGGAAAGAGTGACAATACAAAATGATAGGATCCAAAGAGTGCGTATCCAATGGCAGCAAAAATGGTCGACTTTGGCAGATTTGAGGTTGTTGATCAGTTGATTTATTCTGGCTAGTTCTGGGTGTGTTCAAGTGTTCCACGTAGTAGCAAAGTAAAGGTTTAGGGCCTATGCGGGAGAGTGGCTATATTGAGCCGAGTCGTGAAGATAGCCTCTTATTTCCCCCCGCTCGGCCAAAGGCAAGGTGTGGTGTGAATCGCGAGCGGAAGCTCGAGTGGATTTGATTCTTTCTCCCAGAGAAACGCACCTTGCAAATTTCAACCCTCCCTCCTCATTCCTAGTCGGCCATGATCTCGCACAATTTCCATGTCAGTCGCTGTGAGGTCGCGGATACCCCCTTCTCATTCTAGCTTCTCGAGTTCCTTTTCAGACACAATTCGACACCACCCGCCCTTTCGTTCTCCTTCCGCGTCCTGGCAGAGTTGAAGCTCCCGGATTTCACTCCAAGTCTACGACGGCGACGGCACTGCCCGCCCACTCAATTTCATAGCGGCGAACGCGATCTACTCGCAAAACCATTGCATCATTGTAATTAGAATCACCGGACGGACGACGCGCGAAACTATGGAATCCAGACGGTCCTCTCGCGCCGCTCGATCGAGCCTCCCTCTACAATCGACTACTCATTCCTCAACTTCTTCGAATTCCTCAAGAGCTACGCGACAGCATAAAGCTGATTCCCCGAATAAGTCGACGCCCACCGTCGAGGTCGAGGTCGAGACAAATGGCGCGGACGAGGTAGATATGGACGACACCGAAGATTCAGATGCCGTAAGGTGTCTTTGGTAAGCCAATCTCTCTGCTGCTACATACATATACAAGGGAGGCGCATACTTATCTGTTGGACAGCGGGTTTGAAGAATATCCTGGTCCACCCCAACTCGAAGAAGATGTTAAGGAGGGGATCGAGGAACCGATCATTGCAGTCGCAGAAATGAGTGAAGATGGAGCTGGCTTGTTTCTCCAATGTGATAATTGGTACGTCATATTCTGCGCTTGATTCCATGTGGAAATTGATTCTTCAGCTCAAGCCTCTCTTGAAGCCATACTAACTTGCGCAACAGCAAGGTGTGGCAGCACGGTTGTTGCGTTTCTATCATGAGCGAAGAGCAGAGCCCCGATGAATATTTCTGTGAAGAATGTCGCCCAAACCTGCACAAAGTATACACAGACAAAAATGGGTACGTTTTCATCCCAATTGTTCGAGGAGTTTGATTTCTTGGTTGATTTTCATCCGATCATCAGCGACGCGAGAACGTGGCGCAGATCCAGTCTCACAAGGCTGGCTGCTTCAGATCTACAGAAATATCCACCAACAGACTCAACATTCTCCCAAATGTAACAATACATCGCTAACATAATGGGACGTAGGCAGCGCTTTTCTCGGTATCTCCCCTTATCCCAGAGCCTGTCTCGAACGAGCTCTCGGGCGGGTTCATTCTCCAAAGACGGTACACGGTCTCCACGAGCCGGCAGCAAGAGCGGTCGACCTCCCTCGAGTCTCCAGAGCGCAAAGCGACGGTCTACGATGAACAGTAGGGATGCGGCTTATGATGAGGAAGAACAACTTCGACGAGCAATAGAGGCTAGCAAAGGGGAGAAGAGTGGTGAGAGTACCGACGGCGGTGGTACACGACGAGGAAAACGGGGACGCAGCGATAGCGAAGAGTAAGAAGCTTCAAGTATAGGATTTTGTGGCTTCGGAACAGTGGTGGCTGACATGCCTTTACAGGAAACCTGATGGTATCAAGAGACAACGAACTCAATCAGCCTCGCCAACCCCACTCCTCGAGCAAGAACAAGAACAAACACCTCAAGCGGATTCCGACGATGAAACCAGTGGACGGCATGGAGCTGCCAAGAAGATACGAGGTGCTGCAGCCCGAAACCATAGGGAAAAGGAATTGAGAGAAGAGCGCGAGAAGTCTCGGCAAGAGGCTGCTACTAAAAGAAAGGGGCGTGCTGAGCGCCGAAGGGTTGATGGTACGTTTAGATCTGAGGCTATACCTTAATATTACTAACCGATTCTTCTAATTCTAGATTCAGATCCTTCAGAAGAATTACCACTTGCAGCAAGACTATCCATTGCCAAAAGCACAGAGGGTGCTGCGCAACCTTTAGATCCACCAACTTCGTCGCAAGCAGTAGCTCCGGACACACCACCTCCAAATCAACCTTCAACCTCACATAGGAAGGGTGGTCGACCACCCAATGTTCGAAAAGGCAAGTTAGGAAAGAATCAGTATACAAAAGACAGAGATCTCCAAGAGGGAGATGATCACTCTCCACCGCGGTCTCAATCTAGAGACATTCCCAGGGCTGATGATAGTGGCCACACCTCTGGCAACAAAGGATCTAACAGTGAAGGCAAGCCAGGGAAGTCGAAGAATAGTCATAGCAAGGTCGCAATGGGAGATATGAAGAAACGGGTATCAGCCATCCTCGATTACATATCCCGAACACAACTTGAAATGGCCGGGGAGTCCATGTCCCCAGCCACTGCCGATGTGGCCGAGAAGACTATACGGGATATCGCAGATGGGCTCCCGATGATAAAAGTTCACGGGGAAAACGGCGAGGAGTCAAAAACATCTGGGGCTGGTGAAGACAGTTCTAAAAGAGAATTCAAAGACCTGACTTGTCTAGAAATGATGGATGTCCTGACGAGACAACTGGTGAAATGGCAAAAGGAGTTTCTGTAAAATATTCAGAGGTGTTACATTAGTGGGTTGGGCGGAGTTCTTGTGGGTAGGGGTGACGGTCTGGCAAAGGTCGCCGTTTATGAGGGGAAATCTGTGATTACTTTATACCCCATTATTATTCAAACATCATTAATGAAATCATTAGATGATTCATCCAATGCCTCGATTTTGAATTTGTCCAACAGTAGTGAGAAACATGCCACAATACTGCGCGCAGTGATTATAAAGTCTGGAACTCTTCAATGCACTGTTTCTCTAGATCTTAAAAGTATGTGTCAGACATCCACCACTCCGATGAACATTGTACTCAAACGTTCCCCTATTAGGTGCGCTATTTATATTTGTAATGCATCAGAGTAATTTGGTACATGAAGCGGGGTGCACAGTATACCGTTTCCCAATAACCCTCTAAAGATCATGCAATTATTAAGCGTAGCTGGCGTATTCTTTGTTAAAGACCTGTTCCGAATTAGCCATACTCCATCCGAATACAAAAATGGACACTACTTACTCTACCCAAAACCATCCGGCGAATCTCACTTGTTCCGGCTCCTATCTCATATAATTTTGCACTTTGAGAGTTAGTGAAGATGCAATGGGAAATACCATGAAAGCTTACTCTCGCAGTAACCTTGATGCCGGCATCTCCTCCACATACCCCATTCCACCGAGTAGTTGGATACAATCCAGAGCGCATTCAGTAGCCCTTTCCGCAGCATAAAGGATAGCTCCGGCACAATCTTGCGTTCGAATCTGGCCTAATTCATCCACTTTCCTTGCTGTATCATACGTGTACGCTCTCGAAGCTTGCAACTTCGTGTACATGTCAGCGAGCTTACCCTGGACAAGCTGATTATGTGCAATTGGGATGCCAAATTGCTTCCTTTGATGTGTGAATGGAAGGGCTACGTCCAGGGCCGCTTGCATAATTCCAAGAGGTCCAGAGCTCAGAACGAGGCGTTCGATATCAAGACCTTCCATGAGAACTTTGACTCCTCGGTTGATCTCTCCAAGGATGTTTTCCTTCGGAACAAATACCCCATCAAACACTAATTCTCCAGTATTGCTACCTCGCATCCCCATCTTGTCAAGTTTTCTCGCGCAGCTGAATCCCTCAAACTGTTTCTCAACAAGGAACGCCGTAATGCCCTTCGAACCAGCATCTGGCTCGGTCTTTGCATAGACCACAATAACATCCGCATCCGGTCCATTCGTGATCCACATCTTCGACCCGTTCAACACATAGCCCCCATCGACAGCTTTTGCCGTAGTCCGCATACTAACAACATCACTCCCTGCTCCAGTTTCCGACATAGCCAAAGCACCAACACTCGTCCCAGCAATAAGCCCAGGCAAGAACTCTTGCTTTTGCTCCGGGTTGCCATTCAGTTGCAGCTGGTTGACACATAATTGCGAATGAGCAGCATAACTCAAACCTATCGACCCTGACGCTCTTGAAATCTCTTCCATAACCACGCAATGGGCTTGGTATCCCATAGCCAGACCACCGACGTCTTCATCGACTGTAAGACCCAGGAAACCCGCATCCCCAAGCTTCTGCCACATTTCATTGGGAAAGGCATTGGATCTGTCTGTTTTTGAGGCTACTTCTTCGGTGATTTCCCGTCGGGTGAACTCTTGAACCCGTTCTCGAAGCTCAATGAGATCACTTGGGGAAGGGGGTTCGAAACCCTTGGGGTGTTTTGAGGAAGCATTCCGTCTTGATATGAGAGATTGAGTTGTGAGTCTGAGGGGTATTGTTGGACGTGTTGCCAATGATCTGAGACACCTTACCGCCGCCATATCTAGAAAAAATGTGATCTTGGTAGAGAAGTAGAGTTACATATTTGAGTTTGGAAAGTCGTAGAGGGAGGAGCAAACAAGGTAGTCAAAGATCGGCTCGGAAGGGGGATGCCCCCTGTTACACCCCGCATTCCGGGGATAGCCCCCTTAAGCCGTGTGTATGCGATACTTTACTCCTCGGTACTCCTCTCTTCATATCAACAAACTCCAATACTTCATGTAGAATTTAGAATTCTTCTGCTGCTGCAGCGGCGGCATCTCTACATATCTAATGTCTACCTTTCAAGCCTCACGAGGGGTTTTACGACTCTCTCGGAGCATTACCAAACTGCAACCCCCTCTCAACCTCCCCCTCCGGATAGCTTCACGTAATGTTGCAACCCACACCCTCCCAAGCCAGGCGGATGCTATCTCCGTCCTCCCCACAATCATCGACCCCTCCTCCGAAGAATACAAAGAAAATGCCCGCCAGATGAGCACCGTAATCTCCCGCATCGAAGAGTTGACCAAGAAGATCCAACTCGGAGGTTCACAAAAGGCACGCGAGAAACACATAGCTCGCAACAAGATGTTGCCGCGGGACCGCGTAGCAGCATTGATTGATCCAGGCACGTCATTTTTGGAGCTCTCTGCTCTGGCCGGACATGAGATGTATCTTGAGGCGGAGGTCCCAGCGGGTGGGATTATTACGGGGGTCGGTGTTATTGAAGGGGTTACCTGCGTGGTCGTTGCCAACGATTCGACAGTTAAAGGAGGAACATATTTTCCAATCACGGTAAAGAAGCATTTGAGGGCCCAGGCTATTGCTCAGGAGAATAACCTACCGTGAGTAGTTGGCTGTCACTCGTGTTCCTAGGGTTATTGATTTCAAGTGAGATCAACCCCTTTGATTCAGTTATGAAATGTTTCCAATTCTGATTTCAGTATTTTTGCTCCCTTTTCAGATCAAGAAACTGACAAAACCCAGTTGTGTCTACTTAGTAGATTCTGGTGGTGCCAATCTCCCAAATCAAGCAGATGTCTTTCCAGATCGAGAACATTTCGGTCGCATCTTTTATAACCAGGCGAGAATGAGTTCAATGGGAATACCTCAGATCTCAGTTGTAATGGGTGCATGTACTGCTGGCGGTGCATACGTACCAGCAATGTCGGATGAAAGCATCATTGTTGATGGCCAAGGTCACATTTTTCTTGCAGGACCTCCCCTCGTCAAAGCAGCAACCGGTGAGGTTGTAAGTGCCGAAGATCTAGGAGGTGGAAAAATGCATACATCAGTGTCCGGGGTAACAGATTATCTCGCAGTAGACGATGCACATGCCATCGTCCTCGCCAGAAGATCCATCAGAAACCTCAACTGGCCGAAGAAGCAATTCCCTCCACCAACAGCATACGAGGAGCCTTTATATGACCCTGAAGAACTTGTCGGTATTGCAAGCACTAATTTACGAAAACCATTGCCAATTCATGAGATTATTGCAAGGATTGTTGATGGTAGTGTTTTCTCCGAATTCAAACGGGACTATGGAAGCTCCCTTGTCACAGGATTCGCCCATATATACGGTCATAAAGTCGGCATTATTGCCAACAATGGTATTTTATTTAGCACCTCTTCACTGAAAGGGGCACACTTTATCGAGCTCTGCTGCCAGAGGCAGATTCCTTTAATATTTCTCCAAAATATCAGTGGGTTTATGGTCGGCACAGATGCAGAGCGAGAAGGAATCGCCAAAAACGGCGCCAAGCTCGTTACCGCCGTTGCTTGCGCGAATGTACCAAAGTTTACTGTAGTGGTAGGAGCTAGCAATGGTGCTGGGAATTATGGCATGTGCGGTAGAGCGTACAGCCCGAGGTTTCTGTGGATGTGGCCAAATGCGAAGATTGGCGTGATGGGATCCGAGCAGCTGACGGCAGTCATGGAGGCTGTAGGCAAGGCAGCGGATCCAGAGTTGAAGGAGAGGATTGACAAGGAGAGCGAGGCCGTGTTCTCGTCTGCGAGATTATGGGTATGTTCAACAGAAAGTTGGGTAACAGATCGTGCTAACGAAAATAGGATGATGGTATTATACCTCCAAGTCATACACGGAGAGTGCTTGGCTTAAGCTTGATGGCTTCATTAGGTGGAAAAAATGAACCTGTAGCTACAAAGTTTGGTGTCTTTAGAATGTAGATGATGCAAGTATGAAGAATACAAGGTCCTATATTGTAAAGATTGACCACCACCTAGCTCCTAGGTAAGTGCCGGTTGGAATCCCTTCTATTGGGGAATAGATATAGAGATGTATTTGCACTCGAAACGGAATGAGATCTACTCCGGCAATTATGTCACGCTCTCACTTTCTCCTTCCTCTTCTTCTTAGGCTTCACCCATAAACGACTAATGGCTATCTACGCCTGCTAAATTGCTTGAGATCACGGGATACGTACAGTTAATGGACCAAATGAGGACTAGACTCTGGTTCGGCATTCAAACCGATGGCAACCGAGGGCAACCGTGACCCGCGACCCCTCATAGGAAGGGAAGTCAATGAAGGTAAAACAACTCCTTCCCTCAAGAATGTAGAACATCTACCATCCATAGCCCAGTTCTACTGAGCTTGTGCTATCCTAATGCTGCCATCATCAAGAACACGGGCCTTTGCCCGTGCCATAAATGCAATTCAAACCCGTCATCTCTCCACGAACCCCTCCACAACACCCATAGCTTCCGTCCTTATAGCAAACCGCGGTGAAATTGCTCTTCGAGTTGGACGCACAGCCTCTGAACTTGGCGTGCGCTGTACGACTATCTATACGGATCCAGATTCGCACTCACAGCATGCCCTCTCGAGTCCCTTCGCCGTTAATCTCGGTGCACCGACTGCCTATCTTGACGGGGAGCGGATTATAAAGGTTGCAAAGGAGCGGGGCTGCGAGGCCTTACATCCGGGATATGGGTTCTTAAGTGAGAATTCGGCGTTTGCGAAGAGATGTGTGGAGGAGGGCTTGGTGTTTATTGGACCACCATGGAAGGCTATTGAGGCTATGGGTAATAAGTCCCGGAGTAAGGAGATTATGATTGCTGCTGGGGTTCCCTGTATACCGGGCTACCATGGAAAGAACCAGGATCCGGAATACTTTTTAGAAGAGTCCAGAAAGATTGGTTTTCCAGTCATGGTAAAAGCAGTGAAAGGAGGTGGTGGGAAGGGAATGAGAATTGCACTTACTGAGGATGAATTCTTGAGTAAACTGGAGAGCGCAAAGAGTGAAGGCAGAAATTCTTTTGGGGATGATGAGATGCTGGTCGAGAAGTACATCTCAACCCCAAGGCATATTGAAGTCCAAGTTTTTGCGGACAAATATGGTAATGCCGTGGCATTAGGAGAGCGAGATTGCAGTCTACAAAGAAGACACCAAAAGGTTTTGGAAGAAGCTCCAGCCCCTAACCTCGCCGAGGATATTAGACAAGACCTATGGGAGAAGGCAAGAGCTGCTGCATTAGCTGTACAATATGAGGGTGCTGGAACGGTAGAATGTGAGAACAGACCTTCACCAAGCACCAGGGCTGCCTACTAACTAATTGTAGTCATCTTTGACAACGATACCAATGAGTTCTTCTTCATGGAAATGAATACAAGACTCCAAGTCGAGCACCCTGTGACCGAAGAGATCACCGGGGAAGATCTCGTATCCTGGCAGTTCAAGGTTGCCGCTGGCGAGCCTCTACCCCTTGATCAAGCTACGATTACACAGAGAATTTCAGAACGTGGATGGGCCATTGAAGCTCGTATCTACGCCGAAAACCCAAGTGAAAACTTCATGCCAGATTCAGGCAAGCTGAGTCATTTACGGACTCCCCAAACATCTGACAGTGTTCGCATAGACGCTGGTTTTATCCAAGGCGATACTGTCTCCTCGGCCTATGATGGTATGATTGCGAAGCTCATTGTCAGCGGTCCAACTCGAGAGGTAGCTCTTCGGAAACTTCATGCTGCGTTGCAGGACTACGAGGTAGTAGGCCTAAACACCAATATCGAGTTCTTGAAGAAGATTTGTAAAAGTCCAGCATTCATCAGAGGTGAGGTAGAGACTGGGTATATTCAGAAATACCACGATGAGCTGTTTGCTCCTGAAGTTGTTGAGCCGGAAACATTCGCCCAAGCTGCGTTAGGTATTTTGGCAAAAGAGAGTCTTGAGAAGGGAGCAGACTTCCCTACCGGTCCACATGGACAAGCCACTGGATTTAGTGCGCGGAATGAGCGCCAGTTTTTGTTTATGGATTCCAGCGGCTCGGAGTCGAAACAATTTAATGTCACTATCAACCAGTCCGGGCAGAAGTTGTACAATATTCAGGTCAAGGGTCCTGGAATAGACGGGTCCTTCGAAAACGTTGTCTGCGAAGGAGGTGTTCCTTCTATCTCAACATTCTATCCTCATACGCGGATTGAGAGTACCATTATCACGGACGGTGACAAATTGACCATCTTTCAACAGGGAAAGAAGACTCAGTTAAGGCTAGCCACGCCATCATGGTACGAAAAAGCATTAGGATTGAAAGATGTGACCAACAGTGTCCTGGCACCTATGCCATGCAAGGTATTGAGAAATGAGGTCAAAGAGGGCGATGAGGTTGAAAAGGATCAGGCTTTAGTTGTGTGAGTAAACCTTGACTTGAAAGCTGTCGTATGCGTCTAATAGTTTGGGGCGTAGCATCGAGAGTATGAAGATGGAGACCGTAATTCGGTCACCGCAAAAAGGGGTCATTGCCAAGCTGGTGCACCAGGAGGGAGACATATGCAAGGCTGGGACGGTCCTTGTGCTCTTTGAAAAGGTATCTATTCTCCTTAAACAACGGGGTTGCTGAAGCTAATGATCAATAGCATGAAGAATAAATGCTCATTATGCCCAATAAGTGATGCCCAGGACCCAGGTGGCAAAAGCTATCACCAACTAGTCCAAGACACTTTTAAATTTGTACACTATATCGACGCTCATAGCTTCCATTCATCTAGAATCTAGAAGCTAGATTTCAAGCGTTTGGTAGCGCAACATTTTGCCTCCATTAGAGATTATCATACAGATTACCCGCCAGTTTAGTAAGTGAAGGAAGGTTAGAGGTCTAACTACTGCTTTCACTACTCGAAGTAATCCATATCTTGGTTGACTGGTTTTTAATTATGTTCTACATGTCAAGTAATCTTCGCTCTCCCCAAATACAAGTTTGGGTCAGAAAATGTGCATAGTTGCTTTCGTATCCTCATGAAACTCCTCAAAGCATAAGCACATAGCCACATCTCCTTCATCAAGTTCATATTTCTCGTTCCACTCAACCCTCACAATTTCTGCTCATCACTTCCAACCTCAACAACCTGGTCAATACCCTCGTACTCCGGCAAATCCAAATCATACTTCTGTGCAATATCTGGACTCACAAACCTAAGGATCAAACTTAGCATATCCTGCTCCTGCTCCTGCACTCGAAACAGAAACTCACCGTCCACCAACAAAATGCCTCCCCTTGAAAAACTTTACCAAAGGCTTCGGCGCCGTCAGACTCACTAGAGCCCCGGGCATAAAACTTGCACCGGGACCAGAAGGAGGTGGGCCATCCTCGATATTCCAGGACGAGGGAGCGTCGACGGATGTCACGGGGAGGTGGGTTTCTTGCAGTGATGTGATGACGGCTGGGAAGGGCTCACGGACTTCGCCAGAGAAGGAGAATCCTGCGCTGTGTTTAGTGGAATAGATAAAGTAATGAAAGCGGGAGGGAAAGAAAAAAGAGAGACGTACCGAAGATAGCATCGATGATGTGATCTGCCTCTTTGATAGCTTTTGGGAAGTCTTCGGTGAAAGGGACGGAGAGGTTTTTCAGTTGCATTGTTAGGCGCTGGGCGGGGTGAGTGAGCGTCAGCAGTGTGGAATAGTACGCAGGAAAGGGGGAAACTGACTTGATAGAGATCGTTCTTGCTCTGCTTTGGATAGTATATCGTGGGTTTGTATCCGTAATGCCAGAGGTGTCTCGCTGCGACGAGTCCATCGCCACCTAGCTTCCCATCAGTAGGGAATTACTCAGGAACATCTCTCTTGTTAGGGACGAACTCACCGTTATTGCCGGGTCCACAGGCGACTAAGATGCGTCTGCCTCTGCTTGGAGGATGGATACGGAAAACTGAGATAAAATAAGGCGGCCTTAGTAAGTGAAGCTTGGGATGAAAGCAAGCCAGAGGATGGATGAAATGCGAACCGGCTTGTGAAACTGATAGGCCTGCAAGTTCCATGAGCTGGTCAATAGAGAAAGCTCCGATGCTCATGAGGTCTTTGTCAAGAGCGGCGGCATTCTTGGCTGAGAGTGTCTATCAGAATGTTAGTGACTGAGCTTCTAACACCAATAAGAAATCTGAATAAAGTGATTTTTTAAACGCTTCGTCTCGGTATTGATGAGATTTTCAGGGAGGAGTAACCTCTCAAAGTCTACGCCCGCTAGACGTATGAAAGATGAGATTCTATAGTTTGATAATATAATCAAATGACATGCTAACCTTCATTGCCATAATGGCTGAGTTATGTAATTCAAAGGTGGCGATTCCGTCAAAGGAAAACGACTTGCGGTCCTCGAGAAAGGTCTTTGTATAGAAATAGAAGAAATCGTCTAGAGACCAGCTTCCAACACAGAATATTAAATCAATTCATTTGGATGTTGCTACTCCTCTCTTGATAGATAAAGTTGATATCATTCCACCTCTCTCCACATCGCACCCCTGTTCCGCCCCGCTACTTTTCTTCCGAGCGGAATCTCGCCAACCCAAAAAAGTCGCGAACCTCAAGCAGCCATCCCATCTCAAGTGCACCCTCTCCTCACTCACAACCTCCAGCAACAATGGTCGTCAAAATCAGATTAGCACGTTTCGGCCGCCGCAAAGCACCGTTCTACAACATCGTCGTTGCGCAAGCCCGGTATGTTTGCCTTCCCTTCCCTCCCACCGTACCACAGCAATACACCGAGCGTAAACTGATTCTTGGGACTACATTATAGGACTGCGAGGAACAGCAAGCCGATTGAAGTACTAGGTACGTTATATTGCGTTACGTTATCCATATACGGCAATGAAGAATGAAAGAAGGGAATTTGTCGTTTCTGGAACATGTTTTGGGAACTGGGACTGATCCTAAGAATTCATAGGCACATATGACCCGATACCCAAGCCGCCTGCAGACGGAGAAGGGAAGCCCTTCAAAGACATCAAGCTCGACACTGCGCGCGCCAAGTACTGGCTAGGCGTAGGTGCGCAACCTAGTGATCCGGCGTGGAGGCTATTGTCAATGGTACGTTATGCTATGTCATGCTGCGAACTGTATTACATACATGTAACTGCAGTTGCATAGGACAAGGAACTGTGCTGATTGATGCGTGATTGTAGGCTGGATTGCTGGTCCCGAAATACCGACCCTCGCCAAGGCCTACACCTGCGAGCAGCATACCGGAGGCGAGTGGGAGCGCGGATAAGGAAGCGAACGCTGTTGTATAGTGACTAGGATGGAGGATTGGAAAGAAGATGTATTGCATGAGTGGCGTTTAGTCTTGTCATTCTATAGGGACGTATGTATGTATGTGTGTGTATACAAGGGCGGCGTTTTGTGCTTGTATGAATGTAGAAAAGTGTTAATATACCACATTTCGATCATCTAGAGAGATTGCAGTGTTTTATTTCTAGTGCTCGTTTGATTACGTATAAAAGAAAACTTCAAATACTTGATCTTGTCAAATGAAAGAGTAGAATGGCAATGGAATTCTCCCTGGGATTATTGCTCTGACTTTGGCTGGATAACTGATTTGAATGGCTCATACCATAATTATGAAGTGTATAACTCTTTTTGAACTGCATTAGGATGAAAACAACTTAATGGTTCATGTCCAACATAACTTTAGATATGCCAACCAGGCCTGATATCTACATCTTAATCGCTATTGAAACCATCCCCCCATTTACCGTAATGTTCAAATTACCCAAACGCCTTTCCCTACGCTTTACCCAATGCTGAAGCTCAGATCGCAAAACTTCAATGCCCTCCGCCTCCTGCAAAGAATACGTTTGTGCCCAAGCACAGAACCATAACGAATATGCCATAAATCGCCAATGCAAGCGAAAGTTTCCGTAATATCGTCTTGCGCCACTGAGTTGCGCCCCCGCGTTGTCCTCCATCCTCTTCATCGGAGCCACTTTGGTCATCGTCATCCTCCTTTGTCAGTCGCTGGTGGTGTATCGAATCTGGGGCAGAAATCTTATAGTAGAACAAGCCCGGAAGAATAAAGCTAATGCTCGTGCTTCCAGTGCTTCCAACGTATGCGAGGACTTTGTCAAGGGATGATACGGTCATCGCAGCGGTGTAGCTGAGAATGACGATTGTAGTCGTGATGAGAGCGAAACGAAGCTCACCAATCTGGTCATTTCTTGCTGGCGGTTGGGCTGAAGAACCTGCGAGTAAGGGAGCTGTTCGTGCTGGTGAAGAGTTGGGTGAATTTCTTGAGCCTTTAAAGCTATTTGGTCTCCACTTCAAAACAGCATCAATAGAAGCTCTGCACGGATGCACTTGAAGTGGGTAAGAAAACATGACAAGGACGACAATAGCGGCCTTGGCAATCGTTGAAGCGATCGAAGGGATATCTATATTATGTTAGACAGATTCTACAATAAATTGGTAGCTATACTCACACATTCCGACGATGTTTCCGGCAACATTGTTGCCAAACGACAAGTAGCCAGTAATGGCAACTAGAACGTAGACTGAGGCAGCAGAGCCAATGCTTGCAAAAATGACACTGGTTATGCTATAGGTGATTCGTGTTAAGAGGTGCTAGATCATACAGGTGGGGGAGAACTTACTGTCTGGGGGAATTATCTGAGATTTCATTTATGATAGAGAACATCTGGTTTTCTTTTAGCAAATAGTCATTAGTATACAGTGACTTTTCTTACGTTCTGGTGGCATGTATACGCAAACACAATGACTGGGAAACTTTGTAGGGTCTGTACAGGTCCTGCCCATTGTAATACTCGAATAACGCCTCTGTCTGCCATCGTGTCCCCTTTAAAAAAGTGGAAAACTACCAATACGACAAGGTAGCTTATGGATGTCAGAGCTATGATACTGGTGTACTTCAGGGAGTCGAGGCGGCGCAAGAACGAAAGTGGGATGACAACGAGCCTATATATGATGTGAGCAACCAAAAATGAGAGAGAAAATAGGGTACTGACATGAAAACAGTAACCCAGAAGTGTCTATCAACCATGAATGGGATATTGTCTGCAGCTTCGTTGAAGCCCCTCACCACACCTGGCATAAGATCTCCAATGATAATCAAATAGCTCACACCAACCCCAAAACACTTGATAGCAATAGCAGCATCAAAAATCACTGCAGCATTCGGATATGTCATCTGGGACAGGGCGAAGAAAGATGACGATCCGCGATCCAAGTACCGCGCGCATCGGGATTGCAGATATAGCCCAAAGGCAGCCGTCATGCCTGACCACACAATGACAAAAGTCCCAAGCAGAATTCCCATGTGCGACATGGCAAGTGGCATGGCAAGAGTGCCAGCGCCAACAATGGTATTGAGAAGATTGACATTGCTGCTGAACCATGAAGCCTGGCCCGCGAAGTTGCTGTCTTTCGCCTTTCGCCTCCTTCCCCTTCCCGAGTCGGATGAGTGGGCGCTGCCACTTCCTATGGCAGAATACGAAGACATTTTGTGATCGCTCTTTGCGTAGAGTGTGATTCCAGTACAGTTTCGTCGTTGCGCTGGAAGAGAGAGATCTGAACCAGGACAGATATCAGGATACGGATGGTGGCGCAGGATTATCACTCATGCTGCGCTGCGCGAGTTTGCGATCGAAAGGAGCCGGTGGGAATAATAATGTGGAGAGCCAAGAGTTGTCCTGTCTAGCCCCGTTGGAGGTGAGATCAGGAAACCAAAGCTGAGTTGGTGAAGTTGTGCAGTGTGGAGAAGCAGATTGTTCGTAAATATATTCGTATATTCGTGATTATTAGAAACACAGCACAGGTCATGCACGATGGTTGGGCCAATTATGAGTACGACGGTTTATTTCCGGGGTTCAGCCTTGCCGACAAGCGCAACGCCTTTTCTCCTGGCGCTCCAGATGGCAGTACGTCCCGTACCGTCTACGAATTTGAGGAAGCATGAACTTCCTGTACAACCATAATCATGGAAAACACGTTCGACAAGACCGCCATAGAGACAATCGATCTGCTCGAAGCCCGGCTTCGGCGCATTGAGTATGCCATCTGCGGGCGTGTTGAGGAGGCTGCAAGTACTACCGGCAAGACCTCTGCCGTCAAACGCCTGGGGCAATTGGAGCATTCTCTACACCAGCTCGCGTCGAAATCAAGAGTTATTCAGGACCTCTTGAAGCTGCGTAAGTCTCCCTGTAGCTTAACATCTGCCAGCAACTACTAAGAGTCGATAGATTCGCGGTACCCAGACCTATTTCAGTCCATCAAGCCCGAAGATGTGCCTACAACATTAGACACCTCCAGCATTCTAGCTATAGTCCTAGCTTCTGCCAGCTCCTACCCGTCAACCGCATCCCGTTTGACCTCCATACTTGATGTGCCGATTCCACCCACAGAGCTCTCAGCTCAGCTCATTGATGTTCAACCCAGGATTGCAAAGGTCGGGGCTCTTCAAGCAGCACAGAGTGCAGATATTGCAGAGCTACGAGAAAGAAGCGCGGCTGTCATTCAACGGTGGTACACGGTGGACATTCTGGGTGCTGGAGATAGCTGGGCAGAATTTGAGGGAAGAGTCGGCCAGGTGGAGGCAAAGGTCAGACGTACTGCTTTAGCAAAGCGGCTGGACGATGATATGATCTGAGGGATTGGTTACGCGTTTTTTGGAGCTACGAATCGTTCAAACAGGGTTTGAATCTCAGTATAGGCAGGGCTGAGCCTCAACTTGTTCCGAGCGGAATTTACCAACATCGAAACAAGGAGGACGACAGAAACAAGCTTCGATACAGGCCATGAGATCATTACCATGGCCATCTACGGCTACCGTTTGGACATTTTGTGGGAGAAGTTTTGTTTCGATGAGCTCGAGCATTAGGGTGATACTCGAGGCTGGAAGGAGAGCATGAAAGACGTGTCTGATCCGCGTCTCAGGAGGAGGAAGCACCACTATATGGGGAGACGCAATGGCAAAGTCTCAGCATGATCCAAGCTTCCATGACATAGCGGAAGTTTATTTCAATGCAAGGTGCCATTACTTGCAGATGATATCAATGAAGTCTTTCGTGATAGTCCTTTTGGCGTTTAGATATTCTGTCTTCAAAGACGCCCTTAGCATATCGCCACTCTTATACTTAGCTGTAAAAGTTGAACAAGCTTTTGGCTTCCCTAGCAAAACCTGTTTCTTTGTGAGCTTATTTCAGCTTCAGCTCTAGCTTCAGCTAGTCGTACACCAATGGTACAGCTGAAATTCTCAACCTCGTGGCACGGCATGGCATGGCATGGCATGGCATGGCATGGCATGCTTATGTACTTGGTTGTGTTGCCACATTGCGGGGTGCTGAGCCACTCCCGAGCCACTGTCACGTAGACCCTTTGATTGAGTCTCCACTCGCAGCGTGCCGTCCCCTTTTCTTATGCCAGACCAGGCCAGCCTTTCGAGATCTCCATCCACAAAAAGGACCAGACTTTGGAAGATGCTGTCGATCACTAAGGTACGAGTCCACGTCAGTTGATTAGTACAGTACCTATGGAGTATATAAAAATGTATAAAAACCCAATATACGTCAGTAAGTACCTATAGGTATCTATAAACATAAACGGCCTGCTAGGCCTTTCTCCCAAACACAAGCGCAACTACAATCACAACCAACGGTCTTTGTCCTCCCGGAAGAAACAACAAATACATCCTGCCACACCATCCAATGTTTGCTTGACACTGCAACCAAAACTCAAACAAGCGTCCAGCGCCAACCGCCTGGTGGAGGCACAAGAAAAGAAGCACAAGTGCCGTAGAGTACAGTACAGTACAGTACAACAATTAAGGAACAAGGACACGGACTCTCACGGAAGAGTCTCACAAGAACCAATCAAGTCATCCGCTGTATTCGAACCATCTGTGCAAGTAATACTGTAGGCTTTTGTTGAAAGTTGAAACACGGGTGGTATCGTGAATGGGAATTTGATCAGGGGTGAACCGGTCCAGAAAATCCCCGAAAGGTCGAACAAGCAGCAACGCGCCAAACCCTACCCACCACGACCACGACCACGACTACTACCGTACCGTACTTACTATCTTCTCACCCTGTAATTATTCCATTGTAACGGCGAACGCGCCAACTGGATCGAGCCATCGCCATTACTTATTATTGCACTCTGCAGCAAACTCCTTACTGCACTGCCCTGAATCCCCAGATGATTATCTCCTCGCTCTTCTCTTCTCTCAGCTAGAGTAGATCGAAACACCACACTTCACAAGATATCAATAGTGAGAAGTATCTGATTAGATCAGATAGATCAGATTACACGACTTCTTCTCCGCGTCGAAACAATACAATTATAATCTGGCGGCGTCGCTTTCACGCTTACGACCCTCCGAACAGGCCAGCGCGCGCCCCCAACACTAATCTTCCTCCTAAATCCTTCCATCATCTCTTCCCCATCCGCACCGCATTATCTCGACCACTCAACCCACCAGTCGATCCTTTCCTCTAAAACACATCTTCGACCTCGACTCGAGCTCTCGACGTCTCACATTCTCTTGCCTCTCCTCTTCCACTTCGACACAACACTCTTTCGATCCATTTTCCCTTTCTATTTTCAATTCCATTCCTTCTGCCGTCTTCCCCTTTACGGGCTGGTCAAGTCAGTCGTCGGCTTCCCGCGCTGCGCTGCCACCAATATAGCGACTACGCGACGATTAATTGATTGATTGATTGATTGATTGATTCATCGATTCTGGTAATTCTAAAAATCACCATCCTCCATTATCACCCGCGCCTCTCGCCGCTCGCCGCTGAGTCAGGGTTGCCGCCAGCCATCTTCATCTGAAACGCTTTGCATACCACATTCTCGCCTCGTATATCTTTGGCCTTTCCTGTATCAATACGTACGAGTATCAAGATACCAAGACCAGTCGATTGAATCGACTGCTCTTTTCACCATCTCCTAATTCATACACCTAATCCGTATTAATTACCTCGAGGACCGATACCCCTCCACTCTCAGTTCATCTATGCCATCTTACGGATCGCTACATTCGCCATCTCTCCGCAAAATGAACGGGGGAATGGATAGCAAAGGTCGGCGGGCGGGAGGGATGAGGACCATGAGCATGGACAATATACTGGGTGACCCTTTTGCGTTGGCGACAGTCTCAATCGCGATGGTGAGTTGGTGAATCTATGCTACAGGGCTGCTGTGCCGCACGGGAGGATTGAGAAGACAACTCTTGCTAACCTGTACTGTTAACAGCTCGCATGGTTCATCGCCTTCGTCGGCTCAGTAATCGCGACCGCTCAGCATAGCTTTCCCAACTACTCTTGGTTCGCCATCGCGTACATGTTATGTTGTATTGTAGCGGTATTTGTGGTAATTGCGTCGGATACAACCCAAACATATCACGTAGCCATCGTGGGCTATCTTGCCTGTGGCCTCGTCTTGACAAGCTCTTCGGTCAACTCATTGATATATTCATCAAACGGTGCAAAGGAAGCGACGGCTGCTGGACACATTCTACTGTCCATGGTGAATGTAGGTATCTCTACTCTGAAGGGTTGAATTACAAGCTGACCCCGACAGATTATCTGGATTTTCTACTTTGGATCGACACCCTCCGCCGTACCCCGCGCATATCTTGACTCGTTCGCCTTACACAAGGATCACAGGGCTTCGCAAGGTGGAAGACCAATGACCAATGGTTACGCAGGAGGTCGCCCCGACACTTCCGTCTCCTCCAACGTCCCACCACAGATGTATACATCTGCTCAACTTGGTGGCTTCGAGACATCATCCCCTGTAGCGGGATTCCCAGGAGGAGCAGCAGGAGCCGAGCGCGGCTCTTCGACACCAAGGTTTGGCCAAGCACCACCAACAGCGAGCAATCTCAACACAAGCGCGCCGATGGGCAGTGAGCCTACAGCGGGAGACGTGGTGGCGCCGACAGAATACCCATACCGAGCGAAGGCCATCTACTCATACGAGGCCAATCCCGACGATGCAAACGAAATTTCCTTCTCGAAACACGAGATATTAGAAGTATCAGACGTCAGCGGAAGATGGTGGCAAGCGAAGAAAGAGAGTGGAGATACCGGAATTGCGCCCTCGAATTACTTGATTTTGTTATAGAAAGATGATGAATGGAAGGACGCTAGCTTTAGGATTTGATTGCTTGATCCCCCTTTACGGAATGGGATATTAGGGACAGAAAACAATGGCTCAGCCTGGTAAACAACGGAGTGGGTGGAGTTATGTAATAAGTCAATGTGATACGATTGGGTTCTTTGTTTTTCCTTTGCTCTTGTTCTCAACCTACCCTTTTTACCTTGACGTCTTCATTATCCACGAGGGTCCGTATGTATGTCACATAGCAACGCAGCGGGCGTTTTACAATTCAGGGAAATCCCCAAAGTTTCAAAATAATACTTACTATTTGCTTTGCTTTGCTATAACGGAATGCAGAGTGTAATGACTTCTCTTGTCTTGCGTGAGTGAGGAAGGTTTTAGCAGCGAGGGAATCCGTGCTCCCTCCTACCTATTCATGTGACCGAAAGACATTTGAGCATTCTAGTGTTCTTCCCTCTATATACATGTAGCGGCGAGTCACATACCTACCTACCGGACAGACATCTATCATCAATCGACCTCTCTCGGCCTCTCACTCACTCATTTACCAAGGACAGTCCATCCATCCATCCAACTCCTATTCACTAATAGGCACCTACCTACCTACCTACCTAATACCCCTCAACCAACCACCCCCATAACCCAAAGCATATCCCAAGTACACTCACCCACTACTCATTCCCTACCCACCAATCTCTCTATATCGACATGACGGCGCGAGGCGATAGCCACGCACGCATGTACAGTACTACGGCATTCTATTGTATTCTACGCAAACCCTAGGTTGGCAATGGTAGATACTACTGTATGTGAGGGAAAGAGGGGAAGTGAACGACTAATCGAGAAGGTGGGAAGTAGATGGCTGGGGGTGCGTGTAACGGGCCAGTGATGTGATGTGATTGGATGTCATGTAAATTTCTCTGGCGTGATTGATTTATTGGAACCAACAGGACCAACAGGACCAACACAATAGTCTGTCTGTATCTTGGAAGGGGAGGGATTGGCATTATTTGGGTCATTGGCTAGTGAACTGAATAGAACTGAACGAGGGAATGCGAGGGCATGTATGTAGATTGAAGCAATTCCTTCATTACTGCCTGACTCATATTGAACACACAGATATGGTATAAAACGCCAATGATGACCTCCGGATATACCTAGGTACCCAAGTCCCCCTCGCCTCCTCTCCCAGGAAAAGATCTCTTCCCATTCAAATGAATGGACGGACAGGATACGCAGGAATTGTCTTTCAGAACCTAGAGAATATCTATGACTAACTGACTGACTGACTGATGACTAGGAAGGGTATGTAACGTATGAAGAAAATGCCATAACTTTTTGGTCTACTGTATGCAGTGCTCTTATCCTCACCACTTGCAGACCAGACCAGAACCTGACTCACGCCATTGAAAACCCAAGTCCCAAAAGCATTTCATAGCCCTCTCAAACGGGCTTATCGCAACCAATACGGCCCAATAACTCCTTCCTGTCGCTGTGTCCAGGTAAACTGACGCCACTAGAATTGCTGGGGCTCTTCTTATACCGGGAAGCGTTGGATGTACGTCCCTTGAGGTTGATGGATTCCACGCCAACTTCTTCTTCGTAAGGAAGTAGCACTGCTTCTTCCACTGCCTGGAATGGATAGATTTCATCGTCCTCATATTCGAGATCTTCGTCCCCTCCATCGTCGCTTCTGACATCATCTGCATCACCTCCTTGCAATACCCGGATCGCAACTCGCACGATCAAGGCAAACCACAAGACAGTGATGCCTTGGAGGAAAAGAAGCGCGCTCAAGAATCCCCATTTGATATTGTCGTTCCAGCATACGATGCCCTCAGGATCCTGGAATGGCTCGAAGAGATGCCCGAACCTGTCAGGTGGTTGAAAGGGTCCTTTTATAGCGCCCTTCTTGCCGCGGTAGCAGCCGTAGGAAATGGTTTCTGGAATGTCGGCCCAGACCGAGTAGCATATCATAAGGTATGCCGCGTGTCGGCAAGCTACCCAGGACAGCATGAAGACACCAAATAAGACGTCGCATATCCAGGTAAAGTTCATGTACTTGAAGCATTTTGCGACCTATTGTTTTTTTGTTTAGTCTTGAAGGGAGAGATATGACAGGGCAGGGAAATCTTACCGCAAGAAAAATATCTACAACATCCATAATGCACAGGATGAGATTGGCCACTTTCGTTTGGTGGTATCCGTAACTTGTGAATATCAACCCAGTCGTCACAATGTGGTGCGCGAACATCTGCCAATGGTCCTTTCTCCGCTCCTCAATGTTGATAACCATGATCTGCTGAAGCCAAAAAGCATATTGTACGAGAATGTACCATTTTGATAGGCCTTCCATTTCCCGGTTCGGCCAATTAGTCCAAAGGTGCTTCAGGTTGAGCCAGTAATCAGATGTAACCAGGATATACTAATCGACTGTCAGCAACAAGCCCACACTCTGTATCAAGCACTCAGCTGCTTACCATTCCTAGCGGCCAGAAAACCGTGTAATATACCAGAAGCCAAGCCTGCTCAGCAAATCTCGTCTGGTCCCTTGCCGTCTTGACCCCACCCTTCTTGGCAAAGGGCATTAAGATATAATCAATGACAGCGGCGCGAAGACCGGTGAACACAGTGATCCAAAAGAAGACCATCCAAGCATCGTTCCACCCGGCGCAGTATTCGCCAGATTCCGAGTTGAGATAGGAGAGTTCGAAGAATTTGCGGGTGTGCCTTCGAGCTCGGGGGAAGCAGAGATGTGTCAAAGTCAACAACATCAACAGATTGACAGCGAGTCCTATCTAGTCAGTCATTGTTTGCAATTTTTTGGGGACATATGGATATACCAATCTGATGCTCTGTAATGAATCCGCAAAACAACTCCAGAGGCCCATCAACCTTCCGTTTTGCCCTTCTGTGGGGGAGCATTGTGGGAGCTGCTGGATGCCCCAAGGAAGTCTCTGTTTTGAGCTTCTCCCCAATTCCGGTAATAGTGTCATTTTGATACGACCATTCAGGCGCAGGCTCAACCTTTGCGTCGGCAGTCGTAGTCATTGGTGGACCGCCGTTCATGGTGTGGGCGTCTCCTCAACAGGGGGAAAGAGATGTAACGAATGGAATCGAGGCCAATTGAGGAGAGAAAAGAAGTCCCAATTGTCAGCTCTATATGTAGAAAAGGGTCGTCATAAATACTCCGTACTAGGAAATAATACAACCACGTAGGGGGGACGTAGGAACGAATGTGGAGGGGGCTGGCTGTGGAGGTGTTCCGTGTTTCGATTTTCAATTCTAGAGAAGGAAGCTTCACCGCTCTCCGCTGCTTGGCACGGCAAGGTTTGACCTTTTTATCCAGGCATGCAAGGCAGTGCACGCCCGCTGCACGAGTGATGATCTGATCGTGCGCACATACGGAGGTAATACACTATCATATGTTTAAGTAAACACTTTACTCGAGTATATTATATAAATTTGAATTTAGCCAACTAGAAGGCGTCAACAGGAATGAAAGCTTACCCATTTCATACTCGAGTATTTTCCATTCAACAAACCTCACGGCGCTTTTACCATGTTTTATGGTTTCGCCTTGTCCCGTAGCGTAGCGCCCGTCCTGATGAAAGACCCGACCCCTCCTTTTGATATGAGGGGCATTTCTGTGAAATCCTACCAGATCGTTGATCTGTTCTGTTTTGAAACACAATCAACTCGGCAGTTTGCCTAGGAAATTGTCTTTTCATACTTTGAATTTCCGGGATCCCTGATATTAGTATTCACAGAACGGTGATTGGCTCAAGAGATTCTGCCCATAATCATTTCGTACTTTCCGAACTTCCAGAATTCCTAGTATGCATAGAGCACCAATTAGCTCAAGATGTAATGCTAGATATGGTTTGCGTTATACTTTCCGAACTTCTAGCTTAAGATGTAATGCCAGATATGGTTTGCTTCGTACTTTCCGAATTTCCGGAATCCCTGATGGCTCAGACTACCTGAAGGATTTTGCTAAGACGATTTGACGGTAAAATGATGGCTAAATGTACGTCTTCAAAGTATCACGTAGTTGTCCTTCAATTAGCTATGATAATTACCTATAGTTAACAGACTTACTTATATTTAATGACTATTGCAGGATTGCTCACTTAGCGGTACAGCCTCTCTGTAGCTATACCCAAAACAAATACCGAGAATTCTTATTGCTACTCCATTTACTACCAGTATTTTTGCATTTTCTGAGTGAATAGCAAACTAAACTACATAAACGCCCATCCCAGTGCCCCAATTCATGCTACTTTCCAATTCCCGTTTCCTTCATAAAACAACGCTAAAGTATGGATGACAAAAGGAAAACTGACCAAGCAAAGCTACACGTCCTTCCCATAGAATATCAGTGTACACTACAATATAGAGACATAAGCTTAGTTGTTCTGGGAGCTGTTGAGGATCCTTAGAATAGAGAGGAACAAGTTGATAATGTCAAGGTAAAGACTGATTGCAGCAGCAATTTCCTCCTCGACGTGATAATGTCTCATGATAAGTTGTGTATCAACGAGAATGTAACCAGAGAATATCAAGGCTGCGATTCCCGAATATGCAAGCTCAACCCAGGTGTTCCCGCGGAAGAACATAGCCATGAATCCAAACAGAATTAAACCCCATAGACCACCAAACAAATATGGCATCCATGACGTAAAATCGTACTTCGTTTGGCATGCGAACAGCGTCAAAGCAATGAAGATACCCGCTGTGAGAAGGACTGCCTGGAGTACGATTCGAGATTGATAGAACGATACGATGACGGATACGGAATAGGCTTCAAGGGCAGTAAAGCCGCTCAGGAAGAGAAGGTTCGTAGGATAGGACTTTCGCTTCCAATACGTCAAGAGCATAAATCCTATGGCTCCGAAAAGCTATCCATCTATTAGTATGCGAATAAAGTACCTTGGGATGTTGTATCATACCGAAACCCACATCATCCACTGATTACTCTGAATCCAGTCTTTGTATGTGACACTGAAGAACGAGAGAGAGCTCAAGATCGCTGTGGCAACGAGTTGGACAGTCCTGCAATCGTGTTAGAATCACCGAACAAGATGCGATGCCTTATAAGCAAAACTATGCGGGTGTACTCACAGAATGGCATACACCTTCCTCACAAACGCCATCCGGATATCAATAGTCGCCTCCGCGACAGAACCGCCGAACTATAGCTACATTAGCTACACCACCACGAAAGCCATCACCTATCCATACCTTAAAATCATCTGGAATATTGTCCTCGCTGCTTCTTGGGGCTCCTCCTCCTAGGAGAGCAGAGTCTGCGGATGCGGAAGGTTCGTCGGCGTACGATGGCGGGGCCTGGGAGTAATGCGCCGTGTCGTCCAGGGAGTCTCGCTGCGCGGCTGCCGTGTATTTGGTATTCGTAGACATCTTATGTGCTTCTCTAAGTGCGAGTACTTCGAAAGAAGGGCGATTTCTGTTCGTTGGTGTTGTTGTGAGGCGAGCTGGAAGGATCAAAATCAGGTCTGGCCTTCAAGTAACGATGATGATGTTTAGCTCGGCTCGGATCAGGTGGCGTGGCATGGTACCTTCTAGTAATAGGCAACTTTGTTTATAGGCGCTGATAAGGTGTTACAATAACACAAAGAGCACTCACTATTTTGTTCATTGGTATTTCTAATTTTAGTGATTACGCTTCTTTTCGTTATGCAGTTTTCATTAATGAAGTTATCGTTACAGCTACGGTCTGTGAATAAGTCAAGTGTAGGTCAACAGTACTCGTTCTTTCTCTCCTTCATCCATCTCACCAACTACACAATATTGTAAATACTGAAACCTATTCGAATTAATTAGTGAATAAACGTAGGCTTTCATTCAGCTATGATTGGTCTGAAAGATGGGTAAACCAAGGAAGGTAGTCTTTCCATTCCCAAGAAGTCACAGACTTTGCCACAATATTCCTCTTCACCAGGATAAACTAAAATAGAAGGGAACCTGCTAAACAGTCAACCGCCCCGTCTAGTCACTCGAAGAGTTCTCCCTGTAGGGGGCTAGCTTTGAGAATTCTGACAGAAGTAGACGAGGCTTCCTCTCACCACTAGCCTACCTACCTTGATATACCCAGCTAAAGCTTCATATATCAATGGCTTAAACTACGAAAAGACCTATCGAAGGGATTCGGAAATATCAGATAATTTTAAAAACGTAGTAATTCAATTGTGCATTAGAAAATGGTAAGAAAACACATAATTAGCTTTTCAAAGCCAGAAGTTTTTTGCAAATGCCGTCAACGACCCGCAAAAGATTAATACCCCGGCTCCAAAACCCCATCGACGACGTAAATGGCAATCGAAAGCTGTGGTCGAAACCAACTGGTCTTCGATAGGTATAGGTACGGCTCTCTGCAAAATACAAACAAACATCTCCCTTAAGCCTCTGGCTCGGCGGAAGCAGCAGCAGCACCATTGGCAGCTTCCAACTGTGCACTTTGCTCTCGGTGCATTCTGGCTTCAATCTCCTTGAGCTGACTCTCGCGAGCCAACAACTCTTGTCGCTTCTCATTGATCTCCCTCTGAACCTTGACCTCAATTTCGCGGAGCTTCTCCTCCTCGCGACGAAGCTGCTCCTCCTTTAGACGGACAGATTGGGATGCCAGGTCCTCGGGGTTCATCGAAGAGTCACTTTCCGATCATGTTAGCTGGTTCGGTGCAAATTAAACAGAGTTCACTTACGCTCCAGCACCACCCTCAACGCTCTTGCTAAGCTTCTCGGTACGGTAGTTTTCGTACAGGAAGTCATGTGTGATCTCCTTCAAATCAGCCAGATGGCTGTGAAGGAGTGCGCTTCGAATAGCAAGGAAGTCGGAGTGTCTTGGGTTGTCCACTTCCACAACACCCCATGGGTATTGTCGGGCTCTAACTTTGCGACCTCCAATCTCAACAACCTCTTCTGAGCCGACAATTGCGAACGGCATCAGGCCACGCAGCTCGGCATTCTCTTCAACTGTGTCCTCATCATCCTCCTCGATGTCATATGGGAAGTTGTAAACCGGGATGCGGTAGTGCTCGATATCCTCCATGACAAGCTTCTTAGATTCAGCCAATTCAGCGGGCGTAAGGGAGTCGGCTTTGCCAATAACGGGAATGACGTTGACACGCGGTGACAGTCGCTTCATGAGTTCGATATCCAGTTCGCGGAGCCTGCAGAGATGTCAGTTTCTGAATGGAACGATGAGAGTGGGAGCTCTTACCCGTGGCCGGTAGGAGTGATAAAGTAAAGGAGAGCGTGGACACGATTATCGCGGAAACGGGGGTTACGCTTGATACGCGACTCCTCTGCAAGAATATCATCGTATTGTCGCTCGAGATATCCAACAATTTCACCGAAGCTTTTGAGCTTGTCAGTAAATGTCCAGCGGTGTACTTCAATGGAGCTTGTCATACCTTGCTTCGTTGTCAATCTGGTCTCCGAAGCCGGGGGTATCAACGATCGTGAGAGAGATACGGGTTCCTTCCTCGTCCAATTCTAATTCTAGAGTGTATTAGCAACCAAATTCTCCGTAGCAGTGGTGGAGCTCGAATTGCGCACCAACGGTGATGGGCTTAATTCTCACGCCTTCCTCGAGGTGAGCATTCGTCGCATCATCGGCATCTTTTGCTGTGAGGACCTTTTTTCCGCACAGTGTGTTCACGAAGGTAGTCCGTCCTGGTTGCAGCGGTCAATGTTTGGGTCCATCTGCTGATTGTTGTGAATGAGCTCCGACGTACCTGTACCCGAGGCACCGCAGACCATCAGACAGAACTGGATACCCTTCTTGACATTCTTCTTCCGGCGGATCTTGATCTGCGAAGGAACTAGAGTCAGTAGTGATACTTTACATTTCCGGGGTGTAGAGATCAAACCCCAGCATGGTACTGGCAGGTGGCACTTCAATCAGAAAATCCTAAAGGGGGTGAGGAGAAGGAGTGCTTGGGAAAACATACTGCGCTCAATGGAGAAGACATAATGGCGATAGAGTCAGACGGTCAATGCTATCGTCAAGGTCAACTGGACGTGTGGAGTGGTGTTTAGTGTTTGCGAGGTGGAAACAAGCTGTGTCGCGTTGCTTGGGAGGGAACGTTGAAGTTGCGGTCGGTCGTCGCTTCAGGGGCAGAATATCAAAAATTAGTCGAAATTCGTGGTTGGAAGGAGAGCCGGGGTTTAGCGCTTTGCCTATTTGGGTGGTAGCGGCAAGGCAAAGACAAGGCTGAAGAGATGCATTTACCAATGAAATGTCATATGAGGAACTTATATAGCAGATATTCTATTTAAATTTCCTATACACCGAAGAAGCGAATTGCTCTAGTTCTCACTAGGGATATCTAAAGTACTATCGCTTCCAAACCGAGTAATCTACTCTACCTCACTCACTTCTATGCAAATGCGGAGAAGGGGGTTTTTAGCGGGAGAGCTCAGGCCAGGGGCACATGGACGCGATGCTGACGCTCCCTCACTGATTAGCTGCCGTCCCTGGCTTCTGTTCCATTCACCACCTCATTTCACTACCTCTTTTGTCAGGTAGGATGACCAAGTCACGGTACAACAATAACATCAACATTATGTCCATATTACTCTAGCATCTCCCGACCATTTCCATCATTTAGCTTTCGACGTTAACTCGCATATTTCAGTGCTATCCTGCGGCCATGAATACTCGCCCCGCTATCGAGAGCTCAAACAACCCGGTAGCCTTGTCAGCCTCTTTGAACCAAGACGCCAGCTGCTTCGTCGTTGGTCTCGATACTGGCTTTTGCAGTAAATCTCTCGCCTCCTTGCATCCAGAAGTACGTGCAAAAAGCTGATATTATTTCTTAGTCTTTAATTCAGAGCTATGTAATCTCGTCCACTCTCGAGGTAGGGTTCCTATTCCTCTCCCCATCTGAGGCACCTGTTGAAGTACCATAGATTTCAATGGCGGAATCGGTGCAGCTGCGATGCTTAGGAAGACGAATTTTATTGCACTCATAGGAGGCGGGAAACAACCCAAATTTCCTCCAAACAAGGTTAGTGATTAAGTAGAAGCCTTGAAAGACCCGCGCTGATCGTAGAAAGGTTATCGTATGGGATAATGCTAAGGAGAAGGTCGCAATACAATTACCGTTCCTTGGAACCGTTCGAGGCGTCAAACTTTCAGAAACTCATATCGTTGTTGCCCTTCAGAACAGCATCCACGTCTACAGGTTCCAATACTCGCCTAAACTCTGGGCTGTCTTCGAAACGGCAGACAACCCTCTGGGTCTATGTTGTTTGACTCCAAAGATCTTGATATTCCCAGGTCGAACTCCCGGACAAGTGCAGTTGGTTGAGTTGTCAACTGGGAATGTCAGCATTATACCCGCTCATGGGTCTTCTTTGAGAGCAATAGACATCAGTCGTGACGGTGAGGTTTTGGCCACAGCGAGCGAAACGGTAAGATATATATTGACATAGCTTTTTAATTTGCTGAAGAGTCTCTAGGGTACGTTAGTTCGCGTGTTTGCGACGAGTAATTGTGCCCGGATTGCTGAACTTCGGCGTGGGGTTGATCATGCTACTGTATATTCTCTGTCTATCGCTCCCTTGGGGCAACTACTTGCAGTCACATCAGACAAATCCACTCTCCATATATTCGATATTCCACATCCATCCAAACCACCGAGAGCGGATGCCACCAATGCCACTCGACGATTGACGTCCCAGGGTGGGGGAAGCGCCGCTCTCAGTGATGCAGAAACGAGTCAGAAATGGGGAATCCTAGGTCGTATCCCGTTGCTACCCAGAGTATTTTCAGATGTTTACTCCTTTGCTTCTGCTCATTTCGAGATTGGCGACGAACCAGATTTCGGAGGCTCCACGCCACTCAACTCACCAGCTGATTCAGGCTTCAGACCGCCCAAAGGTGTCATAGGATGGACTAGTGATCACAGCCTCATTGTTCTGGGGGCCGGGCGAGATGGCAGGTGGGAAAAGTTCATCATTGCTGAGGGTGAGGATGGAAAAAGATATTGTGTACGGGATGGTTGGAAGAGATATCTCGGCATTAGTTAAGTCTTCTGGGTCTTTGAATGGTATTTAGCGTGGCGTACGGGGATCATCACGGTGTAATGGATAGAAACGTTTAGTGCATTTCCTGGAAGCTTAGAGCTTTTCTACTAAAGAATGCGATGATACGAGGCTAAAGGGTTGTCGATATCACAGCTCTTCTGGGTCAGGTTTGCTGCTTTCACTAACAACGTTTTGGGCATGACAGTTTGGTATAACAGAATCAATTTCTCAATCCCTGGAATGCGATCTCCTGCTTCTATGGCCATCTTTCCGGTGACGTGAACGTCGACTATCACGATCCCTTTCTCCCTCATCCTTTGGTCGTGACTTGTGGTGGTGACGATGATGTCTGTGTTTGCTCTCCGTCCGTTTCCCGTCTTTCAGCTTCGCCAATGCCATGCTCACCTCTTCCTTTTTCTCCTGTACAAGGAATGCCTTCATGGGATCGTCTTCATCATGCTCCTGCATGAGCTTGGCTAATTCGCGTTCTTCCTTAATCATAGGTCTCTCCTCTTCGCTCTCACTCTCGCTGGTTCGCCGTCGCTTCCGTCTACCCTCGCCTTCATCCTCCTCAATCTGCCTCGATTGTTCTTCGAGATCGATACCCTCATCCGGTTCGTCGTCCTTCTTCTTGTACCGCGTATGATCCACCTTGAGTGTCCTTCCCATAATGACTGCACCGCCCAAATTATCGACTGCAAGATCTGTACTCCTTTGATCTTCGTATTTTAAGAATGCGAACCCTTTAGACTTGCCGGTCTCTTTATCCCGCACGAGGTTGATATATGTAGGTTCCCCGTATTGGGAAAATATGGCAATCACATCCCCTTCGGAGAGTTCGAAGGGCAGTCCTCCTATGTAGATGTAGGCAGTGTCGCGATAATCGGTATGCCAGGATGCTTCTGGGGAGCTAAAACCGTCAGAATATGATATTGCAGGAGGAGAATAACTCACACTCCACTTTCAAGCTCGCGCTTGTTCAACTCTTGTATCTGCCGTATGCTGTTCATTTTCGCAATGTGTGGTTGATGTTGTAAGACGTTGAGGTTCACAAGGCTGAAGACTCATCCCAAAAAAAGTTCCCGCCTCGCGCGCGAACTCACCGGCTCGTTCCAAACGGAACCTCCATACAAGTCACTACAAAGTAAACAGGCCCAACACCACTTTTTGAAAGATTAGCTTTACAAGAATCGAAGATCTATGGAGGCCAATAACCCAGAACGCTAGGGTCAGAACTCCGCCGTATTCTACGAGCTGTGGGAGCCTTCAGCTCGCGCCCCTGAGACGCGAACCATGGCCTCCTCAAACAACAGAACCTCTACATACACGCAAGTCTCCACGTCGAGCGATCATGACAGACCAAAGAGTGCGGATGCGAAGAAGGACATATGGTCGTCGATGCTTGATAGTGTAGCCAGTGGCAAGCGATTACCAGAGAAGAATCTACTGGTCTTGGGCAAGTTAACCACAACTCCTCAAGCTACATCCGCTGACTTATGGCAGGAGGTTCTACGGATTCCCAGCGGGAGTTTCTCGAAACGCTTTCGGCCGACGATACAAGAAAGGCCTCAGATCGGCAGGGCAGCAAGCAGCCTACCATTGCAAACAACTTTGCTTTGGGCTACACATACCATGATGTTCTAGATGCAGACCACGAGGGTATGATCTCCTGTGAAGCTCTCTATTTGAAGCTACAAACTAAACCCGGATAGACATTCTGGCCCGACTCTCGCTCTATCTTCTCGCCGACCCTTCGCCCTCTTTCGCGCCGCTCCTGCAACCCCTCCTTACCCCTGAGACTATTCCGAATACCCTCGTTGTGATATTACTTGATTGGTCCCAGCCATGGTTCTGGCTAAGACAACTGCGGGACTGGGTACAACTATTACGGACGCTGCTCGTTTCTCTAGACAATACCTGCAAAGATAAGATGGAGGAAGTTATGCTGAGTTGGCGAGACAGAGGTCGTGGGGGGAATAGCCTTGATGGTGTAGGAGCAAGCAGTACCTCCGAGGGCGATGTAAGCTTGCCTCTAGGACCTGGAGAATGGCAGGAACCATTGGGTCTACCTGTATGCGTTGTCTGTCAAAATGTAAGATGCTTTATACATGGATACATGCTGTTGCTGCTAACATTTATTGTAGTCTGATCGTATCGAGAATTTAGAGAAAGAACGATCCTGGAGAGAAGAGGAGTTTGACTTTATTTTACAATTTCTGCGAACGATCTTGCTGAAGCGTAAGTTTCAGAGTTTAGAGGTGGACTGCGTAGCTGACAAGTACACTAGACGGGGCATCCCTCATCTACACAATTCCCTCAGTCACCAGTCCATTACAAAGTCTCATACACTCATCTCTCGGAATACACTCACTATTGAAACGGCAGCCTCTGAAACACAATGTCATTGACCGTGACAAGGTGGTGGTACCTCCAAATTGGGATTCCTGGGGTAAAATCAGAGTGCTTCGAGACGGTTTCGACGTGGAAGCAATAAGTAACGGATGGTCCGTTGATATCGAAGAATCATTTGAACTTATACCCAACGTACCCAACGGCAATAGTAATGGGGAAGCTATAAAGATTGAAACTTCCAGACGATCAGGAGGCGCAGTCGAAGCCTATGAAGAGACGATCCGGGACCCTCGACTAGATGCTCTTCAAGCAACATCTAAAGAGAACGAAGGTCTCATACCTGAGATCACAAGCTCGGATACTCAAACTTTCCTTGCGACCCAACTGGCGGTGCTCGATAAGATTAGGCAGGGCACTGATTCTTCCGGCATGGATAGTAGCCGCTTAATAGCGGGAAGAAATGCAACAGGTTCCGGTTACGAGACTGGCGAAGAGGGCCATGCTGATGAAGGTCGTGTCAATGAGCATATTGGTCCCGTCCAGTTCAATATGGGTGGGATTCAGGTTGATGCCGATGACATGTTGCAAAGACTCAAGGTATGTTTACCCTGCATCATATGAAGGAATCTCTAATTTGAATACAGGACCGCCAATTATACCAAACCCCCGAGCCAACATCCCCAGGTAGCATTGTACCCGGCGACGCAAAGACACAGAACGAAGCACTGCAATCCTTTTTCGCGGGGCTTATGAAAAGGGGAGGTGGCAGCGCATCGAGCAGTCCTAAACCATAAGCATCGTAATCATATCAACCAACTTCCATTTATTTGGATTGTACCAGTGTCCACTTTTTAACTCGGAGTTCGGGGCAGAATCAGACTACTAAAGTAGAGAGCCCTTTGTATGATACCCGTTAGTGTATTATCTGAAATAGCTTGAAAATGAGATCTGAATGAATAATTGCATTTCCGCCTTTTTCGTGCCAATTTGTCTTTAACGAACAAGACATTCGTCGCGTGAGTACCGAGTGTGCGGGTGCTCCATTAGAAACAGCAAAGAGAGACTAGCATAGTAATGGCATATATCAAACAATCCAGGACCGTTTGATAAAGTATTCTTGATTATGATCAAATGATCAGCTGATCTTATGCGGCTGACGACTTTAACGGAGGTTTACCGTAGCATTGTCTATCGTGGAAAGTTACCTGAAGAGGACTTGTATGAGAAGGAGCAGCGCTTGAATTCTAAAGATAGAGAAACAGCTACTTTGGTATTTGTCAGGTTCTATTGTAGAGACCTAGTCCATGTTAGACATTCGCCATCTGATCATTGTAAATCCCATTCCAATTTTATTCATCACTGAGGGACTGAAGATACATATGTTCAAACCATCAAATTGATTGCTGCCTATTGCTTAACTACATACCTAAAGAAAACAATTTGTCCGTGCCTTGTCCAGATGACCCATCCCATCCCATCCCAACGTAAATACTCCATGACCGTCCCAGCAAGGGTGCCCCGTGATTGTTCCATCCCATTTTAACACCTAAATACAGTTCTATCAGTTATTCGACCGTCTTCTCTTCTGTCGCGGTGTAAGTTGGTGGTGGGCCCTGAGACTCCAAGATAGCCTTGTTCTCATCGTCACTCTCTTCAACAATCTCCATCTGCTCCACTCTCACATATCGTGCTTGGTTGCGGCGAAATAGAAGCCTCCACACAAATATCACAATGTTTCCAACGATCATTCCAACCATGCTTGCAGTGATACCGACAACGATACCAATGAGCACGGGAATCATAACGTGGACAGCCACAGTCTCAAGGAAGCGGCTAAGAGAGTGTCTGTGACGGTGGTGGCGGAATGGTCGGTGTATTCCATGAGGACGACCATGAGGACGTGCGTGATGGCCATGGTGCTTCGCAGGTGTTGTAACTTCGGCAGGGCGGTTTTTGTTCTTGCCGCCACAGCCCTTCAACTTGGAAAGCTTCGCAGCGATGATTGCTCTCCATTTACACACAAGAGTTGCGCATTCCTTGTTATCATCGGTAGGCTCGGGTGACACACTCTTTGGGGTTGTGATTTCTGCATCTCCGAGCATGAGCTTTCCACTCGGGGTCTCGAGCAACTTGAGGTCAACGCTTGGGATTCCCTGGATAAATTTATTGGCAACTTCTACAATCTCGATATGAATGGCAACCAAGTCAAGTTGATCCTCTGATTGCACTGGATGCTTAACGCTGAGTTGGTAACCTAGTGCAGGAGTAGCGACATAAGACCAAGTATTATCGGCATTCTTGGCCAGCTGGTCTGCTGTCAGGTGTGTGATGAATGCCTGGGAGTGGACATCGATGGGGTATATTGGGAGGCCGTTCAGAAGGAGTTGGTCGGCGCCATTGTTAGCCTCGTGGGCTACGGAGAGGTTGAACTTCAATACGCTCTCGGCATCGGTGGAATGGACTCTGTTCTCAACATCGGTAACGACGACGGGGCAGCCGGGGCAGTTGAGTTCCATTACCCTGCCGTCAGTTGCGATATTATCTTCGAAAGGGAGGGTATTGACGCTATCGGATGAGGAAGAGGTTGGTGGGGGGAGTAGGAAGGCCTGGGAACTTCCTGCAAAAGCCAGGAGGCCTCCTAACTGAGTGAAACGCATTTCGGTATATTGATGGGCCAAATACCCAGTGAAGTAATGGTGTTGTGTTTGATAGGGATGTGTTCTTTGATGAAGATGTGATGGAATTTGTTGGAGGTGAGGTTACTTAGGTTAGATGTCTTGTCGTTCGAGGGGGCGAAGTCGAAGTACCTGCTGTACCGTAGGTCTGAAACAAAGGTTACTATTTACGTATTTAGGCCTAATCAAGCTAATCAATAATGCCAAGAGAGATCCCGTTGGGGCGACCGTACAAAGACTAGACTATTATTTATCAGAGCTGCACCGGGTAGCCGTCTAGTCCACCGTATTATTGCTCGTGTCAGTATTTATGCATCCCCTGGAATAACTGGATGAGCCTGAGCTCGCTGAGGAAGGGGCAAGAAAAAAAGTAAGAAAAAAAAACCTTCGAGTTGGCGTCTGACTATTGGTAGTTGATTTTATATATCTACCTAGGTACTCTCGGGGTACTCTACTGCACTCAAAAGTTCAGGTTTACTTGGGTGTGGTAGATAAGAATTATAATAAATCTCCATTTTATAGGACTTTGTCGCAGTATTACCGGTGTAAAATATGCAGATCTGCCCTTGCCCTTCCTAAGGTAATCTCACGATGTTCTTGTGCTAGAGTACTATGACGTTAGTAGCAGCTCTGCGGTGTAGGAGAGCAGGACCACCAAAACAGCAAATTGCTTGTCTTGACAATTTCTTCACACCTCCTTTTCACATCCATTCAATTCACTTTACCTTACCTTGAAAACTCTTCCTCCCTGCTTGCCTCCCAGTCTGTCTCTACCTGTCTTTGTAAAAAAAAGACACGACACATAGACTGTACAACAAAACCAAAACAGAACCTGCAGATCTTTCTTTGCACACTTTGGTCGACCTGATCTGTCCTGTACCTTACCTTTGCTTTGCCTCTTCACACACCCGCCCAACATGTTTCGATCTCAATTGATCCGACAAGCAGCTCGCGCTGTCAGAGCCTCCCAATCCACAGTTGCAACACGCACATCCCCTTCCGTCCCTTTGTCATTACACCGATCTATTCACGCTACCTCTTCCCTCCGCCGCGACGAGAAGAAAGGGGAAGAATTTGAGGGTTCCTTCGCCCGTACCGATTCGTCCGTCCAGGTCGAGTATCCAGAGGAGCATGATCTGCCATCGAGTACCCCCGTACAAGGACGAGGCGGTCTTCATTTCAAGCGTACTCTGGCCTCCTTCTCCCTAGAAGGCAGAGTCGGCGTTGTCACTGGTGGTGCAAGAGGTCTGGGTCTTGTCATGAGCCAAGCAATGGTCATCAGCGGAGCAGACGTTGCCATTGTCGATCTCAACAGTACGTTGCAGTTCCAGCTTACAACAAGGGATGCTAATTGCTTTTTGCAGAGGAGGAGGCGCAGAAGCAGGCTATTGAGCTTATGGAGTCTTTCAAGAGAGAGAACCCAGGAGCAGACAAGTATGAAACAGCATTGTATCTTCAAAGCATTCGCTAATTAATTTCCAGGATCCCCAAGGTCACCGCACACTATGCCGACGTTTCCTCCCAAGAGTCCGTCGAGGCCTCCATCGCCGAGATCATCAAGGACCACGGCAAGATCGACAACTTGGTCACTTCCGCCGGATTCACTGAGAACTTCGAAGCTATCAACTACCCTATCGAGCGAGTCCGCAAGCTTTGGGGCGTGAACGTGGATGGTACATACCTGTTTGCAATTGCAGTTGCTAAGCACTTGATGGAGCGAAAGGCACCGGGAGCCATGGTCTTTATTGGCAGCATGTCTGGCGCTGTTGTCAACGTCCCCCAGCCGCAAGCACCGTACAATGCAGCAAAGGCAGCTATCAGACATCTGGCCTCCAGTTTGGCTGTTGAGTGGGCTCATGCTGGTATTCGTGTCAATGTTATCTCTCCAGGATACATGCTTACGGCATTGTAAGTGCCAGTCACCATAAAAACAATAAGCTCTGCTAATAACACATGATTCAGGACCAAGAAGATCCTCGATGATAACCCAGATCTCAAGAGGCAATGGACCTCCCTTATTCCCCAGGGTAAGATGGGTCAGCCCGAGGATTTGATGGGTGCGGTCACCTATCTGTCGTCTGATGCTGCGTCGTATGTCACAGGAGCAGGTTAGTAGATATACTTTCATAATCCCTTTTATGATCTCCGCTAATCATGGTGCGGCAGACCTGAGAGTTGATGGTGGTTACACCCTCACTTAGATGCACGTTATTGTATACGTGCTTTGTGACTTTTGAGTTTACGGGTGTTTTTAGAAAGGTTTTCAAATTTGTTTACCAGGTTAGCGGCATGCGTTTATAGATAGCAAGTCGATTCTCATCTCGAGAGCAGTGTAATGGATTTACAGTTTCCTACACCTAAAGTTCTCTGTTCAACTATGATTGTTATGGCGCCGGTATGCTTGAGCTTTGAAAATGGCAATCATCTTAATCAAACAGCCTCCAGGCTCCGTAAAGTGTACGGGAGGGCGTAGAAATACGTACTCTCATTAGAATTCGCTCAATTGCGGGGAAGTTCCATTCAACTTTCGAGTAGTACGCAAGGCAAGGTCATACGCCATAGCAAAACTTTCCTCTGCAAAGGCACGCGAAGCACTTTCTAGAGACCGCCTAGTTTCGTCCAAAGTGGTGGGGGCGTATCTAAGACATGCATATGCTCCCGCAGACATCCAACTCAAGTGTAGAAAAGAGGAAATTGTGTGGCTATAGCTTCAAATCGAGTAGGTCGAAAGCGTGTCCCCCCTCGCATGGATACTGCCGGTGCAGGGATCGGGCAGGGAGAAACGTGGGGTTGGTTTAGGCGTGGGGGGCAAGCCGGGGGGCAAGCCAAGGCTTTAGAAGCAACGTTCTAGAAGCATTTGAGGCTATTGGTAGAGTTTACGATTCGACGGTCAGATGATGGTGAAGCAGCATGCGGTGTGGTGACGGGGAGGGGAGGGGAGGGAGATAGGAGATAGATACCTAGATAACCCACGAAGGATTCTTGTGTGTAATTGATTCCAAAATTGCACAATAGCGACCTGTCTCCTCTCTCTGATAGATCTCTGGAGTGCGCCGTCGTTCACCAACAGGAAGCTGTGCTACGAGGCAGGCAACATTTGATGTGGATGAGTGGTCTTGAGGCGCCCGGCTATGTCACTACTACAACCCCGAGTGTCACACGACGTGATGCGCTACAACCAAAGTCACCCAGGGGAATACAGGCACACAAGGTCAGCAGCTCAGAAGTTTACCGGACCTGAGGTTGCTACGAAGCTGCTGCCGCCTCTGGTGGAAGTTGAACCGCCCAAGTGGGAAAGAGTGTGCCGTTAGCTGGCACAGATGTCACCCAGTGTACAGAAATCTCGACAGGCAGGACGAGTAGGATACTGGAGTATCATGCTATGGCATGGCGTAGGTACCGTAGCTGAGGTAGCGGTGAGAAGAGAAGGTCGGTGTTGGTATTGGTGTTGGTATGGGGGAATAGCTCGAGTGCCTTCGTATGAGATGGGATGAGATGAGATGAGACGGACAGTGCGGAAGCCATCGTCCACGTTAGCACCGGAAAGAGGCGGCATGCAAGCCACTTCTATCCTGATCTGACCTTAATCCTGAGGATAGGTACGGAGTATGGAGCACGTAGTCGAATAAGAAATATTATCTTGTGGGTGCGGATCAGATTGGGCCTTATAAAAATAGCTAAACAGGGGGGTTGTTGATGCTCTGCTCTGCCAACTCACCATGCCTAATTCGATGAGGTAGTGTAGTTTGTATCTGTATATTAGTATGAATCTTGTTTTGAAGTACTCCAAAGTACCTTTTGTTCTCGTCTAGTTCTACCAGCAATCCCAGTAATTGGGTTGGTGGAAACGCCGCGAAACAGGTATAGCACGTATATAAATCAAGGTTGCTCTGCTCCGTAAATAAGCAACCCACTCACTGTTCCGGATCTCAAGGAAAAGGTAGTCAGTAGTACTAAGGAACTTATAGATATAAGTAAAACGAGGTTAATTCTGCAGTAAGGTGAGAACCCTGAGATGCAGGTTGCAGTTGCGTTAGATCATTCTGGCAGTTCCGAGGGCCATGTACCTTGTACCTTGTACCTTGCACCTTATAACAAACCCCTCCACCACCCTGCAAATCTACCAAGCCAACCTACAAGGCAAGGCAAGGCAAGGAAGGCAAGGTTCTACTGGCGCGTAGCTCTAGCTCTCTCCGAACCTCCAGGAATGATTCAGGTACTTTATTATTCCTCTCTCTCAAAATCTACTTATGGGCCCAATAAGCTGCCTATCTCTTCAAGCACTCAACTCCAGCCCCAACTCCAGCTCCAGAAAGTCAACTTACTTATACCCACGATAGCCCCCTTAGGCTTCTGCTACGGTCGATTTCAAACCCAGATACACCGCTAATTGAGGTATTCCCTAGGGCGAGGGTGAGCTCTCCGCATCTAATCCGGACCGGAGTAGCTAAGTTTGAGCCGAGCGAGCATCCACTTGTTTTACCTCGTCACCTCATTTTTTCTAGAACATTATATTATACTATACCGTACTATACTGTACACTTGAAAGACAACAGCCCAATACCCGCCACCCGCCAGATCCTATAACTGCTGCTAGCTTTACTTATTTCTCGATGCCACCATAAAGTACAAGTAGGACAAGTGACGGACGGATTCTGCAGTGCTTTTATCTCAATCGGACTCTGGCAACGCCGGAAACGACAGCGTTATCTCTTCGTGGTACTGGTACTGGTACAGGCGGTATACTGACAGTGTTGCGTGTCCCTGGATCCTCGTCCCGTGCCGGCACTTACACAGCTGTTTCGTCATTATTTCCTCGTTGGTCTGAAGAAGCGGTTCCCTGGATGAGGGTCCCCTGGTGATAGAAACGCAGCACACCTTCGGGGGTAGCTCGCGTGGGAGTTGCCACGATAATGTCGTTCGTAAGAAATGCGCCAGGCATTGAGGGCAGTATAGAATCGATGGATATCGATCCCTTGGATCCCGCGGATATTGCAAGGCTTTGGAAAGGTAGGTGGCTTAGGGAAATCCCTGGTAGTTATTTGAGTAGTCCGATCTGATCTCTGCCAGTATACACAACCACGAAGCGAAGACTCCTTGATCCTACGGCCGAGCGTTTGGAGAACTACTGGTGGCGCATATGGGGCAGCAGGAAGCGAGAGTTGAAAGGTGCAATGGTTGCACGCCTCTTTGCCCAGATATCGGACGGCCACACCTTCGTACCACTGAGAGGACCGCCAAATCTTGATGCGGCCCCGCCATTGGTATGAACTATCTACTCGCCCAACATGCCGTACCCTACTGAATTTGGAACTTAGGAGAGAAACAATCGATTTCGATCCGGAGCTTCAAGCGCTACAACTCTCCACCAACCCGCCCAGAGCAGACCGAGTACCACATCCGCGACAATACCTAGAGCTCCAAGGGCAGTGCCACATCCCATTCTCAAAAAAACAGGAGGCCCTTCTACATCCGGGCCACGTCCAACTGCCCGTTTCGTTTCACCACATGAATCCGAGAGAGAGACAGAGCCGGATTCCCCCGTCAGTACCAATTCACATGTGGTCGTACAGCCTCCCTCGCCCGATATAGAGAGCATCAAGAATGATCAGAAGGCATCTGTACTTCCAGGATTGAAGAAGGCAACGAGTTTTGTAGCATCCAGTGCCGCAAAGAAAAAGCGGCCCGTGGTAGTTCGTCGACAGAGCTCACAGAACTCGCAATCATCAACAGACGCGCCTCAACTTTCAGGATCGACGCAACCACCATCCCAAAGGACCGCCCCCACAACTTCGGAACAGGCCCAAGCGCGAAGTAAACATTCTGTACCATCAAAGTTTCAAGAAAACTTCTCGCCCTCGAATCGTTCTTCGGCCAGTTCTAGTACTCAAAAACATCGAGTAGCATCAAAAACGTCTGACTCGAAACGCAACTTGTCACATAAAACTTCCGCTGAAAAATGCCTAAAGCTAAAGAAGCAGGAAGCCGAGGCAGGCCCTTCTAATCGTCTTCGTCCGGTTGAGCATAAGCAGGATGAAGTCGAAGAACTTACGTCTAGTGAGCTTGAGCAACTCGAAATACAGAGGACACTGCTTGAGCAGGCAAATTCTTCCACCGAAAAGCCCCCACGATCCCCTTCCACCGACCAAGCCCTGCTTCAGCAAAAATCGACAAAATCAAGATCTGATGATGATCGTAGTGGAGATACAGGCGGCCTACGCATGCTTTCACATAACTCAAAAACCACTACAAGTGCGGCACCAACGCTTACGACAGCGAATGGGCAACTCGATCTCAAGGACCCTACTATGGATAAGTCAGGACCAAATTCCGTTTCGACCTCATCTCCATCTATAGATAAGGGCAAAGGTAGAGATCCCGATGATACAAGGCGATCGTTCACAAAACGGCTAGTGCAACCTGCCACGCAGCCGAAATCCGAGCCCATGGGACCATTAAGTCGAAGCAAAAGCCAGCTTACCCTACTACTTGAAAAAGATCGGTCAAGGGGGTCGGGTGATCAAACATCGAATGACAAGAAAGAATAGAAGGCGGATTCTTCTGAGATATATAGAAGTCATTGTCCGTTCTTGTGCATAACCTTTACGAATAAATGGATTGGGAAGGTTTACCGCGTGGGAAAAGTCTTGTGGTGGCTTTGGAACCAATAGCGTCATTTTTGCATCGTTTTTGCATCGTTTGGCGCTGTGGCCCAGTTCATATGGTGTTGCTACAGGTATACTTATATTGCATTTTCACCGGCGTTCTCTGTGGTACAAGCTCGTCTTCAATAGACTTAAATGCATAGCTTGGGGATATACAAAAGTACAGATGGATGTACATGTGCTACGCGGATTTCGAGCAAGTGGCAAATTAGGGTCTGGTGAGGTTCTCGATACCCTCTAGGTTCAAGTATTGCTGTGTTTTACGAGAGTATATGAATGTGTGGTGCTGGTAACGAAGCACTTTACTATATATAAAACTGCACATATTCGCCCGCCAAGTTGGCGGGAGCCTCATTTACACTCCCCGTGCTTTTTATCAGTGTATAAAGTGCTGTTGGGTATAGTTATGGAGAACGATAGAAGGATCTGTTCTGTCCAATCACCCTTGTTGCGGATTGAATGGTTTTAGTATACCCTACAGAGTTGTTAAAGCGAATTAGTAAACATAATCTTTGATATGAGAGTTTAGAAAGAGCCAAGAATCACCACGTTTCAGAATCATTTGAATATGCATACCGTAACTTCTCGCATCCCACTCACTTCACCAATAAGTTGGGGCTGCAAGGCACATCACAGCCAGAACAGCCTACAAGGTAGACATGCAGCGCCTCATAATTTAGATCCTTCAAAACCATCCCAATGCCTCTATCTTCCATCCTGTCTTATTTCAATGCTATTTATTTATCTGTCTGAATACCAAAATCTATTCCGGCTCTCCTCAATTTACGGATTCTCATTCTTCGTATTCCTGTTTGTGAAGTTTGACCACCATTGCAGTACGTCGTGAATAAATAGTGCGGCTTGCTTTTGGAGCCGTGGCAGGAAGATTATTTTCTTATGTCTTGTCTTCGGGGCTTGGTATTCTTTTGGGTGTAATTGTGTTGGTTGATACTGACACATCATTTGGCAGAGATTACTTGCCTCAGTATTATTTGGCCCTGCTTGATCTTGACGGACATTACATGCTTTGTTGCGGGATGGGTTGCAAGTTGGAGAGATGCAGGTGATGCACCTTTGGGTTGACGCTGAGAAATTGTTGGGCCTGTGTGTTTTGAGATCAAAGCTCTAGACACAATGTTTGTGTTAAGATAGGTGCGATTCTTGGGATTTTCAGATAGAGGTTTAATTTTGGTCTCGGTCAGTTTCCGTAGTATGTAAGAGTGGACTACTTATTCTTACATCTGATCGCGCGATTTTGATATAAAAATGAATGGTTTTTATGAATTCTGTCTTTGCCGGCATCGCAGGCTTCAGTTCTTTGGAATGTTCGCTACGCCATCATGTTGTCATAGCTCTCGGGTGTATAGCCAATTTTCAATCGATGGCCAAATACAAATGATCGGTCCAAAAGTATAAGTTTTGTCTTACCAGTAGATCGTTAATCTTGATTCTCGGGAGCAAGAGAATTCCACAACCAATCTTCAGTGTCCTCAATATCCATATCATTGTAAAAAACCCCTGACTCAAGTCCGGCTGCATCTGATACAAGCCATCAGAGAAGACCGCATTTGAGCTCTGCGCTATGAATTGATTATACCAGTCGACCTGTAGTGAGATATGAGACGCAGCCTCTTCTACCTCGCCGTGCCCATGTGCACTGTCATCATGCCGAGCTTCTCTCTGTTCAGTCACGCTTTGATTCTGAATTGGCTCAAAGTCAAAGTCGGAAATGAGTCCCCGGCCGATCAGTCTCAAAGAGTGTGGCTAGCATTTGCTGTAACTGCTGCAGCTCAAACTTGCGATGTTGTGCTGGAACACTGCCGTGAGATACCATCTCGTCAAGGATATTGTGGATTGCTTCGCCTATGCTATGCTCCCTAATCCCTAGGTGTGCGCATTTGAGGGTTGGAATGACAGCTGTAGCGACAATGAGCACGAAGCCAGAAGAGAATGCGCTCTCGAGGTCAAAAGGGAGGAAGTATTCTACAAATAGCATTAGTGGGGTGTTTAGAGGGCCAGTAAGACCATTTATACCAAGTAAGTCATTGGTTCGTAAATCTGTTAGAATCTCTGGACATTTGGTTGCTGATTCGGTGCAAGTCTGAAGCAAAATCTGGATCGGATCCGCGAGCTTTCGTGGTTGCCTAGAGTTATTGCTGGCCGATGATTCAAGTTCTTTGCGAAGAAGGCAGAGAATCAAAGGCCTGATTGCTAAGACTATGCACTGCGATAAATGTGTCAGTTGTGATCCTTGGGCTCTTTCACGAACATACCTGGTGGTACGAGAGGTGTAAACCGGCTTCCACACGCGATATACTACCAAGCGGTCCTTTGATACTCGAGTGCGGTATCTCCTCAATCTTGATAGCCAGTTGCTGGATGCTCTTGAGTACTGACTGGGTACGTTTCAAGAAAGTGGAGTCTAATCTGCCTCCAATGCTATAGACAGCTGCCAGCATCTGTCAGTATATTTCTGTGGATGATATATTAAGCTTACTATTCAACACGCGTGCAATGACGCGCGAGAGCTGCACATTCATGCTCAGAACTGCTGCTCTGTAAACATGTGTTCTTTCTGGTGGCAAAAGGGCAGTAATATCGTCGTCTTGAATCGATGGTGGGCTGCCCATCGTTGCAGAGAAGCGCCTGTCGAGTATATATACAGCCCACCAAATGTTGCGCCACCGTTGGGAGAGCTCGAGTCCAAGATATTCTATCGGCATCTCTCGGTGCATACCTTGTACTATAGCGATGCGCAGCGCTTGTCCAATCTGAACAACAATCAGCAGCCAAGCGGCAACCAGGACAATCGCTTACATAGCTATACGCCGAGCATCGCATATCTACTGACTGTAGATACAGAGAAATCATGCATAACGTCTCTATAGCCGGCACGGGTTCAGAGTAGAGGGATTCGCTGCTCGGAAGTAGATTCATTGCCCGCACAAAAAATATTGATCCCGGTGGTGTAGAATCGGTCCTGCCTTGTTGCAGAAATGCTTTGCCGAATGCAATCACAAGCAAAAACTGCACATACCACAGCCTTGACTTGGTTGCGACTTGGGCGGGAGAATTATAGAAGTCATGGAGAGTTTTAGTAAATTCGATCTCGTCGAAGAGAATGAATGTCTGACAGATATTAAACTTCACGGTATTTGTAAGATAAAGTGCAAGATCAAGGGTAGGAAGACCACTGATATCTGGAGGCAACGCTGCCTGACAGTTGCTCAGGTCAAGCATGTATGCGCTAGCGTCAAAGTTGACCACTTCAATGGATTCTGGCTGGTTGAGATGGTCACGGATCAAGTTCATTACCCATTGACTGAAAGACCAGGTGGAAGAGTGACCAAGATATCCTGGCAAGAATTAGTAGCAAGTTGTCGAAGGGTATTCTCACAGTCTGACGTGGTCTCCCATGACTATCTTTGATATATGTGGACTTCTCCAAGGCGAGTGGGTTGTATAGAGGTAATGAAGTTTCATCTGTCGAAGAAACGCGAGTCTGGGAAATGTTCCCATCTGATTTAGGATATGTTGATGAGTTCTGTTCTCCATCGTCTGAGATTTGATTAGATGCGATAAACCCTCCCAGCGATGAGGAACATACGTGGATTCTCGTCATCAACTTCCACAATTGTAGCGTCTTGTTTTGCCTGGTGTGATCGAGCTTGACGGCCAGAGTGACGCTCGACTTTCCTTCTGAGCTCTCCAAGGTATCTGAAAACAACGGTTCGGTTAAAAGACTGCCCCTGAATGATAACCTCGTACACTCACTTCTCAGAGACTAGAACTTTCCGCCCTTCGGACTCGAAATCACAATGAGCAAAGCGCTGTGTACATTTGTCACAGGGCTGCTTTCCAGAGCACTTTATCTTCCGGCGCTTACACCTCTCACAGCTTTGAGAGAGGTGGACTCGGTCAGCATTGCTATACATGTCTGCAGACAACGTTGGGCTGGGAAAACTCACGCATTGGCAACACGCGTTCGCCGTTGGTCCATCTTGTACGGCCATTCATTTTATAATATCTGGGTGTACTTATTGCAAGATCGTTTAAAGTGGAGACGATTGAGATTCGGAAGTCGTTCTCACAAGCACATGCAGGTGGAAGATCCACATCACGTGCTGGCATCAGAACACGGAACTTCACTTTGGAGGGGATCATAAATGAGATATACAGGAGGTACAGATATTTAACAAGCGTAAAGCTTAGGATAGTATATAACATACAGTGCGATATACCAATTTTGTCCAATGACGGTGCAACAATGTTTATTTAGCATTCTCTCTGCATGTCCTTGCTTGGGTATCACCTCTTCTTGCTCATGTTGCGGGACTGGTAGGCAGCCTCCATAATCGCATCTGCAAATGCCGTCCTCACACCAGCAGATTCCAACTTCAGCAAGGCTCGTATGGAGCAGCCACCGGGCGAAGCAATCTCCTCCCTCAGCACCGATGGATGGTGACCGTGTGTCAACAACTTAATATTGCCCATGACAGCCTGAATCACAAGCTCCTTCGCATCACTGCGCTTCAATCCTTCTGCTACGCATCCGTCAAGCAGTCCATCAATGGGCAACATCATGAGCGAGCCAGAGCACCCAACTAAGACAGCTGCAATATCGAAATGAGCCTCAGCTACCGACTTCACCTGGCCAACTTGTTCAAATACCCATTCCGTCATGGCCTGAAACTTATCCGGAAGCGCTGGTGTTGGTGTTGCGAGCACTGTCATAGACTCCCGGATCTTGGCTGCCATATTTGGCATGCCCCTGGCGATGTGGCAGAGCTCACCTCTATATTCGGCCCTGGCGCCATATATACATTCCTTCAAGGAGCCTGCCGATATACCAGCGAGGATGCTAATCAGAAGCTTTCCAGCCAACGCTTCTCGAACGCCATCTGCTTGAAGAATATCGTTGCGCATTCTTGGCTTACAACCCAGTATTATGATATCTGCCTCGCGCATTGCCTTGACGTTCTGGTCTCGGGATACTTCAATACGGAAAGTATGATTTCTAAGTGTTTCAATCACTCGATCCGCGGATTTCTGAGCTCGTACACAAGCGATGACTCGGGAGACTTGAGATGAAGCTATCGCTGAGCTACCTTGATTGCCGACAGTGGATTCGAGGATGCCCAAGGCGATTGATGTTCCCATGGTTCCTAGAAGAGAAACATATTAGTAGGCAGCTACAATATATGCCTGATAAATGTTCTACCCACCACATCCAATAACCGCAACAGTAAGTGGTTTGCTCATGATTGCGGAAGCTGCTACAGTTGACTGGTGAGAAGGAATATGGTTGACAAAATGTACTCAAATATGGGCGATAAAAGAGAATCGTTCTTTTCAGCTCGGTATCAACATGGACCGGTATTTCCATATGAGAACGGCCACAATGGTTGGAGCGCAACTATCTTTACGATTCTTGAGCTTGGAAAATACTTAACCCCACCGATCAACAGTTGGACAGCGAGACTGGTCAGCTCCCTGAGCGAACCCCTCATCTTCATTGTTGCCATGATTGTTGTACAATATCTGGGCAGTTGTGCGGAGGGGGAAGCCGCTGCGGCTCACCTCCCCGCCGCTAGCAAATACCTGTTAGGCCAATGTTAACCCCTGATGTAACGGATCATCTTGCAGCGATAGAAGCATCCCCGTTCTACTTCTCCAAAGTTCACATGGTCTGGCTATCCGAGCTGCAGATCTAAGAAAGCAAGCATTGTAGTACAATGTGACAGTATTTTACCCGGCTGATAATGGTCAGCTATTGCCTTCGATCTCACAGCATAAGTATATATTCTATCTGCCTGTAGCTACATTTATCCCCCTATCGCTGTTTACTTGACTTTTTCTAATCTCACTCCAACAACCAAAATCATGTCTGAGAAATTCACAACGTCAGTCATCATCGTCGGTGCGGGGGTCTTCGGCCTCTCTACTGCACTTGCCATCTCTGGCCGTCATCCCGACACGCAAGTCACTGTTATTGATCGCCATACACCCCCAGTGCCAGATGGTACAAGTGTTGATACGAGTCGTATCCTTCGACCTGGTAAGTCTCCCCCGTTTTCAGAGTCCTTAAACTTTCCTGATTAGCTCGGGCTAGATTACCTGGACAAAGACTATGAGCGTTTAGCTCTCAAGGCACAGTTGATGATCAAGAATGATCCCGAGCTCAAGCCATACTACTTGGAAAACGGTTTCACTTTTTGTGTCGATGGCGAGCCCGGCTCTTTGAATTCGCTGTGGGATAACATGCTCCACAAGCTCAAGACTGAGCACCCAGAAACGGCATACGACCAGTGTGATACACCACATGATATATATCGCCATTTGCACGGAATGGACTCTGCATCAGTACCAAGCGTCAACTTTTCAGGTCCACGAAAATGGATCAAGGGATTCACCAGCAAGAGATGTGCTACAGTCAATGCTGAGGCAATGATCAAGGTATACTATAGACGCTGCGCCACGCAACCGAACATCTATTTCAAGATCGGCATGCCAGTCGATTACCTACTATACAGCCAAGATAAATCCTCAGTAGAGGGTGTCGTTCTAGAGAATGGACGCAAGATCATGGCTGAGAGAGTGGTCGTTTCGGCTGGTCCATGGTCGAGCCGCCTCGTCAACCTCAATCAGGAAATGCATGCAAATGCAGTGCAGGCTGTATATTTCAAGCTCACGCAGGAGGAGTACGAGCAGTACAAGGACATCTCATGCCATACGAACATCAAGACCGGCCTGAATATTTATCCTCCTATTGGCGGCCTGCTCAAGGTCGTGAGACGACAGACAGGTCTTCGCAACACTACCATACTCAAAGACCCCGAAGATCCCACCAAGTTCTACAAAGCATCCTATCCTTTGACGAAATTAGATGACTCCTTTCAGACGGTGTCGTTCGCGATGCAACAGAGCATAAGAGATGAGTTGCGCGAGATCTTTCCCACTCTTGTCGACAGGCCATTCTTCAACACTAGGTTTTGCTGGTATGTGAAGGAGCTGTAGAATCTCAAGCTTGTGTGCTAAATCAAAGTATCACAGGCAAGAACAGACAACTAATGGCGAGTTCCTCATTTGTGCTCATCCGCGCTTTGCCAACTTGCAAATGGTGACTGGTGGATCGTTACACGCATGGAAGTTTCTTCCTATACTAGGAGAGTTTGTTGTGGATTCGATGGAAGGGAAGCTCAGCGAGACTATGAGACACAAGTGGTCGTGGGAGTCGAAGTCGGAAAAGAAGCCGAACGAGCTTTGCTTCATGGAGGAGGACGCTCTTCAAGAGTTCCAACAAGTCACTGGGAGTAGACCACGTTTGTAAGTGGCGGTTGAAATTGTCAGAGCATTGCAGTGGGAGTCGATCCGATTGTCACACACTCTCTCTCTGTGGGGACAGTGCAGCTCCTCCTTGAATGATCTGGAGTGAACGCGGAAGCCTATCAAGCAGCTAATATACACGAGTCACCATATTGGGATCTAGAAAATAACAGTCTGCATTTATCCCCAGAATGTCCCCCTCAAAGACGCATATCGCTCTATTTTGAAAGCTGTAGATCTACTTTCGCACAGTGAATTTTCGTCCGTACTACTATTGCGCACCTTGAATTCAGGTGTTCATCGGTCTGCAACGTGCTAAGTCCACTTATATCAAGCTGGAAACGAGGGGAAGATTGAACACACAGGGAAGTGGGAGGGACACAGATTCTGTTTATGAGCTGCTATGTCTCTAAAAGTATCGACGGGTATATTTCTCTATGAACCTTGAAAGTCGCCGAGTTCTTTATCGTTCCAGCTAACATATCATCAGTAGACGTTCATTTAATATCAGTGTTGTTCACTTACTTCCAGAGCTTGCCACTCAAATCTTTCGGAGCGCCCAGAGCCAATCTTGCAATCACATTGCCAGGCTGATCCGGTCGTAGAAGCTTCCCTTCCTCGTGAGCGCTCTTGAATTTCCGGACATCTTTTTCATCCATGACAGTAGAGTGGCTTCGAACTTCCTTCTGCATTTCGGTATCAACAACTCCAGGCCGGATCGCTATTGTAGTAATATCAGGCTCTTCCGCGGTGAGAGTCAGTGCCAGGTGGTTTAAAGCAGCTTTGGAAGAGCCGTATGAGCCCCATGTAGAATACGCGCTGACTGATGCCCCGGAAGATGTCATGATGATACGACCATGTGTCTGGCGGAGAGGGCTAATAGCAGGTTTAATCTGATTTTGTATGCTCAGTTATAATTCTCCAGGGCTTGGGAGAACTTACAAAAGCTAAAGCACTGAAGAAATTGACATCAAATGCGCTTCTCCACTCCTCCGGGGTACTGTCCGCTACACGTTTGACGGGGCTGAGAGTGCCATGGTTCAAAATTAGCCCGTCTATGCGAGAGAAGGATTTTAAGGCGAGGTCAATAGCCTTCAGACCATTCTAAAAGACAGTAGTATCAGCAAGTAAACCTCGTTTCGTGTAAGGAGCTGGTCAGAAGATGAAGATCTCGAGGACAGATAAACTTTGCATTCTAGTCAGAAATCAACTCTTGCAAGCAGACAACGACAGCTGTCTGAATAGCATCCAATAATTCAAGTTCCTAGATGCTTACCTAGAAATGTGTGAAGCAATTGAGCCAATGGCTTGGCGACCTTTGTTCTAGTAAAGATAACTCGCCAATACTTTATAAAAGAACAGGGAGAGTTTGTTGTAGGATTGAAAAGGTACGTACAGAGAAATCAGTAAGATCAACAGCAAGATATTCAACCTGGCCAGGATACTCTGACTTCAGCTTTTCCAGGGATTCGGCACTTCTTGCTACAAGGACTAGTTTGTGGGATGTTTTGAGGAGGTACTCGGCCATAGCAAGACCGATTCCACGGCTTGCTCCTGTGAGGACGATGACTTTGGACTCCGGCATGGTCTTGGATATCTTGATTTGAAAATAAGGAGAATTGTATAGAGAAGTGAAGACGGGTCGGGAGGGTAGGGTTGTGGATGAGGAAGAAGGTTTGAACTATAGTGGGGTAAAATATAGCTCCCCCTGTCAAGTGGCTGAAGGCTGTTAGAGTATGGAATCTTCTCAACATGCAACTTCAGCTTCACTCACACATTACAGCTTCATCTTATAACATGGCACAATCAATCGTAATCCTCGGCTCAGGAATCATAGGCGTCTCCACCGCATATTATCTCTCTCAATCTTCGCCCGCCTCCTCAATCCACCTCGTCGAGCCCTCCCCCGAACTCTTCGCCTCCGCATCAGGTTTCGCTGGCGGATTCCTTGCGGCAGATTGGTTTTCTCCCTCCGTCGCGGCCTTGGGGAAGCTCAGTTTCGAAGAACATAAACGGTTGGCAGAAGAGTTTGGCGGGAGGGAGAAGTGGGGGTATTCGAGGAGCACTGGTTTGAGTTACACCGCGAGGAAGGGATCGAGGATTGGAAAAAGAGGAGACGATTGGCTACGACAAGCTTCAAGCAGGTCAGATACAGCTGTAGTCGTGAGTGAGTTTGCTGATGGCCACACCGGACTGTTGGGTCCGGAATGGCTTTCAAGGAGCGCTGGCGATAAAATCGATTCAATCAGTGAAGAAGGCAGCACAGCTCAAGTGTGGGTTCGAAGCGTTACCGATTCAACTCAAGAGCTTAATAGTATTATTACTGACTTTTCTTGCAGAGATCCTCAACGATTATGCCAATTCCTTCTCGCAGCCTGCTTAGAGCGAGGAGTCCAGCTTCATCACCCAGCAAGAGCTGTATCGATTGATAAAGACATGCGAGACGAATTATCAAGCATCCGACTTGTGAATACTGAAACTAATATGGTCTCGGATATTCCGTGCTCGAAGATTCTGATTGCAGCTGGGGCATGGTCGACGCAGGTGTTCTCCACGTTATTTCCGACCTCGCAAACGAAAATACCTATATCAAGTCTTGCGGGTCATTCTCTAGTTGTACGCTCACCTAGATGGAGCAAAGAACACGAGGAGAAAGGCTGCCATGCGATTTTTACAAGCGACGAAGACGGATATTCGCCAGAGCTGTTTTCCAGGCTGGGTGGCGAGATATATATTGCGGGACTGAATGATGCATCTCTGGCATTGCCTAAATTTGCTACCGACTCCAAGATTGAGGAGGGTGCTGTTAGCAAGTTGAAGAAGGCGGCCCAAAGACTCCTGGGAACAACCGAAAATCTAGAAGAAATAGAGGTTGTCAGAAAAGGATTGTGTTTTCGTCCTATAACTAAGCAGGGTACGCCGATAATGACAAATATCCACGATGAGAACTTAGGAGGTTTGAGTACACGAGGGGCTGGCGAAGGCGGAGTCTGGCTTGCCGCTGGTCATGGTCCTTGGGGAATCAGTCTTAGTCTAGGGACCGGGAAGGTCATGTCAGAGATGATTCTTGGGAAGTCGACAAGTGTCGATGTTGAACGGTTGAGACCATGAGCGAGACTTCCTAGGAGGGTTATCTTCCCGTAATATGTTGCATTGCTGAGATCTGTATCCACCGTTCTACGAGAAGAACTTTTTGGCGTGCCAGGATAATCACAGGCCGAGAACCCCAAGACAATACATTGCTTCATTGATCGATGGGAGGTGTCTCCTGGAATGTATTACCTATGGACGTCAAATATGCGCAGGTCTTTGCTCCAGCACGGGGTTACCAAAGGCCAGATGAGCAAACTATCCTGCAAAGCTTGTATTATACATCACCGTATATCCAGAATTGCAGTATTGTTCCTGATTTCAGAAGCACAAGTGTGCCCATATAGAACAACAAACAAGGTCTATGCTTACTTTCACCGCTCCTGCTGTCTTGTCGGGCCTCATATGACCCATGCTCAGGGGCAATGAAAAACGAAGCATTCATATGTAATAAGGAATTAATACAGAAACTAATGTGCTAACTCACAAATCCCTCAATCAATGAAAGCGAGCTTTCTAGGTCTCTACACAGAGGATTGAACTTTCAGCCAGGCTAACTAGCATCACGCGAACGCCGCTCACGTCTGTATCGAACGCCGCCCACGTCTGTAACTCAATGAGGGGGGTAAATGTCGTGATGTACTATGAAGCCCAAGCCCCAAAGATTCCATGGTATCCAATCGGCCCCGGGGAAGACTTGCCATTAGTTTGACGAGTGGAGAAAGAAATACTTTTAGTAAATCCATTTGCGGAGATTAGCTCTCCCATCTCGTCGGAAGCGACAAGTCGGCACAATGATTTGCCTTGCCTTGCAGAAGGTTCGTGGAATCGTGGCCGAGTACCTTTCATGGGTCAATTTCAACGCCAACGCCCAAGCGGCAAACCCATTGACCAGTGGCATGTCTGGAACTGCAGTGATTGAAAGGCTTCAAGTTCCTGTAATTAGAATCCTGAAACTATTGGATGGCTGCGTTGATTCCGGCCACCCACCAACCATTTAGTACAGTACAGGACGGGTGGGAATGATCCATTGGAAAGAGGCAAGAGCTTGTGAAGGTACATGCAGCTTGGTGCATGCTTGGAAGCTTTGTCGTTGCATTAGGGGTAGTAGCATCACGGCAACACTTCCTAATCCATATATGGGGGGGGGTATCTCACGAGAAAATTGTTGTATTCTGAATATTTGATTACATTATTAATTATTATTCATTGCTCTGTGCGGTACATGGCCTTCCCTTTCTTTATCAAGAATCGGTGCCGGGACTACTACGTCTACGACTCGGAAAATACCCCAGGCCAGGTGCGGTGCAGCGACGCAGCGAGCTAAAACCCCCGTGCGTGCTGAAATCATGTGCTGCTGAATTGATAAAAAAAAATTACACCCATGGTCAATAAACATCGCGCGTCCAACCCGAACGATTCTCGGAAGCAGAGGGGTGTGCGAGTGGGAGCCCAGCCGAACAGCAGGGAAGCTGCTCCTTGAAGAAGAGAAGGGAGGTGAAAAAAGGTCTCGACCTGGTGCGAGCATTGTATCGTTTCTACGGTATCTACTGGAGACTCAGACTTTGGTTCGGCAGCGCAATGTCAGCGAGGGTATCTCAAAGGTTAGTGACCCCGCCAGAGTCATCAGGGGCTGCAACGGGTGCTAATCGGTCCTCTTACACAGAAGAGACTTTAATATTGTCGTCTTAGGGGCTGGTACGTGGATTCAAATTTCAGGAGGTACACAGGTCTCACAGCTGATCAATTTCTGCATTCTTAGGTGGCGTGGGCAAGAGCTGCCTTACTGGTGAGGCCAACACACCCAAGACCAAAGTGCTGAAGGGGTTTCTAATTTGTTTCTAGCTCAATTCGTCCAAAATATATGGATTGAGGCATACGATCCTACAATTGAGGATTCGTACCGGAAGCAAATCGATGTTGATGTGAGTGCGGCCCTAGCTGAAACATCTGTCCTACAACTGACCTTTTCAAAGGGGCGACAATGTATGCTGGAGATGTAAGAGCCACGCTCATCGCATGAATAGAGGCTCTGACTTACATTTATTAATAGTCTTGATACGGCTGGTACAGAGCAATTCAGTAAGTTCAATGGCTTCATCACGTGACTATTGCTGACTTGCGGCAGCTGCTATGAGGTATGCATGAGGAGGAAGGAATCTATGATCGCGCTGACAGTCTACGCAGAGAACTATATATGAAGACAGGCCAAGGCTTTCTTCTTGTGTTCTCGATAACCAGTCAAAGCAGTCTCTACGAATTACAAGAGCTCCGAGAGCAGATTATCCGGATCAAAGACGACGACAATGTTCCAATCGTCATTGTAGGCAACAAATCGGATCTCGAAGAAGACCGAGTGGTAAGCAGGTCTAAAGCATTCGCTGTTTCGCAAAGTTGGGGAAATGCGCCCTATTATGAAACATCTGCGCGACGCCGAGGTGAGCTTTGCCTTTCAATCTGGGGAAATTATTGCTAATTCACTGCAGCAAATGTGGACGAGGTCTTTATAGATCTTTGCAGGCAGATAATCCGAAAAGACAATTCAGGATATACGCCGCATAGATATGAGGAGCCCGCTGTTGGGATCGGTGAACGAAGAAAAACCGGCGCTCGACGGACTAGGAAGCGGAAAAAGGACTCTGGAGGATGTACGATCTTATGAATCAGAGCCAGAGTTCTAAATGAGACTCTTGGCAACGGCTTCTATTTCAATTCTATTGAGGCTGGTTTCTACAGCATAGATTGTCAGTCCTGGAGGCGACAGGATCCGAAATTCAAAGATTTCCCTTGATACGAGGTGAATCAAGCTATAGGATGTTAGAGAAGATGGATTGGAAAGCTACTTGGCTGTCTTTATGATTTGGAAATACAAACACAAGTCTTTGCAGCAAGCCAAAAGCAGCTAGTGATTTCTTTGTCATGTGTATATCTGCAAGCGTAGACATTTGGCGCTCCGTTCGGACAAACAGCGGTTTCAAATTACTTGAGAAGCAGTAGCTATCTCATAAAATAGAGCATGCTGTTTGATCTTTGGCGGGGGCTTCGAATCATCAGACGAGCTAGGTAATTGATTCCTTCTGACAAGAGTTTTTAAGTATGGAATGAACTTAGCGGTCTTTTCTGGTCTCTCAGAATATATGGCGTTGATAGCAATACTCATTTTGCTGGCAGCATAGAGCTCAGTTATGGGACCGACTACATCCTACACATGCTGCCGTGACTTTGGACCCAGAACAACTTGTTACTAGAAATGTTGCGACCAGAAAAGAGCGCAAGCCAGAGCTGTGCTGTGCCTTCTGCGACCGCATCAAGTCTTTCAGCAGTATAGTTGCATTATGGTCACATTCGGTCCACCAACACCACGAGCCTAAGAACAGAGCATACGCCAAGAAGAAAGACGAGGAGCACTTGCTTGGAGAGGTTCATCGGACAGCACAATTGTGGCGAGAGTACTGGCTCAGGAACAGTGACGGAGGAAAGAAAGGCAATCCGATAATGGCAAAACTGGATGAGATCGCAAGAGCCGATTTCAGTTGGAAATCTGTTCTTGATTGGAAACTTCGTTGAATGCAACTTTTATCAACGGACCATAGGAATTATTCATAGCACGCAAATGTTATGATTTGTTTTGCAAGGATCGATAGCTTCCGATCAAACAGCACGTGCAAATAAGTCCGTAAGTGCGGGAGTGCGGGTGCGGTGTGCGGGTGAAGAAATCCGACAAGGCCGGCTGAAAATTATGCAGAATATAGATTAAAATAAGAAACTGTCTTTCAACAAACCAGCTTCTGTGGTCCAATGGTTAGGATTCCACCCTTCCAAGGTGGAGGTTCGTGTTCGATTCACGGCAGTTGCAACTCCGCATACATTTTTTTGAATTTTTTCCCAATGCCTTCTATCTTTGCTTTTATTTATGCTAACCTTTCGAATGGACACAAAGTTTCAATGTTGAGGAGGCACATATTTTCCTAATCGCAATTACATTCCTTACATTTTTTGGCGCACACTACTTCAATCTCACTTGCGAAGGTGGATTGATGAATTGGATTTTTGCGCACACCTTCTTTTATCATTCTATGATTTCAGCAATCTCCTCCGTGCTATAGCTCGGATAGGGCCAACTTGATTGCTGCAACAGCGTCCTCCTTAGTGATCATCTCCTCTAGAAGCGCTCGACAGATGACCGGCAACAGGACCTTCTTGTTGTATTTAGGTCCTTCATTGAGGTCAACCCATTTCTGCGCCAGTCCAACCACAGTTGCCACGAACGATGGACGGATCATCGAGGTGGACAGCAGCATAGTGACGAAGAATTCGAGCGTCAAACCGCACAAATTATTTAACACAAAGATGACAGTGACATTGTGCTGGTGTCACACCTACGGGGCCTTCATGTCGTAGAACGTGGTCCATGTCATCCTGGTCAACATGTTTGACGTTGCCACCGAAACCGCGAGGGAACTTGAGTGGGAGGCAGTTCTCTCGGCTCTTCTTGTATGGATGGTTTGGAACCAATCTCGGGCCTCGCCCTTCAGAATCGACATCATGATGTTAAGACGCTCGCACATTGTCAAAGCCATCAGTTGCATCAAGCAATCGCTTTCTCCTTCGTGATGCCTTCCGCAAAATTTGGGTACCGGCTTTCTCGATCGTCGGAGCTCCATGGCGATGATCTTGCAGAAGTCTCGAGAATCATTAAGAGCAAGTGATTCCAGCCGCACATGGCAGTTTAACAGACACTATGCCACGCCATAAGTGTGAGAGCCTTGGCTCTGTTTATAGACCAGGCAATCGTTCTTTTGTTTCGTATCCATTATTGTGTCATCCATCCAAGCAAGCGCTCGTGCTGTTGTCGTGTGCATGTGCGCTTCCAGCGAATCATCCATAGAAGTGCTGGCACCGCCATACTTCGTGTATCGGTCGATGTAGGCCCGCTGATAATGAATTCGTGTAATACGGTCACTCTTTCACTGGGACGGAATAAGTTTCTGCAGTAGTCCTTCGATATCGGTTATGCCTGCAGAAAGTAGGTCGTCGGGCGACATGATTCCATCGATCAAGTTAATTGATGGCTCGGGCGTTTCTGAATACTGCCGGTGCTGCTCCCGAAAGGTGTCCAGAATATCTGCCCTGTCTCGTTTGGAAAGAGTAATCCACCCGGTCACTCCTGCTTGTTGTGACTGTTGTAGATACTGGTAGTAACGATTAATATGGTAAAAACGTTCGTCGCCCTTAGGGTTGGAGAATCCTGGAGGTTCCTTGAAGTGGCTCATGTCTTTGGAGATGTCTTTAGCAGAAGGTGTTTTGAGACTGAGGGAAACGTGAATTGAAGAATAAAAGAGGGGAGAGAGAGGTGAAAAGTGGAAGGGATATAATAATTTTTCTTTTGCAACCACACTTGGTGGGCTGGTCATCATTGCAGCTTTCCGAAACATCGTGCCCAATTCAAAATGACAAGCACGAGTCCACTGCCAGAAAGCAAGCTCGACTGCGATACAGATTATTTGAACACACAAGTACTGTCTAAAGCTTTTGCATCATATACTGTATAGTTGCAGTTGGATTACTCGCTCTCTGCGTGACAGCGACAAGCTGTTACCACCACCCTGCCAATTCCTGCCTGGCAAAATTGAAGTTTGATAAGCAAATTTGCAAACTTAGAAGCCCTTGATGGTTTTCCTGCACTTACGTCGCCTCTCTTTCAAGTGGTGCCCACTTTACTAGAGAACTTCTCCACCATCATGAATCCTCAGGCCTGGCCGGGCCAGAGGATCAATCCTATGGCTTTGAAGTGACACATCTCCATCTCTATCAACAACCCCAAATCCCTGAATGGTGTCTATGGCCGTGGTTTCATCCTCATCGCCAGTCAATTTCGTGGTTCCAAACATTGGTCCTTGTCGCAAAACAGGTGGTGCGATTCGTGACTTCGAAGCTCTCATCCCATCTCGAAGCTGTATGTCCCCATCTCCCACCGCTGCCCCTCCTTTGTATCCGTATACCATCGCTCGAATTTAAAGCTCACTCCATGCCCTCTCTCCATCCTGCTGCCTTTCCACCCTGTTGTATCTCCACCTCGCCGTCTCTCCTCTATCCCATCTTTCCACCTTGTCCATTTTCCCCCTTGCCGTCTCACTACCGTGTCTGAGATCTCCTGTCCTTTCTCTTATAACGCTTATAACTAACCCCCTTTCTAGAGTCCGATGTCGAAACCCCTTAGGCTTTATCGAAGACCCTATGCTGACGTTAAAAGGTAGCTCAGGTAGAATCGGCCAGCGCATCGGAACTGTGATTCCAAGATAGAGCTAGTCTCGTTGTCTTGTAGGTGACTGTGGAATGTTGGCGAGGAGAGTAGGAGCATGGTATATGGGTGCTTGGATGGGTGCTCTATCTCATTCGCGGATTTTTTACGTCCTTGAGATGCATCTTCGTAGAATCTAAATTCCTTAGGCCTTGTATCACTGACTACCCGCCTGATGTTCAGCCAAAATTCACCTCTAATGACCACCTCCCTCCCCATCCGCCCCCCTTTCAGCCCCGCCGCCGCCGCATACAAAAACTGGTTCTCCTGTATCGGTACAAGGTAAGCCGAGAACTCGTGTTGCTATACTGAGCGCTGACCCTAGATTTGGGTTTGAGGGAGTGGAAGAGAAAGAGAATGTGAGGTAGAGACTGAGGGCATGGAGCGTTGAGTGTTGAGCGCTATTGGCCAAGAGAGATTGACTTTTCTAGAAACATCATTCGAAGGGATGAAGCATTGGGAGGATGAAAGGATTTGGTGAAGATGAAGGGGAGGTCGGGGAGGAGAATGAGATGTCTTACCTGGGGGAATCATGTGACTGTTTCCCTTTCGCGGATCGGTTGCGTTGCACTGAATGTATCCTAGATGCCTTACATTTGATACGACATTCATACATGGTTCACTATCAAAGGATTTAAAGCGTGATATCAACTTTGAGATCTGGCTACTCAAAATGGAGAAATGCGCCATCGTAAAGGGCATCGAATTTTAATGGTCTCGCTAATCATCTAATGTGCTGCCCACATCAGGATACTTCTCATCAAGACGGCTCTATAAATGCAGCGAAAATTGAACAATCTGATGGCAACATAACAGCTAAACAGATATTAATGACCCCCGAATTTACCAACTACATACCTAGTATTGTGTTCAGAACTTTCAGCATGGCTCAGTCCTAACCTCACCTCGTAGGTATCACTCCAGGCCTTTTGTGGCTTCGTGTCTCACCAAGATTAGCTATAAGATAGGCTGGGTTAGGATATGACTTCACTAGTTTCATTCTTCTGGAAGACGTAGCAGTTGTTATTAAAGTTTGAATGCCACACTCAATGTCTCACGATGCAAAAGATACATCAACTTTAGATATCGAGATGTAGACGTAGACGCCTGGCGAGCAGATGTCCCAAACGCCGCAGGGCATCGGAATATTTACCACAGAAGACTCCAGAAGTTGAGCGCGTAATATAAAGCGTTCGAAATGGCATTAAAATAGGAGCGAGATACATACAAGTAAGCCCATAATATTTGATTATATGACGTAGTGCTTCAAGCACTATAAGCGCTTTTTGTCGCGAATATAGAGACAACCAGTTGACTTAACATGTTCTTAGCCGTTGGTTGTTGCTGGTACTACATATAGC